TAGGCTGAGTGTTGCACCAGATTGCACCAGCAAAGCGGATTCTTTCCTCCTTTCCCTTTTTAAAAATGCAATTTCTTTCTGTCCCACTCAGTCTGGAGCCCAGCCCAGAGTACTGTGGCTTTGCATCTTAATAGAACAATACTTCTTGTCGAACCCTCAGTCCTGAATCAATTATCCACCTAGGAGAGATGTGAGACTGTTCAGGTTGGGGAAATGTAATGACAAGGCTCAGATGCACACAGGAGAGCTGTGAAGAACACGTGTTGAGAACCTAATTAATTTTCAGCAAAGAGATTTTTTAATCGCACAGACTGGCGGGGGGGTGGCTGCTAAGGATAATCCAATAAAAATGGGCACAAAGTTCCCTGCTTGTTAGGAGCCGGTAGGGAGGTGTAGCTCTGCAGCACATCTGTCAATCAGGTCCGGCTGAAAAGGATACAGGTTGAAGCTATCCCCATTGTAGTGCCAACTTTTTCCCAGTAACTCTCGCATGCTGACTGAACGGGACCTATGCCAGCAGGATTTAAACTGGTAGAACTTAGCCTGGTGTAAATTCCCCCCCACACACACACACACCAAAAGGGTTAGGGGTGGGGCAAAGAAAGACATCTGTTACAAACCGTTTGGCTCAGCCACATGACCTGGCAAAAGTTACACCAGCAAAGAGTTTGGATTTGGATTTGATATCCTGCTTTATTACTACCTGAGGGAGTCTCAAAGCGGCTAACCTTCTCCTTTCCCTTCCTCCCCCACAACAAACACTCTGTGAGGTGAGTGAGGCTGAGACTTCAGAGAAGTGTGACTGGCCCAAGGTCACCCAGCAGCTGCATGTGGAGGAGCGGGGAAGCGAACCCGGCTCACCAGATTACGAGTCTGCCACTCTTAACCACTACACCACACTGGCTGATGATGATGCTAAGTCAAAGTCTACTTTGATGGCTTGTTTTCTCTTTGCCAGGTTCAGTCTGGCTCCTGAACGGAGTATGGAACAGGAGTACCTTACACCAACTTAACTTAAACTGGTTTTCCTCAGGATTGTTCTGTAAGTCTCTGCCTACCTCCGAGGCTAGAGACAGGAGGGTGGTGGATTTGAGAAGATGAAAGGATGCTAATGGTATGTATGCCCACCCCACTTTTGCCTCTGGTAAGTGGATTTTGCTGGGGGGTTTTGTATTCTTTCAAAAATATGCAAAACCATGAACAGCACACAAAATGTGCCTAAACACTATAGGAAGGAGTGGCCACCTCATACTTCATTGAGGTTAAAATGGCTACTAGCCATGATGGCAATATAGCGCTTCCAGGATGAGAGGCAGCATGACTGATAGGGTAGCTGGGGGGAAACACGCAAGAGTGCACTGTTGCAGTCAGGTCTTTCTTGCTTGCAGGATTCGCAGAAGTACAGCGGTACCTCGGGTTAAGAACTTAGTTCGTTCTGGAGGTCCGTTCTTAACCTGAAACTGTTCTTAACCTGAAGCACCACTTTAGGTAATAGGGCCTCCCGCTGCTGCTGCGCCACCAGAGCACAATTTCTGTTCTCATCCTGAAGCAAAGTTCTTAACCCAAGGTAATATTTCTGGGTTAGCGGAGTCTGTAACCTGAAGCGTATGTAACCCGAGGTACCACTGTATCAGAGAGGCCTTTGATCTGTTTCAGTAGGGCTCTCTCCATGTGCCTCCAAAACTGCTGCTTTTCCAGCCTAGAAGACATTTAAAAGTTTTGTAGCGGATTCTTGGCTGTGAGCTGGTATGCTACATTTAAAACTCTGATACTAATCATTTGTGCTGCGGTTCCATGAAGATGTGTTTTGATGCATTGGATTGTGCAATGGTCGCATTTGCTTTTATGTTGTCATGGATGATGTTTGGTTTGTTTTTTGGGGGGCAGGAGGAAGGTAGCTGATCTCCGTAAAGAAACCCCCAGATTGCAAAAGGCAAGAGGTAGATTCTGCAGCAGAAATAACTCCTGTAACAGAGGGACACGCCCCCCAGATGACTCGAGTTATCTAACTTCAGAAAGCTAAAGCCTGATTCATATTGTTCCCTTAATGAAGGACTAGGTGCAACCAGTCCAGCTGCCACTGCTTGCACTGACCACTGAAAAAGGCATCAATAGCCAAGACAGGTGAGAGAGTCTGGGGCCAGTATGAACTCTGGTCGCTTTTCTTGGGAGTGTCCAAGTGTTGCTGCCAACACCCCTTCCCTTGTACAGTGGAAGAAACCTTGTGCCTTTGCCAGCAATCAAGATATGCAACAGAGAAGAACAGATTAGGAACAGAAGAACAGCCCTGCAGGATCAGGCCCAAGGCCTATTTACTCGGTATCGTGTTTCCCAAAGCTTAAATGTATCATCCCTTTCCTGCTCTTGCTTCCCAGTGACTGGAATCCAGAGCCATGCTGCCTCTGATGCTGGAGGTTGTATGCAGCTATTCTGATAGTCTTATATCCTTCATAAATTTGTCTAAGGGCTTTTCTACGCTGCTGGCCATCACCAGAGTTTGTGACAGCAAATTCTCTGAGCAATGTGAAGTATTTCCTTTTGTTCGCCCGGAATCTCCCACCATTCAGAGCTTTCTTGGATGGCCCAGCATTCCTAGTATTACGAGAAGATTAAAAACCTCTCCATATCCATGTTTTTGATTCTGAGCATGATTTTAAACAGCTCTATGACATCCCTCCTTACATGCCTTGATCACCCAAATGAAAAAGTGTGAAATTTTTGGCACTTGTGCCTTCCTCCTGGGGAGAAATCAAGAGAGCCTTGTCACAGATTCGGTCTATGTACCTACAGCACAAATGTTTGCTTTATACTAGATTACTTGCTTTATACTAGATTACTTGCTTTATACTAGATTACTCTTCCGGGGTGGCGCCATCGGTAATGGCGGATTCCCTCTGATCTGGAGGGACTGGCTCCACAGGAAACGGGTCTGTTCCGCTACGGTGAAGCGGGGACCCTTTAAAAAATCACAGGCGGATGAAGCCTGTGACCATGGGACTCGGCGGGCACCTTTTGCGCCCCCCCAATTCGTAAAGGAACCCAATTACGGGCTCCGGAGCGAAGAGGGGTTAGTGGCGCGGTGCTGAGAGTCAACTGCTTCTTCCGTGGAGCGAAGCCGCACAGCCGTTGCCGGAGAGCGCTACCTTTTTCCTGGGACAATTTGGCTACAAAACAACTACCCGTGAGCAGATCAAATTTGGACAATTGGACTTTAAACAACGATCTGTGAGTAGAACGGAAAATTGGATTAAGAAATTCCTCTTAATTTGGCACTGAAGCGGGAAGGTCTAAACAGGAAGTCAGCCTTCCGTTTCTTGTAGATAGATTAAAGCAAAGACATGGCAAACTAGAGTGTAGAAAATCGTTTGTAAAGGATCAACTTTCATCATCTAAAATTACTGAACCCCCTTCGGAAGCAGGAGAAGAGGGGGGATTTTTTGCGGATTGCTTAAACCTGCAGAAGAGAGTGTAAGAAAAGTAATTTTCCACCGTCTTGAACCTGGGAGCGGGGTGTCAGGACAGACGCTTTTGGGAAAGTTCATTGACTATAGACAAAGGTTTTTGACAGACAGTTAAAAGAAGAGAAACATAGTGATTCCATTGTGCTCTTTCGCAATTTAAAGGTACAAATATTGACAAAATATCTGAAAAAGGAAACTTTGTTGTTAGATCTGCTGTTAAAAAAAAAGAAAAGAGTTGGATACAAAGAGAAGTTCTTCCCCTAGAGGGAGCTTGTGAAACTGTTACTAAACTTGAACTGGGGAGCAGCTGCAACAGATTAAGATCGTGGGAATAGACTTCTGACCTTGTATAACAATGTGCTCAGAGGCTCTGGTGCGTGCTTTCTGTAAAACAAGTGCTTTATTGGAACAGTTACATGAGAAGACGGACTTGATGACTGTTGCGATCAGAAATTTTGGACAGGTAGTGGGTACCTATATAGGACCCACTCAGGAATCAAATCAGGAATGTGCTCTGACAGATCAGATGAAGGAGGAGATCGTTGTTGGACCTCGGGTGGCAGAGATGGAGGGAGTTGTGGCCCAGCAGGAACATGAGTTGTTGGATTTGACAAATGAACTTGGAAAAAGCCAGACTTGGAGAGATAGAGTCTTGTTTGGTTTGGAGATGGGGGGCTGGATAGATCCCCCTATGCAGGGATGTTTTGACTTTTCAAGTCTGGCGTTGGGTCGGGAGGAGTTTGGAGTTGTGGGGTCCTCAATTTTGGAGGGATTTTGAAAAATGTTTTTAAATACCACATGGAGTTCAGTGTGGACTATGGAAAAGGGGCTGATCTGTCGAGAAGGGATAAAAATACTGTCAAGCTGGAGTCTCCACGTGTGAAAGGTGCAGAAGACAAAGTAAAGTACGGGTATAAATATGAAGAAGATCTGCGGAAGGGACATGGAAGAGACTTAAGGGCCTCGGACATAAGGTTACCAGGTTAATGAACTAGATGGATGGGATAGAAAGGACTGACAAAACCCGTGACCAGGAGGAAGAGACGTTGGATGAAGATTGGAGAAAGTTTCAAAAATTCTATTTAGGAATGTTTTCTAAAATTAATGAGTATTAAAAAGATGTTGGAACGAATTTATTTGGCTTTAGCAGAAATGTTAAAAAGAACTATGCAAGAATATGTCATGGTTATGAGAAATTGGTATAGATAAGACTCAAGCTTTAAGTTTTAGGGTTTTTTATAGTAAGATAAGGTTAAAATAGATTAAGGTAATTTAATGACAGAATATTATGAAAAATGGGAAGGATTTGCTGTGATAATCAATAACTAGAATACAAAAAAGGGAGGTGTGAGGAGGTCCATGAAACAAGTTAATGAAAGATAAAGATTTGGGAATATTGGATTTGTTTTTAAATTTTCTGTTTATTTTTGCTTTTTGATTTTGATGTATTTGTGTGATTTGTTTTTCTTTTTGATTTTTGTTTTTATTGACTTGTATTGTTTAATTTTTCTTTTTGTCTACTTTTTTCTTTGTTTCTTTGTAATTTTAAAATCTTCAATAAATATTATTTAAAAATAAAATAAAAAATACTAGATTACTTGCCATGGCTTTCCCCGAAGAATTCTCAGAAGTGTAGTTTGAGGAGGCTACTTAGAATTCTGTTATATCTCTGTTCATCTCTGGGCACCACAGTTCAAGAAGGACACCGACAAACTGGAACGTGTCCAGAGGAGGGCAACCAAAATGGTCAAAGGCCTGGAAACGATGCCTTATGAGGAATGGCTAAGGGAGCTGGGCATGTTTAGCCTGGAGAAGAGGAGGTTAAGGGGTGATATGATAGCCATGTTCAAATATATAAAAGGATGTCACATAGAGGAGGGAGAAAGGTTGTTTTCTGCTGCTCCAGAGAAGCGGACACGGAGCAATGGATCCAAACTACAAGAAAGAAGATTCCACCTAAACATTAGGAAGAACTTCCTGACAGTGAGAGCTGTTCGACAGTGGAATTTGCTGCCAAGGAGTGTGGTGGAGTCTCCTTCTTTGGAGGTCTTTAAGCAGAGGCTTGACAACCATATGTCAGGAGTGCTCTGATGGTGTTTCCTGCTTGGCAGGGGGTTGGACTCGATGGCCCTTGTGGTCTCTTCCAACTCTATGATTCTATGATCCCTCCCCAAACTAGAGTTGCCAGTGGTCTTTGCAGAGAGGGAATGACCACAAACAATTGAAACATAAAGTATAGATACAGCTGTAACAACAGACCATGAGATTAAAAGCCACAAATCAGAAAATAAGACTCAGGGTCATGCTATCAAAACCTTTAGGGAAATTCAACTACCATATATAAAGCCTTTCTTGTCTTGGAGAAGCAGGCTGTTCACAAGCACCACCTTCATTACCAAGTAGCATAAATTTCTCACGCAACTGGGAATCATGGTGGAAGTCCGATTTTCTCAGTTTAAGAATTATTTAAATCATAATTGACACAGAGAAGTACGAAATTAATCAAATTGTAAAAAGGTAGCCAGTGTTTAAACACTAGCTTCCATTTTTAACCCAAATAAGTAACTGAAGTTTTGAGACTAGGATGAAGCCGGACCATTTTTTAGCAACTGCATTTAGAAGCAGGGTATATATCACGACCACAGACAGTTCATCACAGTTACTAGGGACGAAATCACAGATAAGGGTTCTGTGGTGCTGTAATTGAACTAGAGACATTCTGTTTGTTCTCTATAAAACTAACTATTTGCCAGTGACTAATTTGTGCTATTTTAACTCAAGGCTATGATTTTGGGATTTGTAGATGAGTTTGCCACAGAAGTAGCAAGGTCTGATCTACCATCTCAGAAGGAGATATCTCAGAAGAGATAGTTAAACATGTAAGTGTGCCTAGTAAGCCAATACAATTAACTGCAAACTGTAGATCAGTCTTCCTCCTAGAAAGAACTGCAAACGCTCTTCACAAATTGGGTGAGGTAGACAAGGACTAATTCAGAAAACAATTACAAATAAGTAAATGTTGGGCGGCAAGCATTCTGCAGTTATTTGATCAAAGTCCGTCAAAGAATAAAATCCACGCAGCAGAGAAAACAAGAGAAGGCAAGCCAAAAAGAGCAAGCTCGAACTTGGAAGGGTCCCGGTTTTTGTTATCTGGGGTGTGATAAACTGAAAATCCGACAAGCACTTTTCACACTTGGTCAGTGGCGGCTGAACAAAGGAACTGCATTATATTTGAGCATGGGAAGGTGATATAAGAATGCTCTATAGAATGCTTGGTTCTGTGATGGCTTATTCACACATCAAGTGATGAACATACCTTATGTGAACCAGCCCTACATGTCATGATGAAAAAAACGGAGGAACAAAGATATGTGTGCACCTGAAACCCTTGGCTACTGTTTTTGTTTTGGTCCCATTTGTTCCATCCAGTGTTCTTGCAATGTGGTTAATGTGCTCATCACACATGTGTACACACACACACACACACTCTTCTCATCATAGTTGTGAATATCCATATACACCCACCTAACATTAAGGCATTGTCCATTACACCACGGTTTTCTAGAGGCACTGTAGGTTAAGAGGCCAACTGCTGCCTTGCATCACAGATAAGCCCACAGAGTACAATGCTTGGCTGGGAATGTAATGCATGAATTAAGCAGGGTCAAAGCTACTGCATGTACCCTCTCCTCTTCCTTGCCCCCATGCTTTTTCCAGTCCATGGGGTCCTGCTAGCATTTTGGGATGTCAACCTCTTCATGGACACAGAAGAAAACAAAGCAGGTCATATGTTTGGGTAACAAAAGTAACAAGAAAGCAAAAGGGATGAGCTTCTGATCTCCCCACCCAAAATGGTGTAATTTTGATACTGGGTTAAATAGGTCAATGGAACATTTGAGACAGGCAGCTTTGAGGCACCAGAGTGGTCTTGGCTGGCTGAAAGCCTCGTTTAATAAGGGTGACGACGAAGCCCAATTTTATCTTAAATAATGTGGAGCATTTATATAGCACTTTAGAATATATGAAACACTTCACTTAACCTTACGACTTCTCCGTAAGGCAGGCAAGTAATACTCCTGAATTTCAGGTGGGGGCTGAAGCTGAGAAGTTTGCTTAAGGTCATCCAGCAAGTCCTGGTCAAAGGAAGATTTGAACAGATGGCTTCCCAGTGCATGCCATTAGCCACAAAGTGAGACCAGTTCTCTGATTTCAGGCTCAGTTTGCAATCTCCGGGCCCTGTGTCCCCAGCTCTTTGCATGGGTCCATCACTCACCCTCCAGCCATACAAAAAGCACTGACACACAAGGCTACCAAAGTTTAGCTTCCCCGCCCCCCGTATTTATAAATTCAGAGGTGCTGCTTGTACACACGAAACTGGGCAGCAGCGTTTCAGATCTTGCAGTGACCCCTCCTGCAACTGGCACAGAAAAGTCTCTGTTCTACTCAGTCCTATGAGATGTTGGATGGCCACTCCTTGCCTAGGCGGGCAGAGCTGTCATCATTTCCCCCTCCTCTTCCAAGCAAAGAGTCTGACCTCACAGAAGTCCACACTACTGTAAAGGCAGCGAGTGCTTGATTATCTCGTATATATATATATATGGAGTTCCCCTGGATGCCCAATGGAGAAGGGCAAACCCAGTCCAATTTCAAAATATGTAAGACCAGGCATGCTTTTCTGAGCTCACAGCGGAGCAGAGAAAATGGCTTAAGACAGGGCACCTGGTTCAGCCCTTGGGTTAATGATGAGGGCCAGGCACTCAAAATGGCTAGGGACGTAGAGAAATTGGGTCTTGGTAAGTCCTTGCTTGGTTTGCCTTTGATCCTAGACTTATGCGAAGCACATGCTGGCCTTACACCAGTTAGTCCTGAGATTGAGTTTCTTTTGTTCCTATTATTCAAGTTGTACTACCGCCATAGAGAAATGTAAGCTGTAGTGTCCAGCAGCAGGAGCAGGAGCGCACCTGCACTGCTTCTCTGTAGAGCGCACTGTCCAATTCTGCATGCATGCTGCCTTTAAGGCGAGGTCTCGGCAAAGTTGCAGCTGGAGAGGTGTGGCAGCAGGATGGGCAAGTAGATCCCTCCTAGCGCTGGGCTACAAAGAAATCTCTTATGTGGAGGTGAAGCAGTGCCCCTTTCCTGAATAGGCTAAACATTCATGCACAGTGAAGGAGACGGTAGATGATGTCTGCAAGGCGGGGGGCCGAGGGCAGCTGGGAGGGGGGAGCAGGAGACTGGATTATCCATGAGAGGAGAAGATGGGTCGGCTGATGTTGCTGTTTGTCGTCATTGCTGCAAGCTCCCACCTGCAGAGACAATGGGCTAGAATTAAACACAGGTACAATCGAACACAGATCCTGAAGTTGAGGCTCCAATACTTTGGCCACCTCATGAGAAGAGAAGACCCCTGGAAAAGACCCTGATGCTGGGAAAGATTGAGGGCACAAGGAGAAGGGGACGACAGAGGACGAGATGGTTGGACAGTGTTCTCGAGGCTACCAGCATGAGTCTGACCAAACTGCGAGAGGCAGTGGAAGACAGGAGTACCTGGCGTGCTCTGGTCCATGGGGTCACGAAGAGTTGGACACGACTAAATGACTAAACAACAACAACAAAACAATCAAGATGTTTCAGCTACTAAACATGGCGGTTGGATGGTTCCTTGTACACCTCCTTCCAGCAACTCCTGCAGCCAAGCTGGTGCCAAATGTATTGCTCTGCTTTCCTTTGGACCACATCAGTGAGGCTGGGAGAGGGGGTCTTGTCTGGGGAGCCCAGGACCTCCATACACACTGCCCAGGCTTGCGCCCCAGGGAGGTCACTTTGGTGCTGCTAAGGCAGAGGTTTGACTTCACCACTCCATTGTCTTTCGAGACAGACAGATGCCATCAACAATGACAAACATGAAATGGGAAGACTGGGGGAAGAGAAATCAATGCCACAGTGTGTGCTTTATGTGCTGAAAGTCCTAGGTTTGAACCCTGCAATTAAAAAGATCAGGTAGCAGGTGATGGGAAATACTTCTAATGGAGACCTAGTACCAGTCAGACAATATTGGGTAGAGGGGGAAATAGTCTGCCCTGGTAAAAGGCTGTGTCTTGTGTAGTATAGAACAAGTGGTTTAGATATATTGAACATCCCTGCATGGGGATAGGTAACTTACCTGATGTCATGAGGGAGACAGGACTGGTCGAGGTTATACTGTATCACTGCCAGTTTACAGAGTGTTTTTAAGCTGGGACCTGAAGAAAAAGAAGCATACAGTATGATGATAAAACTGCCCTTCTTGGAAGCAGCCCATGAGAAGCATAAAAAGTAAGCCAAATTAGCTGCACTAGGCAGCTCCCTCAATGGGACAAGGAGACAGTACAGCTATTACAGCTACTTTGACCAGGCTTTTTAATGTAAAGAAAACACACCAGGAGATTCAACCTAGGGGAAGCAGTTACTAAAGGCAACATAAGGAGGAAATGTTCACATACTGAAGTCTAAGATGTACAGGTCCGAGTGATCCATCAGGTCAAATTCATCTCCCATGCCTTCCTCTGGGGATGGGCTGTGGAAAACAAAGAGAACCCCATCAATCACTGCAATTCACTTCAAATTAAGGCTGTGTTTCGGATTCTTCCAGAGTTCTGAACTATTCCACAGGGCCTCCCTGACTTCAGTGTTACCTAACAAAGTGCAGCTGCTGATAGCAAAGGCTCTCTTTAATAACCTCTGTGTTTACTGCTGGCCAAGCCAATGCTGTTTGTTTTCAGTTCCTACTCCCTTTACTGCCTTATGTCTAATGCTGCCATCTATTCCTTTAACCTTCAAGATTATTTCCTTTACCTCTGCCCTATCCTCTGCAATTCAAAAGGATTTTATCGTAGATGTGTCAGGATGGAAATAGTCTCTTTGCAACGAAATATTCCCTTCCCCACTTTGCTATTCCTGCATTAGCAATGAGACTGTGATATGTATTTATTTCAGTCTATGAAATTTATTTGAAACACGTATACCTTGCATTTCTACGTACCCTGGCAGGTTACAAAAATGAAAAACAACACTGGATTCTAACCATACAACTTCCTTGCAGTAGTTCCCCCCCTCTCTCTCCCGCCCCGTGCCTCTGCCCAATACATATAAACTCCCCACTCTGTGTTACTCTGCATCAGTGCTTCCTTAAATGTCCCTTGCACAAATTGCTAAGAGTCTTGGAGGACCTCTTAATGACTTTTCTGCCTTTTGTAGCCACTGTAATGCGCTGTGCCAGATGCTGTATGATTTTTAATAGTATTTTTACAGACACATTGCAGGCTTCCTTAATGTAGCTCACGAACTGCTCATTGTCTGCAGACCATAGCTTGGGAACCCCAACTCTACATTAGCTTTGCAATTCCCTCCCATCTTATATGAACTCCATTCAAAAACACACTAGACTCCCTCGGTTCTCCTCTCAGCATTGCCGTTCCAAATCCCATCATCAAGGCAACAGGTTTGCCTTAATCACTTTGCTTAGTACCAGGAACAATTGTGGCAGCAAATCTCTGCATACTGCGCGCTAAACCTCTATGTGGACACAAAGAAATACCCAAGATGAGCATGGAAATGTAGCAGATCTGTCAGCCGTGGTTTAAGAAAGGAGAAACCTGAGCATGTTAGAAAGGGGATACTTTGGGGCATGGGCTTGACCTGTTTGTACAAGCTTCTGCCCAGTTGCTTCATTTGCTCCAGCCTCTCTTCTTCCCTAGCAAACAAACAAGGCTCCTTGCTCTGCCCTCGCAACAGCCAGGGCAGGATGTTCCTGCGCCATCTGGAAATTTCATTATCGCAGAAGGTCACAGAGACCCCTAGCAGGCAGCCAGCTTGGGAGCAGTGGGGGAGGAATCAGATTTAGGTTGTGTATTTGATCACTCCACAACACCAGTGACGTCTGAGTTCTTCTCTAAAGTTGAAAGGATTCTTTCTTGCTAGAGGTGTGGGTTTTTTAACCCACCAAATCAACTCGAGTAACAGATACAGGGGTTGGCAGACTCTTAAACAGAATAACAGGCAAGCGACTGGGAGAGAAGCAGATTCCTTGCAAAAAATAAACAAATGTAAGTCAGTCTCTTTACTGCTGCCTTACACTAAGGGAGGCTCCAGACTGTCATTATTTTGTGGAAGGGATTCAAGTGCATCCTTGGAAAGTTAGGTTTGGACAATTAAAGCGGATTAAAGCACTCTGCTGCCTTAGTACAGCAAATTCATTTTTAAATAGAAATAATTTCGACAGTGACAAGGAAGTGCATTGAAAAGTGTGGAAAGAATGAGTGATTAATGGGGAGATGCGTGAAATGCCCCACAAGCAAATCAGGATGAATGCTCACTGTTGTATATCCAACACGTAAACTAAATCTAAATTCTCAATGAAGACTGAACATAATCTAGTCTCCATGTAAACCTTATGCAAGGAAATCTTTTGTAAACCACTTTGAGGTTGTTGTTTTTTTACAATCAAGCAGTGTATAAATGTTACTTGAAAAATCAATAAATCAATAAGGTTAATAAATTGGTGGAATGGAAGAGCCATAAAATCAGAGGACAGAAACAGTCAGAGTGGATTATAACTATGCTTCATCTGCCTATAGGTACATCATTGATATTACATAACTGTGTAAATGACTGCTTTGTGAAGACCGCACTCAAATCATGAATATTTGGAGATAAATAAGAGGTTTCATCTTTCTGCCTCATACAGCTACCATTTTATGCATTAATGGCCAATGCATTCTCCAAAAGCAGATTCTTATGTAGCTCATCTGGTACCATCTACAAACTAACGGGTGGTATCAGGAAGTGCAGAAATACCTAAACGTTGTTATTCCCGCGAAATGCCCTCCCATCAGATGTTAAGGAGATAAATAACTATACAACTTTTAGAAGGCAGCCTTGTTTTAGAAAGTTTTTAATGTCTGGTGTTTTACTATGTTTTTGTGTGCACTGGAAGCCACCCAGGGTGGCTGGGGAAACCAAGCCAGGTATGCGGGGTATAAATAATAAAATTACTACTACTACTTTTGAGAGAAAGAAAAACCTCTAAGAGGGAGCTCCTCCCCCAAATCAGCTAATAAGAACTGAGCATTTTCAGTGACCACAGGACACTGACTGTTGGGTGGAAAATATATATATATATATTTAAAAAATCGGTGGTGGTGGTAGGAAAGAGAATGGAATATCCTATAAGCTGGCACAGCTCGCTAGAATCCTGCACAGAAGAATTACTCACAGGAACATTTTGTTGAAGGTCCCACTTGTAGCTCTGAGTGTTCCTGCCATCTATTCACAATCTTCTCTTGAATCTCTGCTTCCAATCTAATGGCCTGGCATTTATTGATTAAAATACTTTTTCTGCCTGGCCCCAGTGAAATAACACAAATCCCTATCTCTTTATAGAGTTTTCTACATGCTTAATCACTTGGCTTCTCTGCTTCCCCTCAGCCTGTCAACTAAAAAAAAAAATGACTTAAGGTATGGAACCAAAATATGAAACCATTCTTAATCATCAGAATATCTGACCCTCTGCCATGGTTTTTCACACTTGGTCTTGAAGGGTTTGCTTTGGGACTTCCGGGGTGACGCCATCGGCAATGGCGGACTCCCTCTGAACTGGAGGGACTAGCTCCACGGGAAACGGGTCTTCTCCGCTACGGCGAAGCGGGGACCCTTTCAAAAATCACAGGCGGATGAAGCCTGTGACCATGGGACTCGGCGGGCACCTTTAGCGCCCCCCCCAACTCGCTAAGGAACCCACTAACGGGCTCCGAAGTGAAGAGGGGGAAGTGGCGCGGTGCTGTGAGTCAACTGCTATTTCCGTGGAGCGAAGCCGCATAGCCGTTGCCGGAGAGCGCTGCCTTTTCCTGGGACAATTTGGACTCTAAAATAAGCACCCGTGAGTACTTAGACTTTGAACAACTGGACATTAGATGGGGACTTGCGAGCAGAAAGGAATTGGATCTTAAAAATCTATTTCAATTTGGTACGGAACGGGAAGGTCTAAACAGGAAGTCAGCCTTCCGTTCTTCTGTAGACAGAATAAAGCAAAGACAACGTAAACTAGAGCTCAGAAAATCGCTTTTAAAGGATTGGATTTCATCATTTAAAATTGTGGAACCCCCCTTCGACAGCAGGAGAAGAAGGGGATCTTTTTGGACTGTTTAAAGTGAGTTTAAAGTAAAGCAACTTTCCTCCGTCCTGATCCTGGAGCGGGGTGTCAGGACTGACGTTTGAAGTTCATTGACCAGAGACAAACGTTTTTGACAGATAGCTAAAAGAAGAGAAACATAGTGATTCCACTGTTTCCCTTCGCATTTCAAAGGAACAAATATTGACAAAGTATCTCAAAAGGGAAACTTTGTTGCAAGATCAAATAGAAGTTTTCCCCCTAGAGGGAGACTGTGAAACTGTAACCAACTCCAGGGAGCCGGCAGCTGTTTACAGATTACAACCGTGGGAATAGGCATTTGACCTTGCAGGACAATGTATTCAGAAGCTTTGTTGTGTGCTTTCTACAAAACAAATGCCCTACTGGAACAGTTACATGAGAAGGTGAATTTGATGACGACTTCGACTAGAAATTTTGAACAGGCAGTGGGAAATTTTGAACAGACAGTGGGAAAATATGTGGAGCCCACCCAGGAATTAAATCAGGAGTGTGTCCTGACAGAACAGGCCCAACAGGAATATGAGTTTTCGGATTTGACAAATGAACTTGGAAAAAGCCAGATTTGGAAAGAAAAAGTTTGGTTTGGCTTGGAAATGGGGGGCTGGATTGACCCCCCTATGCTGGGATGTTTGGACTTTTCAAATCTGACAATGGGCCGTGAGATGTTTGGGATTGTGGGGGCTCTTAATTTTGGAGGGTCTTTGAAACATGCTTCTAAATACCATATGGAATTCAGTGCTGAATATGGAAAAGGGGCTGATCTGTCAAGAAGGGTTAAAAATATTGCCAAGCTGGAGTTACCACGAGCAGGAGACAAGGGAAAATACAGTTACAAATATGAAGAAGAGCTGCGAAAGGGACATGGAAGAGACTTGAGGGCCTCGGATATAAGGTTGCCAGGTTAATGGGCCAGATCGATGGGATAATAAGGACTGACAAAACCCGGAACCAGGAGGAAGGGACGTTGGATGAAGATTGGATCTGTTTGTATTTCTTTTTCTACCATTAGAACTGTTTTATAAAATTGATGAATGTCAGAAAAATGTTGGAATGAAATTACTCGGCTTTAGTAAAGATGTTTAAAGAATTATGAAAGAATATTATGGTTATGAGAAGTTGGTAAGGATAAGATTTAAGTTTTAAGCTTTAAGGTTTATTTTCTTATAGAAAGATAAGATTAAAACTGTTTAGGGTAATGTAATGACAGAATATTATGAAATATGGAAAGGATTTGCTGGGATAATTAATAACTAGGATACAAAGAAAGGGAGGAGGAGGAGGTCAAAGAAAGAAGGTAATGACAGTTGAGGATTCGAGAATAATGAATTTGTTTTTAAATGTTCTTAAATTGTATTTTTGTTTTTTTTCTGTCTTTTTTCTTATTTTTGAATTTGTATTCATATGGTTGGAAGGGGTTTGTTTTTTTTTCTTTTTCTACTTTGTTAACTATTTTTATTTTGTATTTTCTTCTGCTTTTATTTTATGTTGTAACACTTTGAAAATTTCAATAAATATTTTATAAAAAAAATATGAAGGGTTTGCTTTGGCAAAATGACAGCACACTGAGAACAGTGGCATAAACTTGGCTTTCCCCAAATACGTAACAGCCTTCTCAAGTAATTGCTAGATTAGAGTCCTGTAAAGGATGTAATTGTAAAGTTCCTTAGTATTACATTTTACAGTGGTACCTCGGGTTACATACGCTTCAGGTTACATACACTTCAGGTTACAGACTCCGCTAACCCAGAAATAGTGCTTCAGGTTAAGAACTTTGCTTCAGGATGAGAACAGAACTCGTGTTCTGGCGGCGTGGCAGCAGCAGGAGGTCCCATTAGCTAAAGTGGTGCTTCAGGTTAAGAACAGTTTCAGGTTTAGTACGGACCTCCGGAACAAATTAAGTACTTAACCCGAGGTACCACTGTACTGACTATGCAATTACATTAAATTTCATCTACTTTTGAATTTTTCATTCATCATGTTAGTGCCAATATTTCCTTTTAGTTATGGGTTGCAGATGCCTGTTGTCTTAGTATCTACAGCCAGGATGGCCAACTAGCAGCGATTGGTCTCCTGAAGCAATTTTATCAAATTCAAATCAAGTTGTGGTGAAAAGCAGCAGCATTCTGCATTTTCATTCACAAACAAAATAAATATTTTCAACTTGTGTATATGTGGGTGAGAGGAAGCAAGTGTCTTCACACTTCAGTGCCACATCTCTCTTTGGATTTTTAGAAATGGATATGCCTGAGCATGCATGTGCCCCAACTCATAGAGCACTTACTTCCAATTCCTTTTTATTTTATATATTTAAAATATTTTTAGCCTACATCTCCTTTGTGCTCAGAATGATTAAAAACATTAGTACACTCAACGTTGTGCAGTAAAATATACTTCTAGCCTTTGTACCTCTATGTCTACTATATATTTTGGAAAGTGGTTCATCTGTCCGTCTGTTTTCTATGGATTTGGACACCTCTGAAGACATCATTGCCAAACAGTTTCTAAGATGGAGGAACCAGTTTTTGTCTACATTTGGATAGATACCATCAGACATCACTTTGAACCAAGATGGTGGACCAAACCATTCCAAACTGCACTGATTTGGACACTTCTTTTTTTTAAAAAAAATGTATTTTCATTAAAGATTTTCTTGATTTACAAAAGTATGTGCAATGTCTCTCTCACGTCCCCCCCATGTAACGTTTTTACAACATTTCATATGGGTAACCTAATCCAAAACACCCACCCACCCCACTCACACATGAAAACAAAGACCACCACAGCCAACCACAAATGAACAACCACACCCTAGGCCAACCCCAACCTCTCTCACCACCAAAGGAACACAAGTGAACAGCAAAGAACCTGCACAAGCAACACTGACACCAAACCTTACATATATTAAGTAAAATAGAAACATCGTCACCCGACACCCCCATCCTCCCCCCCCCACCTCTTTCTCCCTTTTCTTCCTAATATCTCAACAAATGAAACTGATTTGTAAAGATGATTTGGACACTTCTGAAGATATTGTCACCCAATTTGGCATGAAAGTTTCCGAGACTGAGGAGCATGTTTTGGTCTATGTTTGGAAACTGTCAAATACCATTTTGAATTAAGATGCTGAACCAACCTGTTCCAAACTGCTGCAGGGGGACCTTTTGCCTGCATGCTACTCAAAGGGAACATGCTGAGGAAGCAAACATCAGGGGCAAGTGTGAGACTGAGGACCCAAGGACAGAAGAGGAGACCTAACCCCAGGACGAGTGGGGGGGGCGGGGAGAAGAGGAGAGAAGAACCAGCAACCAACAATGTGTTGGGCCAAGACCAGGGGTCAGTTGGTAGTTCACCATTGGTTATTGCACCCATGAAGATGGGAGTTGGTTGATGCAGGAATCAGTTTGTAGGGGGTGGCGGTGAGTGAGGTGGGTCCAGCTCAGACAACTGCTTCTCATAAAGCAGTGCTGGTGGAAGCAGCAGCGATAGCAGCTGGATAAGTGCCAGCCGTTGAGTGGTAGGAGGTGGCGTTGTTGTCAGTGGCAGGAAGAATGGCTAGGGCATGAACGACACTGAGGGGCAATGACACAGAGGAGTGGGCAAGCAGGCCTGGCATGGCAGCTGAGCATGTGCAGCAGCAGTGCAGGTGCGACCATGTCAAGGGTGAAATCCTGCTGGCTGAAGGGGTCTGCTCCACCAACTTGTTCCCCATGAGGAACAGTACTCAACAGGACTGAACCCTCTGGCCAGTTTGGATGGTATGGGGGAGGGGGCTGGAGATCAGGGACCTGTGCACAGCCCTAGAAACTACCACATTATATTCTATTATCAATTTATAAATTGGTTCCTTAGAATTCCTGAGCAACGCTGGTTATTTTCCACCAGTAGTGAATAAGAACAGAAAATATGGCTATCCTTGACCTATTGTTTCTATAGAATCATTCAATTCAACACTGGGTCTAGCACAGAGCCTTGAGTATGTCACTGGTGGATTTTAACAAGATAAACAGCATGCTATTCATTTTTACTCTTTAGTTCCCTTTCTTCCTGACAGCTTTTAAATATAAAACAACACTCTGGTGTCCAATCCATTACTACCTTGGCTTCTTCAGCAACCAGCAGATATTTTAGTTCCTATTTATATAGTGCTTAATAGATATATTCAAGTAAATTCAATAAAGCTAGGACAGAGGATTCATGTTTTATGTTCTTCGGGACCCACAGGAATCATTCTTAAAAGAACAAGGTCCTGTTACCTGCCCATCAAAAAACTATTAGCTAAATCAAGGAAGAGTACAATGAAGGAGCAGTGTGTGTGTGTGTGTGTGTGTGTGTGTGTGTGTGTATCTGAGGAATGCAAATCAAAGTCACAGAAATATGATCAAGAAGGCTACCAGTTCAATGCCAGAGTAAGGGTCTCATGCTGGCTTAAGATACACAAAGCCAGGAAATGAGAAGATAATGCTGATGCTGTAACAGACATGCTCTGTCATCAGTAATGATGTTGCGCGATGTCTCAAACTGCGCTTCCCTATAACTTGCCCTCCATGTACCCACACTTGGTCCTAGTCTTTCAGGTCCAAATCCAGGTGGGGGAAATGAAGTGTCTGGGACCAGTAAAGATGCTCCACATTGTCCTGGTCCTGTATTGCTTTATGAAGTGTCTGGACCTTGTTGTATTTCTAGAATAATCCTCCTCTGAGTTGCTCCATGCCTGTTGTTTAACTGCATGAGGAGGACATGGAGCCCTCTTCTAGTGCCCTTCATCATCCTTACACTGGCTAACCTCAAAGGAGGTCTTTGTGCAGCAGTATAGCAAGACTGAATGACCTGGGAGTTGAAATACCTTATTCTGGATTTGGAACTGCAACATGATGACAGAGATAAAAATACTCATTCAGAACCTTTTTGAGATTTTCTCCAGCAGGCTTGCCACAAGACATCTGGGACTGCTTTGGAACCCGAGATGCTAGGTGGGGATAAAACAGGCTGGGTGGTATGGTGCTGCAGTTGAAAAACAAGTGGTAAGTAGAAGGACTAAGCAGCCTCTTCCAGCACACCACTTATTTTCTTCAAATTGTACCTTCCCAACAATGTTATTAACAAACAAGGATGGGAGAACTCAAAGGAAATCTTTAAGGTCCTACTAGACTGTCCCCCACCCCCATTAACTTCAATACCAATAGGCTCCTGGTAGAATGCAAAAAAAAATAAATAAATGAAAAAACACTGAAGAGAGATGAAACACCACAGGACGACATAATTCTTGAGGATGCAGTATGAAGTTGGTTCAGGTTTTGCACAAATATTTCAAACACCACCTAGGGTCCACACAGCCGTTCCATTACCACAGGAGGGTTAAGACAGATGCATAACAACATGTTATACTTTAAAATCAAATCTAATTAAGCTACAATTTCATCCACAAGCTAACAATTTTAGGTCTCAGATTAGAGACATGTGTCAATGGGATATTCTCACTTTTCTGCCAGAAAATGGAAGAACAGTTGGCACTATTAATTTTTGTCCTGACAAAAGCGCACATAAGGGCAAAGATATTCTTCCAATAGCTTCAACCTTAGCAGGGACAGCACCTGTTGTAGAGCAGCACTGTCTATCTGAGCTCATGATAAAGCTCTTTCAAGCACCACAGCTCTGCAGTTTCCCAGCCAGGATAATCTAACCTTAGTTCACATCCACGTCAGGAAACCCTAATGCACTCCTTATCTTTGTGAGGGAGAAAAAAGCAGTGTCTACTGCATTACAGACAAGTCTTAAGGGCTAAAAGACGTCAGAGTTCAAGGCCAAAATGATTATAGAAGAATAAGGCCAGACATGGGGGTGAATGGCTCCCATGAAGGGATAACCTGGGGCACCTACTACTCTGTTATCAGCCAGGCTCTGGGGCCAGTCAAGCTGGTGGGTCAGCTTGACAGTTTCACACTGGATGATCTGAGCATCGGTTTGTGCTCCCTTAACAACTTTCTATACACTTTACTCTGCTGAACTTAGGTAGGAAGAGTATCAGCAACAAGAGACAATAACATCTCTCACAGAACTCCCTAGACAGTAAATGCAAGGCCAATAAATTAATTTGAATTCAAATCAAATTAATTTGTCAGCCACCACTGCATATCCTACACACAAAAAGTACATGCAACACTCCCAGGCCTCTAGAAATTTTGAAACGGAGAGCTTAAGAGCATCCAATCACATTCAGAATTCCTTCGGGAAGGATCAAATAAGCAGTAATACAGTTCTTCTAGCAACCTCCATCCATCAACACTATGCTGTACATTTGCAATACAAGTGCCTTTTGCTGAAGTCCTACCAAGCGCTGTTTAGTATTACATATGGTACAGAACAAATGAAATGGGGAACTTCAGTCCCAAGATATTGCACATAGTAATCTCACTGTTTAGGGAGTAAATGCTTATGATGCGGTACCTATTTATCTACTTCCACTGGCATGCTTTCAAACTGCTAGGTTGGGGAAAGCTGGGACAGAGCAACGGGAGCTCACTCCATTGCAGGGTTTTGAACCGCCGACTTTCTGACTGGCAAAGCCCAAGAAGCTCAGTAGATTAGACTCGTGTCTTTTTTAAAAAACAAAACAAAACTTTTTTTGCTTATGTTGTTAGCTCATGTTTGGTTAATTTTATCAAAATTACCCTGACCCTATTCTATTTTGTTAGTGTGAAGCTGTGGACTCTCTTCTTCTTTGGGCAAGAGGAGCTGCAGAGGGCCAGCTCCTCCAGGAGAGGATCTATTTTAAGAGTTGATTAGCTAAACATTCAACATCCAGCTATGAAGTTTGTATATATGTCTGAATCAACGTACACATCTGCTAACATGTTTGTGTTTGGTCACTGTAATTATTTTTACACTTAAGCTTTACAATCTGTGTTTCCTGCCTTTCCATTTCCCTCTTATCTTACTGCTAACATATTTTTCTCTCTCTCTCTCTTTCCACCCATGTGTATGGCCATATATCCCTGCCAACTCAAGACAGCATTCCATGCACCAGACAAAGTGGACTCTGGTCCACAAAAGCTTGTGCCCTAATAAATTTGCTAGTCTTTAAGATGCCACAAGACTCTCTGTTGTTTTTGCTGAACAAACTAAAATAACTACCCCTCAGGAAATGGGATAGATATTTATTTAACAGAGCCTGCAGCAGATCTGAGGACACTGATTTGTGGTCTGCAGATAAACTGTTGAGATCTCCTCACTATATGCTATACCAACAGAAAACACCACAGAAACATCTGAAAATGGAAAAGTAATTTCTCACCACAGAACTGAAGATGAGATGAGAGCAGAACAATTTCCAACTGTGTACATTTATCCCACTATTATCTCCAGTAAGTGGCTTTTGTACTGCTTATGCAAAACACTTCTGACCAGAAAGAACAGCAGAACAGAAGAAATGTGTGGGTACAGTGTGGCAAACTTATCACTCTCACCTCTTTTAAAAGCTTATGTCTATCTTCAGCGGAAGACTGCAAACTAAATGTGAAATACAGGCTATGCAAAAAGCAGGGAGGCAAGGGCTCCTGTGGGTCTGAATAACAGACAGATAAGGTTTAGCTCTCCCTATTTGATGCCTCCTGTTCCATTTTTCCAATGGATCCAGAGATTTGCTGGCTGTTATTTTTCCACTTATGTTCTCTCTAATCCTTGCCCTGTTCTGAAATTTTATCTCTTCTCTCCCCCCACCCCCACTTCCTGGTGACCTGTCACCTTCAGGACAATACAAGATGCAGGAACCTCTTCATTTACAACAACTTCCTGGAAAAACGTCTTATCAAGCCAGCCAGCTCCAGAGCATACCTGATAGCTACTCAGAGGAAGTGAACCAAGCTCCCTCTCCACCCCAACCCCCCTCTCTGGCCTTCTTATCCTCTCCCAACACTATAAACAGTGTCTTATCAAACCAGCAAAAGATGTGGGAAACTGTAACGTGCAATAAAAGTTGTCCATCCCCCGTCCCTCCAAATCCGGACACAAAATAGGCACTTCAAATGCACTTTTATTGTGACACTCCAACAGTGAAGAATGAAGGTGGGAAAACCACACTGAAGAACCTATTGGAACTGTTATTTCATTGCTTTAATATGCTCATAGTAACATGTTACCTTTTCACTTAAAATGATAAAAATCTAGCAACATAATTTTGAGAAAAAGTGATTTTTCTAACGTTTTGAAATGGTACATACTATTATGATAGACAATAACACTCATTGTTTAAAAAAATTGGACCATTCTCTTTATTTAGATCTAAAGGTATTATACTTAATGTAAAATATGTATATGCAGGGTACGCATATCCTTCTCTTTTCTGCAGACCCAAATTTATAATAATAAAAAGTAGCGCTATCATTATTTTGTTCAGTAGTGTAAAAGAAATGCTGGAAGTTCCCCACATCTTTCCGATATCAAAAGTGACTTCTGTACTATCCTTAGTTCCCCTAGCTCACAGGCAGGGTGTAAGGAAGAAGCATGTGAAGACAAGTAAAACATTTTTAGATCAAATGACCTAATTAATTATCATTATTAAACATATTTACAGGCAGTCTTGTAGGGTTAGAAACCCTCCCAAGGTAGGTTGCAACAATCAATATACAATATAATTAGCAGTAAGATTCAAGAATAATAAAACTGTAATACACAAAGCTAGGAACAGACAATAATAATAATAATTTTATTATTTATACCCCGCCCATCTGGCTGGGCTTCCCCAGCCACTTTGGGCGGCTTCCAAAAATATTAAAATAACGTAATACATCAAACATTAAAAGCTTCCCTAAAAACAAGGACCAGCAATAACACTAAAAACATACCCTCCCTGGTAAATAAATAACGATAATTTTAACAAATTTTAGAATCCAAGAAATAGTCAAGGTACGAAGGGGGGGGGGCATAATCCAGCCCCACTGGCAAGCATTCCACAAGTGAGGCCACTGCCAAAAAACCGTTCTCTTTCCTTCCTTCCTTCATTTGTTAGACACTTTATTTTGCCCAGGGCAACCCAAAGCAACTTAAAACCAAGCTTCCCTGAGTCTACCAAACTCAGAATACTGGATCAAGCCAAAGGCCTGTTTAGGCAACTTGTACTCACAGTGGTCAACGAGATACCTATGGGAAGCCTGCAAGCAGGACCTGAGTGCAACAGAACACGCCCCACTTCTGTTTGCCAGCAACCAATGTACAAAAGCATGCTCCTTCCATCCATGCAGGTAGAACTTAATTATCACGGTTAGTCGCACTGATAGCCCTATTTTCCATGACTCTGACTAATTCTTTTTTAAAGCCATCTAAGCTGGTGTTCATCACTATCTACTGGAAGCAAATTCCATAGTTGTTATGTGCTGTGTGAAGAAGTACTTTGTCTGTCCTGAGTTTTCCAACGCTTCACTGTGTGGCCCTGTGTTCTAGTATCCATAATGGAAATAGGTGTGCAAGCAGGGCTTCGGATGATGATCAGTGTGTAGGCTGAGATATGTGAAGGTAGTCCTGCAAGTAACTTCATTCCAAACCATTTACGAGGAACTAGACTGAAGAATCTGAAACCCAGAAGTGAAATACAGCCCCACCAGGCCTCCGTGTCTGATCCTTGGGACTTTCTTGGGCCATGCCTCCTCCCCAGCCCTGCTCAGCTTCCTCCTCAAGTCCTTTGTGCCTTGCTGGAATGTGTGCTTCGGTTCTGAAAATACCACTTGCTTGCCTGGATGGGGAGAGGTGTATGTGGGTGCAGAAATTAACTTTTGTGGGGCTGGAGTGTAGCCTACTGTGCAAAGCTAAGTGTCACATTCATTGCCACATCCAATTTTGCCTTTGGCCATGCCCACTACTGGCATACGCCCACCAAATGTTGCCTATGAGGGGATGCAGCCCTCAGACTTTAAATTGGGCTTGAAATGGCATTGGTAACCACTGCATCAGCACAGGATCCGATTGCCTAGCCTCAACATCCAGCTGGCTGCGTTTCGTACAAGATGAAGTTTCCAAATCATTAAAGGCAGCCCCACATGGAGGGGCTACTCCAGACATCTGATTAATATTGTGCTACACTAGAGTTCACTCTCAGTGAGCGACTGACTGTGTCAGGCATGGCTAACATATGGCCTTCGAAATGTTGCTGAACTACAACTCCCATTATGTCTCACTACTGGCCATGCTGGTTCCGGCAGGTGGGAGCTGGGAGTCCCAACAACATCTGACATTCCACAAGTTATCCACCTCTGCTGCAGGGCAAGACAATTTATGGATGTTATCAGAGACTGACACAACTTGACTGGATGGTTTGTGACACAGATGACACTTTGATTGGAAGTGTGCATCTCTGTGTGACAGAGGGAGAGCGAGCAAGAAAGATAGATATGGTGCAATAGCTGGGAGATTGTGCTTCAGGGGGAGGTGTTTGACTTTATGACCTTCTGGTTCTTCCCAATCTCATGAGTTAATGGGGCTGTCTAAATAACATATCAGATAAGTCTTACTGGATCAGATCAATAGCTCAGTCCATCATCTGAGATATCCTGCCTTCAAGAACGGAAAGTATAGTTTGCTATACGGGAAGGAAACCACCAGCCCAAGGCAATGATATGGAAAATTGGTTTGTCATTGTTGGTCTCAAGTTTCTGATATTCTCAATTTTGATGTACATCTTCAACCTGGTGATGCCTAACAAAGTGGATATTCCTGGCCTCTGAAGCTTTTACCCTTACGAATCCAGTCAGGCTACTGAGCCCTGTCATAACAACATTAATGAGATGCTTATGAAAAAAATAGGTTATGTTATTATTGACACTCACTGCAAAGGAAGTTTAAATTATATTTACAGCCTCTTACATGGGAGGCTGGCAGAGTCTTCTCATGCAAAAATCTGATCATATAAACACTTCTGTAGTGGTAGAAGTATTGCAGCTTCAGATACTCCCAAACCATTCATCAAACACTTGTCTGAGCCTCTTGCTCTGCTCTTCTTTTTCTTTAAGACAGACCAATAGGTGAGACAGTATTTTGTCCTGAAATTATGTCTGTTGGCGGTTAAATCTGTTTAGGGGTTTCTTGAGAACACTCATTTTAGTTTTAGGAGCACCCTAATCTCATCTTGCCTGTCTTTAAACATTGCAAGTTTATTAGTATAGAAGGAGTCACAGTGGAAAGAGCTTAGTAGGTTGTGCTTTGAAACTTTCCAAGTAAAACAGGTGAGAAAATAAATTAATTTCTAATAAACATTTACTTTGTCTATATTTATAGATTTGTATACTTAACATATGGTTACCATCAAGAAAAAGCTCAGATGCCAAAAGTTCTGCTGCACTCGTGTACTTCCTGGCTCATAGCAGCTGGTAAGTATCTAGATCACTTCTAGCCAACTTGTATCTTGCTGAGGTCACTGCCAATGTTTGACAACTCAACCCCCAACTCCAGCATCTTTCCTAGTTAGTAGACCCTTTAGCTAAATTCAGCTTTGAAGACAGAGGTAATTCTATCACTCATTTAGCATTCACTGCCACAGACAAGTCCTAAGTTGCTTCCTGGTTTTACATGCCTTTCTGCATTGTTTATGGTGCCCCAAATGTACATTTGTTTCCTCATCTGCAAAGCACTGCCCACACCCCTTTGCCTTCCAAGCAGCAGTATTTTGTTACTGAGAAAAATGTAATTTTCTTGTAGAGAATTGAACACATTATCAGCCAACTGTGTGAATGTCAGAAATTGGCTGTTGTTGGTGATGTGAAGAGCAATGAGTGGTGCTGTACAAGGAAACTGCTGCTAAGATGCATGAGATTTCCCTCCCTGTCTTGCCTCCCCTGTACAATGATTCCATCAGGGCACAACCATTGAACAAAAGTCCAGGGCACCAGACAAAACTGGCAGGTGGGCTCCCAAACACACAGGAGGGGAGTTACCACATTCTGAAGTGTACTACACCATTCCAGCTTATTAGGGCCCCCACTGCATGGCCCTTAAGTCCAGAGTCCAAAATTACCTAATTGTGCTACTGCCCCTGCATGAAACCCAAAGTGGGATCAACACCCCCCTCCCCCAAAAAATCAGCAGACATCCGCAGCATAACCCACTGAGATCTCTCTGATTAGGTTCAATTGATAGGCATAAGGGCAGGGAAGTAAAAGTTGAATGGGGAAAATAGGGAAGGGGCACACAAAACCTTTTGGCATCATCACAAAGCAACAATGGACTCACAGGAGCAGTTAATTAAGAGATTACAACAATAAAAATGACATTTTAAGGAGCTGGTTGTCACTGTCAGGGGAAAGCAAATACATTTTGTTCTCTTGAATTTGCAGTTAATGCATGTGTTACTTTAAACCACACAAAGCCACTGTTTTGTCAAGCAATCTAGCCAGCACTTGTTTGCAAGCTTCTATGTCTAAGTTAACTCTGCCACAAAGCTTAAGCCATTTTGTTTGCTGTTCTCTCCAGACAATATGTCTGTGGTTTTTCTCTCTCATCACTATTCAGCCTGTAAAGAGCTCTTGCATGCATAAAGCCTTTGAACTCCAGAAACTGCAAAGTCATTATAGCAATCTAATTCACCCAAGTTGCAAAGTCTGCTAATAGTCACTATTCTTGCTAAATGTTGCTGCATTTTTCTGAAGCAAGGACTAACATGGAACTCCAGGAAATGGGAGGAGATATCCTTTTTGGTTCTTTATGACATTATGATCCCCCCCGCTTGCTTTTGTGAAACTGAACATGATCCATGGAAAAAGGAGGAAAACTAAGTCTCAAACAATAACAGCATAATTTTCATATTTTACGGTATGTTTAATGTACAGTTTTTTAAAAACCTTCCTTGTCTCATGAATTTTTGTTACAAATTAGGGCATTAAATAATTCTATGTTGCAGATGGGGAACCAAATATAAGACAGCGTGACTTGTATGAGATTACTCAGACTGCTAGGGCTGACTACTCAGACTGCTAAGGTGTAATTTGAACTTTTATTCACCAAGTCCATTACTCTCTGCACTGAACTTAATGGATCACAATGCTAGATACAATATAAAATTTTAAACCACATCATGCAACCTACAAATTGGGTGAAAATTCTACAAGAGTTCATAACTACTGTACTCTCCAATTGGGAAAGGAGGAACTGAGAAGCAAAATAAAAAATATAAAAAATCACAAAATAGCAGTAGGCAGCTTCGGAATAGCAGAAGGAAACTCTGGCCTGCATACCGAGTTAGGCCTACTAGGCCTCTGATTTTGGCCTGCAAAGCCATTCTGGGCAAACCACACACCCTTGCCAGTCACCTGACATATGGCATCGGGCACATAGATCTGCTATCTCTGATCAAAACATTAAGTGTTAAGATTGGAGACAAGTGATCTCTTATATTCAGTGTTAGTGCTAAGTACCAAAGCGCTAAAACTGGAAATAAGCTTATCTCCAATTTTAGCACTGTGGTGCTTAGCACTATTACCAGAGATTTAAAAAAAAAAATTTTTAAATAGAAGTGAGCATTTCTCTTATCTCCAATCTTACAGCATTGGATTTTGGACTACAACTCCCAGTCTTTATGACCAATGGTCAGGGATGATGTAAGTTGGCTTAAGAAATTGGCCTACAGGAGAGACTCGAGGGCTCAGAAGCAATCTCGTACACTAGAAATAGACTGAACAGAGCCTGTGGAATGATCAATGGTGTGATTGTGGTAAGGCTTGCTTTTGGTTCTTTGTCACTGCTTAAGAACTGAACAGTGAATTTTCAAATCCAAAGTCAAGACACCAAGAAAGCCAATCTAATATACCACTCACCTTGTGCCTCCAAAGAGGATGATCTTGTCCCCTACTCTACAACAGCACTGCCTGCGGCGAGGACATGGCCCTTTCCCTTTAGGATCAATTTTCTTCCAGGTAAAAGAAACTGGAGAAAACACATACACCATGAAAGCTGAATATTTCAAGCAATCCTGGTAAAGACAAGCCACATGAACAAGCTCTAGTTCTAAGAAGTTTACAAATTTAACACATAGAAACAAACCTGCTTTTCAGCAGAAATACTTGAGGTTTTTTGCTTGCAAGTGAAAAAGATGCTCAGGTTTCAAATATCACAGTCTTTTCTTCATGAAAAATGTTTGTTTGCACTCTTGATATTTTATTACCAATGGGGCAGGGATCTTCTGGTTAAACAGAAAAACCCTGGGACAGCTCCCTGAAATGCCTGCTAAGGCTATATATTCCTTCTCACCAATAATCACAAACATGAAATGTATGCAAAGCTGTATGTTTCATTGTACAAGCTGAACATTTCCAGCAGTTAACGAGGAGGATACAGATTTCATACCTTCAAGTCACCCAGGACTGTGTGAAGCAAGAAAATGCTACATTACACCACAACTCCTTAAATAAAGGGAACTCTTCCAAATTCTCTTGGAAGACTAAGGATATTATAGTTCAAAGCATTCAGCTGTTCCGGTTTGCACTTCACTTAAAAATACCCCGGATATTTATTGCATAAGGACCCTTGAAAAAGCAATTGCTTTAGAGGGCAAATGAGAAGAAGGTGACAACCGTAGAACTCAGAATTAAGAAACCACGCAGCATCTTCTGAAAACATTCTGCAGATTGAACTATGCATTAACTTTCTTTTTGAAGAGTGCATGTGGGTGCACTGCCATCTATTGGTTAACTGCATGAAGTACAGAAGACATAACCACTGAGACATCCCCACAGAGATGCCTGCTACCCTCTCTCCTTTATAGAGAGTGGAGATTGGCAGGTTAGTTGTATGAATATAATAAAGGCAGGACGTAGTTATTCTCTGGAGCATACACTGACAAACCTCCTCCATGAGCATCATACTAAGGTGTGGTGAGATAACTGGAACTGTGTGGCAGTAAACTGAGGACATACATAAGCATCACTTCACATCAGTTAAGGTGGGGCCTTGCAATCCCCAGGCTGGTGTCTGGATGCATGAGTGGGCAGGCTGAGACCCAATAGGCTGAAGCTAAATACTAATACTCCTGTGCACAAGTGATTCCCAGGAACTAGAGCGCATACCTGTTTTGGATGGGGTTGCAATCCTTCTGAGGGAACAGGTACATATTCTGGGAGTTCTCCTTGATCCATCTTTGTTGTCACTGGAGGCAAAAATGACCTCAGTGGCTAGGAGTGCCTTTTGCTATCCTTGACTGTTCCTGGACTAGGATAGCCTTGCCTAAACAATTTTGGATCAGGTTTTCTGAAAGAATGCCTTCTCCCACACAGGCCTGCCCATTCTTGAAAATATTCAGAGGCGGCCATATTCATTTCATGGCAGCTTTGAGGAGGGCCCCTGCTCTGTAGAATGAGCTCCCTACTCATGTAGTATACACCTACTACAGTGAACTTCCACCCGCTGTTAAAACACATCCACTTGCTCAAGCTTTCTCCAGCCTCTGCCATCAGCTGAACAATTCCTAGGTACTGTAACTGCCATGTTCTTTTTACTGGATAATTTTTATTGTATATTGAATTATTTAATTGTATGCTGCCTTGTTATTAGTGTAATGAGACACAGTAAATAAATATTTTAAACCAATGGCATACCTACATATAATTAATGTAAGGAATTCACTTCCACAAGCTGCAGTGATCAGACAATGGATGTGTTCCAGCCAGCCATGCCTTCTTCCAAGGTACTCCCATCCTACAGCCCCTAGTTTTTCATGCTCAGTCCTCACTGAGTTGGTGGGTGTTTTTTCCTCCTCTTAGTCCGTCCCCCCCCCCGCCTGCCAATTTCCCCCTACTTCTACAGACCCTGTGTTTCCTTGGGCCTGCCGCTTACTTACTGGCTGAGCCCACAGCAATAACATTCAATCAATCCATCCAAGCTGAGCAGGGGTAGTGGCAGCACCCTTAGCTTGGAGCTTACAGGTCAACTGCGGCATGGTAAAAGCCAAAGTGAAGGTGGCAGACAGGGGCTGAAACAGCTAGCGGGAACAATCTGAAGTGGTCTCAGCTGCTTTTCAGAAAAGAGAATTTGTGGGCTCTTTGGATGTATGTGCAGAATACAAGGGTAATTTAAAATTCTTTTCTCATTCATTTTTAAACTCGGCCCTCTGAGATTGAAAAGCAATCTTATGAACTAAAGCAGAGCTTAGCGAGTCTCTGGCTAAGCAGGGATTTGAAGCTAGATCTGCTAGGACTATCCAGTACTTTAGTCTGTAAAATCTCACTGAAGGGTTGACATTCTTTCTAGTGCTGAAGAAAAGGGTGCCCAAGAGGTTTCTGCACCATTATGGAGGCCTCTGCTATATCCTGCCCTTTCACACTGAGAGGTGGCACAGCAAACATGACCATGCACAGGAAGGTGCTGGTGGTCATGGCGATGTGTGCACATGTGCATGTGTGTGTCCCAGTTCCTAAGAAGCCTGGCCAGGGAGCATCAGCCCACTAGCGAAAAGCAGCTGGCCATAAAACATCATCTTGAAGAAGCTACACTCTTCTGAATCTCTTATTTGAGAACTCATTAGCAGTGAGTCATATCAGTACCACACAGCCACATTACCAACGGAGAGATGCAAATAAAAGGGTGGAGGGTTTGAAGCTCCTAATGGATATACTCATTCATCAAAGGCATGATCCAAAAGTCTACTGTGCAGTACTGCACGGTCAACCCCTGGCCTCCACAACCCTGAACAGGTACTGGTATTGCTGTTACTGTTGGCAGAGACAGCAACAGTTCATAGACAAAAGCTGCAGGGTCAGGGAGACTCACTCCAGGCTCAGATTAAGGAACCAGTATTTGTTGCATTACCTGGGTCCTATGTGGTGCCCCTGACATATGCCTGGAGCTTTATGGAGTGTGGCTGTTTAGCTTTCCCTTCCCCGTGAGTACAATGTTGCCATTAGTGCATTGAGCTCCAAATCAATATAGCAACTACCACTTCAGCTAATACTGTTAACTGGGCCCAAGACCTCACCACTCCTTACTGATGGAATCTCTATGTGTTTGTGAACACATGCTACATGCATCTGTTGAACATATACATCCTACAAAACATATGGGAGCATCTGGGGCATGGAGGAAATGTGATTAATGCATAGCTGTAGCCCTGATCACAGCAGAGATTCTTGGAGGTTCCTGTAATACCAGTAATAAGAAGGAATGTCAATTAAAAATACCTGGATCAAATTTCCAGAGATCGTGAAAGTGTCTGTTCAGACGTGCATTGTAGCCACCAAATATATACAACTCTCCATTGTAGCCAACTGTAGGGAATAGAGAAATTACATGTCAGGACACCTAAAACGAAGCTCAGTTTCATATCAGTTACAACTGAGAAGTTTTTGTGCTATTCCCCTATGAACACCAGTTGTTAGGAATCACAAGTGGGGAGAATGCTGTTGCACTCAAGTTCTGTTTATGATTTTCCCATAAGCAATCTGGGTGGTCAGTATAGGAACAGGATGCTGGACAAGATGGGCCTTTGGTCTGATCCACCAGGACTCATGTGTTATTGCATGCCACATTCAGAGCTAAGGTTGTCCATTTACATTAGATTAAAAATAATTTCATATTGGAGGAAGGAGGGAGGTAAGCAACTGACTCAAAATTCTTGTCCTCTGTTTTTCCATCTTGTCCAAAATTGATAATGGGCACCTCTCCCAATGGGAGATGCACAAGACTGATTTATGTGCTGATTCCCTGTTCATTGTTGCTTTCTAAAAACAACAAAGGCCACTACTTGATCTTCTGAAGACTTGTGCCTGATTGGCCAACTACAACTTTCTCTTTAATCTTAATTAGACTTCTCATGCTCGATGGAGTGTAATGATGACTTACATGCTGAGTGGCTCCTTCTGCCTTCAGGAAGGAGGGGAGTGGGAGGCGAGTCCAGCCAAGAGTTTGTGTCTGTGTCAAATACTTTGATTCGGTTACAGTAGATCTCATTGTTGGAGTGGAAAGGCCCAAAGCGGTCTGCTCTTCCCCCAAACACATACATCTTTGTCCCAATTATTGTGGCTGAGTGAAAGTCTCTCCATCGAGCTGGTGTGCCCTGAAACAAGAGACTCCTGTTAAGTAAGTCAAAGGGAAATGGAAGTTACTTTAGGAGTAAAAGATATGAAAGGGGATGTAGGCGAAAGGGGATTTTGGGTGCTCAAAATTCTGTTGACTACAAACGAAAGCAGACAAAAGTTAAATGGCAAACAGGGTCACATGCAGGACCCAAAGACATACTAATACCAATACTGACCTTTGTACAGATCAGACTCCAAATCATGTTGCTGCTATCCAATTTGTGGATGTCATTTGAAAAACAATCAGCCTGAAAGAAAGAGAAAGTATTTAACTAGTGGGGATGCTGGATCAAGCACTGCCAGGCATTCTAAAGGCCCTTGGTTATTTTGCTCTCTAGAGATAAAAACAGAGTTTAATTCTTCAGCATTTCCCTGTGGAGCTGAAATATATTAAGGGAACTGAAATAGGTGGCTCAGAAAACAAAGCAGCTGTTCAGACTGACTCACATCAGTGCACACTATCCAAACAACACATTGAATATACATATGCCACTCCAGTTTATATACAGAAAAAAAGAAGTAAAGTGAGAGATTGAAACCATGATTTACAGTACACTGGTTCTGAATGTCTGGTGTGAGATGGCAAAGGCTGCCCTTTGCCCTTCTTTTAAGTAAGTGCTAAACATCAGTGGCTCTCATTAACCTCAGTTGGAGTTGTTAAAGAGTCACTAAGTCAGACCAGACAAGCCTTAAGCTAAATGTTCTGAGAGGAATGCATAATTAGCAACTACCTGTAAAAGATACTAGGATTGCTGGGTTTGCCAAAGTTTTGTAACACTTGGACCTACCATGGAGAGAGATAAAATCTTTGGATTTGCTGGTGAGTCCCTTAAATCCCATCACCATATTTTCGTTTGTTTCAGTACCCTGCCACACAGACTTTAATTAATGCTGTAAATCCACTGAAAACAAACTCATTTGCCATAAGATCTAGTCCAGGCTTCCTCAACCTCAGCCCTCCAGATGTTTTGAGACTACAATTCCCATCATCCCTGACCACTGGTCCTGCTAGCTAGGGATCATGGGAGTTGTAGGCCAAAAACATCTGGAGGGCCGAGGTTGAGGAAGCCTGATCTAGTCACTGAAAAAGCCAGTGAGATCCAGCTGCTTGTGTACTGGAAAAGGTTAAATCTCTGCTCAGCCACAAATCAATGGATGGCTTTTGGACACCATCTGTTCCAAATAACTCAGTCACCACCAGAAAACAAAGGTGGTCTATTTTAGAGTAATTGCAATAATAAGCAGGAAGGGAAAACATTCTGCACATCTTACAAGCACAATTATGATTGTCTTAGGAACTTGTGGAATCTCTCTCTAGAGATGGTGAAGACAACACTAGAAAGTCATCTAGAAAGACAACACTTAGAGAATCTAAGTCTGTTTCCAAGCATAAATTAACATTTGCTCAGACTTCTCTTAGAAAGTTTGAAATTTTTAGTCATCTGATAGGTCAGGGACTTGAACTAGACTCCCTTTGGACTGTTTCTGTGCATATTATTATTATTATTATTATTATTAATTGAGTTTATACACCGCCCTATACCCAGAGGTCTCAGGGCAGTTCACAGAACAAATTAACATCTATTCATAAATGAGCATCTATCATCCTTCTGATGCAATCCAACTTTTAAGAGGTTTGACAATTTGATCTAAGATACTTGTTTACAGCCCTTCATATTAATAACCCAGGACAGCATTCAGAACTGCAACCTGTCATAAAAAGAAAGAGGAGGAAAATACAAATGTAGTGGCTTGACAACAAAGGCAATAATGCCTGAAATGTCAATAGACTAAATTGAGTTTTGCTTTTTACTTACCAATCAACAGTACAGCAGTTTGCTCTCTAAGAGGCAAGGAGCACAGAGATGCATAAGCAGCAAGCAGACTTTGGCTCTAAATACATCTAGCCCTTTAAACCTAGGTGTAGACTAAGGCTACAGTCTAATACTCTTGGGAGTAAATCCTGCTGAATAAATATGCACAGGACATGGCCTCATGCTTGGAGTTCATCAGCTACAATGAAAGTTTGGCATTATTATCAGGATGTGACAGTATGGGGTTACAATAGAGAACATTTCAGTGATCTTTAACTTAATTCACAAATGTCTTTAAATATAACTGTTGGTAAAGGAAAGAAAGAAAGAAGGGGGGGGAGTGAAGTGGGAGCAGAGGGACCACTCAGAATTCTCTTTGAATAACTTGATTTGGAAGCACCATTTCTCATGCAGACCTGAACACAAATAGCAGAGATCTTAACTTACCAGTTGTTCATATCCCCCAAAGATATACATGCTCTTTCCCAAGACGCAAGCCGAATGTCCATCTCTTGCTCCCGGAACCATTCCAGAAACTTTTGGTGTGAACCATTTGTGCGTGCCTAATATGTTAAAAACAAAAAACAAAGAGATGAGCCATTACTAGCAGACACAGAATGTCATGTTCAGGAATTAATGAAAAAGGGCATGGCCCTTGGGAAAAAATCCTAAACAAACACATATCTCTCCTTTTAAGGAAGGAACCACTTATACATTCTCTTCCACACAGGACAGTGGAACAGCAGCTGCCTCTCTAGAAGCTATCTTATAGTTCCTGAAAAACTGTGTAAAGCCACCACTCACATTCTGTGAGATTTCACTATTATCCTACTGTGTATTACAAAGTAAGAAACAGTTGCAATATTTTGGGAAGCAATTAAACTGTAGGAGAGTATTTTTCAGTACCTCAAAAATATTTTTAATGCAAGGCTGCCTGGTTATCTGTAAAGTTAAAGCAAGCACCTGTCTCAGAAGTCCATAAAAAGAAGCACAGATAATCCTCGGAGAAGCAAGAGATTGCCTAACCACTGTTGGCAGTCAGCTTCAGTGCTTATTCCAGGAAGCAGAATAGAGCGGCCTGTTCATAATCCTCTAGCACCCAAGAATCTCTCACAACCTGGCTTCCATCCACAGCCACCCACCTAGATTAACTGGATAAGTATTCCATTCCAACACAAGGTCAATGTAAACTCTGTGGAGATTATTAGCACAAAGGGAAAGTGAGCCTTGCTCCTAGTGGGATGTGTGCCATGCTTGGATTTCTAAAGCCAGTCATGTGCTACCCCTAGAGACCTCGGCCAAGAGCTACATATGAAACTAGAGACTGGAGCAGGCTGTGACATCTAATACAGATAGCAATTGCAAGCCAACAAAGGACAATGCCTTGCAGAATAGCTTCAGGGCTTTGTCTAGCCTGAAGTGACTCATGCAAGAGGGTTTCCACCTTTTCCCATGAGAGGGGAAGGATTAGTAGACTTGCTTTCCAGGGATGGTAGGAAATTGCACAAGCAAGTGCATCCAAGGCTGCCTAGGACTCTGGACAGCAACAGTCCCTTGCAGCTTTTTCCACCACTCCTCAAACAAAAATCAGTTTGGCAGCTGTGTGATGCCCCTATGTACAACGGAATTCTATGGATATCTAGTTTTGCTCCCTAGAATGAACTCCAAGATACCGAGAAAGCAAATTTGTTAGAGAATTAGCTAGACCTGGGAAGAGAGCCCAAGAATCGAGAGCCCATCTCTCATTGCATGGAGAGTTTGTAAGATACTGGTTCTCTCATTATTTCTTTCTGATTAGTTTCCTTCTTTCCTGTTGAACACTTTCTTTCAACAAACCTTTTATGTGAAGAGTTCTGATCAGTATCTGAACTGATCTGCAACTTACACATGCAACTATTTTAGCTGGTTTTATATATGCAATTGTTTTGCATATGGCTTCTATTGTATTGAAAATTCACTTCAAAATGCTTCATAAGAAGTGGTTAATAAATGAAATAAAAAGATGCCAACACCTTCCCTTGATGCAACATACCCTTTTCCTGCTACTGTACGCAGTCTCCCTGCATTGTGCGCTGCCCACAGTAGTGAGAGCATAATTTCCATGAAGCACCAGTCATGAAGACTGAAGACTGTACAGTGGGTCTCCAACAATTCCCACGTTCTTTGAAAATATTAATCACGTCTCTATAAATGTTATAATCAACAAGATTAAGTACTGCTGTTCCCAGTTTAAACCTGGAGAAAAACTGCAACTTTTTAGAATATACACTTTCAGCAGCATGTGACAGCCAGGGATATGGGGAGCAGCGAACAACACTTACTGACGTCAAAGGCGTACAGGACATTGCAGGCTCCCTCCGTGTCATTGCGGCCTCCCCAAATGTAGATGGTGTCCTCAATAAGCACTGCAGAGTGTCCATATCTCATGTATGGAACTTCCCTCACATGGTCCCTGCTGTTTGTCCACACTGGTGGTAGTTTGGTCCAGCGCAGAGAGACTAAAAGGAAAAAGCCCACAGTGTTACTTGACTGCATGCTCTTATGCATCAGGCTGCTATGCACAGATACTAACTGACAAACAATTCAATTGCTTGGATTAACAAGTCATAATTGTTGGAGGAAATCCAATGCTGTCATGCAGTACTCTCTCTCTCTCTCTCTCTCTCTCTCTTGTGTGTGTGTGTGTGTGCGCGCGTTAAGATTGCAAAACATTACTTTACTCGGGGGAAATAAAAAAGAAAGAGAACAATGAAAAGATGCTAAAAAGGTTATACTACTAAGAGAATGTGAAAGATGTTCACCTAGTAATAATAATAACAATAATAATTTATTATTTATACCCCACCCATCTGGCTGGGTTTCCCAAGCCATTCTGGGCAGCTTCCAACAAAAGATTAAAATACAATAGTCCTTCGATATTAAAAGCTTCCCTAAACAGGGCTGCCTTCAGATGTCTTCTAAAAGTCTGGTAGTTGTTTTTTCCTTTGACATCTGATGGGAGGACATTCCACAGGGCAGGCACCATTACCGAGAAGGCCCTTTGCCTGGTTCCCTGTAACTAGGCTTCTCGCAGCGAGGGAACTGCCAGAAGGCCCTCGGCGCTAGACCTCAGTGTCCGGGCAGAACGACGGGAGTGTACTGGACTGAGGCTGTTTTGGGGCTTTAAAGGTCAGCACCAACACTCTGAACAATCTGTTGCAAATGTGTTACACTATATAGATGCTGGTGCCAGATAAAGCATACCTGATGAAAATAGTATTTTCAACCATTGCTCCATTAGAAAAAGACATATATTTTAGAGTTCTAAAAGAATTAACACACACAAGTACAAAGCAGAGAAAATTAAGTGCTTTGAAGGCCTATTTAGGGTAATGGTTAAACATTGTTAAAAGCACACAGTGTAAAAGCTTAAAATAGGGAAATAGGTAGCTGAATGGCAGATTAGAATATGTAAGACAGCGCACACTAGAAAAAGTAAAAATATTCAACTCTTATTAATCATTTAAAAACAGCAGTAATCAACTAATGTACAATTCTATTGTCTATTTTCACAACAATGTTCTTCGGAACATTGGGCTAAGACAATTGCTGAAGGCTAATGTGCTTCATTGCTGAGTATTTGAGCTTGGGTCTCTCATAACTGAATCTACTACTCTGTCCTGTTGAAACTTACTCTGCCCTACCAGACTCCTGTTTGCTTCCCCTCTTCTGACTCTCCACTGGAATCTACATATTACACATATGACAATGAAAATCTGTAATTAGTTCCATAAAACTTCATGCCATAGTGTACTACTGCTGCCAAGAGATTCCCCAGTTTAAACAAATAAAACTGTAAAAGATGTATTTAAAAAAAAAACACCTTCCAATTAAGGTTAGTAAAATCAGGTATTTATATAGGTCAGCAGCATCTAGGTCATACTGTGCCATTCCTGTTTAAGCACCCAAGTTTGTCCATGCATCATCAAGTGGATCATTAACAGGCTTTTGCACCTTCCCCAAAGAGCTTGGGGTTGGTCAGTTGTAAATGTGACATCTGGGTGAACCAACCTGTTGCAACAGAGTAGAACACAAGCTTGTTTTCTTAACCTGAATTATGAACAGGTTGCATTTCGATCATTTCTACTTGATGCTTACCATACATTATATATCAACCGGCTAGTGTCAGACTGCTGTATTATTTTCATATGGTAACAGCAGTAAAAAAAAAAATCAATTTAATAACAGAGTGAAAGATGTACTCATGTCACACAGTACTGAAAACTAAAATATAGTGATAGTTGCTCCATGAATTATATGATCAAAAATGTTTTCATTTATGAAAGCTATCTATAGATTCTTACTAAATAATCAATAAGGGATATTTTGACCATCTTGTAATTTCAGCAGATATGTACTCCAGTTCAGAATGGTAGTTATAGGGAAAGCCCTTACAATTTAAGATCCCATATTTATAGTGTTATTGAAGCTCTACCACTTATTCCAGTGTTCACTGTATAAAGAAGACAAAGCAATGAATACTTGGATAGCTTGTTTTTGGAAAGGGATGTTGATCTAGCAAGAAAAAAATAAAATAAATGAAGTTCTGTCAGCCATCAGAAAGATAAATCTAATTTAAAAAGTAATCGCCTTTACTTTTGCGGCTGCAAATGTGTGAAACTCTTTTTTCCTAGGACACACAATTGACGGTTTTTATAACCCCTTTGAGTTTTTGCAAATATGTTTGATTTTTAATACAGTATAACTTCTGGCTTAAACAAGTAAATAATGTTCCATTTCTTTCCACAGCAGCAAATCATTTCCCAACCAATGACTCATTTTAAGGATTATTCCTTCTCCAAGGCAACCTAAAGGTTATCAAAATATCTTGGAAAGGGAAATCATAAATCAGGGAGTTTTTCCTCCCTCAGCACTTCCTACAACGAAGCTTTGCTCCAACATTTGTTCCCCAAACTTGTTCTGATGATATACTAAAGGTCACTTCATACACAATACTTTTCCTAGACAGAAAGTAGCTCCCAAAGAGGTGAAATTTCAGCAAGATGCATACATGTGTTTTTTTTAATATAAAAATATATGCATTGATTTGTTTACTGCTATATATTATTATTGCAATCTTATACTTTAATGTATTGTAATTCTAAGTTTTAACCTCTTGTTCATGGCTCTAATATTTTTTATAATGAATATTGATATATAAATGATAAACAACAAATAAATATAATGTTCATGTTGTGTGAAATGGCTGGTTTCCATGCTCCTTAAGAACAATTCCCGCTTTTGATACTTTTTAAATTCTCATTGACCTCATCTATGTTTAACAGCTAACTGAATACTACTGAATAAATAAGGCAGCTGGGTTTGTTTGCAACAGCACGTGGACCTTGGATTTAAAGATCTCAAAATCACAACATTCAATCGTATGAAAGTGCTACTTGTTCAGGTCCTTTGCAGCCACACTCATTTTACCTGCATTGAATACATGAACGTCGATCTGTCGCAGTGTCTCATAGTCTTCCCCAGAACAGTAACCGCCAAAAGAGTAGACTTTGTGTCCAACAGCCACAGCAGCGTGGTTTACTCTCCGGGGCCCACCTTCTAAATGCACTGTCCACCGTAACATTCCCTTTTGCAAGTGCTCAGTCCCTCCAAGAAGGGGGTTGGGGCATCAGAGTTTCATGCCAACAGGGCTACCAACCATGTTGGTATGTAGCCACAGAGCTCTGAAAAAGACAACAAATTTACAAATCTTCAAAATGCAACTGATTATGCCCACTGTAAAATGAATATGAGTCTTCCTCTATGCAACAGCTTTCCCACTGGACATGGTTTTAACTGCCTCTTTGAATATTGCATTACATTGTTCCTCTTGGGTGGGAGAAAGCAATTAGTTTTTTCTTGTTATCCTGCTACATATCTAAGATAGGGAATAGTATTTATTGAATCAGAAAAGGTGAAATATGTAATCATTCAAAAAACAGGAGTGTTAACTATGTCTCAGTAGTTCAGGAGGGCAGCATGAATAAGCATTTCCCTCTAGTCATCATTTCACAGAGTTCATACTCAACAACAGTAATGGTAAAGAGAAAAGATGTTCCCATCAGGTTGTACAGCAATTATTTGTTTTAACAGAAGACAAAGAGACTGTTCATGGCAAATTAATAGCATCAAATGAATTTACAATTCGAGTCTTTTTTCTCTATGTGGGGCAGTTACCAGTCAAGTCACTACAATGCCTTATCCTACAATGCCCTATACCAGGGGTCTGCAACCCGCGGCTCCGGAGCCACATGTGGCTCTTTTACACCTTTGCCGCGGCTCCGGGGCGGATACTAGCGAGGGGAGGAGGCGCATTGTGCGCCCCGACACTCCCCACTGTGGCGGGCGCTGTACTGGCTGTGACGTCGCATAGGGGCGGTGCGTGCGTTAGTCACGCACCGTCCCGACGTCACCTTCCCACCCGCTGTCAGATCGGAGGGCAGCGGCGCGCATGCTTTAAATGTCACAATGGTTTTGCGGCTCCCAGTTGTTTTTTTCTTTGGAAACGGGTCCAAGTGGCTCTTTTTGTCTTAAAGGTTGCAGACCCCTGCCCTATACCCTATCTGATTATTCCCAAATATAGAACCTTACATATGTCCATATTGAAATTCATTTTGCTAGTTTTGGCCCAGTTCTCCAATCTGTAAAGGTAATATTGAATCCTGATTCTATCTTCTGAGGTATTAACTACCCCTCCCAATTTGGTAACATCTACAGGTTTGATGAGCACCCCCTCTATTTCTTCATACAAGTCATTTATAAAGATGTTGAAAAACACTGGGCCCAGGACAGAACCCTGCAGTACCCCACTTATTTAATGCCTAACCAAAGAGTGTTCTAGAACCTGGCATCATCCAATGAAACTGAAAGATTCAAAACAGACAAAAGGAAGTGCAGTTTCACACAGCACATTATTAAACTATGAAATAGGCTACTACAAGATGGCCAGCACTTGGGCGGCTTTAAAATGGGATTAGAAAAATTCATGGAGGAGATAGTTAACAAAAGCTACAAGTTATGATGGTTGTGTGCTACTTCCAGTATTGGAGGCGGTATGCCATTGAATACCAGTAAGAACAAATGGGGAGACTGCTGTTGCTCACACGTCCTGCTTGAGGACTCCCCAGAAGTACTGGGTTGGTCACTGTGAGAAAAGAATGGTAAGCTAGATGTGCCTTTGATCCGATCCAGCAAGGCTCTTATGTAATAGGAGTCCAGGCAATATATATATATAGTTTTACTTGAAGGGTAAAGATCCTCTTTAATGATTTAGAGCTTTGTGTCTGGCTTTTCATCACACACAAGCAAGAAAAAAGCAGGCTGCTTATTAAAGAAGCATTTTCAAAAGTCAATCCCTTGGAGAAAATCAGTGGTTAGAGATTTAAGCCCACACACGTCTCTCCAGCTATGTGTCCAAAATAGAAGGAAAATCAAGACCTGTCTTCTGCTGTGTGATGACTGTAGTGGGAGTTCTTGAAACCTTGTCAAAAGACTTCGTGAAGTTGGAATCTTAGAGTACTTAGAGAGAGCTTTTCTCATCAGGTGTTTGAACTATGTAGGAGTTTTAAAACCAAGGAACAGAATATTCTCTACTTGTTTAACTGTTCATCTCCTGTCTGTGGCAACAAACTCAGCACCAGTCCAGTCAACTGGAAATATCCATAGGAAAACAAAATGTGTTCTCTAAGCAGAGGGCTTGCAATGAGGGCCAATAAAGCAACTGAAACTAATTTTCCAAAAAATTTGAAATCAATTAGCATCAGCCAAATATAGTTTAGATTAGAGTATTCCACCCCAAACACACAGACCAGATGTTAACACTTGAAAACTTTCCCTTTGTCTGGTGAACTAAAATATATAAATTCTTAAAAGAAAAGAGGTGAAAATTCTAGTATAAAATGCATGATGAAAGAAGGTAACATGGTTAAGAAAGAGGCAGAGATCCAACATGTGATTCCATGATTTTATGTTATATATATTATACGGGATACGGGTGGCGCTGTGGTCTAAACCACTGAGCCTTGGGCTTGCCGATCGGAAGGTCAGTGGTTCGAATCCCCATGACGGGGTGAAGTCCCATTGCTCGGTCCCAGCTCCTGCCAACCTAGCAGTTTCAAAGCACATCAAAGTGCAAGTAGATAAATAGGTACCGCTCCGGCGGGAAGGTAAATGGCGTTTCCGTGTGCTGCTCTGGTTTCACCAGAAGTGGCTTAGTCATGCTGGCCACATGACCCAGGAAAACTGTCTGCGGACAAATGTCGGCTCACTTGGCCAGTAAAGCGAGATTAGCGCAGCAACCCCAGAGTCATTTGCGACTGGACTTAACTGTCAGGGGTCTTTTACTCTTACCTTTTTATGGTATATATGTTAAAAACACTGACAAAATGTAACATGAGGAATGAAGGTGCCTACAATATATATTTTTATTTCAAGAGAGAAAAATATTGGCTGAATGTATAAAGTTAGGAGCACAACAATAGCTGTATAAGATCAGAATCCTAAGAGGAAAAGCTAGTTTATCGTAGTGCATAGAAAAGCCATTTCTAAATAATGATAACATCTATTTTCCATATGCATTTTATAAGCTTCACTATAGAGGAAAATGAAGAATAGTTCAGTTTCCCAAACAAGTAATTGGGGCCTTAGTGGGGGAGCTCCTTCATGGAAAAATTCTACATATGCATCCATCATACTTGCCTTTCAAGCACTGAGCACATCATATGCACATCTTTTAACATGCATGCAATTAAGAAATGCAATTCGGGATTTCTGCAGGTAGGGAGAAGGACTGAAAGAATTATCCCAAGTTTTAGGTACATGTTAAATTTTAAGGTATATGTGCCTGTGGCCAGGGATCAATGACGGAGTTTTCTTTTTTCTTTTTTAAGTAAGTCTGTAGCCCACCTAGAAAGAAAGTCATGGGGCAAAGCATTCAGGTACCTTCTAAACAATTACTGTGAAATGAGTGTGAGTGTGACTACCTTATATATTTTTTTCTGGTACTTAGGAATGCTCCCTGTAGACTTGATAGCGTGATTTGGAGCAATGCTGTTCTTGTTAAGAGGTTACTTTCTGATAGGTTAAGTGATTGTGACTGACTGCAACTGGAGGTAGGACAGAAGGAAACCTAAGGCAGTGAAGGGTATTATGCGGCTCTCCAGATATTTTCCAGCTCTCAACAGCACCAGCCAGAATGGTCATTAGTCAGGGGTTATGAGAGTTGCGGTAAACTGTTTTAAACTACATTTTAAATTGTTGTAATCTGCCCAGGGACCTTAGGGTATAGGACAGGTAATAAATAAAAATAATAATGGGTGGGATTCAGCTAATGAATCCCATCAACAGAAGGCCTGCAAAAGAACTTCCTCTTGTGCAGCAGGACTTCCCCCCAACATGCCCCCCCCCAAAAAATTGGCTCAAGGAGGTAGGGAGAACTCTTGGAAGAGTGTCTGGGGAGAGGAGAGGGGACACTGTTCTGTCTGTCAATCCCAAATGCTTCCCTTATAAAACAATCACTTTAGCACACACTGAATTCCTCCCAATAGTCCAGCAAGATCTGGAGGGTCATAGGTTCCCCACTCCTGCTCCAGGGTAAGTAGGAACCTATCCATTTAGATTAAACTGAAGTCAGCATCTTGAATCTCAGCCAGAAGACAAAGGAACCGAATGCAAGTGATGGCACAACCTCGAACCTAGTATTCATTTTATTCAATATTTTAAAATGGTTAAAAATCTGCTTATATTCAAGGGAAAACTATTTTAAGATAAGTATGTGGCATATCACTTTAGCCCAGATACAAATATTAACGAAATTTATCCTATCACATGTTAGAAATGCCAAAAACAGAAAGGTGATTCCCACCCCCATATGTGGTGCAAATGTGATTTGTCAAAAAACTACTAGAATAATATTTAAAATTGTATTAAAAAGATATTAGGTGATAAAATTCCTCTCCATCCAGGTTTTTTTAAAAACTGAACTATGCAGAAAGCTGGGGGCATCAGAACTTAACAAATTTGTTTCTTTTATGTTAGCCACACCAATAATATTTTTGGTAAGACATGGGATCAGTTAACACACTATCCAGTAAAGAATGTGTGGAGAAACTTCGGGAATTTGCTGCTATGGCCAAACTAACCCATTATCTCAGATTTACATGAGAAGACAAAAATATGATAACAGTCAGGTAGTTTTGTTGACTATAGAAACAATAAACAATTGTGGCCAAATGTAATATATCAGTTTGTACTGTACTAAGAATGATACAAATATTGTTAATATAAATTATTGCTTTTTGTGCCTCCGGCAAAAAAAATAATAATGAAAAAATGATAAAGGTAGCACTGTACATAAGTTTTCAATATTTTAAAAACAGTCTTGACCAGTGAATGGATGCGTCAGAAATCTACAACCAGGAAAGGAACACACCACCACCAAACCCTGCCCCAAACTCATACATATGGTATACTAGAAAGTATAAGAAGACAAATCCTTGGCCCAAGGAGCTTACAATGAAAAATCTACTAAGAGGGAGACAACTGAGAAAGGGAGAGGGCAACTGAGGCAAGGTAAACAGAGGAAGATTATGTACTAAGGTATAGCTCCAAAAAGAGCAGAAACACCAGTCCTAAAAGAAACAGACAAAAGTTAGCTCTATAAGTAAAGCAGTTTAAAATTTTAAGAAATATATGGGTCAAAATCTCTTTTATGTTCCAGAACAAATGAGCCCAGCAAGAAGCAAACAAAATCTTCACTCATCTTCACACACTCTCTTCCCCCAAACACCAAAGCAATCTTGCACCCACTATTTCTCAAGTGCACGCAAAGGACGTGTCCCTACCATGTTGTTGTCTCAGTCCTTGAGAATATGTAACCTGAAAAGCTGTGTTTCCAGCTACGTGGTTTAGTAGCACTTAAAAATAGATCCAGTCAGCTTGAGGCCGGCCATATAGACTGTTCTATTTCAGGCACATCCCAACTCACTGTTACATCCAGCAGAATAACAATCCAGCAACTTTTCTCACTCCTGACATTTATGTACTCCATTGGCTATTCATTCCAAGACAGCAGGAAATGAAAGCCAGTGTCAACACAGGCATGGTTAGTGGCCTTTCATAATGAGGAGCAGCAATGCTGACACTTGCCTAATTACTAGGGAGACTGAGTTACTCATGCTGCTGCTAAAATAAGACAAGAAACTTGCAAATTTCTAAGATCTCCAGGACGCAGGGATCATTCTCATGTCACTGCTTTCAGATTGAGGATGCCTTCTGAAAGTCACTGGTATGCCACCACATGTTCTTGAATGTGAAAGAATAATTTTGTCCATGTACAGCAAAAATCTCAGAGCAGTCAGCCTCTCAAAGAGTGATCCAGCATCTTAAACTTTAAACAAGGGCAATATGGACTGTACACAGTCAAATTAATTGCTGCAAAAGCAAACTTCTAGAATCTAGTTTGCCCTTATTCACTTTTTTGGAGACAGCATAGTACATAAGGGACAAGAAGAACCACCATGGAATAGCACCCAGAAAACAAATGAGACATACAAAGTAGTAGAATGTGTCCACAGATGTGAAGCCACTTCATGGTTAGTTTCTCAAAGTAAAACACAATAGAAGTTTCCTATCAATAGCATAATAACAGGGTAAGGTATGGCATGCCAGAAAAATGCAGAGCAACCAGAAGCCTAAGAAGGGCTTGCTGAAAACAGATCTTCCCAAGGCTGAATGTACTAATCAAGCTCATTCCATGTCTCAAGTAGTGAGCCATTTCCCATTTTTAATGGAAATGGAAATTGCAGTGAAAGTGAGGGGATAACAACTGCAGAGAGGATATTGCACTGTTAAACTACCGAACTGCCAGAGCAAAACCCAAGCTGTTTCTAGCAAAACCTTTATGCATATCATATAGGGGTTGGGGCAACAGCTGAGCTGCTGTCATGTAGCCTCAGCTGTAACTACTGAACCTGCTACCCTTGTAAGCCCCTCAACCTCATTTTCTCTTTGCTATTGGCCAAGGAGCAACAGATTTCCTTGTGTTTGACAACACACTGCAGGTGTTTTAATCCTTTCTGATTCAGTGCCTCCTTTTTAGCAAGACTGAAGTGACATGCCACAAGAAAGGGATACTGTCCATACCCATTAGTAGGAATACCAGCTGTGAAAAGACTGACATAGAAAAGGTCATACATCTGATCACTTATGTAAGCTGACTTAATAAGATACAGTCCACGCTAAAATCAAAAGGAACCAACCTCTACAGCAAGCTACATTTACACACCACCCACACCAAGTCTACCCAGTCCCAAACTCTTTCCACCTCATGAATTTAATCTAGCTTCCCATCTCAAGCAGCACCTGCCAGTCAAGTGCTCATCCTCCTCCTCAGCTAAGCACCCACAGGTGCCTTGGAACCTTGGGTTTTTTCTCTCTCTCTTCCTTGGCCTCCTTCCGTTATGCTGTATGGCCATTCTGACATCAGAGATAAGCAAACACTACAGAATTTCGAAAATTTCCAGATTAACATCCAGACTTGATTGCTGCAATACAGTATGTTGTACATGTGGTTGTCCTTGATTTTTTTTTAATTTCAATTGTTTCAGAATATAACAGCCAGATTACTGACTAATATCGGCCATTCAGAAGAACTCATCAGCTTAAAAATATCTTCACCGGCTTCCAACTTGCTTCCAGGTACAATTCAACATATTGTAGTGATTTTGACCTATAATGACCTATTCAGCTTGGCATCAAGTTATCTGAAGGGCTGTCTACTCCTACACAGACCTGCTCTCTCATTAAGACCTGTGACAGAATCTCTGTCAACTTTGAAAGTGAGGTAGGTGACTACTAGAGATAGGGGTTTTCAATGGTAGTGCCCTAAGTGTGGAATGCTCTCCTTCCAGTGCCACTTTATTGGCACATACAAAATTTGGACATCAGGTGAAGGGAACAATACTTGCAGATCTTTGGGGATCATTTTGGTTTTGCTTTTCCTTGCAGTCTTAGCTATTATTTTTACTACTGGTGTGAGTCTTAATTGGCTTCTGATGTCAACGTCTGGATTTTAATTTTTTTGTATTATATTGTAAATTACTGTGTTAGATGCTTTAGGTGAGATGTGACAGAGCTCATTTAGACACACAAAAGATGCCTTCTCCATAGCCTACAGAGATTAGCCTCCCACTCCATGACATTATGCTGATTTATAGATCCCTCCTATTAAATTACTAATCAGAAGACCACAATGTCAAGATTCCATCCCCCAAACCCCAAGAGACCCAATTTGACAGTCATTTGATTCCTCAAGGAAAGATCCCAGGAATCTTAGAGGGATGTGCGTTAGATGCACGTCTCCAGGAGAAACTTGCTATAAACAGAAGTCATGAAGCAAGCCAGAAATTCCATAAACACCGTTAGTCATCTGAACAGCAGAGAGAAGAAACTGCTATATTCAAACAGAAGGGCAGCTCTTGTTTGCCAGTGACAGAAGCACCTGTTCAATCTCAACGCACCTTTTACCTTTTCAAGTTGCTCCCACCCCATCACCACCACCATGATCTTGCAACACAGAAAAAAATCAGCCAGGTTATAGGGTTGCATAGACTTCAAGCAATAACCTAAGAAAGGGGGAGCCACAGGAAAGGTTCAGACTCCAGGCATAGAAGGTTGTGGACAAAGAAACAAAGCCTGAGTATTTTGGACTTCTCTAATGCGGGGAGGGGGGGAATGGACTGTGGCCCTCCAGCTGTTGTTGGACTTCCAACAATCAGCCCCAGCCACCATGGACAATGGTAAGAGATTGTGGGAGGTGGAATCTAGCAACATCTGGAAGGCCAGAGGTTCTTCACCCCTGCTCTAAAGAGATTTTCCATGAAAATTATCTATGGAAATTCTGTTCTAGTTATCCTGGAAGAAACTCAAACACATTAACTATCACAGAGACTTAAAAACCTTTATATCACAATGTAATGAATTTATTTTTATATAGCTAACTAGCTTAGAACAATATGCCTTGAGTTGGATGATTGCCAGTTAACTGAGGGTGAATCCTGATGAAAAACAGGCACTGCTAGTAGGTGGTATTTGTGATGTCCCCAGATTTGCTCTGGAAGATTGGGGGGACCCCCAAAACAGACTTAAGGAGTGTGCAGGGAAAGGAGGAGAATGTTCTCCTTAGTGTTAAGCTGAATACAACCCTAAGTTTCAGTCCACACAATTTGCCTATACACATTTCAGAAGTAGCTCTCACCTAACTTTATGCAAAAGAGAACTACAACAATTTCCTTCAGGAGCTTGTTTTACAAATTCAGTTCCCTGTCTGCATCTTTCCAAAAATTTCTTTTTCCATTTTACTGCAGCTAACTCCTGCATATGCACACATGAAAAATGATAGAACAGCATAGAAAGTATTTAGCAAATCAATACTCTTACAATATGCTTCATTTCTGCCAAGAGTCTAACATGCTATTTACGGTATGTACAAGGTCTCTTTATGGGCAAGAAAGCTAACTGAATGAATGCAGTCAGTAAACCTGCCAAGTACCATCATAATAAGCACAAGGGAAAGTATCTAACGCTCTGCACATTATCAAAAATACAGTGGAACCTCAGGTTGCGAACGTGATCCATACGGGAGGCACGTTTGCAACCCGCAGCGCCGCATCTGTGCACATGCGATGCAATTTGGTGCTTCTGCGCATGTGCAAAGTGTGATTTAGCGCTTCTGCGCATGCACAAGCACCGAAACCTGGAAGGAACCTGTTCCGGTACTTCAGGGTTTGGCACGGTCCATAACCTGAAAACGTGCAACCCGCAGCGTTCGCAACCCAAGGTATGACTGTACTTTATTAAGGTCCTGTGTGAAACTCTGTGTGTTCCTTGATTTGTGTATCAAGTGGATGTTTACTCTGTGTTACGTGTAGAAGTGACAAATTCTGATTGGCAGGGGCGACTGCCTACCATGTCTACAAGGGGCAGAATAAAGGTGTGCATTTATCACATAACAAGTTCACAATACTGTATCCCCAAAACCTTTTAATGCAGATAATACATAATAATCTATACAAAAGTAGCAAATTAAAATAGTCTTGTTTGGCTGAAAGCTCAACAGCTGACATATCAAAACAAACATGTGATACAGGAACATGTGATTTTATAGAGTGCTTCAAAAATAGTGAGAAAGACATCTTAGAATTCATTCTGACAGCAATAACAACTTCAGGATTAATAAATAAGGGCTTACCAAACAACCTACGGTAAATGAGGGAATATGCACCTGGTAAAGCTACTTCATTTGCACAGTCTTGGAAAGGGCAAGCAACCCAACACTTTGCCTTCTAGCTTAAACAAGACACACAGCTGCACCTTCTGAGATTAGACAACTGCTCAAAAAGTGAAGTCAGCCTAAATACCCAGAACTAACCATTTTAAAATCAAGCTATAGACAAAACGATGACAGACCCAAATTAGTGATGCCGTTCTTAGTGAAGCAGAATGGTTCTGCAGTCAAAATATAAAGACAAAATATTTGAAACCTAGCTGCATGCCCACTTCAATAAAAACAGCACTAGTATTGCCAATGTTTCAGTTACCATCAAAGTTGCATTATTACATATTTAGACTGAAGCAGCTGCAACTTCTACAGGATACAGAAACTCTGAACAAAGCTCTAAATGTGAAATCACGGATCCTTTGTATGGTAATTTTAACTTGGAAAAAAGAAAATGTGAACACTTCTAACTTTTCCAAAAGTATGTGGGTCTGGCTTGTCATTAAGGATACATTATTTTCATTTGCCTATAATTACAGCACTCAAATGTGATTCCTTAAAGCACTCTGGTGGTTAATGTCAAAAGGTGGGTTTTTTTCCTTCCATCAAAAACCCATCACATAAATTCACTGTAGCGCTGCAAAGTATGAACAACCAGATACTAATGTGCTTTAATCAACATCTACGCTAAATAGAAACAAACTAAATACAGCAAACTGACACAGCATGAAATTAAAGTGAATTCTAAGTTGCAGTGCAGAAAGAGTCTTAATGGTGCTACTGAACTCAAGAGCTAAATTGGGTTTAGTTATTAAAATCCTTAATTACGGTACTACTATTACTTCAATGTTGCACATTCTGTTTTTCATAAAAAAGATCAAAGTACTCCCCCACTCTGCCTTTAGCCACTCTATGGAGTGCCTGCCTTGTGGAACACCCTCCCATCAGATGTCAAGGAGATAAATATACAGCTTTTAGAAGACATCTGAAGGCAGCCCTGTATAAGGAAGTTTTTAATGTTTGATGCTTTAGCATGCCACCCATCTGGGGCATTATTATGTCACCCACCTGGGACAACTCAGTCATATGGGCAGGGTACGAATAATAAATTATTGAGCTTGGCAGGGTGGTTAAAGTATGCGATATGTAACTAATACATGCTAAAATCCTGATCTCGTATCTTTTTTCTCCTAAGTTATGAGTAACTTGTTTCAAATTGCGGTTAGGACCACAGCCTAAGTGAGTACAGTCATACCTCATGTTACATTTGCTTCATGTTACATTTTTTCAGGTTGCGTCCCGCGGTGACCCGGAAGTACCGGAAAGGGTTACTTCCGGGTTTTGCTGCTTGCGCATGCACAGAAGCGCTAAATCGTGCTTTGCACATGCACACAAGTGCCAAATAGCGCCGCGCACCTGTGCAGATATGGCGTTTCAGGTTGCGGGCTTTTCATGTTACGAAAGGGCCTTCAGAACGGATCCTGTTCACAACCAGTGGTACCACTGTATGTGCTTCTCAGCTATCAGCCGAAAAGGCATAAGCACATTGGTATAACTTATTCATATTAGCATGAGTATGCACCATGCTAAGTCACACTGGGAGTAGAAGCAATTAGGAAAAGCTAAGGTGAGTGGTAGATGACTAGTTTTATGTGCATATGTGGCACATGAGGCTTGTTTACAAAGGGATTAACAGGTTTAAAAGACCCAGGAACCATTGTTTTTGAGTTGCGTGCAGGAATAAAATTTGAGTTTATTATGGATAAGTTATTATAAGAAAAAGTATCACACCCAGACAACAGGATCCTGCTTATCTGGCAGATTCGAAAAGTAATCTGACCTCAACTGGGAACAAACAGAATTGATTCAGACATGCTTGCTTACCACTTAAGTTTTTCTAAACTTTAAACAAGACACTGTATGAACAATTCTGTTGTTTTGATGTGATATGAAAGTCCTATTTGAGGGGCAATATCTGTGATGGTTCATTCACACATCCAATGTATACTTGAAGCTGCAATCACCAAATGATGAACATAAATGTTTAAGCAAGTCTGTAGCTTCCAGGGATACAGACAATAAGAAAGCCTTTAACATGCCGGCCCTTGAATTTCAGTTGCCATCTCCAGGATTTGCTGACCTGAATTTTGTCCTGCTCAATGTACAATGTATCTGGATGCTTTAGACATGACAGGTGGAATATTTTCTCCATTCTTCTGAGAATGTTGATGGGAGTTCTAATCTACATTAGAATTAAGAGTTATTCCAGAGTTTCTTGGGAATAAAGAAGAAAACAATGGGGTTCTTAAATATATAAAAGTACCAAGAGTTGTGTTAAGTGTAGCAGAAAGAGGGGAAAAATCCACATTTTCAGCACATATCAATAGGTGAAATGGAGGTTCAGTCAGTCAAAACACTGTGTCCATAGATGACTACTGACCCAGGATTATTCCAGATTAAGCCTTTGGTTTATTCCTTTATTTCCAACTAAGTATAGCAACAGCATTTTACTACATTCATCCTTCCATGCCCCACTTCCTCTTGTTTTAACCATTATCTGTTCTATACTGTTCTATACTGGGGACACTGTCAATTTTGCTCATGCATCTCAGTTCCATGTACACTGATGGTGCTGCATTATACAATGATAATAATAACGCAGAAGAACGCCCCAACGAAGAAAGGAAAAAGCAGAAAACCAAACTCCATAAAACTTTAGGGATAACAGGCGTTTATTATATGATTTTTCTCATATACCATCCTAATGAACACTCATAGAGCTCCCACCTCCCCAAAACAGAACTAGCACCCCAGTGCAGAAAAACCACATGCCTAGAAAATACTGCAAAATGCAACTTTACACACTGTCCAGGAAAGGAGAGGGTTGCCCTGTTTTAAGACTGCCACGGGCATTTATTTGGGAACGGTGGCACTACCATTGGGTGCGTTAAACGGCACCCTTGGGCAGATCAATGTTTTTTGGGAGGGGGAGGGGCAGCAAACGCCAAACCGTTTAAAAGCTATTGTCGTATTTTGACCGCCGGGGCGGGGAGGGGGTGCAGAGGAAGGAGGACAGGCCTTTTGCAGGATCTTCTGCCTCATGCGCCAAAACAACTTGGCATGGCTTGAGGGCTTTGCACTCTTGACACCGGGGGGAGAAGCGCGCGCGCGTGCGTGTGTTGAGGGCGGCGGGGTACGAAATCTGCTGCTCCGCCTCAGGCAGCAAAACGACTCGGGTCGGCCCTGGCAGACAGATTGACCCCCGACAGAATAAACAAATGCACCAAGCTCCCCTTAAGCCCCTGGGCTCCGCAGCGCTCACAATGCGAGCCTGTCACACCCCTCAGCCGCGTCTCTCTCTATAGGTATATTTTCTCTCTCCCTGCAGGGACTTCTCCCCGGCCCCCATAACCGTCGAGTCCCTCATAACAACCCCCGCGCCCCACCCCCAACCTTGACAGACGCATCCCGGCTCTCGGATCCCGGCCGCCCCAACGGTCAGCGCCGCCAACGCCGCGCGCCCGCGGCTGAACCGCCCCCCGGCCCTCCTCCACAGGGGCTCCCTCCACGCCCCGGCGCCTCAGCTGCATTACCTGCCCCCACGGGCGGGGAGAGGGACGCGGGGCCGGCCCGCGGCCCCGAAGGGTCGCGCGAACCCGCTCTCCCGGCGCTCGTTAACGGCCCGGCCAAGCCCCGCGCTTTCTTCTCAGGCGCCTCAGCCGCTCTTTCCCTCCCTCCCTCCCTCCCTCCCACAGGCCCAGCTTCGGCGCACAACGGCTGAGGATGACGCGCCACGCCCACCTAGGGGAGTCTGGGAAATGTAGTCTTGGGAGGGCCCGCGGCTATAGCGAGATATAGTGTTCTTCTGTACCCCGTCACCCTGGACCCCAGCACTCCGGTTTCCAAAAAATGGCCACGAAGTGGGGGGCGGGCAGCGTCTTCACATACCCACGCCTGCAAAGGGGGTTTTAAGAAGCCCCTGGGCGCTGTAGCTCTTTCCACCACAGCTTCGCGCTGGATGAAGGTTACCTTATTTACATAATGGGTCCAGATCACTTGATACGGATTTGGTAAAGCGATTCTGTGCACACGCGGCGGGTGCAGGTAATTTTGGACTCTGGACTGAATGGCCTTAGGTTGGTGGGTGGGTGGTGCGTGCTCCAGAAGCCCGGCTCCAGAAATAAGCCCGGAGGGAGAAAAGGAACCTGGGAGAACTGGCAGAGAAAGAAGATTTAACTACGGCTGCGTATGCACCATTTAAAGCACACTCCCCGCCCCCCAAAAGAACCCTGGGAACTGTAGTTAAAGGTGCTGGGAATTGTAGCTCTGTGGGGGGTAACTGTAGTTATTTATTTCAAGTATTTATATCCCCGTCTTTAGGATACAAACCCTTCCAACGTGTCTTACAGGCAACATTGAATTACAGGCAACATTGAATTACATTTTAACAAAACAACTCACAATAAACACCAGTAGGTAGGAATTCACCTGGATCCTTCCTATAGTAGGGCACTTGGCGGTCGGGTTGCCACCTTTGGTCGGGCAAAATATGGGACAGGTCAAGCAAAATATGGGAGAAGTCCCATATTGAAGAAAGGAACAATCCCTTATGATAAAGGACAGGTGGCAACCCTACTTGGTGATTTTATGCCTATATGGTATGCAGTGCCATTGAACACATACCCCTTACATCTTCTACCCTGACCTTCAAATTTCCGCATATAAAAATAGGAACAATGTTCCTGTACCCCTCCCAAAGAGGATGACCGGCAGCTCCGTCCCTCGCTCTATTATTATTATTATTATTATTATTATTATTATTATTTGCATTTGCGAGGCGTTTTATCTTGCCCAAGGCAACTCAGAGCGACTTGCAACCCAAAAAATCTAGCCAGCTTGCATTGCATGAAGTGCAATAATAAAAGGTATGTCACAAAACTGGTGAGCGAATTCCTTGCCCGGGGTGTCCGTGCGGGTGGGAGCGCCTTTAAGCTACAACCTCTAACCGCAAAAGAGATTTGACTTCTAGAGCCCCAGAGGTTGCTGGAAGTCGGGCAGTTCTAGTGCACGTGCATGCGCTGCTGGAAAGGCATTTCCGTAATTCTCCACGGTGCAAAAGAGAAACATCTTTCTTTCTTTTTTGCCACCACCAGCAGCAGCAGCAGCAACAAAAAGCCTCCGCGTGGTGATAAAAAGGATAAAAGCTGGCCTGGTGACGAAGAAGTGGTTTGGACATACGGTTTTACCGAACTGCTAACTTATATGCATTTGGGGTGCCCATCACCGTAACTTGAGACCCGGCCCCGCCATCCCGATTCCCAGCGAGTGCCTTTTGTTGCACGAGTCTTTTGCTTTCCCGAAACGCAAGGCGGCAGCTATTGGCCAGTCCTTCCAACGTGCTTTGTGACCCTATCAAACACAGCCGCTCGTCGACTTCAGAACTGCCAGGGGCCAACGGAGAGGCGAGGGCTGGTGGGGTAGACCTGTATACCTCGCCCAAGATGGGGAGCAGGTTGCCATAGTTACGGCTCCTCCCGCCGCGCACGGCTATGACGTCATTCCCAGTGGCCCTGTGCGCCTTGTCCTTTCCGGAGGCTGAGCGGCTGGGATCGGCCTCCGATCGGGAAGGCGGAACTCCCTTCTGGGTGAAGGCAGGGGGTCTTGTTGCTCTGGGTGGCGGGCGCGGCTGTGGTTTGCTGGGCGTCAGGCAGCGATGGAGGGCAATAGGCGAAACGGCGAGAGCAGGCGGTGTTGGAAATGGAGGTCTTTGTGGTGGGGGCGAGGACAACAGGGCTCAGCATTTATAGGGCGTTTTGAAAGGTCCATAACGACGGGCGCATATAGAAACCCTTCTGAAACCCAGAAAGATACGTTTTCGTCCATCCTCCCAGTGGGGTGGGTAGGAGGGAGCCTGAACCTCGGCTGCCTAAGGCTAGTTTGTTTATTTTCCAGAGGGGTAGCCATGTTACTCTGTAGCAGCAAAAGCGAAAAGGCATCTTGAAGGCAAGTAACTTTACGGAGGTGCGAGTCAGAGCCATGACTCCACCTCAAAGGGAAGGGGGAGCCAGGATTGTTGCCGATTCTGTGATTAATCACCATGCTTTTATATTGCATGTGTCTAAGCTTGACATAATAGAACACTTGTTTTAATACAGTAATTGTAAGTTATTGTATTATTATTTTAGAAATACTTTGGAGAACTGAATCGCTGTTACGGGTTCTAGGTGAGTTTGGTCTAAACTGCATTGTCTTAAAGTGCTTTCTTAAAGTCTCTTCTATGGGAGTGGCAGTCACTGGGTTATATAGAAGATAATGGAGCGGGCCTAAACCTAACTCTTTGTTTCCTAACCCACATCACAGCTTATTAATTTGTCCCATAGAAGGCAATATGAGATACTGAGATGAATAGCTACCTCTGGTTAATGGGTTATGAAACCTGGCCCTCAACTGATGTGGGTGAGAGGCAAATGGGATATAGGACTTGGGAGCTAATTTACGCTGAAGAAGTTTCCTTGTTTAGGGGAAGGATGGGAAATCCACAGCCCTCCCAGTGTTGTTGAACTACCAACTTCCATAATCTCTGACCATTGGTCATGCTGGCTGGGGCTGATATGAGTGGGAGTGCCAACATCTGGAGGGCTGCTGGTTTTCCATTTCTGGCTTAGGAAACAGTGACATATGCAGGTTTGACATTGGCCATGGCTATTGAGCTTTGCCGTAACTGGACAAACTAGAATTGAGCCACATAAAAACACTCAACACTTTGCTGTGTATTGCAGGAAAAACTAAAGCAGTGATGATAAAGTTGTATTTCTGGGAAGCTACTGATAAGTTTCCGTAGAATCCGGGTGTTCCCTGAAAGGCAGCCTGAAACCCATCACATTACATAGCTCAGCTGGTTAGAGCGTGGTGCTGATAACACCAAGGTTGCAGGTTCAAGCTCCATATGGGACAGCTGCATATTCCTGCATTGCAATGGGGTTGGACTAGATGATCCTCAGGATCCCAACTATGATTGTGTGGCATAATGCTTTAGTGCAGGCATAGGCAAACTCGGCCCTCCAGATGTTTTGCGCCTACAAGTCCCATCATCCCTGACCACCGGTCCTGCTAGCTAGGGATCATGGGAGTTGTAGGCCAAAAACATCTGGAGGGCCAAGTTTGCCTATGCCTGCTTTAGTGTATAGTATGAGATGTGAAATGTGGTGATGGCTCTAAAGTTGACTATAATGGACTTTCTTAGGTCAGTCTGTTCTGTCTTAGAGTGCTTATTTCTCTTACCTTCCTGCAATCTCTTTGTAGGATATGCTTCTTTCTCAGACAAATATACAACTTTAAATAATAGTATTGTTGCGGAGATTTAAGTCCCATGTTTTCCCTTCAGATCCTAGTGCATGGCCTTGGAGCCAGTGGTTACACAGATAATGGGTCCAGAGAGGATCTGTCCAAATGAGCACGAAGAGCTGGGGCTGCAAGAGACACCTGATGGAACCCCTGAACCTGCTGGGGAGTGGAGTAGTGAAGAACCTGAAGAGGAGGAGGAAGATGGTAGTAATGGCTACTTGTACCAGCCACTGAATCAAGATCCAGATCAGGGACTAGCAGCAGCTGAAGAAACGGAACCCAGCACAGAGCCAACGCCCGATATCAATGAGCGACTTCAGGTATCACAGTTTTGTTTCAAGTATGTGTCCTGGGGTTCCTCAAGGTGGGGCCACAGATTCTTGCATGCGCATGCCTTTGTGCTGTGCTTAATGCTTGTAATGGCTTTATGCACTGCATGCAGGCAATGAGACTGCATCTGCCTGACCCACCTGTGGACAGCGATGAGGAGGAGGGATCTGCAGCTCAAAACTCTCGCAGCTCTATCCCTATGGATCCAGGTAACATAATATTGAAGCAGCTTTATTTATTTTAGTCTTTATAGTCTCCAGAGAGAATTGCCAGCCTTAGAACTTTGGTGTCTGTAAGTCCTGCCACATTCAGCCCATGTTATATTTTCCCATTCTGCGTTTTTTAAGGCTTGTGATTATCTAGTTTATTCTCTAGATATTCTCTAGGTCTCTAATGTTCCATAACCTCTAAATCACATTTCTATCCTGCCATTCCTACATAGAATTGTAGAGTTGGAAAGGATCCCAAAGGTCTTCTAGTCTAACCCCCTGCAATGCAGGAATCACAAATAAAGAATCCCTGACAGATGGCCACCTGACCTCTGCTTAAAAACTTCCATTGAAAGAGTCCACCACCTGCCAAGGTAGTTGGTTCCACTGTTGAACAGCTCTTACAGTCTTGAAGTTATTTCTATTTAGTTGGCATCTCCTTTCTTGTACCTTTAATCCATTGGCTCAGGTCCTAGCTTCTAGAACAGCAGAAAACAAGCATGCTCCCTCCTCTGTGTGACAGCCCTTCAGATATCTGAAGATGGCTACTGTATCACGTCTCAGTCTTCGCTTTTCCAGGCTAAGCATACCCAACCCTTAACTCCTTCTTAAATCTGGTGCCCAGAACTGGACACAGTACTCCCAAGTGGGATCTGACCAAGGCACAATAGAGTGGTCCTGTTACTTCCCTTGATCTGGACACTATACTTCTGTTGATGCAGCCTAGAATAGTGTTAGCTTTTTTTTTGCTGCTGCTGCATCACGCTGTTGACTCACAGTAAGCTTGTGATCTACTAGGACCCCTAGATCCTTTTCACATGCACTGCTGTGTCAAGCCAGGTGCCGCTGATCCTGTATTTGCACATCTGATTATTCCTAAGTGTAGAAGCTTACATACATCCATACTGAAATTCATTTTGCTAGTTCCTGTTGAACTGCTTGTCATGATTTTTGGTCCTGTTCTCCAATCAGTTAAGATCCTCTTGAATCCCGATTCTGTCTTCTGAGGCATTACATGCTCTTCTCAGTTTGGTGTCATGTACAACTTTGAAGAGCTTCTCCTCTATTCCTTCATCAAAGTCATTTATAAACATGTTGAACAACACCAGGCCCGGGACAAAATCTTGCAGCACACCACTTACCACTTTTTTCCAGGATGACAAGGAACCATTGGTGAGCACCCTCTGGCCTTGGTCAGCCAACTATCTACCAATCCACCTTACAATAGCATCATGTAGCCCACATAAAGTGCAAGGTAGCAGAAGGGTTATTTCACCTGTGTTCATGATCCCTTTTTATGATTAAGTTCTATATAAAGGCCACACATAACTACCCTCTCAACCTAATCTACTTTACAGGGCTACTGGGTCTAAATCTGGCTTCTCCTTGCTCAAGTCCAAACATACAGTGTCCTCTAGCTTTCATGGCATTTCTCTCTCCATTCTTGCCATTCAGTTTTAGCACTTGTCTGATACTAGTGCATAGCTGTCAACGCTTCCCTTTTTTAAAGGGAAATTCCCTTATTCCGAATAGGATTCCTCGCAAGAAAAGGGAAAGGTTGACAGCTATGTACTAGTGTCTTATTGGCTGCACAGTTTTGCCTGGTAACTCTGTTTGTGGGTTGGCTAATTGCTATGGTGGTCTCTCTTGTTCATAAGATTTGTGGGGCAGCAATCGTTTTTGGCTAACCAGTCCCTAGTTCAAGCTTACCATGGGCCCATAAATGCGTCCCTCACTCCCCCTCCCCAAGTAAACCTGAGCCTTCATCCTGGGTTGCTTGCTACCTTGGATGAGCTGCCCTTTATCTATTCACAGACTGAGTACTGCATGAATATGGAAATCCTTGGAAAGGAATTGTGTTGAGTCTAGGGGGTGTGGTGTTGGCGGCTGGTTTCCTTTTGTGCTGCCCCTCTCATCCCTCGGCTGTCTTTGACTCTAGAACACGTGGAGCTGGTGAAAAGGACTATGGCCGGAATCAAGCTCCCCACGCTTGGAATCCCTGCGTGGGCCAACGAAATCTCGGATGACCAGTGGCAGGATATGGTGCAGCGAACCCTGCAAGCCCGCCAGAGCCAGAGCAGCCCCAAGCCAGAATGGAAGTGAAGGCCGGCTCTTCTGCATCCTTGCCTCCAGCCGAAAGAGCTAAACAGAAGTGCTGCACTTTAAACCATTGTCTCTGAACTGCTTGGGTTAGATATTTATCTTTCACCAGCATTGAAACTCTGTGTTCACCTTGTCGCATTGAAAATATGGCCTAATTCATAAGGGTTTTTTTTTGTTTTTGTAACGCCCAGTCATAGCTACTTGAGTGGTGGTGCTAGTGATATCAGGCTGTTTTCCTAAGCTTGGGGAGGGAGAAGCCTCTAAGAGAAATGACCGTCTCATGAAATCGCCCTTCGACATGCATGATTCTAGCCCTGCTGTTTAGTCTCTCCCCCACCAGCCCCACCCCCCTTTTCCAAGTGACACACAGGCTAAAGAGCTAAACATGGCCATGAGGTGGAGTCCAGCGTGTCATCTTTTCAAGAGATCCATTTTATTTAGTTCTGTACATACAGGGACATCTGTACAAAATCCAACACTGTCATACTATGTAATACTCTACTGAAAATAAAGTACACCATATGTACATAATGAACTGTAAAGCAGCTTAATACTTGTGTCCAGAGAGTGAATGCATCACTTAAGTTTTGCTTGCGCCCCCCACTCCCTTTGAGAAGGGGCTATGTAAGAAGTGAAAGAGGCAGCTCCAACCCTGTCCATGTAAAAAGTAGGGAAAGTATACAAGCAAAGTGGGAGAAACACAAGGGAATCTTTTTTTTTAAAAGTAGAGCTGGATTAAAGTGAATAGTGACCTGAAGCCGTGTGCTTGAGGTGCTCGTTTTGGCTGGAAGGCGTTAGTTCTTTCGCCCCCTTTCTCACACAGCTTCTCCCATCCCCGTGAAGATACATAGGACACTGGAATGAATTGGCAGCAAACTAAACTTTAATGTTAGGTACCAAACACAAGTTCCCTGACCCCAAACAAAGATTAGACAGAGGCTATATTTACATCTAAGTCATACAGCACATGATGCTCAATTGCAGCCCTGCTCCACCATTGCAAAACTCCAGCAGGCAGAGAAGGGCTGTGTTGTGTATGGGGCTAGGTGGGGGGATGTGCCCTATAGTTCTCGTCTGCAGAGCCCAGCCTTGGGTGGGGGTGGGGGGCACAAATTGACTGAATTGCACTTTGCTTTAGAAGAGTTCCAAGTCAATATCGTCCCTCCAGCAGCTACACCTGAAGCCCAGTGGCCACTCAGTTCATTCTGGTTCCTATTCAATTCTACCACTGAAAAGACAGGCAAATATATTAAATCAAAACTCCCCCTTTCCTTTTGTGTCATGGTTTTCTGCTTCCCTCTTGCTGCTTCAGTTGGCACACGGCAAGAGGTTTAAGCAGATCTCACTCAAAGAAGGGCTTTAGTGTTCAGAGAAACTGTTCACCAGTCAGCCAGAGCATCTTCAACGGGTATTGAAAATATTTTGGCAGCAGACAGTGGAGGAGCTATGATTGATTGATGAGCTGGATGTCAGAGTACTAATAGCCTGTGCCTCACCTTCCTTTCCAAACTAATTGGCAAATTCAGAAAAGCAACAGTGCAGATCAGTTACCAGTACAGGAAAGTGGGTACCTTTAGTGAGATGCAGGCAGATCTATGAAACTGGGCTTTAGGGAACTTGGAACAAAATTAATCTAGGTACAGAAGAAATAGGGAGAAACACAACAGAAGTGAAGTAGGTGTGTAGATAATGCAATACAGCGTATGAAGATTTAAAGTGTGATGTAGACTGGAGAAAGAGGCTTGCAGTCTGAACCTCCCACACCCCACGGTTGCCTCACTGCTTTCAATGGGATTTACTTCTGAGTGAGTGTACTTGGATTTACAGCCTTAAATTAATTGTAGAAGACTGGAACCTAGAATCTGAGGTGGGGAAACGCAAGTCAGAATTCATAAAAGAGAAGGTTGACGTGGAATTGATTAGGAATGAGGGACCTCCCCTTTTGTGACCTTCCATGATTCTGAAATTCAATCAGCAATCTGTAAACAATGGCAGCATATGAAGCTAATTCAAGTTTAATAAGGAGTTGGTCAGGAAACTACCTAGCTACCTCAAATGAGTTCAAGGCTTCAGGGCATATAGATCACATCGTAGAGTACTAAAGGAAGTCACTAGTTTACTTGCAGAAGCACTAATTGAAAAAACCCTGGAGAATGGTTGTGAGGCATCACAGGACTGGAGACAAGCAACTGTTGCTCCACTTTGCAAAAAGAAATATCTAGGAAATCATAGACTGGTCAGTCTGACTATGATACTAGAACAAATTATGTATATATACAATCTTGATAACAATTAGTTGAAGTCATAATGGATTTGTCAAGAATCTCAGACTTTTTTGATCAGGTCGTTAGCTTGGAGTGTGGGAATGCTCTGGATGTAATTTATTACAGCTAAGCATTTGGCAAAGTCTTTTTAACATTTTTGTTGGTGAACTGGTTAAATATAGGCTAGATGAGAAGTAATAGTTCCATTTTACTCTACACTAGTCAGACCACATCTGGAGTAATGCGTCCAGTTCTGGGTGCCCCAACTTTGAGGGAGACCACTTAATGGTTTTTCTCTGCCTGTTGTAACCTGCTGTGCTTGATGCTGTATGGTTTTTACTTGTATTTTTATTGCTTCTTTTATTTCTCATACTGTACTACAATTTGAATTGTATAGAATTCTATGGAATTCAAATTGTAACTGTTCTTCAAACACATTTCCTGGACCACCGGTGGTCCATGGAACCCCTGATACAGACAACTGGATTTAGCGGAGGCCAACAAACATGGTCAACTACAGAAAACAAGTCTCATAGGGATACATTAAAGTAACAGGGGATGTTACAGCTGCAGAAGAGAAGACTGAAGGCGGACATGCTAGCGCTTGAAATACCTGAAAAGCTATCACAAAGAAGGCAACCATTTGTCCTTTTCTGCCCCTAGAGGGGAGGGCAAGAGTAGATCTTATGGCCTTAAATTACAGGAGGATATATTTTGGTTCACTAATAGGAGAAAATTTTTGAAGGTAAGAGCAATTTGACAATGGAACCAATTACCTAGAGGCATGGAAGGCTGTAACTTACAGGAACTCCACAAGGGGATGTTGGATGGCCACCTCTAGCACACTATAGCTCTGGATTGCTTGCACTGAGCAGGAGATTTGAGTCAGTGGCTCACAAGCTAAAACCTATAGCTTACAGGAAATGGGGTAATCCTCTCTGGCTACCACCCTAAAATGAGCCTTTCCTATCTCTTGCTCCGAGATTTTCCAAGATGAGGCCCATGGAACTAGAACGGCTGAAATGAACTTGAGCACACTGTGGCTTAGTCCCTGCCCCCACCCCCACCCCAGCAAACGAAGTGCTGATCCCTATTAAGAAAGCAGCAACAGGTGTTTCCTGGCTTGTGCAGTTAAGTCCCCTCCCGCCCTTGTTCCCAATATGAAAAATGTTTTCAAAGCTGTTTGTATGCTGTGAAGTTAGTCAGGAAGTAATTCGTCCAGCGTTCTCCCAAGCTTAGAAACCCAACAGTGGAGAAAGGGAAGTTGGCGCAAGTAGGAGAATCTGCTGGAAAGCATCAAATCTCGCTCCAGCTCTAGCTGAAACTGCAGAGAGAAAAGCCAACCAGTTCGTAAGGGAGGCTCTTGTGCGGTAAATGTATAGATCAATCACTAGTCTGTATTTGGACACTCCAGCAGCAAAAAGCACAGGCCAGACCTAGAACTATGTAAGGCTGCCATTGTGCTGCAATTGGAGGGGGGGGGAGTGCAAATAGAACAAATTGTAAATTTCCCTGACTCGCACTCCATTTGCATTCATGATCTCTTTCTTACACTGACACACACACACACACACACACTGATTACATCCTTGCACAGAACCCAACAAAAAAGCCAGCGACCCTTATTCATATAGATCAGAACAAATCAAATCGGTACTCTCTAATTAGCCATTTATTCTGGGGTGGGGGAGCAAAACTATGTTCCTAAATCTAGCTTGGTCCCCAAGGAACAAGCCTGCCTTGATCCCTAGGAAGCAGACTGTAGCGAGCAGCTCTGCCAGTTTCACATAATACGTTGCATTCTTCAGACCATATCATTGTGTGGGGTGTAGATAAAAAAAAGGGAGGATATAAACAATTGCTAGGGGGCTGTAGTGAATTATTACTGTAGCACCAGCCTTTGACCATCTGGTGCGTTCCAGATGTTTGGGACTACCTGATGGGATTTGTGGTCCAGAACATCTGCAGGGCGCCAGCTTGGGCTAAGGCTACAGTAAGTTTGCGGCTGAACCCTCGATGCTTTGGTCCTGGGACTGCAGAAGATTGATGGGGGGGGGGACAGGAGGAGGAGCAGGGATGACCCTTGTGTGGAATGACCTCCTCATGGATGGGGCTAGGCTCCCTTTCACACGTGCACACAAAAAACAGCTTTGTAAAGAGGAGAAAGCAGGAGGAAGTGACAGTGTCGTGGGGGATATGAGGTACAATGTAAAATCAAATCTAACCTGAAAGAATGAGAATGGAGCGGAGGACAGGCACAGCTCACCATGTTCATTCCCTAGTTATACATTAGAACAAAGTGCATTTCTGTGTTCCCTCCAGGGGCTCCCTAGCCCGTCAGAGCGCCTCCTGGCTCGAGGTGAGGAATTCTTCCGCTCTCTTGTGCGCTTCCAGGGCCTTTATGGTGTAGACGTCCTGGGGAAGCTCCGATTTCCGACGCAGCAAAACCTTCTCCTTCTTTATGTCTTTCAGCATCTAGGCACAAGATCCCGCAAGAAGTTAGCAGAGGCTGCTTCTGGGAGCGGTGCAACTCCTCCTGGCCTGGCCCTCCTCTCTGGGGGCTCGGTCTACTACCATCTTTGCCAACTGCGCAACCTCCAGCCCATTTGGACTACAACTTCCATCAGCCCCAGCCAGCCGGAGGGTGACAGGTTGGCAAAGCCCGGCCTACTTTATAGAGTTTACTGGAGGCCAATGCCAAGCTGATCCTAGCCATGGAGTCAGCCCTAGGGTTTCTGTGCCCTCTTGATGCTGCCTACTGAAGCACCTTCCGGGCCTAGCCTGAAATAAATAATAGACAAAGAAAAGAAAACCAGCGCAAAAATGCCTGTTTGACTAAGTTTCGAGGCCTTTCTATGTGACCCATGCGGCTCTCCTCAAGCTGCACCTCTCACCAGCCCTACTTTGCTCCCTACTCTTAAGTGTTTTTGCCTGGAAGACACGAGGACAGAAATGGGTATATGATCGGGTGTGGAAACCAGCCTGCTGTACGAAGGTGAAATTTGCGTTCACTGCTCCGCCCAGTTTTGCCTCTAGCCCCACCCACCGATGGCGTGTGGGCGCCAGGAGGCTGCCCAGAAGGGAATGTGGCACTCTGGCTGAAAAGGGTTCCCCAAGCGGTGCTATGCAGCCTTTGCGCTTTTTTGCAAAGCATCACCCACCAAGCAATTCCAGCAATGCATGATGTCAAGCTCACACACCGCAGACAACAGTGATGCCACAGTCAGGAATGAGGAACTAACAAAACTGCACACAAAGCTGGCAAGTTAAGAAAGCGAGTCAAGGCACAGGCTACAGATCAACGGAGAGAGAGGGAGGGCGGGCAAATCATAAACAGATTTCAGCATGGAGAAGACAGTCTAGAAGACATCCTATTTTGCAGATGAGAGACACACACAGAGGCTGAGAAGCAAGCATAAAGGCTAACTGGTGAATCTGAGATTTCTTCATCAGGTAGAACTACAGCCTGCTGTTTCTTTATCTTTTCTGCTTAATAGGCCTGTCTCACAAAGTGGGAAGACGAAGGCTTGGAAATAAGCAATCCAGTGCTCCCACTCGCTATCGTATGAGCAAAGGCATTTAACCTGATTGTAAGCATGTTTACTTGGACAAAACGGGACTCTGTGCCTGGCATTTGCCATCATAATGCAGCTCTGCATATTAGAAGGTTGTTAGAAGGTTGCATTCCCTTCTAACAGCCACAGGGCTGGCAGGGGTGGGGTGGGCATGTTGGGCTGGCAATGGATGGGACTTCTGTAGTGTCCCAAAGGAGCACAGATGTGCAAGCTCTTCCCAATGCTTCTGTGTGGGAATTTGCACGGGGAGCAAAGGTAAGCAGAATGGGAGCTGGGGGAACGAGGCTGATGTGGCTGGGGCGAGGAGTACAGGGGAACTGGCAATCTTCAGGCGCAGAGCAAGTATGCCAGGAGGGAAGCAGCAATCACTAATGGGAGGATCCTGGTGGACGCCCAATCATGGCGGCCCTGACCACATGGCCATGGCTGATCTGCAGTGCCCTGTGATTCTGTGTAGGCACCACTATCCCACATATTTCAAGGTGTGACACCGTGAGGAGGGATGATTATTCTGGCTGAAACAGAAAGCATGTGACTTGGCCAACACAGCATGCCAAAGGATGGTTTAGCTGCTCCCTTCCTGTCTTCCCCTCTGCTCCGCTGAGTTTGTCAATTCATGCAAAAACGACTAAGCAAGTCTGTTTGGTTTTCTGCAACTGTTCAGTTCTCAATTTCTTTCTTTCTTTCTTTCTTTCTTTCTTTCTTTCTTTCTTTCTTTCTCTTTCAGAAAGGACACTGGAAACAAGCAAAATACACACTAGCGGGGCTTTGGGGAGGGGGGCGTGAGCAGGAAATAACACTTGCATGGCAGACAGTTCTGAGGGCATGGGACAGCCACTTGCTGAGAAACGCAAGGTTTGGCTTGCACTTCAGAAGTGGTTTAATGAAGAAATGGTTGGATCCTTTGTGAACTAACACCATGCAAACATTTCCAGAGAGGCAGCCGTGTTGGGTCTCTTGTAGCATAAGCAATCGAGTCTTGTGGGACCTTAACAGACTTGCGACGTTCACTATGGCACAAGCTTTACTCATGCTCACTTCGTCAGCTGCATAAAGCGAAACCTTAGTTGGAAGGTATGTGTTGGGGAAACTGGCATGGTGGGATCGAAATGAGACCAAAAAAAATACAGTCCGTGACAATTAAGTGTTTAAATCTATATTAAACAAGCACAGCATTTAGCAGACTGGTGTCAACTGCAGAGATAGGAACCTCTGGCAAGGAAACCACGACTGTTTCTTGGGACTGGCTCCCTGGCTCCTTACAAGGTGTTAGCTCAGCAATTGCCACAGACCTCCCACCACAAATCTGTTAAGTCTTTAAGGTACCACAAGACTCTGGCAATGGGTTTGACGTCATGCAAGTCCCAGCTGCCGCAAGCTGCAAGTGTGCAAAGGCCCTCCAATCTGGCCCTCAAATCTAAATGAGCCCAAGACAACTGAGAGCCAGGAATGAAGTCCCCGCCCAGCCTCCCCTCCACTGCCCTCTCTCATGGAGAAACAGCGGAAGGTAGCCTGAAGGCCTACAGCCTGCCTCTGGAGGTGGGTGGTGAGGTCTCTTATTAGGGAGAAGAGGCTGCTTGCTCGTGAGGAGTTCCGCTGTTCACCAAGAACCCCTTCTGCTTTTCACATTACAGAAAAGGACTCCTGACCCACTGGAGGATAGAGAGATGAGTCACCTGCACAGCCTCCGTTTCCATCGTTTTCTTCAGTAGCTGTATGTCCTCTGCAGTGGGGGTCTCCGTCTCCATGCAATAAACAGGAGGCAAGGGTGGGGGGGCGCAATACATGGGGTACTGCAAGAACACAGCACATAGAAAAATGGGAACGCAAGCTCAGCAACTCAAGTACTGAAACGCCGAATGTTTAAACACATATATATGTAGGTTAAGTGTGATAAAGCATTGGAGGAAAAAAAAAACCCCTTTGCAGCTCACGCTCTCCCTTCTGTGAAAATGGCACAAGGAATTAGAAAAGGTTAAAACTTTTCTCCCGGTTCCCTGCAGCTTTCATGCGGGATTTCTCCCCCCACCCCTTTTCTGAATTTTGTTTTGTCAAAATGGCATTGGTGTCAAACTCCAATTAAGAGTGGATTATAAAATTCAGCATGTCCAAGCTACTGAGTGGTCTAAATGACCCCAAAGTGGCGAAAACTCTGGTTTTTAACATCAGCACAGCCGCTTTACATTAAGATAAGAGTTGCTAACCATTATTATTATTATTTGTTGTTGTTCCTATATTCAGGAAGCTTTGGCTTAAAGGGGGGAAGTGCAGAGGTGCATGAGGCCCTGCTGGAATTAATACTGAGGATTTACTACAGATCCTAGATGCAAGGGAACAAAATGCATTCTACTGAGCGAGACAGCCAGCTCCGTACTGCCTGCACAGACTGGCTGCAGCTCTCCAAAGTTTCAAGCAAGAGATTCCTGGCAATGCAGAGGACTTGAACCCAGGACCTTCTGCATGCAAAGCAGATGCTCTAACCACTGAGCGATGGAGAGCCCTTCCGCTATGGGGATCAGACCAATGCCATGATTCAATGTTAGACAGCATCCTATGTTCCTACAAGAGCAGTATTATAAAATAATCCTTCATTTAAAATTTCATATTCAAATTTCATAAAAAATGGGAGTTGGAGGGAAAAAATGGGTGGATTCCACTACGAAGTCCTGCCAGCAGAAGCCCTCACTAGGACTTGTGCAGATGCAACAGGGGCTTTTCCCTCTCCCCCAACAAACTGGCTTGGTGGGGGGTTGACAAGACCCCAAGAACAGTGCATCTGCAGGAGGGGAGGTTTGTTTCATCTGGAAGCTGAAATGCTTGTTCTGAGGGAATGTGTGACACTGAATTCCTCCCTAAGGCAGAACGCATCAATCTGGCTTCCCGACCTGATTTGTAAAGTCAGGGCTTTAAAACTGAGTAGCACACAGATGAGCACTGAGCACTTTGAATCTTTCCTAAATCACATTCCTTCTGACACAGACGGCTTATAAAGCAGTAGCCAGGAACCTGTGACCCCTCCAGATCCGGCGAGACTCCAGATCCCATCAACCCCAGCCAACAATGTACAAGGATGACAAGAGTTGGGAGTCCCACAATATCTGGAGGGCAACAGGTTCTCCCAGGGCCCTGCAACAGAGTATTTCCTGGCCTGGCCTCACTGATGGTGAGAAGAAAGAGCCCCTTTTTATGTTACTTTAGTTTCAAGGGAGACACTCACAGTTATAAGGAGCTTCTGCTGAGTAACATGCAAAAGGGCACAGAAGAGTATCTGCAGGCTGCGCTGTTCCCTAATTATGTTTTCTTGATGCTAACCACTTCTGTTTCCAAAGGTCACTGCTCCAGGGAAGGGCCGTAGCTCGGGGGCAGCGGACAAGTTTTCCGTGCAAAGGTCATTTACGTAATAAAAGATCCTGCTTGTTGGCTAAGATCAACGGCAAAGGCTGTCACGGAATCCTCACAAGAACAGTCAACTGGGCTGGTGAGCAAAAGGGAAAGGGCCTTCTTGGTGGTGGCCTCACAGTTGTGGAACTCCACTACTGTAGAACTACTGAAGGCCCCTTTCGGCATTATCCTTAAAATGTGACTCATCTGCCTTTCCGTAACAAAGTGCTTTTACACCGATTCCCAAGACTTGGTAATTCCTTACGTTTCTGGAATCTTATGTTTAGTATTCAAAATGGGCATCAATTGCATCTGTGGGGGCTGTGCCCTAAAAAGCAGCATATAAATGCTATAAATAAACTAATGGTCCCAGGTTGAATTACTCGCCTTTGCAAGTAGGGGTGCAAAATGCTCTTGGCCTGAAACTCTGGGGAGCGACTTCCAGTCAGCCTAGACCAGGGTTGTCAACCTGGTCCCTACTGCCCACTAGTGGGCGTTTCAGGATTCTAGGTGGGCGGTAGGGGAATCTACAGCACAAGCTGAATCCTCCTTCCATTTAGAACAGGTGGGCGGTAAGGAAATTTTACCATCAAGAAAGATGCATTGGTGGGCGGTAGGTATAAAAAGGTTGACTACCCCTGGCCTAGGCAATACTGAGCTGGCTCAGTATAAGGTGGCTTCCCATGTTTGTTCCAAAGCTATCAAAACTTACCAAGCTATGAAGCAGGCATTTAGTAACCATATTTGAAATGAGCAAACAGAGGTGACAGGAGCTGATTAAATACCTGGATGCTACTTTGCCAGGAAGAAGTGAGGGAGAATTAAACTGTGTGTTTTAGCAAATACCTTGCGGAGACATATCTACCGTGCTCAACAAAGGAACCATTGGTCTTGTTATTTATAATCTCTTAACTTCTGCATCTGACAAGAATTGCCATTTTACAGATGAGGAACTGAAACCAACAGCAACTCGACCAGGGCCATGCAGAAATTTAAAACCACAGTGCAGGGACAGCCAACCTGGTGCTCCCTTCAGATTTTGCTGGGCTCCAATTTCCATCGGCATGTGCAACAACATCTGGAGGGACACAGGTTCCCTGTCCTAGGCAGAGTTCAATGCTTATTCACTGGAGCAAACACATAGAGTTTATCGTTAAGGTAACATGTTTGTGCTTTGGGTAACCTAAGAAAGTACACTACCAAAACATATTTCCTCTGTTGCTAACAACTATTACCTGAGGATTTTGGCGGGCCAGCTCCTCAATCTTGTGCCACATCTCTTCTCGTTCCTTCAACCTGAACCGCCCTCTGAAGACGAAAAGGAATTTATTTTAGGGTGGGTGTTATTTTTTCATTTAGACATTTAACCTGCGCCCTCCCTCTAGTTAGACTTTTAACCTGCGCCCTCCCTCTAGAGCTCTGGTCAAGTTATGCCATTCTTCAAAACCCAATCAAATGCTCCACATTAAACAGATATATTAAGTAATTAACTGCCTTCCACACATATCAATGTACAAAAAAAATTAAAATAGCCAAGCAGTTAAAAACACAGCAAACAACAGCAGGTGTGTGTGTGTGTGTGTGTGTGTGTGTGTGAATGCAAAGTAGACACCCATGGCAGAGACCCATTCATCCAGATGGGAAGCCAATGGGACAAAAATGTCTTCAGCTGGTTTTGGAAACTGCAGACAGCCTGCCTGCTATATCTCAACAGGAATGCTATTCCACAAAAACAGGGGCAGCTCCACTGAAAGCTTTCCTCTTGTTCCGAGTTACTGTGGACTGAGCTTCCGTTATCTTTGGAACTTGCACGAGGCTTCCTGCAGGCTGCCTACCAAGAAGATTCAAATGTAAACACATCTACCCTGCTCTTTCCTTTTTAAAAAATTAAGATGGCTGAGGAATCGCTCAAGCCGCGCCTCATAGAGACAAGCTGATCCGTTCGCCTCAGATTACTGAGGGACCGCAGTCACCCCTGATTTACCCCTATCTCCAAGCGTAAGAGTCCTCTTAGTTCATGCCCTTTTCATAAAGGAGGCACAAATCCCTAATCTGTGATCTTCCCCTCTTTCTTAATCTTATTTGTGGCACAACCCCAAGGAGCCCATCCCCTCCCCAAGGCTTTGTAGCACCTCATAGGTCAAGTTCTCCTTTGCGCAGAACCGAGAGCTTTGCAGAACTGGGAATGCCAAGTACAGTTAAGCTCTTAAGTCTGGCAGTTTTACTGGGGGCAAAGAGTACCTAACAGGCTCAACCGTGTGCGTGTTCAACTTGCTCTGAAAAGCTTCTGCTTCCAAAAACTGGTTGCTGGGGATCACAAATGGGTCCTGTTTGCAGGCTTCCCGTAGGCCAGCGTGAGAACAGAAAGCTGGGCCAGATACATGACTGGTGTGATCCAGCAGGGCTCTCCTTGTGTCCTTACAATGGATATAAGTATTTAAGGTAGCCACATGACTCTTCCTTGGTTGCTTTTAGTTTAGAAGCCCTGTTGGGTTCAGTGGAGTTTATTCCCAAGAAAGCATCCACAGGACTGCAGCTCAGCCTTCTCAATGGGGACAGAGAACAATGGGATGGCATTCAGTGGTGGCTTTGCACTACAGTGGTACCTCAGGTTAAGAACTTAATTCGTTCTGGAAGTCTGTTCTTAACCTGAAACTGTTCTTAACCTGAGGTACCACTTTAGCTAATGGGGCCTCCCGCTGCCGTCACCACACAATTTCTGTTCTCATCCTGAAGCAAAGTTCTTAACCTGAGGTACTATTTCTGGGTTAGCGGAGTCTGTAACCTGAAGCATCTGTAACCCGAGGTACCACTGTATTGTAAAGCGCTTCTGCAGCGTAAGGGAGAGCATCCAATTTCTGCCAACCCTCCCTGCCCATTGGCAGCCCTAAACACCTTCCAGAAAAGCTGCTACTGAGGGTTGTGGAACCTTGCAGAACTACAAGAGCCTACGGGGCAGAGGGACTGAAGGTGGTGGGGAACAGTGGCAACTGAGTGCCCTACCTTATGGGATTTCCACTAGCACAATGCCACAGCTGGGTAGTTTAGCTAAGGTCCCTGCTGGGCTTAGGAAGCACAGTGTTATGGTAACCCCCGTTTCTTCAAGAAGATTAGACCCAGAAAGTATCTGCTCCGCCCAGTAACCAACAGGGTGTCTCTGGGCTCCATCTTATCGCCTGTGCTTTCGAACATCTTACACTGTGAGAAGTCACACGGCTGTGGTGTCCCCAGTATGTGGCTGACAGGCTCCTCTGTCTCTTGTTTGAATCCCTACTAATCCCAAGGAAGCCTGTGAAGTCTCAAACAGGTGTCTAGAGGTGGTTTAGAGGTGGCTGAGGGCAAGCAAGCCGAACGGACAGAGATATTGCGAGTGCGGAAAACAGCCAAAACTGGAAAGAGGTATCCAACCACTCCTGGATGGAATGGCGCTTTTCCCTGAAGGATAAAGCTCACAGCTTGTAAGTTCTTTTGGACTACCTGTGGAAGCGCTGTCGGCAAGGCTACTGCAATGCATTCCATGTGGGGCAGCCTTTCAGAAACATTCAGAAACTTCAAGCGGCTCAGAATGAGGCCACTCGGATGTTGGTAAGGGCCAAGGGGGTCAGAATACGCAGCTCCAATATTGCATCAGTTGCTCTGGTCGCTGGTGAATTTATTTTGCTAGTGATATCCCATATGGCCGCAACGGGGCTACGTTGTGGGTCAAGACCACCTGTATAAACCTGTTTGCGCTTTAAAATCAGCCCTGGGCCGACTGATTAAGATCTAATAGGCTAGCAGGCATAATAAACAGAGTGTTCTCGCAGTGGTCCTTCCCCCCTTTGAGGAATTCCTTTCTGCCTGATTTGCCTGTGAAAGAAACTCCCATTTCTTTCAGGTAGCTTTGTCTTAAATGTTCTTTAGGTGTTGCTCATCTACCACCTTTTTCAAGGTGTTTTATGTGGACACCCGTGCTGTACCCCCCGTGGAAGCTGCTTGTGCCATAGCTTCCATAGACCACACCTGGCAAAAAGCTCAAAAAAGGCACCAGCTCACGTCTGGTCAGCTGCAAACCAGGTTTTATTCCAGAAAACACTGATTTACTCTTTCTGCTTTTACCTCTGGTGAACCACATTGCTGCCATCCCTGAGTCTTTCAGCAGACTCATAGTCAGTATAGTCCCTTCTTCAGTGTCCCAAGTCTCCCTTTTCCAGTGCCATCTCCTCAGAGGTAAGTCCCAATCTCCAGGGACAGGCAGTTCCTCCCAGAGCTGAGGCTCTTCCCCTTTAAAGCCCTTTGTGGCTTAGGGCCCTCATATCTACGGGACTGCTAGGTTAACAGGAGCTGGGACAGAGCAACGGGAGTTCACCCAGTCGCGGGGATTCGAACTGCTGACCTTCTGATCGGCAAGCCCAAGAGGCTCAAGTAGTTTAGACTTGGTAGCTGCTGTCAAGTGGGATGGCCCCACTAGTCGCAGGGTTAGCTGCAGGCAGTTTCCCCAGCCACGAGTACTCACTTCTGCTTCTCTGCCTTGTACTGCTGTGTGCAGTCGTCAAACAGCTTCTGGTTCATCTCCATGAACAGCTTCAGTGCATTGTAGATCAACCCATGGATTGTCCTTAAAAAAAAAGAGGTGGAGAATGAATTAGAAGGTGGGGAAACTGCCCTTGCACAGAAGAGATTTAATGGACCAGGACAGTAAACTTCCAATACCTGATATAAAAATGAAGGATAGCTTCAAATGCCAGGACACACCCATTTATCCCCCCCCCACTACCCCTAAGAAGACCGACAGAAATCTGTAAGTCAGGGTGGGGAACCTGTAGAACTCCAGAGGATATTGGAGCCTAACTCTCATCAGTCCCGGCCAGCATGGCAAAAGGAGTGATGGGGGCTGGAGTTCAACGGATCCCCCATCCCAGTTATAAATTGTTGTCATGGTTGAGAGACAATGGAGTGTGCATCCAGGGGTGAAGTCAAACCACTGCATTAGCAGCATCCAAGTGAGCTCCCTGGCGTGCAAGCCTGGGCAGTGTATATGGAGGCCAATGTGGCATAGTGGTGAGAGTACTGGACAAGGACCTGGGAGACCAGGGTTCGAATCCCCACTCAGGAGTTGCTGGAAGGAGGCGTACAAGGCACCATCCAATCATCCTAGGGACTCCAGATTTGTGCAGGGTTTATTCCTTAAGGCCTTTTCTTCTCCTGAAGATATCCCTTAAGGCAGTGAAGGTTTAGGATCAAGAGTATTTCTTGTAGATGGGCTCCATTCCCTGGTTGAAGGGCCCCATGTGCCTCTCACTTCCTTTTACAGCACATGCTCACCAAGGGTTTGAGTGTCAGGAGCTCGTCCTACACTCGAGTAGGACCCTGACCGACTGGCACGTTCTCTCCCTCCTGATCATTCGTTCGGGATATTCAAAAGCTTTCTTCAGCCCGAACATCACAGCGACCAATGCCAACAGACACCGGCACACTTAGGGATCCGCAGCGTGTATGCAGTTCATGTAACAGACCTCAGCAACTCAGCATTTTGGCTAATCTACTTTATTTACATATAAACACAGACGGAGCACTGCAACATGGCTCCCTCTCTCTCTAGCATCAGACAGCAAAGAGAAAAAGAACAAAGGACAAGAGTCCCACTGCACGGAACACAGTAACACAAACAGCCTGTCTCCGTCACTTCCCACTCTGTGGAGTCAAAACATGCACCGTCATGTGATAGACAACAATCCCATGACTGCAATCTTGGAGCAGGAATTCTAAAATTTGAGACCCACTGGCTACCCTCACTTGATTTAGCTGGCCAGTCAAAGAAGTTTCCCAGAACACGGCCATTACTGCATGCTGACAGCTTCTAGGAGCCACAGGTGAGAGCTGAGTGCAGCGTGGGGACCAAAAGTGGACAAACCACATAAAACTCCCAGTTACAAATGATCTTGATAAAAAGAACAGACTCAAGGGGAGGCAACCTATTCCATACGCCCATCCATATTGCTAGCAATCATCGTCATCAGAGCCCTTTTCTTTCTCCCTCTGCCAGACTTTGCATGAGCGGCACCAATAGGCCGTGGTGGAAGAGCAAGGCGGAGCTCTCTCAATTGTACTTCCACTCATGCCCAGTGCACACAGAAATGACCTACTTGTTCCAATGACTTTTGGAATTCTTGTAGAGTGCCGGGAACATGATGGGAAGAATTTTGGCTGCATTGTCACTGATCAAACTCATGATGTATTCATTGTTCCAATAGTACAACGCCCTCTCGGCCACCTGTACAAATAAAGCAAAACATAACTTCTGAAACAAGAGAGACCTTTTAAAGGGGGAAGCAGGTAATGCAATATGAAGGTGAATTAACAGAAACCTAGTGCCCTTATCACAAGCAGAAACAAATTCATTCTATTATCTGCTGTGCAAACCACATCTGGGGTACAGTGGCCTGTTCTGGAAGGTGCACTTTCCAATTGCTCTAGCTATAAAAACTTTCACTGGATAATTGCTCATCTTGTGCACCAACATGCTTCAGACTTTCAGCGTTTCACTCTGCATTTGAACAGAGACTAGAGCTGTTGCCAGCACCCTGAGTTTCGAACCTACCTGGAAGTGTGGGCTGGAGACACACTTTGCCAGTTGCCTGAACAGGGGTTCCATAACCTTCACAAACTCCGAGGGTTCAATGACATCTAATATTTCTTCCAGCTCATTCAGGAACATCACCTCCTTGGGACTGTGTGTTTTTGGCCAAAACTTCAGCAAGCCCATAATCACCTGAACAGATGAAGAAACGAGATTTTTATGAGCGTTAGAGAAACAAGCAGGAACATTTGCTGGTGATAGCAACAAGAATTTTAAGTCTGGAAGAAGAAAAAATTGCCAATAGTGAAATCCTGAGGCCAAAAGATAGCAACTTACCCAGGACCTCTACCCTCCAAGCTTGTTTTTTTTAAATGTGAATAATTAGTCAAAAGGCACAAGATATAGTGTTGATTTACTTAATGTGACATAATTAGTGCACATACAGATTTTTGAGAAATTTTTGATTTCTGTTGAAAGTTATTAATCATCACACACAAGGTGAAGAAGGGGAAGAGAGAGGAGGGCACAAGTTTGTTATCTGCCTATCTGTATAACTCCAAACCATTGTTTAGTGTTGCATCTGATCATATCCTGCATCTTACACTGCATTCCAAGAGGAATCTACAACAAGGGGAGCACTTCATAAGGAGGTATGCTGGTTTCAATGCAAAGCTAGAAATCTCTAGCTGCTTCTGTGCTGTTCAGCCCTGTAAGCTTCAATTAGTTTCATGAATCAACTATGGTTTTAGTTGTTTATAAATGAAAAGGCTATTTTTAATCGAGGAGTGAAATTTAACCAGAAATCCTAGTAAGATTAATCTAACCAGTAAGAACTTGGGACATACGTTGTTTTGTTTAAATAATGCTTTGCTTCTGGTGTGTGTCTGTCACCGGAAATGGCAAACATTCCATATGACCTTCTCTTCTGGTAGCTTTTGCTTATTGCACTGGAGGTTTGCATGCTTTTCTTAAAAGTGTCTCAAAAAATGCAGCTTGTATTAAGGTTTTAGAAACCTATAGGTTTCATAAATTGATTAAATAATAAATCAGTTAAAAGGGAAGTGGTTGTTTACCTAAACACTCTGCAGCTGGTTTACACCCTCAGTGCTTGTCTATGAATGCTTATCTTGCAGTCATCCTCTTGACTGCTTGGAAGAAAGATCTGCCTTAATTTTTAATCTGGCCCAGAAATTAATATTGCTGCAGAATAGTGTGTGAAGCAAACGTAATAATGCGAAGTCAGTCACATATTTATCACTGCAACTTTAAACAAGGTCTGTGTTATGCAAACGTGCTCCTCCCCTAACCCAATTTCAGTCGCTCTACTCATGACTTAACACCAATTTCATAGAACCTGGAACAACAGACAAATCAAGTAATCTACAGACAATCTGCTGCACTCATTACACTTGTCAGCAGCGCTAACTGAAGTATCTTTTCACCTAAGCTTCTACGCTTTCAAAGAACGTGCCAAGAATACTTTGCAGCGGCCCAGCCTGATTTTTTCCAGGGCGTCAGTGCAATCAAAGTTCAAACCACAGATCAAAGAAGGCAACAATGCAGTTTCAGGAAGGACGGCAGTGTGTCCTAAGTCACAAGGATCCAAAGGGCTTCTGGAAAGTGAATTGCCAGGCATGGCAAAAAGACCAGCCAAAGAGTAGCTTGCCTATTCTAGCTTTCCTGATTTGTGTCCACATATCATAACCAGCAGTAATTCTAATGGGAGCGCATTGGATCTTTCACAATTCAAATGAGAAGTACAGTGGTACCTCGGGTTAAGTACTTAATTCGTTCCGGAGGTCCATACTTAACCTGAAACTGTTCTTAACCTGAAGCACCACTTTAGCTAATGGGGCCTCCTGCTGCTGCCGCGCCGCCGGAGCACAATTTCTGTTCTCATCCTGAAGCAAAGTTCTTAACCTGAAGCACTATTTCTAGGTTAGTGGAGTCTGTAACCTGAAGCGTATGTAACCCGAGGTACCACTGTATGAGGAATGACTTAGCCCCAAACATTTTACTGAAGGGTCCCTACACGAGAGTCACAGCCACCTACTCATCTAAGTTTATGCAGCCTTATATGGTATAACTATACAATAGTAATACTTAGCACTGCAACAATCAATGCAGATCTCCATGTGCTGCTTTTCAGCTAGAAAATGTGCCCTTCTTTCGGAGTGACTTTAGCTGTGTTTTCCTCAAAGTTCTATTGTACTTTGCAGAACTTGCACACCATTCTTTCGAAACAGAAGCGCCTTGTGTTTTCAGTGTTCCTAAATGCTTAGCTTTTGGAGCACACAGAACAAGATCTTCTTCGGCATTCTTCCCAATGCGCTTCTCCAGAGTGACCCTAGGAGTCAATATTCAGGGGCTGACTCTCCTCTCTTCACTCTGATTGGCTCCCATAAGCAAAAAAAGGGTGAAAGGGCTTCTTCTTAGTGGCTAAAAAGCTCCCCTTTCATGCTGATTGATGGCTCTAGGATGCTGGTGTTAGGGATGGCCGCTGTAGAAATAGTAACATGTCTCCAACTCCCATTGACACCACACCATTACACCTCTGTTCAGTGTAAGTCAAGTTTCCTATGCTTTTTATGTTCACAGGGCAAACTACTTTTAAGCCATTCGTGTTGATGGTGAGATAAGCTTGCATTGTTTTGCCACCGTCATAAACTCCACAGTACAATAGGTCAACAGTGCAGAAGCGGTTTGAACTTTCAAAAACCAACTTAACTCCTTATTTACAGAATGTACACACTGGACTTTCTTTTCTGCCACACGAACAGCCCTCAGAGTATTTACAACCATACAAACAACACAATAAAAACCAGTAACGTGAAAGAAGTGAATCACTATTACAAAAAAAATAAACAAATCACCCAGCACTCTCAAAAAAATAATCAAAAACAAAATTTTAAAAAATCAAATCGGGGTCACTAAACAGTATTTGCAACCCTCCAGAACAAAAGAATGCCTCCTCAGATATTGTACCCTGAGCCCATTTATGGTTTAAATAAGATCCATCACCCACACTTTGAAATGGGCTTAGAAACTAACTGCATACATATATGCATAATCTTACTTATATGCCAGCTTTCCAGTTTAAACCACACTCAAGGCAGCTTACAACATGCAAAAAACGCATTAAAAAAGTAGTCATAAACAGTAAATAAAATATTAAAAGATGTACAATTGAACGATTTCCACGCAAATCACAAGGATCTAAAATGAAGATACAGAAGACCAGTAGCAAATAACCCCCTGCCACAAGCAAAAAAACAAACGAACGAAAAAACCCAAACAACACCCCAGCCACAAAGAGTGAGCAGCGTCAAGGGCACCAGCAAGATCTGCAATATAATGAAGAGTGCTGCCGTTCAAAGTGCCAGCCAGCAAGGTCTGCCTTCTCTAGGCTACTCCATTCCATCACACCTACCTCCTCTCCCCCCCTTTATTTTCCCTCTCCCATTAAAGTCTGTGCTCAAGCAAACGCTGGGTTTTCCCCAAGCCTGCTGACAATTCTCTTTTGTGAAAGCGTGGTCTCCTTTTGGCTAGGTAAGGAAAGGCACTCAGAGAATGAGTCCGCCATTAGTATACAGAAATCTCCGAAGGCCGCATGTGCACCATGCATTTAAAGCGTTGTCGTATGTCATTAGTCATGGTTTCCCCCTAAAGAATCTTTGAAAGTGTCATTTGGTTACAGGTGCTGAGAGCTCATAGGCTGACCCCTATTCCCCTTATGGAGCTACAATCCCAGGAGTAGTTTAACAATCAATCCCTCTTGGCAGGGAATTCTGGGAATTGTAGTGCTGTGGGGGGAATAGGGGTCACCTAAGAACTCTCAGCACTCTTAATTGTAAAGACAGAGTGCCCTATATGCATTACAATGCTGTGACACCAGATGGCGCTGTGTTGTCCCGCCTTTCACCAACAGGATTTCCCTGTATGACATTTACAACGCATTTAACTGAATCGCTTTTTTGAGCCTAGGGCTTGCCAATCAGAAGGTTGGTGGTTCGAATCCCCGTGACGGGGTGAGCTCGGTCCCTGGGCTCCTGCCAACCCTGGGCTCCTGCTTGGTCCCTGGGCTCCTGCCAACCTAGCAGTTCGAAAGCACGCCCAAAAAAAGTGCAAGTAGATAAATAGGTACCGCTCCAGCGGAAAGGTAAACGGCTTTTCCATGCGCTGCTCTGGTTCACCAGAAGCAGCTTAGTCATGCTGGCCACATGACCCGGAAGCTGTACGCCGGCTCCCTCGGCCAATAAAGCGAGATGAGCGCCGCAACCCCAGAGTCGGTCACGACTGGACCTAAAGGTCTGGGGTCCCTTTACCTTTTAAATCCACCCAGTCTCAGAAGCCTTTTTCCCCTCCAGAGATTACTGTCTCCTAACATCTCTCAGCACCCTTAATGAACTATAGTTCCCAGGATTCTTTGGGGGAAGAAGTCATGACTGCTTAAGGTGGTATGGTACTGCTTTATACAGTGCAGACAGGGCCTAACAGCAGTAGCAGCAGCAGTAGTGGGAGGTTTCCATACGAAGTTTCCAAATACTCTTCCAAGGCAGCCCCACCCAGAGGGAGCACTTACCGGTTCGGTCAGGCTGCTGTCTTTCTCCAAGAACTGCACCACACAGTATGCCAACTGCAAGGAAGAGCACAGTACAGTCAGAACTCCAGGCACTATGGAAACGGCAGAGGCAGGCAGAACTTGTGTGGTATCTGAAAGTATTTATAACCAGCCTTCCAATGAGATGGCGCAGATGCAAGTCAGCTGCATCCAAGCCCACAAATCCAATGCTGCAAGCCTGAGCACAATTACACGAGGGTTCAGTTCCCTAGAATCGGTGAGATTTATTTCCGTGCCAAGAGAAAGTCGTCCGATCGCACCACTTCCATGTTTGTACATCAACTGAAAATAGGCGCCTTGAACAGCTTTAGAAGGGGATTAGAGTCCCAGAGTATGGTTTGGGGCAGGAATGGGGAACAGGATCCAGCCAGACCCCCTAAACCCCACCCTGCCAGCTGAAAGGGGGTCAGCCACCTTGGAAGACCATTGACAATGAGCCCCCTTTGGTATCAGTATGCAGAGATGAAATTTGGAACGGAAGCAGCGCTTCAGAGGCCTCGCTCTCAGGGAGCCCCGACATGCAAAGGAACGATCAGGAGCTCACTTTAAGCTCCCGATTATTCCTCTGTAGCTGTGTCCTCACCTGCCCCACACCTGATGTCAGGTGCATGGGACAGATGAGCGTGATTGGGGGGTGGGGAAGGGCCTGCAGGCAAGAGGTTCCATGCCTCTTGTCCGCCACCCGCGAAACGAGTCTGCCTCTGCGGCTTGATGGAGGTAGAAACTGTCTCTCATGCCTTGTTACACTGCCGTTTCTACGGGGATATACGCTCGATATTTATTACCCCTGCTATGCAAAAATCTCGAAATGAATCCGAACTTCAATGTCTAAAATCCCTGGTAGAGGACAAGGATCCTGAGATCACCTTAAGGGTAGCCAAATTCTGTGCAATTGCTATAAAACTTAGGGAACAAGCTGTGCTATCATAATGATTAAGGCCTTAAATGATAATTTTAGGTTATATGTTAGTGACTAAGTTTTAATTTATATATTTTTTAACTGTTGCTATATCTGTATTGTCCCTGTTATACCTAATTGCAAATTCAAATGTATCCCTATCGTGTTTTATGACTTCCTTGATATTGTACATGGGCTGGAACTGGTATATGACCGAAATAATAAAATTCATACTTGTCCGCCACCTTGCAGAAGCTAAGCAGACCCGTGTTTGGTCACTAACTGTATGGAAGACCACAAGTACGTGCCGCTGTGGGTTCCGTGATGGAAGAAAGGCCGGATACGATTGTATTTTAAAATATATATATTGACAGGTTTATCACTATGATTGATATGTCTGTATGCCAGCCCAAGGATCAGAGACAGAAAATCTCTCAATACCAGCTGCTGGGGAACCCAAGTAGAGAGAGTGCTGCTACTGAGTAGGACGCTGGACTAGATGGGCCTTTGACATCATCCAGCAGGGCACCTCTTAGGGTCTTAAACCTGCCTGTCATTTTAGGGTGAGCACAACATACGTTGACTAAATGTGCTTCTTACCTGGGGGTGGTAGACACTCAGAGATTTCACTTTGTGCAACGGCAGCAAGACCCGGATGAGGAACATCTTGTGCTCTTCCTTCAGGGGCAAAGCAAATCCATTGATTATACTGAGGAGAAGGGAGAGAATAGTAAACATCCAAGACTTGCACTGTCTGTGCATGTTTGTATGTGCACAGAGCAGTTCCCAGCCTCCCCGCCTTGCTGCTGTGCCTCAGCGTCAGGATATCCTGCAGGAAACATCTGCAATGCTCCCAGGGACTCAGCTGCAGGGTTCATATCATGCTTTCTTGAAAGACTCTTAAGCAGAAATGTGTGTGCGTGTGTGTGTAAATTTCACTTGACGCCCTAGCTTGCAATCACCTATTGAGGCTAAATCCTGGTAAGACAGAAGTACTGTCTCTGGGGGACAGGCAGCTGTGGGGGACTCCCTGGTCCTGAATAGGGTAACTGTGCCGCTAAAAGACCAGGTGAGCAGCCTGCGGGTCATTTTGGACTGACAGCTGACTATAGAAGCACAGGTTAATTCTGTGTCCAAGGTGGCTTTCTACCAGCCCCATCTGGTATGCCAACTGAGACGCTACCTGCTGTGCATTGTCTCACCAGAGTGGTACATGTCCTGGTTATCTCCCACTTGGACTATTGCAACATTCTCTACGTGGGGCTACCTTTGAAGGTGACTTGGAAACTACAGCTAATTCAGAATGCAGCAGCTAGACTGGTGACTGGGAGCGGCTGCCGGGACCATATAACACCTGTCCAAAAGGATTCATATTGGCTTCTAGCACACTTCCGAGCACAATTCAAAGTGCTGGTGCTGACCTTTAAAGCCCTAAACAGTCTCGGCCCTGTATACCTGAAGGAGTGTCTCTACCCACACCATCCAGCCCAGACACTGAGGTCCACCTCCGAGGGCCTTCTGGCAGTTCCCCTACTGCGAGAAGTGAAGTTATAGGGAACCAGGCAGAGGGCCTCCTCAGTAGTGGCACCCGCCCTGTGGTAAAAGGTAAAAAACCCCTGGAGGATTAAGTCCAGTCAAAGGCGACTATGGGGTTGCAGTGCTCATCTCGCTTTTCAGGCCAAGGGAGCTGGCATTTGTCCACAGACAGCTTTCCGGGTCATGTGACCAGAGTGCCTAAACTGCTTCTGGCACAACGGAACACTGTGACAGAAGCCAGAGCGCATGGAAATGCTGTTTACCTTCCTGCCACAGCGGTACCTATTTATCTACCGTATTTTTCACTCTATAGGACGCACTTTTTCCCCTCCAAAAATGAAGGGGAAATGTGTGTGCGTCCTATGGAACAAATGCAGGCTCCTTGGCTTCAGCGATAGCAACGTGAAGCCTCCGAAGCGCAGAGGGAGCGCTCCCTCCGCGCTCCAGAGGCTTCGCGTTGCTTTTGCTGAAGCCTGGAGACCGAGAGGGGTCGGTGCACAGCGGGAACTCGCGCTGCGCTCCGAAGGCTTTGGGTTCCTTTTGCTGAAGCCAGGAGAGCAAGACTCCTGGCTTCAGCAGAGAGGGAGAGCTGCCCAGCGCCCCTTCAGCGAAGCGGGAGGAGAAATGGAAGGGGCTCCGTTTCTCCTGCCGCTTCGCTGAAGGGGTGCTGAGCAGAGAGCGAGAGAATTTTTTTCCCTTGTTCTCCCCCTCTAAAACAAGGTGAGTCCTATAGAGCGAAAAATACGGTACTTGCACTGGCGTGCTTTCGAACTGCTAGGTTGGGAGGAGCTGGGACAGAGCAACGGGAGCTCACCCCGTTGCGGGGATTCGAACCGCCAACCTTCCCATCGGCATGCCCAAGAGGTTCAGTAGTTTAGACCACAGCACCACCCGCGTCCCTTCCACCCTGTGGAACACCCTCCCATTAGATGTCAAGGAGATAATTAACCATATGACTTTTTAGAAAACTTCCGAAGGCAGCCCTGCATAGGGAAGTTTTTAATGGCTGATGTTTTCTTGTGTTTTTGATATTTTGTTGGGAGCTGCCCAGAGTGGCTGGTTAACCCTATCAGATGAGCGGCATATAAATAATAAAAATATTATTATTGTTCCTGCCAAGGAGCCCCCTACAGAACAGGGAGGGAATAATAAAGAGAAAGGTGTACCTCTTACCTCCCTAAAATCTCTAGCAGTTCTGCAATTCCATTATGGTGTTCTGTCTCATAGATAAACCTGAGTAGAGAGAAGCAAGTGTCAAGTAGAAAACACAGGCTGGCTTCACGGGAACAGAGGCTTGTGCTCTCCACCTCCAAAATAAAAATGCTCCACATTCTGTCCCTGGAGGGGAGCAGGAAATCTGTAGCCATAAGCAGCACATCTGCATAGATTTAGTCGCTGTGTTCTGCTTTCCAAAGTGGGGAAGGCAAATAGGTCTGGATGTTTCTGGACAAGGAATTCCAATGACTGGGGGAAAGCATGGCGCAGACAGGGTGCGGCAAATAGGAGCAATAGGGAAGGAGAGGCTTGCAATGGGCCCTGAGATGCTTGCCCTGATCCTGCCATCAGGTACCATAACACCTAATCTTCCCTGCAGCCTTGTGAATCAGAAACTCCCCAGCCAGCACGGCCAATGACTGAGGATGCTGGGAGGGGTCATCCGACAACATCTGGAGGTTTGCAGGTTCCCTGTTCCTGTTCTCAGTCACTCGTAGGTCTTCCATCTATTTATCTAATCATTGTTGGAGGTAAGAGGACTACATGAAACTCCAAGGAAATGCAGTGCAACCGCTCAAATTAGGATTCAATCCTCCACACACACAAACATTCACAATAGATTAAATATTGCCGGTATCCAGTATTTACCTGTAAAATATGTTGTTGATCTGCCGCCTTATATACGCTCGGAGGCCCAAGAATTTCCCATAAATCCTATGCAAAATAGTCTTCAGAAAGTCCCGCTCTCTGGGATCTTCACTGTCAAACAGGTCCAGCAGCTGTGGATGGAGGATTTAATTACTCTCTTGGGCACTCGAATCCAGCACTAACAGATTCTCCCCACCCCACCTTCTGCTGGTGCAAAGGAGGGGCACTGGTGCTTTGTCCATGCTTTTCCCTTCATTTCAGCAACTGTTTGCAGTGAAATAGCTGCTGGAACAAAAAAAGGAGGGGGGGGCTTCTTTTGCTGCCTGCTAGTGCTTTGAAGTCTTGACTTTGGGATTTCAAAGCACTAAATGCCCTAATGTCATTTGTGATGCCAGCTGATTGCTCCGCCCCAAACTATCAAATTTTGCAGATGTGGCAGGTCCTGATAAGGATCCGACCCGTGAAGCCGGAATGATTCTCTGCCCCTAAGACTCAAGGAGATTAAACTCATACTCAGAGAATAACTCCGCTGAAACAAATGGGCATTAAGTCACGCTTCTTCATTTCAATAGGTCTACCCCAAGTATGACTTAGACAGAGACACCACTACAGAGAAGGTTCTCTCCTGTATTGTCATATACGGTATCACGTGAAATGGTGGAATATGGAGAAGAGCATCTGTTAATACATAAGTAATATAGCAAAAGGTGATCACATAATATAACATTTTGTGGGTGGGTGGGTGTGGTGGGTGGGTGGGTGTGGATATATATCCCACAATCAAGTATTTGTTCGCTATGCATTTAGACACCTCCAAAGGTATCACAACCAAATTTGATGCGATGGTTGATGAAATCAGGCAGCAGGGTATTTTTGTTTACACTTGGATGCAATTGGATGCCATTTTGAATAAAGATGGCGGACTGAGAGTGGAAATCAACATAGAATTGAAGTCAGTGTTCCAATAGTGCAAGGACTATCTCCTCCCCCAACCCTGCAGAGCAGATTTCTGGGGGAGGGCACAAGGTGTGTATGTGCATGTGTCTGTGTGTGCATAAATCCTTGTGGTAACGGAACAAGTGAACTGGGTACCAACCATATCTCTTTGTTCCATTTCCCCCCCTGACCCATGAGACTGGATCCTGCCATTACCAATTTTCTGTTTTTATTACACTGTTTTGCTTCTAGTATAGATTCCCTCAACCTGGGGAGAGATTGCCCAGCCAACTGGCTCCCTCCCCAAGGTCACCTGTCGGCCCCACCTCTTCTCTATCCTGTCCTGACCGGCCCCCATGCCATTTTTAAATATTAAGCAGTTTAGAAATCCTTTGAAATAAATGCCAAGTTAGGAGGAAGCTGCAGTTACTTACTGACAATACAAACTTCTGGTCAATATATTTCTTGGCTATGTTTGGTTGGAAGTCTGGGGACTCCAGGAACCTCAGAAAGAATTCATAAACCAGCTAAGAAGGGAGTGGGGAGAGGAAAAAACAGGAAAAGGATTATTTGTAAGTATAAGACTGGTTATTCGTATTGTGTACCTGCTGCAAATACAGGGATGCAGACGTTGTGCCCCTCCAGCCAGTTAAACCACAAAAAATGGTCAAACCTATTTGAAGAACAGTTAAAGCCCACTGACAACAATAAAAATTAAACAGATTATCCATTGGGTTTGGGTGTGGCCTCGTGCCTGGCAGTTAACAGATTGTATCAGAAACTGAAAATGATTTCCAGAATGGAAAGAGGAATGCTTTCTTTTCTTTTCTTTTTTTTAAAGAGTTGAATGGCTTTAGCTTGACAGTCCTTCTAAATGATAAAGGAGATGACAGAATGGGAGACAGGACAGAATGGGGAAAGATTCTCCCTGCCTTGCGAAAGCTAAATAAAAAGAAAGGAAGTATGTAATATCAGAGAGATGCGAGAGCAGATTGGCACAAGAAAGAGGAGCCAAAATGATGTCTCTAGAGGAAGCTTTTATCTTTATTTTCCCTGCCAGCGGGAGAACAGTCATGTCACCGGACCTCTGAGAAAGAAGACTGCAGAAATGCAGACAATTCATCTCAGCAGGAGCCTAATTCAGTGATTAAAGACCTACATTATTATGCTGGTTGGAGAGGCCCTTCCACAGCAATACAAAGGGACCAGCAGTGGGACCCATGCAGGTTTATTTGGAAGCAAATGTGCTCGTGGGATAGCTCAGTTGGTAGAAGATGAGACTCTTATTAATCTCAGGGTTGTTGTTGGGCAAAATTGCAGGAGGGGGGGATGGACTAAATGACCCTCGTGGTCCCTTCCAACTCTATAATTCTGTTTCAAGTCTCATCAACATACTGCACAGGAGCTTAAGAAGTTGCTGTATGCTAAACCTTGGTCCCTCAAGCCCAGCACCAACTTGTTGTTGAAGAAAGCATATAGTATTCTGTTAGAATGGGAAAAGAAAAACGAGGAGGTCAAATCAGTTCTGATTAAATGGGCACAAGATATAGGACATAATATACAATTTGAGGACTGGGAAAAGCTGTGGAAGGTAGACTTGAAATTTACAGACTGTTCTCTTTTGAAAGAAAATTATATGAAAATGATGTATAGATGGTATATCACACCAGTAAAAATGGCAAAAATGTACAAAACCAGGTCAGATACATGTTGGAAATGTAAAGAAAAAGAAGGTACTTTGTATCATATGTGGTGGGAATGTAGAGAAGTTAAAAAAATTTGGGAGATGAAATATAACGAATTGAAAAAAATGTTCAAAATGACATTTGTTTAAAAAAAACCAGAAGCATTTTTGTTAGGGATTTTGGACAAAACCTGCCAAGAAAAAGCAAAGAACTTATTTATGTACGCTACAACACTGGCAAGAGTCTTGTTAGCACAAGGATGGAAGAATGAGAAAATCCCAACGAAAAAACAATGGCAAGAAAAATTGATGAGCTATGCGGAGTTGGCAAAATAAACTATGTGAGAAGGACAACCGTGACTTCAAGGAAGAATGGGAACTTTTTACAAACTATCCAAAAAAAACAACAAAAGGATTTGGACTCCTTGGCAGGTTTTGAATAAACATTCACAAATTTATTAGTAGAACGTATGATAGATAAGGCAATGATATGTACAATTTTACAACATGCAGAAAATAATATGTATAAACAAATCAGAGAGGGGAGCTGAGGGAAGTCTTTGGAGGGTGGGAGAGGGAGGGAGGGGGGGAAGGGGGGGATTTAATTGGTTATATTGATTTATAATTTGATTTGTTAAATTTGTTCAATAAAAATATTTATTTAAAAAAAAGAAGAAGTTGCCTTATGCTAAACCTTGGTCCATCGAGCCCAGCACCAGCTGGCTGCTGCTCTCCAGAGTTTCAGGCGAGAGTCTTCCACAGACTTATTTGCAGCTGCTGTGGATTCCACCTGGGACCTTTTGCATGCAAAACATTGCTCCAGCACTGAGCTACAGCCCTTCTCCCTAGCAAAAGCCAAGGCGGCCGGGACATCTCAGAGGCAGTAACCTCCATGGGTCCCACCTCCTAGCCACAAAATGTTTAAACAGCGATGGCTGGTGGAGGAAAACCACTTGGAACTTCTGTCTGGAAAAAAATCAGCATGCTCTCTCCTGCTCCCTCTTTCAGATCCTAGGAGCTTATGCCAAGTAGCTGCTCATTTCACATATAAGCAAGTCACTGGTTCTCCATCGACCCGAGAAAGAGACCAAGTAGGGCATGGTGTAAATGAATATGATGCAGCAACTGTGCTGAGGGCAAAGGTGAGTGGCTGTAATCTGTCCTGCCTAGGAGACTGACTAGGAACTTTGCTAGAAGCCTTGAGTTCCATCATGTACGAAAAGCAAGATTTAAATTATGATTATTTATTAAATTTATTAGTCACTTTTCTCCTTATTTACAAATGGAACTCAAGCAGATCCACATAATACGTGAGCGACACATACCGTATTTTTTGCACCATAACACTCACTTTTTTCCTCCTAGAAAGTAAGGGGAAATGTCTGTGCGTGTTATGGAGCGAATGCCTGCGGGTGGCGGGGGGGATCTGCTGCAGTCGTGAGCAGAGGATCCATGGTTCCCCTTCCTTCCCTCCTCCGTGGTTACAAAGCATAGATCCACATGGATCCTCAGGATTTTTGCATTGGGCTACTCCAAACTCACAGTCAGATCACATGTCTGTGGCCACAGCATGAACCACAAAAATCATATATCCACTATTTTGTTTAGAATATTTTTTTTCTTGTTTTCCTCCTCTAAAAACTACGTGCGTATTATGGTCTCGTGCGTGTTATAGAGCGAAAAATACGGTACATTAAAACAAGCATAAAAACAAAATTGAAAAATCTAAAACTCGCTCGCATTTTTAAAAGACAGGACTAAAGAAACCCACCCACCGATGGAGGCCGCATATAATTACAAGTCAAAGGCCTGGGCAGAAGGGGGGAAAGGATTTTGTCTAGCACCTCAATGTAAATTATGATGGTGCCAGGTGTGCCTCCCTGGGAAGAACATTTCACAAGAGGGGAGCCACCACTGAAAAGGCCGTTTCTCGTGCTGCCATGCTCTGACCTTCCATGGAGGGTAGCACAAGGGGAAGGGACTCAGATGACGATTACAGGGTCCGGGTGCGGCCAAATTCTATATAGTATTACCTGGAGGTGTGGCCAAGCAGCTTCTAGCGTAGGTTCATCTTCCTCAGGGTCAAATTCTGCTCCCGTAGGATTGGATGACGGGGGAAGCGTACGGAAGAGATTTACTGAAAACTGAAGATGCGATAAGGAAGTTGAGAAGTTATTGCCGTTATTGTTTCTTAATGTATTTACAATATTAAAAAACACAACTACAGTGGTACCTCGGGTTAAGAACTTAATTCGTTCTGGACGTCTGTTCTTAACCTGAAACTGTTCTTAACCTGAAGCACCACTTTAGCTAATGGGGCCTCCTGCTGTTGCTGCGCTGCTGCTGCGCTGCACGATTTCTGTTCTCATCCTGAAGCAAAGTTCTTAACCCGAGGAAATATTTCTGGGTTAGTGGAGTCTGTAACCTGAAGCGTATGTAACCTGAAGCGTTTGTAACCCGAGGTTACCACTGTATATATAACATAGTTAACAAACAAAACAATACCACCCATAAAGTTCAAACGGTCCAAAGATTGTTTAATTAGCCAAAGGTCTGGGAGAAGAGAAATGTTTTCGCCGGGTGCCTAAAGATATGTAGTGAAGGCACCAGGCGAGCCTCCCTGGGGAGAACATTCCACAAACAGGGAGCCACAACAGAAAAGGCCTGTTCGTATGTTGCCATCTTCAGGGCCTCTGATGGAGCAGGCACACAAAGAAGGAGGACCTCAGATGATGATCACAAGTTTAACGCAGTGCCGCTTTATCAGAAGGGCCACGCACCCAACACATTTTGTATAACACCTATCGAAATGACGAGCTTTGTACAGAATCCCACTCTGCATCCCATGCACATTTTGGTACCCACAACCTCTCACACTATTAACCCTTTTCAGCCTGGAAGTACAGAACACGCCTTTCTTGACTTTGGAGTGTTTAAGTGATGTCACCGCCCGAAGCACAACCCAGCCATAAGCTCGGCCCTTACCATGATAACAGCTTCGGGGTAAATGGCCTCTGTGACAACATCCCGGTTGTGTGTGATGTATTCCACCATCTCGTTGAGGCCCGCTCGCTTCACCTCTTTGAACTTCAAGTCACTGAGCGGGTCAGAGACAAAGTCGAAGAGGACGCAGCATTGCCGCAGCTTCTGTATAAAGAGCTCTTCCCGTTCGTGAGGAGGTGCATCTGAGGAAACAGAGAGAGAAGGCAAAAAAGGAGAGTCCTCTTTTTCCACTGCAGCTCATCAGTTGAGCCTAAGGACCAAGGAAGGGCCTGGCAGCTGGCAAAAGGCCCGCCTACTCCAGCATCCTATTCTCACGGTAGCCAATCGGATGCTCACATGAAACCCACAAGCGGGACCTGAGTGCAAAAGCAGTGCCCTCATTGGTGACTGCTAGAAACTGGCATTCTGAGGCACACTGGCTTCAACAGTGGAGATGGAACAATAGTCATTGTGGCTAGTAGTCGCCGATAGCCTTAAAGGTAAAGGGTAAAGGGACCCCTGACCACTAGGTCCTGTCGTGGACGACTCTGGGGTTGCGGCGCTCATCTCGCTTTATTGGCCGAGGGAGCTGGTGTACAGCTTCCGGGTCATGTGGCCAGCATGACTGAGCCGCTTCTGGCGAACCAAAGCAGTGCATGGAAACGCCGTTTACCTTCCCGCCGGAGCGATACCAAGCAACGGGAGCTCACCCCGTCACGGGGATTCAAACCGCCGACCTTCTGATCGGCAAACCCTAGGCTATGTGGTTTAACCCACAGCGCCACCCGCGTCCCCGCTGATAGCCTTACCCTCCATTAATTTGTCTAATTCTGCAGGAGCGGCTTCCACACCGTGCTGTGTGTGAAGAAGCACTTGGAGCACCTGACATCAAAATGGGATGGATTGCTATCCTTTCTCTTGCCTCTTTTCTCTTGCCTCTCTTTATGGTCCTTCTGCTCTGCGCATGCTCACTGAGAGAGACTGGAGTAAGTAAAATAATGAGCAGCAGCTCCAAGTTTTCAATGCACCTTTGCTATGAACCACTGGCGGACCTCAAGCAACCTGCTCTCTCTCTCTATCTCTCTCTCAACCCCAGCCTCTCCCAATCCTGTAATATGGTATTACGATGACAATGACCTACCTCGCAAGGCTGTTGTAACAACTACAGAGGTAACATACATGACGTACTTTGGATATTTCTACACACACACACACACACACACACACACACACATTTTTTCCACTAACATAAGAAGTGTTCTGTTGGATCAGACCAAAGATTTATCTACCGTAATCTAAAATACTGTTTTCAACAGCAACCAGCCAAGGGGCCGTCTTTGCCATTCCACTCCCTGCGCCTTGAGCAGTCTTCCCTCCTTCCATATCCTTCAATTCCTTCCTCCAGAGCCTATTCCTGCACTTAACCAAGGAATCAAAGCTTTCTTTTATTACATTTGAGATGCAGCAGAGTATCTAATTCAGGTCTTTTAATTCCTCTAAATATTTTGGGTACACGAACTTGTGATCCTTCCATGAAGTGCAATCCCATGACACACCATTTGTAATGTAGCGCAATGTCCTGGAATGTAGTGAGAGAGATCTGCACAGTGTGGAGAGGCAAAAAAAAAGCACCCCAAAGTGTCTGAAGCAAGAAGGACAGTAGAGAGGCAATGCTAAATTAAACCTGCCCAATTCACGCTGGAAGATGTCAAATTATGATGCTTTGGGGAAAGCCACCTTCCATAAATGGATTACTTCAGATTTCCTTAAAGCTTGGATTTGTTTTATTCTGCATTGATTTATTTGATGTTTTAATGTGTTGCAAGCTGCTTTAAAATATAAAGCAGTATAGGTATGAAACGAATAATCATCATCATCAACTTCACCGGGGAAAATGGAACCCAGACATTCCATTGTAGCAACCATAACCTGGGTTTAAGGTGCCATTTGGCAATTACCGTATTTTTTGCTCTATAAGACTCACTTTTTCCCTCCTAAAAAGTAAGGGGAAATGTGTGTGCGTATTATGGAGCGAATGCAGGCTGCGCAGCTATCCCAGAAGCCAGAACAGCAAGAGGGATTGCTGCTTTCACTGTGCAGCGATCCCTCTTGCTGTTCTGGCTTCTGAGATTCAGAATATTTTTTTTCTTGTTTTCCTCCTCCAAAAACTAGGTGCGTCTTGTGGTCTGGTGCGTCTTATAGAGCGAAAAATACGGTAGATTATATACCTGGGTTTCCAACACTGTGTGAAGGCAACATAAATATGCCAGATACACCCAGGTTTGCCAATATCCAGTATCCGTGTCCTTCACGCCCTCCACTTTCTGACTTCTCAATATGCAAAGCTACTTCCTTTCCATGACTTGATTCCAAGTACGAGAGCTGGGCAACGTGATGGCAGAATCTCCTGGCTCTTCCCCTCACCTGAAGGGAGAATAACTGCGGTGGTGTTCCTTAGCATTGTCATGCAGCGTGATGCCTTCCCCAGACTCAGGAGTTGCTTTCCTTTCAGCACTGCAGCTGCTTAAACCAGCATGACTCACAGCTGAATCAGTCCTGTTTCTACCTATAGAAACCTTCCTGGGTGTCACGCAGGCTAACTAGCCGCTGCCTGGTAGGCATTAGGTGATTTTGATTAACAGCAGAAAGGGTACGGGCTGTTCTGAAAGTCTCGGAACGTGGTGGACTCCCTTCTTTGGGTAAGTATTTCTACTGAATGGCTTTCTGCCCATATGGATGCCAAGCAGCAACAGAATCACACTACTGCTCTTGTAAGCATGTTCACTGTGAAATATGGTAGCCTAACTTAAAAGAGTGTCTCTGTAGGACACCATGGGTTGATGGAGGAATTAAAGTATGACTAGGTCTGTTAGCGACACGGGTGGCGCTGTGGTCTAAACTACTGAGCCTAGGGCTTGCCGATCGCAAGGTCGGTGGTTCGAATCCCCGCGACGGGGTAAGTTCCCATTGCTCGGTCCCAGCTCCTGCCAACCTAGCAGTTCGAAAGCACATCAAAGTGCAAGTAGATACTACTGCTCCGGCGGGAAGGTAAACGGTGTTTCCGTGCGCTGCTCTGGTTTCACCAGAAGTTGCTTAATCATGCTGGCCACATGACCCGGAAAAACTGTCTGCGGACAAACATTAGCTTCCTCGGCCAGTAAAGCAAGATGAGCACCGCAACCCCAGAGTCGTTTGAGACTGGAATTAACTGTCAGGGGTCCTTTACCTTTACCTTTTTTTAGGTCTGTTGTGGATTCAAACCAAACTGTGTCAAAGCCATCCTTTTTTTCCTTTTCCTTTTTTAACCTCCCATAATCTTCAATCTTCCTGTTACCTTTTCAGCTAAAGATAAGGGCCAATTGTTCATCTTCCACCAGGATAATGTTACTCCTAGACCAGTTTACCAGCACTTACTTATCAGCCTCTGCCAAAAATATAACTAAGTCCTTGTAGGTACATTGGTGTAATTATGGGCAAGAACACTTGCTGAGTAATGCACTGTTGCTTACAACCTGGACTCTCCTCTGCTGGAGGTTCTTAGCCAGAGACTGGGTGGCCCATTCCTGACAGGGGCGCTATAGCAGGATTCCTGGGACTAGATCAGAGTTCTTCAACCTTGGGCCCTTAAAATAACAAATAACAATAATTTATACCGCGCCCGTCTGACTGGGTTTCCCCAGCCACTCTGGGTGGCTAGTGCAATGGATGAGCCTCACCCTAGGAAAACCTCCTTCATGATCAAGGTGTCTCCCCTGCCAGGTAAGTAAGATGCCATTGGGCTACAGCTCCCTCTTCTGCAGCCAGCTTAGCCAACAACATATGGGGACGCAAGGTTAAAAAAACGCTGGACCAGATGATTTCCTGAGGTCCCTTCCAACTCGGTGATTTCAAGGCGACTCAACTCCTTCTAGGGACATGGGTGGCGCTGTGGGTTCGAATCCCCGCGACGGGGTGAGCTCCCGTTGCTCGGTCCCTGCTCCTGCCAACCTAGCAGTTCGAAAGCACATCAAAGTTCAAGTAGATAAATAGGTACCACTCCAGTGGGAAGGTAAACAGCATTTCACTGCTCTGCTTCACTTAGTCATACTGGCCACATGACCTGGAAGCTGTACGCCGGCTCCCTCGGCCAGTAAAGCCAGATGAGCGCCGCAACCCCAGAGTCGTCCGCGACCGGACCTAATGGTCAGGGGTCCCTTTACCTTTACCTTTACCACTCCTTCTCACCTTTAAGGGCAGGGAGCTTCTGGAGTTCCCGGTTTTTGCTTAAGTTGAAGCGGGAGGAGCTCTGCCGCCGCTCCTTCTTTACAATCTGGGGTCCCCCTGAATACTTGATCTTATTCAGCTGGGTTGGTGGGGGGGTGCTGTTGCTGGGTCGCTTATTCGAGGTCTGCTGCTGCTGCTGTTGCTGCTGCTGCTGCTGCTGGACCTGAAGAGAAAAGGAGGTACACAGACAATAAATGGTTAAGTGCTAACTTGACATCAACGCTCCTGTAAGTAGTTAAGTGGTTTGCTGTAGATAAAAGAGTCGGTGCGCTGTGTTGGTTAGAGCGTCAGGTGCGATCTTGGGAGACCAGGGTTCGAGTCACCACTTGTCCATCAAGTCCGAGGGATGACCTCGGGACGGTCACTATCTCTCAGCCTAGTCTTCCTCATAGGGTTGTCAAGAGAAAGAACGGGAACCGTGATAATTGTGTATGCCGCCTTGAGCGACTTGGGAGAAAAGGTGGGGTAAGAAATGTAAAAATAAAAATAAAAAAACAAAAAAACTATGCACCCAAGTTTATATTACTTCGGTGCTATAAGAAAGCTGCAAAGATAGTGCAGGATAGTGCACACCCCGGAAATGATCTCTTTCAGCTTCTGCCTTCTGGAAGAAGGTACAGGGTTATAAAGACTAGGACTAGCCGCCTGAGAAACAGTTTCTATCCAAATTTTGGTTTTAAACGCAGTGTAAGGAGTCTATGTAGGAGTATATTGTATTTTAAAAATGGGATATCAGAGATTTTAGGGGGCTAACCAGGCTGGGATAGCAGGCTTGTTGGTTTTGAATGTTTTATGTATATATTCTTTTTAAATTTCGTTGTTCTGTATGGGACAATGACAATAAAGATTATTGTATCGTATCTTGTATCTTGTGGTGTTTTTTAAAAAAAGTGTATCCAATTAAGTTTTAGTTAATAGTAGGCCCATAGAAATTAACAAACCCAAATCACTTGTGTTCATTTATTTCACTAGGTCTGCTTGGACTAAAAAATTTTGGATACAACTCTTGGTGCAATTTGTAAAGCAACAATTATATCCTACTGGAAGGACCTACTGTAAACACAGTATCTAAGAATCACTGTCAAATATTGTCACATTTGATTATCTCTCGTCAAATGATGTGGGTTATCCCTGTTACAGTTCATTCCGTTGTACGGTACGGTACCTGTAAACTGCTACTTACGACTTACGATAAGCATTTAACACATCCGTATACCACCCTAGGTAACATTTTATCCCAGCATAGTTTTCAATGTAATTTTAAACAAAGCAATAAAACAAGCCAGTTAAGACCAATAAAACAAACAACATAATCAGCGCAACCCAAAAAATAAAACAGCTAGGGAAGCAGCAATCAGAAGCTTCCAGCTTCTATTCAATGAAAACCATTAAAATGCTTGGGGGGGGGATGTCTTAACTTGATGCCTAAACAGTAATAAAGTGGAATCCAGGCAACTCCCATCGGCCTCAGCCTGCATGGGCAATGGACAAAGATGCTGAGAGCTGGGGGGGGGCACAGGTTCCCCATACCTGCCCTACAGAAACCTATGGGCAGTTCAAATGTAATGCCAAATCATGATCTCAATGAGCTGTGAGAAGCCATGTTACTTGTGTGCTTCCTCCCCATCCCCTTCACGTGTCAATTCGCTCCCTCCAATCCTGCCTTGAGGAATCACAGTATCAGGGAATTGTAAAGTTGAAAGAGACCCCCCAGGGGCATCTAGTCCAACCCCCTGCAATGCAGGAATCTCAACTAAAGCATCCATGACAGATGGCCCACCCAATCATATCCTTCAAACTCTATATCAAATTCCACGAGTCTATCTCCTCTCAGTGGTTTTATAATACAGTCATACCTCATGTTACGTCTGCTTCATGTTACGTTCTTTCAGGTTACGTCACGCGGCGACCCGGAAGTACTGGAAAGGCTTACTTCCGGGTTTCACCGCTCGCGCATGCGCATAAGCACAAAATGACATCACGTGCATGCGCAGACGCAGCGAATCGCAACCCACATGTGCGCAGACGCGCTACTGCGGGTTGCGTTCTTTTCATGTTGCGAATGGGCCTCCGGAACGGATCCCGTTCGCAACCAGAAGTACCACTGTACTGCTCGAACAAAAAACGAAACCTGTGGCTCGCACTCATCCTGCAAATCAGGATACAGGCAGTGTTAAACCTATAACACCTCTTGGAGGTGAACCTAAGGCTTGGGATGTACCCTTCAGCCCCACAATGCTTACCCCAAAAAACTACCTCCTAGGAGAAAAGAAACCTGGAACGCATCATGCTAGCTTGACTTTCCTTTATTTCCTTTATTTGTATGTGTCCTAGGGCACACATACAAACAAAATGTAGGCTTTTTTCTTCTTCCTTCAAGACCTTTTAGAAACTGCTCCAGCCATTGATTACCTTGCCATTATTTCACGGTGAGGTCCGTAAGGCGTAGCTGTTAAAATGGAAAAGAAACCCTATACATTTTTAACACAGGGCCCTATTTTTCCATTTGCCTGGGCTCTCTCCTTTAAGAGGTTCCGTTGCCATTTACATTGATTTCTTTTTCTTTTACCATAACACATTCATTCATTAAATCAAGGGTGTACAACTCTCAGGTCTGGAGGGCCAACTATAGAGCTCCAGAACTCTCTCTGTGGCTTTCAGGACTCTGCCTAGGCTACATGCCTCTCCTCAGACCACACATCTTACCAGCCCTATGTCACCAGCCTCTATGAGTGCTTTTGCCTGCCTGTAAGCTGCTCTTGAACTGTGATAATGACTCTTGCTCACCTGAATGGAGAGACAGGTGTGCGGGTACCGAAAACTCTTGACTTTTGCATGGTTGAAATGTAGTCTACAGCGGTACCTCAGGTTAAGAACTTAATTCGTTCTGGAGGTCCGTTCTTAACCTGAAACTCATCTTAACCTGAGCTACCACTTTAGCTAATGGGGCCTCCCATTGCCGCCGCATGATTTCTGTTCTCATCCTGAAGCAAAATTCTTAACCCGAGGTACTATTTCTGGGTTAGCAGAGTCTGTAACCTGAAGTGTCTGTAACCCGAGGTACCACTGTACTGTACAAAAGGTTAAGATTCACAGCTCTGGTCAATGTTAGAAACTCAAGTTATATAAGCCAATCACTGAATGGCACCTTAAAGCTAGGTTGAAGTCACCACAGCGAAATGTCTAGGCCAGGGTTAGAAACTGAGATAGAAAAGCTAGGAGCCAAATGGCTTCTGGTACCTGGGTCATGAGCGCCATTGTGGGGGACACAATACTTTATTTATTATTTTGATAAGCATGAACTAATATGCAAATCACATAAGTGACACATTGTTAATTTCACAATTTTAGAAGAAATTGTAAATACATGTTTAATTTGATGTTTACAATAGCAATATTGGTACCATACTTCAGTTTTCAAAACACTCTACTCTTTAATCCAAACTCTTCTTAATTGTTAAATTCTTTAACATATTGTCTCTCCTTAACATATACTTTGAGACTTCAAAGCGCATACATTGAGCGTCAGCCAGGCACAAAAAATTGCACCCACACTTTTTGAGCTGCTCACAAACAGAGAATCTTTAGGCACAAAATGCATCCGGCGCCCTGCTAATTTCGAACCCTGGTCTAGGCACCTTTTTTTTTGCAATTTAATTTATTATTGCTATTCATTTCTATACAACTTTATTTTTTAAAGAAAAAAAATATCAAAGCTGTTTACAGCACATTAAAACACCAAATAAAATCCAGAATAAAACAAGTTCAAGCTTCAAGGAAAATATTTCAGATCCTTCTCTAAGTGACATTTTGCTTTCCCCATATTTATTTACCTACTTAATTCATATAGCTGCCCCATAGCAGAGGGACTTTAGGAAACCAGAGTGGTATAGCGCTTAGAGCAGGCATCCCGAAACTCGGCCCTCCAGATGTTTTGGGACTACAATTCCCATCATCCCTGACCACTGGTCCTGTAAGCTAGGGATGATGGGAGTTGTAATCCCAAAACATCTGGAGGACTGAGTTTGGGGGTGCCTTGCTTAGAGTGTCAGACTAGGAGCTGGGAGATCGGGGCTCAAATCCCCAGGGAAGCTCACTGGGTGACCTTGAGCCAGTCACAGCCTCTTGTCGTACCTCACAGGGTCATTGTAAGGTTTATCTGAGGAGGGGGAGGAGCCATGTACTCCTGAGGAAAAGGTGGGATATAAATGCAATAAATAAGCTCTTCTGCTTACTTTCTTAAGAAAACAGGAGGGGCCAGTCAGATGGAGGTGTCAGTTGCGAACCTGGCATCCAGAGACCTCCATGTGGTCACAACTGGACCTGTGCCAGTCGCAAAACGCACCAGGGGAATTTCTAACACTGCCTCTGGCCATGCCCATCACGGGCATATGACCCATGGGAATGCAAACTGAATTCCAAGACTGAAAAAGGTTCCCCAGTTCCACATTAAATGAAAAATGATTTTTTTAAAAAAATTAAAATGCAGGCAAGGCGGACACCCTCAGAGAATCCCAAAAGAACAAGAGTCTTGCCTTCACTAAGGACTAGCTCACACATGCATGTTCACTGCTCCTTATCTACAGCAGCAAGCCGCCACTTAGCGCACATGTCAAATGCCTGCCTTCCCCCCCCCACAGGCAGAACTGCCGTATCATCCAATGTCAATTCAGAACCACGGCACTTCCAAATGGAGACAGCTTGCTCATTCTGCTGAGAGCCACCAAGCTTCGGAGGCGGGGGACTAGTGCCATGCGTGACTCAGCCCTGGGTGTGTTTGAATTCATGCTTGCTGCTCGTTAATAAGTGCCCTGTTATCTTAAGAGGATAATTTCACATTTGCAGAGGGTGGGTCACCTCAACAGTATAATGAAGTGGATGAAGCAGCAGACCGGTCGCAGAAGAGTTTTGCGCAGAAAATGTCAAACCTTTCTCCGTTTGCACAGCCACCTGGCAGAACTCTGGACGCAAATCCGAAAGAAGACAAAATCTAGGCAAGGCTTTCCCCATCATACAAAACAGGCTGAAGTGGTGGGCTGGTGGATTGCGAATACTGCGTTGTGAATGCAGTAGCCAGACACCTGGGCTTGAGCTGATCATCTGGCCAAACTGCATGACACCAAACTGCAAAGTCTGGACTCTACGGTTCTTTGCAGCTTACCGCAACCTCACACACAAAAACCCTGAAATGCAAAGTCCTTTGCTGCCTTTGCACCCGGTCTCCTTCCCACCCCCACCTTTTGGGCCTTCATCTGCTGTTCTTTTCGAAACCTGCTTTTATCTCCTTGAGCCGAACTCTCCTTGGGTTTACTCTCCCAAAGAGCTAATTAGGAGTCACTCCATGCTGATCCGCCCCAAAGCCAGTGAGAGGAAAGCAACAAAAGGATTGGTAAGCTAGTCACAGTGCAGGATTTCAACAGAGAGCTTCCCCCCAGCTTTGAAATCGCCTTCCTCCTGAGGTTCCAATGCCCAAGGCAGAGTAACATTGGGAAGAGGATTTAAGAAGTGAGCAAAGTATAGATTTGCAGCATAATAATGAATGGAGACGTTAACAATGAGGCTGGGAAGGAGGAGCTGGAGGGGAGGGAGAGTCCATCGTCCAGACATCAACGCAGCGGTGATCCAATGGATCAGAGTTGTTTGCTGAGGACAAGGCCCGGGCTGATAAAGTGCTGCAAGAAACAGATAGGCTCAAAGATACTGGTCAATCTTGACCATGATCAAGTTAACACGCTTTAGGAGAGCTTGCACCGCACGACCAAATGCGTTTCTGGAACAATGGTGATTCACTGTGCTCTGGAATGTAAAGTATTGTGGCAATATGCACCCTTTGGGAAGAAGGGAGCACTACGAATTGAATGAATGAATTTTATACGGCTATAGCTGCACACTTTATTATTTCGTGCAAGCAATGATGCAACTGCCTTTGTACTCAGTGAGATTTTAATTTTTAAAAGGCTACACGAAACTAGATGAGGAATGGCTGTGTGTGTGTGTGTACGCGCATGCACACGCACGCGCACACACACAGCCTTCTCTCTCCAGAGCCCTGGCAAATGTAAAAGCAGGAGGAGATTAAACTGGAGCTGGTATAAACAAATATATCAAAGGGGAGGGGAGGATTCTGCAGGACACCTAGAAACAGGAGAGGCAGGGGGAGAGAGAGAGAGGAAAAAATAACTCAAAGTGAAGCAGAACCCCATTCCTAAATGCTGCCCTCGTTTCGCCAACACAAGGCTGGCAGAACTTCCCCCTGGATTCACTCCAAGTTCGTTTCTCGCCTCCCAAATCCAACCCTTAGCAGGTTAATTCAAAACGTTTCAAAAATGGCATTTTAAAAAAAGGCTCAAAGAACAGGAAGCTCTCCTTACAGGTTTGTGTAGCCCCTCTTTCCCCTCAATGGGGGAGGAGGAAAAGCATTTTTAAGGTCTAGGCGATGTGGGGAGGGGAGAGAGAAAGGCTGTGGATGGCAGCTATAGGAAATGGGGGAGGCATTCCCTGGACCACGGGGAAAAAAAGAGTACTGTGGGAAGCAAACTGGACCAAACAATGCTCTCCAAAAGACATTTGGAAATGGATGGCCCTTTTTCTGCTGCCCAGCCCTCGCTCCCCACTTCTCTTACAAGGGCCATGGGGCGCCTTGCCAGCCCCCACCCCACCCCCGCTGCCTGCTGAATATTAACAGGATCTCACCACAGCCAGTTCATTATAAGTCTGAAGAGGCCCTGTGCCACTTCTCAGCGCATCCTTCCCCAGAATCTTGAATAGAGTATATTAAAAAGAGGGAGAGAGAGAGAAAGGTTGTATCAGCCTGTCAGTTGGGAGTGTTTTTTAAAGAAAAGAAGAATACACACGCAAACGAACCTCAACAAAACCTCCACAAATTATAATGACTAATATGAGCCCCCCTGGAAGATTTCTGGTTTAGAAGCACCTGGCGACAGCAGAATAAGCAGAAACAGCCTCTTATTGTTTTGCCCAGAGGAGATCAGAAGATTTAAAAGGCAACAAGCAGCCTTATTGGAAGTTCCTGCAACTGAATTGATGTGCTTTCATCAGAAACGTGCTTGCACAGAGTTTGCTGGCTTAAAAAACAAGCACACTGTCCCGCCCAATTTTTGAGGACAAGAAGAAATAAAAGAGAGTCTCTCTCTCTCTCTCTCTCTGGACTTAAACTATATGTGATGCCTGCTGCTGCATATTTTTAAGCCACTAATAGCAGGCAACAAGGAGGGATGATTTTCATCAGGACCTTTCCTTCCCTGCTGAAATTTCCCATAAAAATCGCCTCCCACGGCTGCTACCATCAGCATGGAAGGAAACATGGTTTTTTGGCACCAGTGGAACGTAAGAAGACTCCCCACTGGAAAAGACCAATGGACCAGCTCAGGCATCCCCAACCTTCGGCCCTCCAGATGTTCTTGACTACAATTCCCATCATCCCTGACCACTGGTCCTGTTAGCTAGGGATCATGGGAGCTGGAGGTCAAAACATCTGGAGGGCCGCAGGTTGGGCTGCCTGGCCCAATGACCTGTTCTCTCAGAGGCCAACCAGATGGCTATGGGAAGTCCGAAAGCAGGACCTTAGCATAACAACACTCTCCCCCCACTTGCAATTCCCACAACTAGCATTCAAAGAAGCATTGCCTTCCAAAAGTGGGGACAGAACCTGGCCATGGGGGCTAGTAGCCATTGAGAAGCCCTATCCTCCATGAATGGGAGCTTCCCTCTTGCGGTTAATAGCAGCCGGAGGGGGAGAAGGCGGCCAAGAAGAAAGGTTTAACCTCTTCCCACGCACTGTTGTTCTGATGAAAATTCCTGTCTCTGCCAAGCGGCTGCTTTTTTAAAATAAAGAGGGAGCAGCGAGTGCCGAATTTAGCATCACATCCAGTTTCGGCCTTCTGTTCCAACTCTGAAAATGACAAAGCAATAAACACTTGAAACTCAAAAAGAGTTCGAATTATCTCTTTTTAGGATTTCTTTCTCACGTTACAATTTAGCATCCCAAGGTAAGTAGTCGGAAGAAGATGGTTGGGGTTGGCGAAGGTATCCCTGCATCGCAGGGGGTTGGGCTAGATGGCCTTTGGGGTCCCTTCCAACTCTATGATTCTATGAAAAGTAGCTATAGTAGAATTGCAGGATGTGGGCCATTAGCAGCAGAAACTTAGGATCTCCTGCCCTTTTTGTCAGGGTCTTATAAGTGAACAGGTTTGCAGAATCCTTCATTCCTCTTTATGTGGTAAGGAACTATTGTAACCGTTCCTACTCCTGGCTAGTGGGATGGAAGAACCACAGCTTTTTAGAGCCAAGGTACAAAACCAGATGTCCCATGCAATGCATCTTTTGCTTGACATCTTAGATTGCAGAAGCGATCAAATACCTGAATGATTCCTGCTTCCATATAAAAACTAGCACACTTGTAAAAACTGCACTGTGGACAACTGCAAGGCTTGACCATTCAGTACAGTTGGGTATCTCTTTGCTCTTCTGGCAAAGAGTGCTCTCTCTCTTTTAATTTACCTACATATTTATAATCCACACTTTTTTATATATGTAAAAAATAAAGACAATAGTACAACACAGGAGAATAAAATCAGCATAAAAACATCAATAAATACTCATTGGCTAAAAAAAAGAGAATTCATGTTAAGAACAGAAGAAATCTGGATAGAAGGGTGGTTCCTGCCAAACCTCTACTGGCAGTGAGTTCCACAGGACAGGGCCTGCCACACTTAAGGCTCAGTCCCTTTTCACACTTTACATTTAAACAAAGTCTCTCATTTCTGAGGTCCCAGCATTGCAAGACTTGGGTATCAGCACTGGCTCTTGAAACTGCCTTTGCCATGTTGATGTTTCCTCATTCAATGTTCTCTCTCACACCCCTCTCCCTTGGGTCTTCATCCACTGTTCATTTTTAGACCTGCTTTTAAAATGCGTGTGTGTTTGTGTGTTCTTGTTTCCACTATGTAAGATTCTCTTCAGTTGTGCTTGCCCTGAAAATGAATAGAGAGCTTTCCTAGTGCTGATCCACTCAAAAGCCACTAAAAGGAAACCAACAAAGGATCTAGGCAACATAGCATGTCTAGGCTAGAATCCATCTCCCTGACCTGCTAGCATCTTGAAAGCACAGGAGCTGCTCTGTTTCGTTTTACTGAAAGGCAGGGAGCATCCAAGCATTTAGAGCAATGCGGTTCAGCAACGGGCACCTCTGGGCTGTAGCTCAGCTAATGAGCATCTGCTCTGGATGAGCAAGGCTCCAGGTTTAATCCCTGGCACCTCCAGGTAAGGGCTGTGAGAGATTCCCAGAAAGATGCTGCCAGTCAGCTAGATGGACCAATGGTCTGACTTGGCATTGAGGCAGCGTCCTAAGCAGCCTTGGTTCCCTCTGCTTTGTCATTTCCAGGAATGGCTCTTAAGTCTGCTCACTGTTCCTTCAACCTGCTCGTGCTCTTTCTGAAGCCGGAAGAACAAGCAGCTGCAATGCAATTACCCCTCCGTGTGCTCTGAGCAACAACTGTGCTTCAGACTAAGGGGCAGGTTTCATTTCCTCAAGCATCAGGGCCACACTGCAAGGCACCCACTGCTGCATGGGCGACTTTAAGAGGACTAGGCAACGGAGGGTAAGGCTATTAGAGATAGATGCCTGTGGAAATCACCTTGCCAGCAAAGGTCCGTATAGTTAAAGCCATGGTTTTCCCAGGAGTGATGTATGGAAGTGAGAGCTGGACCTTAAAGAAGGCTGATCACCGAAGAATTGATGCTTTTGAATTATGGTGCTGGAGGAGACTCTTGAGAGTCCCATGGACTGCAAGAAGATCAAACCTCTCCATTCTTAAGGAAATCAGCCCTGAGTACTCACTGGAAGGACAGATCGTGAAGCTGAGGCTCCAATACTTTGGCCACCTCATGAGAAGAGAAGACTCCCTGGAAAAGACCCTGATGTTGGGAAAGATGGAGGGCACAAGGAGAAGGGGACGACAGAGGACGAGATGGTTGGACAGTGTTCTGGAAGCTACCAGCATGAGTTTGACCAAACTGCGGGAGGCAGTGGAAGACAGGAGCGCCTGGCGTGCTCTGGTCCATGGGGTCACGAAGAGTAGGATACAACTAAACAACTAAACAACGAGAAGGCAAATTGACGGAGGGTAAGGCTATTGGTGGCTAGAGACAGCATGTCCCTGTATACCAGCTGCTGGAAGGGAGAGCACTGTTGCACTTATATCCTGTATGTGGGATTTCCACAGGCATCTGACTGGGCACTCTGAGGATTGCATGCCCAGATAGGCCACTGACCTGGCCAGCAGGGCTCTTCTAATGTAGACTTCTGAGCAGCCCTTGACACTGGGGCCCGCCCCCCAAGTGTTTGAAATTCATTGCCATACGGAGAGGTAATTTTATTAGTGTTGCTGGAAAAAGAACTTTGCGGGTTTCTCTATCACCACCTCTGCTTCTCTCTTTGCAAACTGGAGCAGCTCACTTCTAATTGTTCCTTCCGGCATCTTTATTAGGGCTGCCAGTTCTCTGCCCTGCAGAGCTGGAGGGTAGGAAACTTCCCAAAATCACATTGGTGTCTAGCTGCGAGGAGCTCTCCAAGATGTCAGGCAAATATCCTTCGCACATCACCTGCTACATGAGCCTTTTTTTTTTTAAGCTGGGGATCCTAGGGATTGAACCCGAGGCCGTCTGGACTCAAAGCATGAGCTCTACCTGTAGAGCTATGGTCCATCCACAGTACATGTCAGAACAAACAGAGCTTGATATGATGTTGAGCTTGCAAGTGGGGAGAACTTCCTCTGCTAAAGTAAAGCTCCAAGAAGGGCAGTGGGTGTGATGCAATGCATCAGAAACACAGAACATGGTACTGGATTCAGGATTAACATGGTACTGCTTATTCTGCTCCCACAAAAACTCAGTATTCATAAAAAGGAGCGGGCAAGCTTCCTGTTCTTGTGGCTGGAAAGGCATGCTTGAAAGTGTGTGGTTAATGCCTCCTGAAATCTCAGCAGCCGGAGAATTGATAAACAAAGACTTCCTAAGCTTGGTTGGCTAGGTGGGGGGAGAAAAACAGGAGTCCAGTGCCTTCTGTTGGTTTTTGTCCATCCCCACTTCCTAACTAGAAAAACCAGGATAAATTAAGTAACACGGAAATGGGGAATAAATTAAACAAGGGAAATTATGCAAGTGTGCTCATTTTTGCCCGAGCATATGGACATTGCAGAACTGAACTTTTGTTGATGCAGAATTTTAATTTGATTTGTTTGAGCAAAGAGTAAACATGGTCCTGCCCTGCACACTGGAAGCAACTACAAGCTAAAGGCCGCTGCTGCAATAATTAGTTTCAATGAGAGAACGTATCAGCTTGCACACATGATGATTTTCACACCTCAAATACCTAAATTTATCCTTTGCATGGGGAGTAACTGAGAGACAAATTATTTTGGAGGAGAGAGCTGGAAACCTGCAATCAGTTTTGCCTAAGGAAGACATGCCCCGTCAGCCTATGTAAGCAATAAGTCTGTACTTGCAGGAGATAATGGGTGTGGCTTCCATTTGTACGACTAGTGTTGTACCTTTGGCAGCGGCAGATCTGACATAGGAGAGGAATTGCAAGGAACATCTTAGTGCACATCAGGAATGGAGCAGGGCAGGATTGTTCAGTAGCAACACCAGTCCAGACCTCAGAGAGATTCTGGCAAATGAGCCATACTAGGATGCTGGTTCAAAATCAGAAGGCATCCGATAAAGAACCAACTCATGACTAAATGTGCATTGCATGAGTTTGGTTACGCACTGGTGCCACAGCTGCCATTGAAAGGAGTTGCAGATTTACATCTACAAGGCTGGCTTTGAATTGCATGTAGGGCACAGGCCCTTTTCTCTACTTTAAGCGGGCTTTGCTTAGGTCAGTAGTTTCAGAGGGCTGCTGTTTCCACTCTGCTCTGCGACCAGAATTCCATCAAGAAGGCATCAAAAAGCAATGCAGACTTAAAATGTGCCCTGCTGTCTATGGGAGCGAGACAACGGGAGTTCTTGGTTTGTGTCCAGATCTCTGCACATTAAAAGCCTGCACACAGACATTATATTTCAGCATCTGATTGCTCTGGGTAACTGCCGGGTTCACCTCTATGTAGATGCACACCCATTAGAAGCAACTAAAGATCATTCTTTGCTAGGGTGTGACTGCTGCCCAGCTCCAACATAGCAGGCAGGAATAGAGGACAGCTTCTGAGCTTCTCCGGCCCATTTGCTATTCTAATTATTTTCAGCCCAAAGAACATCTTGCTAATGGATGCAAGCTGCTGAACAGTTTGCAGGTTTTCTTCCATGCCTTCCCCAATGTGGAGGAAGAACGGGATAAATCCCAAGTACGGAAAAATAGGGATTCCTGACCCACATGGATTTGCCATGAGCTTTAGTGCTAGGCCCCTAAACAGTTAAGTTAGGGAAATCTAGGAAATCTGGAATATTTTTTCCCAGCCCTACTCAAGAGGGTAAAAGCTGACACCCCCAATTCTTTCATGCCAACTGCTGGGGCATAGCAACAGCTTCTCAGCCGAAATTAACGGAAAGCCTCGAGTTAGTTTTACACTTGCTTCCAGGATGCTCACAATTGCTTAGCACATTCTTAGGTGTCACACACTCACAACTATGCTTTCAGAAACTGCATTGGCATTGTTTTTCTAGCAGGCTGTGTGAAAACTAGAGCTGTTGTTTCATTGAATAGTAACAGCCATGCTAGCGCAACAGAACATTATTTACTGATAGTTTGAAAGAACTGCAGCCATTGTCATTAGCAACTTTTAATCAATGCCACAAGGGTAGCTGTATTCTGGTGCAGCAAAAAATATGACAAGAGTGCCTGGTGGCATCTAAAAAGACTATGGCTGCAATCCTAACCATGTCTACTCAGAAGTAAATCTCAATGAATTCAATGGGGCTTACTCCCAGATTAAGTGGGGTCCGTACGATAGCCTTAAATATTTTCAGCAGCCTGACCTCACTTTGTCATTTTATTCCCTCTCTCTTCGGCCACATTCACACCATACGTTTAAAGAACTTTGATACCACTTTAGACTGTCATGGCTTCCACCCAAAAACTGTGGGAGCTGTAGTTTGTTTAGGGCTGGCTTCCTCAACCTCGGCCCTCCAGATGTTTTTGGCCTACAACTTCCATGATCCCTAGCTAGCAGGACCAGTGGTCAGGGATGATGGGAATTGTAGTCTCAAAACATCTGGAGGGCGGAGGGTGAGGAAGCTTGGATTAGGGTGTTGAGAGTTATTAGGAGGCCCCTATTCCCTCACAGGGCTACAATTCTCAAGAGTTCCCTGTGGAGAGGTATTAACTGCTAAACCACTCTGTGAATTGTAGCTCCTGAAATGGAATAGGGCTCTCCCAACAACTCTCAGCACCCTTAACAAACTGCAGTTCCCATAATTTTTGGGAGACAGCCGTGACTGTTCAAAGTGGTGTCACAGAACTTCGAATGTATGCTGTGAATATGGCCTTGATGCCCACGAATATACATATCTGTGAATAAGCATTCCTAAATTATATGAATGGGTCTCTTGTCCCTGAATGTTAGGACTTACAGTAAATCTTCAAGACGACAATACAAGAAGAGAGGCATTTCCCGGTGCTTACTTAGTCCCTTTCTTCACCCTACTCTACCTCAAGCCAATAAAAGAAGTCTGTTTCTGCAACCAGAGATGGTGATGATTATTAAATTTGTATACCACCCTTCATCTGTAGATCTCAACATAAAAACACAAGATAAAAAACACAAAATGCATAATAACAAGAAGAACAGGAACAAACCAATAACCCTCTCTGCCCACCCCAAGCTGAATCTTACTTCAACACTAATAATAATATTATTATTAATAATAATAATTTATTATTATTATTTATACCCCACCCATCTGGCTGGGTTTCCCCAGCCACTCTGGGCGGCTTCCAACAAAATATTAAAAATACAATAAAACATCAGACATTAAAAACTTCCCTAAACAGGGCTGCCTTCAGATGTCTTCTAAAATTATGGGACAGCATCTTCCACTACATCTGAGAGCAACCAGCTACCTTTGGGGAAAGCAATAACCTTGTCCTCACTGCCATTAGGAGATGGAAAGCTTTCCACAATACATTGTTTGGTTTAATCCAAAGAAAGGGCACTTGTAGACTCCCAACTCCTAACCAGAATGGCCAAGGTCACAGATGACGGGAGCTATAAGTCTAACTATTTCTGGAGAGCCACAGTTTCTCCCACCACCAACAACCCGGGTGTGATCAATAATATTATCAAAGGGATCTAACCTTGAAAAGCTAATGTTTAGGACTCCTGTGATTCAAAATGGGAAGGAGAGGTCTACCACCAACACATTCAAGTAGGAAAACGGGAATCTTCCATTGACTCAGGAAATGCTAGCCTGACTCCTCCCTGGGTCATGTTGTGGGAAACCCCCAAGATATCTGCTGACCAACATAGTGGATGGTGTTCCTCTTCCTACTTGGGACACAATGAGCAAATATACACGAGGTGGAATTCCCAATTGTGTTTACATATTTTAGTACAGTACTAGAATTTTATTATTCCAGAGTTGCCCCAAATTATTAAAAGCTATTGATTGAAGGATATATCTTTGGAGCACTCTCGACTTCAGACACAAAAAACTTCTTCCAAACTCACAGCTGATGAAAAATAATTTCAAGTCCTAGGCCTCCATTTTTAAAAGCTATTATCAGATCCTGCAGACCTTTCCAATTCCTAGATGACAGCATCAAGAGTTTAAGAACCCAAGCAACAAAGCAGCTGGAATTTTCCCAGCCCTATCTTCAAGTGACCGTTAAATGGACCTTTGTTTCTTATTCCAAAATAAGACCACCTCATGTTTTCTAAGGCTGAGGTGTCGGTGCTAAATGGAAGCAGACCCCAAGGAGGGGGAACCTTATCTACCAGAACCTCATCAAGAAGCCTCAACGAAGGATTAACTCTAAGAGAACTTCACTACCACACAGGCATCCTCATCTTTGACAATACACACATTGTACCATGGGAAGAAGAACCCCTGTACTTCAAATCCTGCAGCACTGCTGTTCCTTTAACCCAAACTTCACCAACCTGGTGTCCTCCAGATGTTCTGGACTACAACTCCCATCAGCCCCAACCAGCATGGCCAATATCAGGCATGATGGGAGGTGTAGTTCAAAAACACCTGCAGCCCCAAAAGATGTTTCAGTCTAAATAAAGAAACAGATATTTTTGTTCTAACCTTTCTCCTTTTTTTCTATTTACAATACAGCCATTTATTTGAATTTCAAGGAGGGGAAAAAATGCAAAATCTTCTTTTAGATTTTGAAAACAAGTCCGCAACCTGTACGCTTTTCTACCACAGTCAGTTCCATGAATGCCACCCTTCACTTGAATTTATCTGCCATTAATTCTGTGAACCAAAACGGTATTTTGGTAATCTCCATCTACCCTAGATACACACACTTGATTAGTCTTCTGTTCGGTTCCTTTCCTACAAGGTTTAGTTCTCACCCTTTATCCCTCTTAATTAAAAAAACAAACAAACCCCATAAAATAGTTTCTGACTATTTTTCATCTAAAACAACCATATTTTATAATTAAATAAGAGGGTAGGTAAAAGAGCTCAGGAAATAATCACAAATTACCAAAACCTAATAGATGGATTATATTCAACACTTATACAAAATTTATAATTGTCCGAACTGTTTTATGTATGATTTTGTTGCAATCCGTAAAACAACCACATAAGGTACAGTATATCATTATTATAATCACCATGAATCTGCTGAGGCCATGTGGCTTAAATGGAAATACCGTATTTTTTGCTCTATAAGACTCACTTTTTCCCTCCTGAAAAGTATGTGTGTGCGTCTTATGGAGCGAATGCAGGCTGCGCAGCTATCACAGAAGCCAGAACAGCAAGAGGGATTGCTGCTTTCACTGCGCAGCGATCCCTCTTGCTCTTCTGGCTTCTGAGATTCAGAATATTTTTTTTCTTGTTTTCCTCCTCCAAAGACTAGGTGCGTCTTGTGGTCTGGTGCGTCTTATAGAGCGAAAAATATGGTAATTTCAGGAGTTCCAACACCAACAGTAGATTTGAATTTTATAGTTCAGACACTTAATTATTATGCTACATGCTAAACCACCACATATTGCAGCCCCTCACATGCTTTTTCGGGTTGCGTAGAGCTTTTATTTCTACTGGTGGTTTCCATTCTTCCTTTACTAAACCCAGTCTCCCTCTCTGATCTCACAATAACCTATCAGCACAGGGGCTGATAGGAACACTGATGGAAGTTGCAGTCCCAAATATCTGGTGGTCCCCATGTCAGGGAAGGCTCCTCTAAGCCAACCAGACTGCAACATACATCATGCAAAAGATGACTTCAGCATCCTACCTCTTCTGAATTCTCCGTGCCTCCATCTTTGCCACTGCCACTGCTGCCACCACCACCACCGCCGCTGCTGCTGCTGCCGCTGCTGCTACTGGCTTTCGTAGTGCTTTTAGTAGACTTTGGAGGCTCCTAAGGAGGAAAAGGAACAGGAAAAAAGCACATTCAGATGCACTGTTTTACCAACAGCTTAACAAAGTTCATGGATCCTGCAAGGCAAGCATCATGAAACCCTGACAGAAAAAGAGGACACCATCCCATAAATAGGCTCCTATACCATGCTCTCCATGTCGGTGCCCAAGAGACACAAACTTCCTGGCGCAAGAGAAAAATCTGTGTACGGAAACACACTGATCATCATCCAAGTGCTTCTGCTAGAACGATCAATTCTCTTCCCTTTAAAAAAGGCACCTGACTCTCTTGAAGTCCCACCCACTGGTGGGGGGCAGCTGCCTGTTTTGCAGCCTGTTGCTCTCTCTGCCTTAGCCAGAGCAGCCGAGTCTCTGCTCCTGCCATCCTCCATGGGAAAGGGCTTATCTGCCAACAGCAAGCAAATGCTAGTAAACTGCTATTTAGAAAGCAGTTTGCAATGCAGGCAGAGAACAAAGACTGGAGGACAAACTGAAAAGGGGTTCTCAAGCTGAGGGGAGGGAGCTCCATTCAACTGGTGTGTGGACAGTCAACAAAATCTGTATTCAGCCTATTTCCTCCCCAACACAGACAGAAGCTGTACTGACCAAGGTAGAATTCAATGGGGCTCTCTCTCAGGGAAGTGTGTACGGGCTACAATCTAAACAAACATCATCACAGGTAAGGAAAATACATTTACTAGTTGTATTAAAACATATTTCGCAAGGGAATTTGACCTGCTCCAAGGCATATGTGATGGGCTGCTGCGGAAAATGACGCTTTAGTGAGCCTGTGCAGCACAGTGGTTAAGAGTACAGGACAAGGACTAGGCCAGGGTTCAAATCCTCACTCAGCTATGAAGCTTGCTGGCTGACTTTGAGCCAGCCATTCACTCTCAGACTAGTCTATGGTGCAGGGTTGCTTTGAGGATAAAATGGGGAGCAGAACGGGCTTGTCTGAGGAAAGGTGGGATAGAAATAATAACAAACAGTATCCATGCTGCAGGACCACTTTTGTTTTTTGCTGTGAAATGCATGTGTTTGATAACCATATTGTGAAGATAGATAGATAAGATAGATAGAACTTTATTCGCATTAGCCAATGGCCATAGCAACAGTAAAACATTACAGCATACTCAGAAAAGTAAACTTGATATAAGAGCACAATTTAAAGTCCTGAATCAGCCGTCAGTTAGTTGCCCTTATCCTGATTGCCCCTGCTATGAACCTAGCAACCTTTGCTGTTATCTGTTATAACCATATTGTGAAGAGATTCTGTGTTGTGCCTTTAGGTCCATATCTGCTGCTCAAATAAAAGGTGGGAGAAATCATCAGGGGATTTGGGCTGAGTGTTCATCAGTATGTGGATGATACCTCTCATTTAAATCGGAACCAGGGACTACCTCTGATGGTGACTTGGAAACTACAATTAATCCCCAATGCAGTTGCTAGACTGATGACTGGGAGCAGCCACCAAGACCATATAACACTGGTCCTAAAAGATCTACATTGGCTCCCAGTATGTTTGCAAGCACAATTCAAACTGCTGGTATTGACCTTTAAAGCCCTAACAGCTTCAGCCCTGTATACCTAAAAGAGTGTCTCTACCCCCATCATTCAGGTTGGACACTGAAGTCCAGCTCCAAGGGCATTCTGGCCCTTCCCTCATTGCAAGAAGTGATGTTACAAGGAACCAGGCAGAGGGCCTTCTTGGTTCCGCCTTGTGGAACGCCCTCCAGTCAGATGTCAAACAGATAAACAACTACATGACTTTTCATAGACATCTGAAGGCAGCCCTGTTTCAAGAAGCTTTTAATGTTTGATGTGAGGTCCCCCCCCCCGTATTTTCCTGAAAGCTGCCCAGAGGGGCCGGGGTAACCCAGTTAGATGGGTGGGGTACAGTGTTAGAAACTAGGATATGAAGCCAGGAGCTAAATGGCACCTTAAATCTAGGTTATGGGCACAACAACATAATGTCTAGGCACACGCTTTAAATAACAAGAATACAAAGCTGAAAATGAATGAACTGCAGCTAAAATATTATGTTCATTTTTTGCAAGGTCCAGTCCTTCCCCTGCCCACCCCCCTAATATTCTTAAGAGGGTCTCTTCTCCAGTCTTCGGAGAGTAACTGGAAGTGGGGAGGCAGGAAAAACGTCCTCCTTTCCTTCCACTCTGCAGTTTTAATATGAAATTTTAGGCACAGTGCTGCGCCCAGAACTCAGAAATTGCTTGTGCTAATGAAATTCCCTGTCACAAAATGCGCCTAGAACAATGGGAGTTTCAAACACTGGTGGGGTATAAGAAAATTATTATTATTATTATTATTATTATTATTTACATGTTCCTGCTTCATGAAGGTGAACATTGGTACACAGGAACAGGTCTTGTTCTACGTTCAAAGCCATCTAAAGCCTGGCAGCTGTTTTCCAGGGTTTAGATAGAAGTCTTTCTTGGCCCTACTGAGAGCTTCTGGAAATTGAACATGCAATCCCTATGCAATGCATGTCCACTTCCACTAGCAGGAATGTTGCACTCGTGAACCTTTAGCTCAGCATGCCAACATACCCCACTTTGCATACTTCCTCTCTGCAACTGATCCACACATTTGTGCCACATGCCTTATGTTGCACAGAGGCGCCATGCCTACACTGCACGTTACATGGATACACACATTACTTCTGGGGTGCGAAGTCTTTCGGACTCTGCTCCGAATCCTAGACTCTGCACGTTTGTTTGTGTTCTGCATACTTCTGCAGTGTACAGCAGTTCACAGGAGTTCTGTCTTCTATCCCCTTAAAGTTATGAACAAATGCCTGGCCAATGTCTGCACAGGGTTCTCTGTGCACTCTCACTTAGCACCCAGAGCCTCCTGTGTCCCAATATCGGCCCCACCAGGTGCTTACACTACCTATACAGCCTTCTCTGCATTTGCACATAGCGCACACATGAACTCTGTGCCCCGCACAAAATAACACAAACCTTTTTTTCAATATTCTTCCTCTTTACATGCACATGGACACACATCCTTCCTAAATATCACATCGTCAGTGCCTTTCTTCATGGGCCTTGAATTTGCCCCACTTCCACAGTGTGACACTCCTGCCGCTTGCCTAAATCCGCATTTGTCCCAGTGCCACTTAGGTGTGGTTGCGATGTACTGCAAAAGGCAACAATGACTGTGTACTCTTTCCCATAACTTTGTGCTTAAAACGCAAGGGTCCGATTTAAAGGGAGCAATCTGCCCTTAGGCCTCCCCCTGCTGCACGGCAAGACAAGTGTGAGGCCTATTGTGCTTGTCTGACCTCCGAATGCAACACCAACACACGCACACGGGCATCGCGCACACGCCTGCACAGGGAGCCCCCGAACCGGAAGCGATGGACGCGAAGGAAGCATACAAAGAAGCGCAGCGCATCCTCCGCTATCGGTGCGCGCACACTGCATTCTAGGACGCCCAGGCCCAGATCCGTGTTGGGTCCCCCCCCCCCCGCCTCCGGAACTGCCACGGAGACCGTCACTACTAGATTCCCTCTTTCTCCGCAAGCAAGCAAGCAAGCACTCAACCCAACCCAACCCCCTCCCCCCCCGTCCGTGCCATGCAACGGCGCTTGCCTATGCACCATGCTGCGATCGCCTCTTCTCCTCCCTCCCTCGCCTTACTCGCGGCCCCTGCATTTCTCCTTCCACCCCGTCTAGGATGCAACGGCCTCTTGCCCGTCAGCACCCTTGTGTTACGCCGCCGACACCCTCCTCAGCCCGCCTCTCCCCAGGTGCAAGGCTCCTGCACGAGTGCGGACATTTTCTCCCCCGTGTGGGTGCTTGCCTGCCTGCGCGTGTGCGCGCCTAACTCAGGGGGCCCGTGCTCAGAGGCAGTTAACAACAAACGGGCTGTGCATTGTCTGACCAGGGCGTCTTTTCCGGCAATTAGATTTAAAAGACATATGTATTTGTGTGTTTTGTGTGTATGCTTAACCCACGGATAATAACAAATACGCTGTGCATTGTCTGGCCCGTGCGTCCTCCCTCCACCCTAAATATATATGCATTAAATGTAGATACAGAAATAAAGATACATATGTGCTTGTGTATGCTTAACGCGGGGGGCCCGTGCTTAAGAGTGTAGTAACAAATATGCTGTGCGTTGCCCGGTCAGTGCCTTTCCTATATATATGTGAATCAGATATTGATATAAAGATGTGTGTGTGCGCGCGGGCGCTTGCTTAACCCAAGAGGCCCGTGCTCAGGGGTAATAACAAATATGTGGTGCATTGTCTGGCCAGTGCGCCCTTTCCTACATAGGATATAGATACGTGTATGTGTGTGTGTTGCAAACCTAGACCTGCAGGTGTGTGTGCAGTGATTTGCTCGTGAGTGTGTGTGTGTTGCACAGGCACACGGATCCTGCGTCGAAGCCCCGGGCTGCTGCAAGTGCAGCTGCTTCCTGCCCGCGTCCTCGGCCCCCTCGGCGCGCGGGGCGGCTCCACTCCCGGCGGAGGCCCCGAGCTCCGATGCCGCCAGGCCCCGGGAAAGGCTTTGGCGCCCGGGCGCTCCCGCCCACCCCACCGCCCCGGCCCTGGGGCGGGGTGGCGCCAGAGAGAGATGGGGGTGGGCCGGCCCCGGGGCGCCGCCGCCCCCCGCTCACTCACCTTCTCTTTCTTCAGCTTGTAGGGCATCCCGGACCTCGAAAGCGCTCGCTCGGCCTCTCCCGCCGCCGCCGGCCCGGCCTCCTCTCGTCGCCCTCCCTCGGTTTCTCCTCGCCGCCGCCGCCGCCTCCTCCTCCCTCCTCTGCGCTGGATTGGGTGAGCCCCCGATTGGACCTGCTCGGCCCAACCTGCCTGGCAACCGCCTCGCTGCCTTCGCTTCATTGGCCGCCGGCGGCCGCGCCGATTTTTGCAATTGGCCGGCCGGTTTGAAGGGCAGCTGGGGAGGGCGGGAGGAGGCCGCTGCCGGTTTTGCAAAAAGGCGCCGCCGCGGTTGTAGGGGAAGCGGGTGGGATTGGAGGAGGAGGAGGGCGAGGGGGCTTCTCTGCCGCCGGCTGCTCGGGGTGAGGGCGGGGGGCTGCCGGATTATGGATATAGGTCACCATGGCTGCTTCGAATAAGTTGGAAGGGGTGTGGGTGCCGCGACTGGGCGCCCTTTTGTGAAATAAGGGACCAACGGGGGTAGTGCAGCGTGCAGGCCTCTTTCTTTCTCTCTGTGTGTGTCTCTTTTCTGTGTCATTGTCAAGGAGAAACGCCGATGGAGAAGGCAACCCCACGAAGTGAAAGGTTGCCGTGAATGAAGCTGCTCCCAAAGAATGGCAACTGCATTGCAGTTATAATTCTTTGCACATTGCACACACACACTTAAAAAGTGCCAGCCATTAATAATGTTTCGGTCGCTGCTCCTTCAAGTACGAGGTTCTGCTATTATATGAAGCGGCAATTTTTTTAAAAAAAATAAACAATAGGAGGAACCGTAAAACAGATTTAATAATAATAATAATAACAACAACAACAATTGAAGACTCTTCTAGGAAAATGGGGTTTATACAGCCCAGCTCCTAATCAAGATCCACAATCGGTCAGAGAAAATAAAATTGAGAGAGGACTGGAACAATAATTCAGGACCTATTTAAAATTTCAGTAGAACCACATGAGAGAATTTAAGCGCTGCTTAACATTCCTGTTGAAACTGATGGGGCTTAAGTTAGCTTAGGTTTGGCTGGTTTGTGCCCAACTTTTTCAGGAAAGAATGAAAGTGAAAACAAAAAGGCTGAAATCCTAAACACAACGGACTAGAAGTGAGTTGGGTACAGTATTTAGCTCTGAGTTCCTTGGAGAAAAGAGAATATAAACTGTAACAATCAAGAATACTTAAGATCCAGAATCCACTATCCTAATGCAGTTAAAGACATTTCCAGTGGATCCAGATATGAATGCAAACGGGGGTGCCCCAACAAAGCAAGGCTGAAATCAAATTGGTGCTTAACCCGGGAGTAAGTCCCACTGAAAACAATGTGACTTACTTCTGAGGGGAGACAGAAAGACTTGCACTGTATTGTCTGATCAATATCTAGGACAGGGCAATAAAAAATATTCATCAAAAAAAATTGAACCATTTTTCAGGAAAATATTCTGAAATATGCAGCAACAACATAACAAACTTTAAAATAGTATGTACAAACTGCAGCAAGTTGCCCAGTACAATAATAAAACATAATATAGTCAGAAGAAAACAGCACCACTATTTTAGCAGCTCAGTTAAAAGCATTCCATAAAAGCAGCAATGAACAAGTGTGTCTTCAAGTGAGGACTGCTTAAAAACTTGTAGAGAGTTGGCACAGCCTTGCTACAAAAAAAGGCTTATGGGGCTGGAGCTTTTATTTTGGGAAAAAATATTATCCAAGGAGGAACATGGTAGAGTTTTATAAAATGATGGAGAAAGTGAATAAACTTATTCCTCCTTCCCTGTGAAAATAGAGTAAAATGTGCGGCCTGAGTCTGTACTGAATTCAGTGGGGTATGGTAACATCTTAAAATGTGCATAGGATTACAGCTTTGGTTGCTAATTTCAGGAATTTTAAAAATGACTTGTTTGCACAATGCATAATTAATTGATGGAATTAATTGCTGACAGATGTGGTGATATACACTAGCATAGATGGCTTTCTTCAGAATTAGATGAATCAATGTTCATAAGCTTATCAATGGCTACTAGTCACGAGAGGTGCATAGAAGTTTCCTAGAAGCAACCTAAGTAGCAATTACCGGTAGCTTCATCATACCCAACTTAAGAGCTTCACAGGGATGCTTGAATGCGTCCTGTCAAAATGCCTTTAGATGGGCCTCAAACCAGGACTCTTCAGCATACTTACCAGGAAGAAAATATGGCATTTACATTTCTATAAATATGCTTAAAACTGGATGTAGGTCTGACCCTGCAAAGCAACTATCCCATGGAGCACAAGATCCATTCAGGTGGTCCACAGAAATATTTTGGAAGAGTTTAGGGTACCTGCACTTGATTTATTTGTTCCTGATAGTGGAAATTTAGGCCATTTTGACACAGGCTAGATTTATCAAAGAGGGGACCAAAGCCCTGGTTTAGGATCTGTGATTTTTATAACAGTACTAATTTCCCCCATGAAATCTGCCAGTTAAAGGTACCATTCTCAGTGCCCCAGCCTGGGGCTGTGATTTTCACAATATAGTGATAGTTTTGACAAAAATGTTAGTGCTGAAGAGGGGGGAAAGTTTGGTAAGTGGTCAGCTGAGACCCCCCAGCAATTTTGAATTATCGGTGTAGGAAAGTGGTTTAAGAACTGCTGGTTTAGTTCCTCAGCTCTCAAACTGAATGGAGGGAGGACATAAAGCTTTTATTGTACTTCATACCAATCTGCTAGCCAGATTTCAACCAAACAAAATGACAGTTCTCGATAAGGTGTTTTTAAACAAAAAACCCCCACAAAAAAACCCTAAATGTTTTAATTATTTTTGCAAGAGATACATAAACAAGCAGAGCAATATAAAACAAACATCAACAATCATACTGCAGTAAGGATACAAAATAAACACTGGGTGATCATCAGCAAACTCTTATATCACAACTAAAATGAAGAGATCAGGAGATCATTATCAGGACTTTCAATAAAGAAAATGTGTTTCTCATTTTTTGCTTAAGTTTTTTTGTTCTCTAACCCAAAGACCAACGGTGCCTTGGAACTGGATCAAGCCAGATAGATTTCTGGGAATCAGGTGGAAGATTTAGACCACTTCGTTAGACCACATAGGTTATAAATGGGTACCATGTACCATCAAACAGGCCCTTTTTATTTCATTCCCCTTAGCTGTCTGTCTGTTGCATTCAGCCAGTTTTTCTCCTACTGCCAGATTCCAGGCCTTTGCCACCAATTGATAATAAGGTATGACAAATGTATCACAATCTCTAAGCACACAGCCCTTAATAATAATAAAAAGGATTGAAGGTCTTGTAAACTGCATTCTGCGTTGTTTCAGGGAATATGGACATGCATGTGAGACTAGGGTCCATCAGAATAAGTTGCTTATCTATTCAAGGAAACAGAATACAAACAGAAGCCTATGGGCAAGACTGGCCATGGTAAAGCAGTTGCCAGAACTGACAATCTGTACCTCCTGTCTGGTTCTTTTCCCAGCAGTTGTGAACTCCATTGGGGAGGTGCTCTCTTTGCTCTGAACTCTTCGTGCCCTTGGAGACAAAGGAGGAGGGAAGCTGAGTACAGTAGGACCAGCAGGCTCCTGTGCGTGGCTGGGGAAACCCAGCCAGAAGGGTGGGGTATAAATAACATCATCATTATTTGTTATTATTAATCTGTTGCAGCCTCAGTCCCCACTTCTTCTGCAGCTGCCTGTCCTACACCTGAAGTGCTTTCTGCCTCTTCTTCCTCTCTCTCACTCAAGCCTGTTGCTTGTTCAGCATCCAACCATTCTGCCCTACCCGTCATCCTCTGACCTGTCTTATTGCCCCACAAACACTCCCTTGGTTCTGAGCCTTCCTCTGCTGCTGAAGAAGAAGAAGAGGAGTTTGGCTTTAATATCCCGCTTTATCACTACCCGAAGGAGTCTCAAAGCAGCTAACGTTCTCCTTTTCCTTCCTCCCCCACAACAACACTCTGTGAGGTGAGTGAGGCTGAGAGACTTCAGAGAAGTGTGACTAGCCCAAGGTCACCCAGCAGCTGCATGTGGAGGAGTGGAGACGCGAACCCGGTTCACAAGATTACAAAACTCTTAACCACTGCACCACACTGGCTCCCAGTGCTGAGGCTTCTCTGGTTCTCCCAACACCCCTAGAGCCCATTTTGGGGGATGCAGGAGGAAGAGAGGAGGAAAAGCCCTGTTGTGCAAGTGGAAGTCCTGCATGGCTTCCATTGACGAGGCTCTTTAAGGGAATCCCACCCTTTGGTTTTAGTAGATATTTAAAGGAGGTTTTAGATAGGGGGATTCAACCTGATGTGTCATCCCAGGATGGTGTCTGTGTCATAAATTAGTCACGTTTATTTGCTAAAAACCCACGGTCAACACAAAAATATGGGCATAATCAACCTGAGAGAGACATATAAGTACAGGTGATCCCCAGCACATTTTACCCCATTTTGTAAGCTACATTTTAGTCTGATCTGATTGGTTAAGAAACTTTACATATGTTACTGTATGTATATCAATCAACTAGTGTACCTGAAGGAGCTACCCCACCCCCATTGTTTAGCCTGGACACTGAGATCCAGCTCAGTGGCCTCCTGGCGGTTCCCTCACTGTGAGAACTGAAGTTACAGAGAACTAGGCAGAGGGCCTTCTCAGCAGTTGCACCTACCCTGTGGAATGCCCTCCCATCAGATGTCAAAGAGATAAAGCAATTATATGACTTTTTGCAGACATCTGAAGGCAGCCCTGTTTTGAGAAGCTTTTAATTTTGTTGTGCCCTTTCATATTTTGTTGGAAGTCACCCAGAGTGGCTGGGGCAACCTGGTCAGATGGGTGGGTTACAATAAATACCTACTGTATCATTATTTCCTACTGTCCGATAAAGAAACAAGAATCTCTTTCAAAAACCTATCCCAAGAGGATTATATAGGATTACATACATACAACACACAGTGAACAGTATCTTCTACCTCTCCCCAGACACCAATGTCCAAACCATTATTTTCAGATATTGCATTATATTTCCCCTCTAAATATCCTGTGGTATAGGGTTAGGATCTCAAAGCAGAAAATACTTTCCTCGTTACACCAACATAAAACTTTTAAAAACTGTCATTAGATCATATCAGATTGAACAAAATAATAACACATTTCAGAAAAGGGCAACCAAAATGACCAGGAAGTGGAGCAATTTGTCTATGAGGAAAGGTTGCAGCATTTGGAACTTCTTCTTTTTTTTTAAAGTAAAAGGTAACATAACAGAAGTTTATACAATTTTGCACGGCATGGAAAAAGTGGACAAAGAAAAGCTTTTCTCCCTCTCTCACAACACTAGGACTTACGGGCATCCAATGAAGCTAAATGTGGGAAAATTCAGGACAAATAAATTCTTCTTCATGGATCACAGAGTTAAAACTTTAACTTTAAAAGACATCTGAAGGCAGCCCTGTTTAAGGAAGTTTTTAATATTTAATGCTGTATTGTTTTTAACACTGGATTGGAAGCCACCCAAGAGTGGCTGGGGAAACTTAGCCAGATGGGCGGGGTATAAATAAATTATTATTATTATTATTATTATTATTTGAGTGAAGCAGTGACAGCTGCCAACTTGGGTGATTTAAAAAAATAAAGATTGGACAAATTCATGGCGGAGAAGACTATCAATGTCTACTGTTAATGATGGTTGTGCTTTATCTTCACAGTTAAGATGCAGCAATGCTTCTGAATACCAGTTGCTGGAAACTGCAGGAGCGGAGAGTGCTTTTGTGCTTGGGTCCTGCTTGTGTGAGAACAGGATGCTGGACCTAGCAGGGCTCTTATAAAAAGAAAGGTCCTACTCTTTACTCATAATACACCATGGGTTTATTTTGAGCTACAGGAGTAACAGCCTTATAAGCATAGAGAATCAGCCTGTGCTTCACTTTGTCAGCCCAGTTCTATTTGAAATTTGCTCCAAGTTGGGGCTGTTGTTTTCTTTCTCTCTCCCCCCTTTTAAGTATTTAAACCAGTACAAATGGAAAACAACACGAACTCTGGACAATACCGAAGAAAAGCCAACCTAAAATCTTACCATGGAAATAAGGACTGCCGCGTGGTAGGTTCCATAATGACCTCAATTAGACATTTTGGATAGTTTCCAGTTTCACAATATTTGACCAACCCCCACTGGCAGACCGTTAGACATCTGCTCTTTTATTTTTGTCCTGCTTTGTTTCGTGAAGATTTCCCCCTCCTATTTTCTTCAATTTGGCATCACTATGTATTCTAGTTTTCCTTCCCCTTCCAATTTAAAATAATTATGTTTGGGAAGCAAAATGGCAAATGTCGCTTCTTGCCAAGACTTGACACGACTAACTGGAACGTGTCCAGAGGAGGGCAACCAAAATGGTCAAAGGCCTGGAAACGATGCCTTAGGAGGAACGGCTAAGGGAGCTGGGCATGTTTAGCCTGGAGAAGAGGAGGTTAAGGGGTGATATGATAGCCATGTTCAAATATATAAAAGGATGTCACATAGAGGAGGGAGAAAGGTTGTTTTCTGCTGCTCCAGAGAAGCGGACACAGAGCAATGGATCCAAACTACAAGAAAGAAGATTCCACCTAAACATTAGGAAGAACTTCCTGGCAGTAAGAGCTGTTTGACAGTGGAATTTGCTGCCAAGGAGTGTGGTGGAGTCTCCTTCTTTGGAGGTCTTTAAGCAGAGGCTTGACAACCATATGTCAGGAGTGCTCTGATGGTGTTTCCTGCTTGGCAGGGGGTTGGACTCGATGGCCCTTGTGGTCTCTTCCAACTCTATGATTCTATGACTACTGAGCAATAATAGATGGAGCACTGAAAGGAATGGATACACAGAGCAATGTAGACAGCTCAGCAGGCCACAGAATATCTTAACTGAGCGTAAATGGCTTTGGCTGCTGTCCACAGCCCTTCCAAAAATACTTGCACCTGAATGGCCTTATTTCCTTGGATAGATCCTCAGGTTTAGCCTTGGGAATTCTAATAAGAAATGGTATCAACCTTTTGTTCAGTTTGCCTGGGGCTGGGATGGGGAACCTCTGGCCCTCCAGATGCTGTTGGACTACAACTCCCATCATCCCTGTCCATTGGCCATGTTAACTTGCAATGATGAAATATGGAGTTCAACAGTATCTGGAAGGTTGCTGATTCTGTCCCCCTCCCAGCACAGAGAAGGAATGCAATGGGGAAAGCAAAACAATGTACATGTTATGGTAGGAAGAAAGAAGGAAGTGCTTGAACATGGGAAAATCTGAAGCAAGGGGGGTGGCAATTGATTTGTTCTCTGCACACCCTTCGAGGAGCTTAAGGCAGCATATACTTCTCTCATTTTATCCTTAAAGCAACCCTCTGAGACAGGTTAAACAGAGAGATGGTGATTCAACCCAGATTTTTGCAGTTTGAGGCGAGGCTTAGTTACACAACACAATGGTTTTGTCATAATTATTCAAACTTCCCACTGTCTCAAGGACTAAGAAGTTCCAGAACAACCTTACAGAATAATGTCTATTGTTGGGAAAGGGAGTACAGGAAACCTGTGGTATTTAAAAAAAACAAAAACCCCCCAACCCTATATATTTATTTACAGTTGCCTAGGTTGATCAGGTGGGCAGCAAGTAGGAACACAGGGGAGGTCTACTAATTCTGAAGCAGCATCAGTCCACAGAAGAAACAGCAGCTCCCCTGCAGCTCTCTTTGGCCAGATTCAAACTGCACATATATTTTCCTTTTTAGTCCTGGATATACAAGTACACGAGGCTTCAGTTACATTCAGCACCTGGTTTTAGATATTCATGATGGGCAATAATGAGCACAGAGGGCAATTATTGGCTTTTATGGTTGCAGTCCTATGGTAACTTACATGCTTGTATGTCTCATTGAAATATGGGGCTTACCGCTGAGAAATTATGTACATGATCAGGCCGCATTGCAAAACACAATAAAAGCATTCAGTTCTGATTCCATAAACAATTCACCGGTATTCTCTGCCATTAACAGCAGCATTTCACAGGGATTCAGGTTTGATTCAACTATTGCTAGGAGTTTGTTTTAGTTTGCCTATACCCAGCCCAGCTCTTTAAATAACTGCAGAAAACTCTTACAGTGTTATTGGGGGAAAAAACATTTGGAGAAGGAGGTGTTGTGGAGAGTGTGGCATACCGGACTAAGGTAAGTTTAGTCCATTATCATTTAAAACAGGATCAAGTTAAGTATATATAACAATATTTATAAATTAAAAATAAAACTCTGGAAAGAAGATGCCAAGTGCTGCTCCCCACTGTAAATTTGTTGTTGTTGTTTAGTCGTGTCCGACTCTTCGTGACCCCATGGACCAGAGCACGCCAGTCTTCCACTGCCTCCCGCAGTTTGGTCAAACTCATGCTGGTAGCTTCGAGAACGCTGTCCAACCATCTCGTCCTCTGTCATCCCCTTCTCCTTGTGCCCTCCATCTTTCCCAACATCAGGGTCTTTTCCAGGGAGTTTTCTCTTCTCATGAGGTGGCCAAAGTATTGGAGCCTCAGCTTCACGATCTGTCCTTCCAGTGAGCACTCAGGGCTGATTTCCTTAAGAATGGATAGGTTGGATCTTCTTGCAGTCCATGGGACTCTCAAGAGTCTCCTCCAGCACTATAATTCAAAAGCATCAATTCTTTGGCGATCAGCCTTCTTTATGGTCCAGCTCTCACTTCCATACACCAATCTATAAATACCAGTCTAGCGCTACTGAAAAGCCATCAGCTTCTTAACAAAAAACCTTAAACAAGAATTTCCTCTTGTTGCATAGAATGCACTCTTCTCTTCTACACTGAGTGAAGGGGTGACCCTTTTAATTCCAAGGGCTACATTCTTGGATGAGCAACTTCCTGGAGGCTGCACACCAGTGGTGAGCAAGACCAGAGGCAAAAGTGGGCAGATCAGTGGATGGGGTTTTTCCCTTTCTACAAGGGGCCACGTCCCAAGCACACAAGTGTCAGGTTTCTACATGCCCTCTCTGCCCATCCAAGCAAGCAAACAGTAATTAGCATGATTCTAGGGTGCCTTCGAAACAGCCAAAGCCACTTGAGGAGGGTCTAGAGCAGGACCTGTGGCTTAGGAAGAGGACATGACCTAGGAAGAACCCCTAAAGCCCCTCTTCTTTGCATGGTGGCTGTGCCACGGTCGGGAGGCAGAAATGCTTCCGAGCGACAGCTGCTGGAAACCGCGGAAAGGGAAGAGCGCTCTTGTGCGTCCGCCGTGAGCCCACCCCTGCCAGCGGCGCCACTCTAGCCGCTCGTATCTCTAGTTATCCGCACGTCTACTTTCTCATTGGGCGTTTTCCAAACTCGGGCCGGAAGTGCCCGTGAAGGGGCGTTCCTTCCTGCGCCTTCTCTCTGTGGTCCTCCCGGGAAGCTTCCTCCCCGCCGCTCTGAGGGCCTCTCTATGGCGGTGGCGGTGCTGCGCAGCCTGGGCGACGCCGTCCCGCAGGACTTGCCCGCGGCCGCGGGGCTGCTGGTGGCCCCGGCCGACGGGCAATGGGCCTCGGTGGTGGCGGCGGCCTCGGCGGGCGGTCCTCTGGTGCTGGCCGTCCGCCCGGCGGGGTCTGAGACGCAGCCGGTGCTGCTGTGCGCGGCGCTGCTGGAGGCCGAGGCGGCCTCGGAGCCGGAGCTGTGGCTGGGCCGGGCCTTCCTGAGGCAGCTGGGCCTGGCGGTGGGGAGCCGCGTGCGGGTCTGGCCCGTGAGGAGACCGCCGTTGCTAGGCTGGGTGTTGCTGGGGGCGGCAGGGGCGGGGCGGGCTCCGCGCCCCGCGGCCGCCTCGGGCTCCAGCGTCCTGGTGCGGTGCGGGGAGACGCTGCCGGGCTCGGGGCTGCTGGTGCTGGAGGCCCGGCCGGCCCTGCAAGGGCTGCTGGGCGCCGGCACCCGCTTGGCCGTGACTGAACTGAGGGGCGGCGGCGGCGGCGGCGGGGAGAGTCGGGAGCGGAGCGGGGAGCCGCCGCCGCTGGTATCTGCGTGGGCGCACGGCGGGGAGCGGCTGGTGAAGGCGGAGCGGGGCCACGCAGCCCTGTGGGGAGGCGAGGCCGGCGAGACCTTGTGGGTGACCCGCGGCGGCCTGCGCAGCCTGGGCCTTTTCCACGGGGAGTGGGTGTCCGTGTCGAGGCCGGAAGGCGGCTCCCGCCACTTGGCCACCGTGCGAGCTCTCGACCCCCGGTGGTACTTCTCCCTCGCCGAGGACAGGCGACGCCGGGCCGCCGAGGAGGACGCCTTTCCGCACGAGAGGGCGCTGCTCCCCGCCACCTTGGCCTTCAACCTGTCCTGCGACCCTCTGGAAGGCGCGCTCCTTAAAATCCAGGTGGGTGGCACCTGTGCAGAACGAGGCGCCCAGCTGGGAAAACAGGTGCTGAGCGTGGGAAGCTGCCTCGCACCATGTAGGGCAGCTTTCAAACTACCACGGTTCTGCCTGCTGGGACTGAGAAGAGGAGGAGTTTGGATTTGATATCCCGCTTTATCACTACCCTAAGGAGTCTCAAAGCGGCTAACAATCTCCTTTCCCTTCCTCCCCCACAACAAACCCTCTGTGAGGTGAGTGAGGCTGAGAGACTTCAGAGAAGTGTGACTAGCCCAAGGTCACCCAGCAGCTGGGTGCGACCCCCAGATGTTTCAGCAGGCAAAACTACTGACTATAGTCTTTTTACCAAATGTATGCCCACCTCACACATCTGGGAACTGAATGCAAAACCTCCTGTCTGGAGGAAGAATAATGCCCATAAATCTGACCAATGGCACCCCCACCCCCCGCAAGGGTAAAGTTACATTATCTCCTTTGGTGTGGCTTGTTTGGTATGTGGAAATTGGACTAGTAGCACGATGGGGCTTGTCTGCAATAGAGTTGTGGTTATATAAGGGGAAAGTGTGGTTGCATACCTTTGTGTCAAATGCCATAGAGCAAGAAGAGGTAGTTGCCACATCAGGATTACAGCAGTAGTGTAGTTCTATAGCATCTGTAAAGAGTCTTTAGTTATCTGTGGAGCCTAGCCTATATTGTAAAGGATGTGCTTAGCAGAAAGACTCCTTAAAGCATAGCATGCTAACTTATAAGCTAGTTAGGGCTCAGTAGGGTCTTAGCTTCAATATTGGGGTGGGTTGAGGGAAGCTGCAGGTCTTTGCACTGTTGTTAACAGCCATGAGGATTAAAAGTGAAAGACAAGATCATGAGTTTGTCATGACAGCATGCACAGGTTGTTGTGAAGATGTCGTGGTGGACTTTGATTCTGCAGTTAGAGATGAACTGAGAGTCTCTAAAGTGGAAGTTTGGGAACTTCTGAAGTGCAGCATGGGGAGGATCTCTATCTGTATACAATTAAAAAAAATCTTGTGTGATTATGCCAGTGTATAGACCCAAAGGTAACAGGCGTGTGACTGCTTGGGTAAAGTTAGTTCTGTATTCAGGATTGCATAACAAACCCTCATCTTTATCTTCTTTCCACTTTTATGAACATCATAGAGCTTTATCTTGCATTTAGAGATGGTGTTTCCCCTTCAGATACATCATTCCTTTCTTACTTGATTTATGCATTGAAAATTTCACCCTTAACTCCAGGCTGGGATGCTTCTGGAAAAACTACCACCCCCTAGTTGTATATTCAGAATTACCAACAGAGATTGGAGCTCCTGTTCCATACGCAGATATGTACTGAATGAATGAAAACATCTGCCACTGAGTTAGTCTAGTGTCAAAGAAGCAATCTTGCTGTGTGGCACCTTAAAAAATTAACCAACCTATTGTGGTACAAGCTTTCCTAGACTGGAGTAAACTAATCACATGTATTAAACATTATCAGGAAACTGGCAGATATAGATACTCATATTTGTAAGGCAGAGGGTGAAAATGTAGGCAGTGAAGTTAGCGGGGAATGAAATGGAACAATTACAGACTGTAACAATGATGTTAAAGCGGGGATAATGAAATTAAAAGGTTTAAAACACCTTTGTGACTGGAAAATTGGGTTTTCGCTAACCTATTATGGGATGGGAAAAATTAGGCCTGGTACTCAAAGGTTACTGCAGTTAAAAAAGATTGTTCTGTCCTAATCTCCTAGTTTTTAATTTTGTGTAGTGGAATTAAAATGGAATAGGGTTGTTTGTCCTCCGTAGAGATATGGGGAAGCTGCTGGTGCGCAGGAGTTAAAAGGAAGTCGGTCCTTGCTATCTGTGCCGCCCTTTGCCAAGGAGCTACACATAGAGATTGTGTCCTCACCAGCCTACAGCATCACAGGAGTATATGACCAAATTCTCTACCAACACTTTCAAACTCCCAGGTTAGCGTTTCAGTAAAGACAATAACTTAACCTCTGCATCCCTCTTCATGAGATCAAGGGATAATCTTGTTACTGTGCTTCTTACTTACTGCACGAGCACACAGTTAGCAGGACATGGGCTTGTTGCCCATGTGCCACATTTGAGAAGCTTGCTTAGGCATTTTAAACATTTAAAGTAAAGTATTGATTCTGGAAATATTTAGAATATCTGTCTTAAATCAGTGAAATATATTGGTTGTGCCAGCTGAGAGAACTCTTAAAAACGTTTGCAGTAGCATTGTGATCTTAAGCCTGTCTTTGTGGGGTCTGTATGCCAAGTACATTTCACAGTCATTTCACAGAATCATAGAATTGTAGAGTTGGAAGGGATCCTGAGGGTCATCTAGTCCAACCCCCTCAACTTTCCTCTCTTATTCAGTGGCCAGTGGTGCTAATCACAGCTGAGAGTTGTGGTCCAAGATCTGGACTGAAAGCTGGTTAATGCAAAGTAACTCATAGAACATATTTCCAGTGAAAATTAAGCAAGCTCAGAACCTGATCTCTTTTAAACATGCTTTATAGACACACTCTTTAAAGGAATGGCCTTGGGAGAATGAAATGTGATGTTGGACCAAATTATCAGCTATTTTTTCAATGTTAATTGTAGTTTTATTTATTCATTGAATCTAATGAGATTTTATAGTTTTACCGTAATATTTTACTGATTGGTTTTTTTAATGCGAATTGGTTTGTAAGACAATTGTCCTAAAAAGCAGTATGGATGTCTTTATAAACAAAAATAATGTAAGTAACAAATACCATGTTAAGGTTACAGTCCCCCACTATGTTTCATCCCCCCTCACTTTTTCTGTATGCTTTGTAACAAATTGATTTAAATATGATTTTAACAGGCAAGTTATATATTACTGCATTTGTGCAGAAAGGTTTCTCCATCTGGTGATTCCTTTTTCACACCAAATGCTGGCAGTACAGTGAAGAGGCCTCTGTTTTTGAGGCATACAAGTTCATTCAGCACTTTCTGTTCATGACAAAAATTAAAATTGCTAGTTAGACCACATATCTGTCTGCCGCAGGGTATTAAACACTTGAAATATTTCTGATGGCCTCCCTTGCTTCTTTTCAGACTATTGCATTGTCACACAGATTTTTCTCCCTTCCTTTAGTTTGATAACACATGTATCACCATGACTGTTTTGTTGCAGGCTAGTCCAGGAGGAAGATATTCTGTGTATTCCAACAGTCGGGCATCCTGAGTTCTTAGAAGGAAATTCAGATAAGTTCTCCAGGTAAGTTTTCCATTTTGTTAAAGCTAATTGATCTGTCATTTTGCAGTTATCAGTCTGCTTACTAAAAAATCTGATTGAAGTAGCCTCTATTGGTTTGGGTTAAATGCCTAGGGAGAGCTGTCCTGGAAAATCAGAAGCTTGTTTACCCTGGATTGATGGTACCATTATTATAGTCTTGCAGATTGTGGCTTTATACCTAAGGAAGTCCTGTGATGTTAGGGGCTGTTCTTTAATTTCAGAAAATGGTAAATGCTGGTGTTTTTAGAGAAAAATAGCAATTGAGGAAAAAATCCATAGAACTACCTAAAGCTTGTGCTTTTGCAAAGTATATTTTTCATATAAATACTCCAGTTATTTTCTATTGATTCCTCATTTAACCAATGCATTTGGTACTGGAATTTTAGCCTGTTTGCTCTTCAGACAGGGCGGGGTATAAATAAAATTTATTATTATTATTATTATTATTATTATTCATTCAGATGGCCAGACCTCTACTTCAAGGTAAAAAAGATAGTAGCAGCAGATGAAAAAGAGCAGAGCCTGGGGTACCTGGCCGACACTCAGAACACGTCTTTATTTCTGGTAAGATTTAAAAAGTGTTTTAGGTAAATAGCATATTCTAGTGCTGACATCAGAGCTCTTGAGTATAATAAATATAAAAATATAAATAATGGTTAGGGCATTGCATACAAAATTCAGAGAGAGATGTAATGTTGAAGTTGAACACATTTATCCCAACTTTTTAACACCTGTTTTCCTTAGCTGCAAAACAGGATAAAAATATTTCTCTTCTATTAAAATGTGGTAGGACTTCCAGGGACCTGATCAGTCATTTAAACAGCTACCTTTGCTCTAAAGCAGTGATGGCCAAACTTGGCCTTCCAGCTGTTTTTGGGACTACAATTCCCACAATCCCTGACCATTGGTCCTGTTAACTAGGGATGATGGGAGTTGTAGTCCCAAACAGCTGGAGGTCCAAGTTTGGCCATCACTGCTCTAAAGGGTATTTGAGTGATTTGAGAAGACATATTCATATCAGGTAATTATCATTTCCCATTTTTTGTAGGTTGGTTCAACAAACAGTGCTGTCCCATCTTTCCCGTCTCAAAATGCTCATGCGTTTTGGAATAGTTTATCTCCTGCTGGACTCTGCAACATAGTGAAACAGCTTTGTGATATTCTTGGGCCACACTTACACAGTAGGTAAGTCAGCTGACTCGACCTAATTCTACCACATAATACATTGCTGCAGATAGCTTTGGGGGCTGGGTCTGTGCTGCATGTAGCTGTTGCCATTTACTGATAGATTTTGGGAATTAAGTATTATTACTTTGGTTATGGGGTGGTAGGATTTTTCTGGTTCTGGACCGTGCCACATTTAAGTGTTGTTCATTCAAGGTGCTCCTGTGACAGTGGGGCCTGAAATCAATTTCTCATTGAACCTTTGGGACCTCACATTGTGAGTTTATAACAACAACAACAATTCTTTTTACAACAACAACAGATAATTAATTATTTTTATTATTTATACCCCACCCAACTAGCTGGGTTTCCCCAGCCACTCTGGGCAGCTTACAGCATATATTAAAACATAATAAAGCATCAGACATTAAAAACTTCCTGATACAAGGCTGCCTTCAGATGTCTTCTAAAAGTTGTATAGTTCTTTATCTTCTTGACATCTGGAGGGTGTTCCACAGGGAGGGTGCCACTACTGAGAAGGCCCTCTGCCCGGTTCCCCGTTTGTTTATGTGGTTGTGCTGCAGACTCCCTCTTTTGCTTTCTTCTTTTGTAATACTAATTAATGAAGTTGCTGGTTTTTGTGTTCTAGGGGGACTCTACTAAATGGAGCTGGAAGCATTCTTCTTTCAGGACCCAGTGGTGTGGGGAAACTGACAGCTGTCAGAGCTGCCTGTAGCCGCCTCAATCTCCATTTGTTCAAGGTAGTTTGTCTGAGCCTTCCATTTGATTTTTTTATGTCATTTAACATCTGGAAAATGGCCTTGAAAGAATGCAGCGCTACTTACAAATAGCAATGTTCTCTTTTTTGCTTTTGTGACCCCAAATTGCCACTCAGGTACAGTGGAGAAAAGTGGTTTCTCCATAGAGAACTTCTGGCATTGCGTATTCCTTCTTCACCCTACATCTGTCCTCTTTCCCTCTTAGCTGAGGGTGAATTGTATTTGTCTCTTGCCCCTTCCAATTTGGGCATCTTACCTGAATGCAGAGTGCTTCTGCTGGTGGGAGTGCTTACAAGGAATAATAGGGGTTTTATAATTTCCTTATAAAGGATACTTCTTTCTAAATGCATGCATCTCTGAAATAAGAGGCAGTTTTGGACTTCTGGGTCTTCTCTCAAAACTCCCACCTTCAGAGGATCAGGATATGTTTATCCACCAATTGATGACACCGCACTGTAGCTCTGTGCTGCTTCCACTGCTTTTTCTTCCCTATGAAGGCATTTTTTAATCAAGTATTCCATTTGTTTGAAATCTTGCTTTAGCATAGGGAAAACAACAGGACACTGTTTCTATAGCCTTAAAAAATTAAAATTACCCCTATCTGTAATATTGTTCTTCAACTGCTGGGTTGTATCAGTTGAGAGGCCACCAAATTGTATTTGTCTTTAATTTTCGTGAAAGTTATATACCAATCATAAGAAAGCAACAATCTGAAAGTGGTAAGATGGGAGGAAGCCTGATACAGCTTTTCTTACCCATATAGGATAGTCTGCACTTGCTAAAATTCTCCCATCCTCACACCTATTAAAGATGTCTACAGGAAAATGGTGGGCATGTACAGTTGTAAAAGAGGTTATTGTATGGTTGTAGGTTAAAAATGTGTCCAAGGAATAAACTAGTCTAGATCAGCAGAATCTGCAGCCATTTCCCCTGCATGTATTCTTCACATATTTTTGCAATGCAGTCCTCAACATATCTTTGTCCCCTGGCTTCCTGTAGGTGGATTGTGTTAGTTTGTGTGGTGACACCAGTGGATCCACAGAAGCAAAACTGCATGCTGCGTTCTCACAGGCTGAGGTCTATAGCCCTTGTGTCCTGCTAATGAAAGATATAGAGCTGCTGGGAAGAGATCGTGATGGACTTGGGGAGGACTCCCGAGTAATTCTTGCATTACGGCACCTTCTCCTGGACAGAGAGGCAAGTACTAGGTATGGATCGTCACACTAGGATTTTCTGTGGCTTTGTTTCTGAAGGATGGCTATCACTATGGTGTGCCTGATTCTACAACCTAGCAGTCAATTGAGTAGTTCTTCTCTGGCTGTGTGATATTGAAATTTTGGATCACTGCTCACACGGGGAGCATACACACGGTGTATTACACGGTGTATTACGGTGTAATACACACGGTGTATTATCAATATAGAGTGGGGCCTTCTTTATATTCTAACTGCGATTTTCACGTAAGCACTTAAGAAGAGCCCTGCTGGATCCAGCATTGTATTCTCAACCCTGGCTGAAATATTCATGGCTCATCTGTGTGTTTTCTCACTAGTTATCCTGTCCTGGTAGTAGGAACAACGACCAGGCTTGGGATTGTCCCTACGGACTTGCAGACGGCTTTCCTTCATGACCTGAAAATCGAAGCACCGTCTGAGGAGCAGAGGAAGGCCATTCTAAGCATGCTGACAGAGGGCTTGCCTTTGGGAAAAGAAGTGAGCCTGACTAAGCTAGCCCGGCAAAGCGCGGTGAGTTGCATCCCAAACGGCAGGACAGCCTAGTCGATGTTACAAGGGGAGCTTAGTTGCCATAGGGTGTGATTCCTTCTTGTGCTGAAGGATCACCTTGCAGTAGGAAAGAACAACCAGGCCATTGGTCCCTTTTAACCCAGTGTTGTCTGGCAGCAGCTCTCCATGGTTCCAGACCAGGGCCTCTCCCTGCCCTAGCTAGAGACATTGGGGATTGAACCTGGGACCTTCTTATGCAAAACCATGCTATGCCACTGAGCTGCAGCCCTTCCCAGGAATTGCTTCTTTTTTATGCAAGCAGCATGACCCAAATAGGAATACAGAGTGCTGGATCTCACTACTTTAGGCCCCAAGTCAGATTCCCTGGAAAAGACTTATCAAAAAGAATTATCTACAGTATGTAAACTGGGAATGTGGTCAAGCTCATGTAGCTATTTGACTTGAGTTCTGGCCTATGGATAGCCAGTATTACACAAATATAGGTATCTTGGTTGCCTTCGCTAGGAGGGCTTGGAGGCCCTTGCAAACCAATATAAACCTGCCTGCAGTAGCATTCTCCATTACTTCAGTGGTGTGCTCACATAGCTTGAGGGAATGGGTACAGAAGGATTTCCCCAGATTTTTCTGTGTAGAGAATTAAACCTCTTCATCCTTATCCTTAAGGGGTCTTATTTCAGAATGCTTTCTCTGCTTGCCTTGGGAATTGCTCCACTACTAGCATCTTGTTCCATGTTTGCAGGGCTTCGTTCTGGGAGACTTCTGCACTTTGCTTTCCCACAGCAGCCGTGCAGCCTGTGCAAGGATCCAGAATTCAAGGTACTGGAGGAGACTTTTTGGTGGTTTGTAAGCCTTCAGGTGATCGCTGCAAATGTTTTATACACTTTGGAAGATGAGATTTAGGTTTCCTAACTGTGAATGGGATAAGGGAGGCATGCCGGTTTGTGATCTTCAAGACCTGAGGTGCCAGGAGTCAGGAGGGAATAGCACAAGGAGCAAGTACAAAGAGTCCACCCTCTCCAGTTTGCATGTGTCCATGGGGTCGTGGCTTAGTAAAATGACTGAAAAGATTTGTCTTTGGAAACTTACTGTGGCAGCATTTGATAGAGCCCCAGTGACTCTTAAGACTTTTTGGTGAAAAAGGATAGAGAATCCCCACCCCCACAGGAACCTTCTGTTTTTGCACTGTTTCTCTTCCCCGCTTCCAACCATAGTTCCTTCGCCTACTGCCACTTTGGAGCAATTTATCAGCTTAAATAGGGCAACTTAATTCCTTTTCACTATACTATCCCTGATGGTATCAGAGCCAGTCAGATTGGGCTGCAAGGCAATGTCAGTGAAGGGGAAATGAAGCTACTTTGCTCTCGCTCTTAAGGCCTGATTGAGCCTTAGTCATCAAAGCTCATCTGAGAGCAATATAGTGTAGAGCGATAACATCCTGCTCAGATGCACATTTGACTTTGTGCCTGATTTCTCAGTGATTGTTTCATTTCTGCAGTACAGCAGAACCTGATTGTCAGGGCTCTCAAACACCTTTGTGGCGCAGCTGGTTGGTGTGCCCCGCAAATGATCAAAATTGAGGGCACCTATCTTTGGCACATCAGCACCCGGCTCAGCCCTGTAATTTGGAGACCTGTGGTCCAATTAACTTTTTATTATTATCAAGATTGCAGAAAACAGTTTGCTGTTTCTGTTTCCACTTTGCCAGCTTCCTGGGGGGACTGAGTGAGGAGGAAGAACATGATTTTTGTGCTGCAGGCTTCCCTCTTCTAGCAGAAGATTTTGGTGTTGCACTGGATAAGCTGCATGATGCTCATTCGCAAGCAATAGGAGCTCCAAAGGTATGACTAATAAGAAGCTTGATTTAAAAAACCCCCCACAAACCACCCTCTGAGATCTCATGCAACTCTCTGCTACCATTAAGTGGAGAATGTCATCATCGCCTCTTGCTCCAATGACTAAATCATACTAACTAGATAGCTCAGTGCTTATGCGATCTTTCACAAATTTTATTCATAAAATTTCAGTCATAATCGCAATCGACGGTATACATTAGTTTAAAATCAATAGAATATCCAGTCATAAATGTTAAAAACGTAATAAAGAAGTAGGGGAGGAGCAGTGCTTATCAAAGCTTAGACAAAATAATTTAGTAGTAATCTGTAAATTTTCAAGTGTAAAAAACCCAAAACTTCTCTCCTTTCACTAACAATTGCAGGGCCAAATAGAGTCGCCCCCCAGTAGGAAATTCCAGAGAGATGGTGTCTAAAATGTTGGTGTCCTTGGGAAGGAACATTACCACTAGTAGTAGTACTATTAACTGGGGAAAGCTGTGTAATCATGCAGATCTTACTATATTAAAATACAGGAATCTTCTGCTTCCTTTTCGGACAGGGGTTGTGGAACACATTAATTGGTACTCAACCTTGAACCACTTTAAGGCTCAAGGAAATCCACATAATCCCGTTTTTCATTCTGATATTGTTGGAGCTAATGAATGGGCAACATAAATGAGTCTTGCAAGCCCTCATAACTGAGAAAATCTAATTCTACAACACTGGAAAGGCAGCTCTCTGCCAACAATTACACTGTGGACTTGGAACCTTACTGTGTTTTTGATCTTTGAACATGCAACAATTTGAACATAAACAGTTTCCAGATATAGACAAGGACAATTGGTCCATGTACACTGAAATCTATTTTTTGTGATTGAGTCCGTTGTAAAGTAGCAGCTTTATGAGCCAGAAAGTGTTTGAAAAATTCCAATCAGAACTGTAAGCCTCCCTCTTCCTCTTCATCCTTTACCTATGATTTGGTGTTATATAAATGAATTAATAATGCATTGTCAATACATGAAATAAGCAGCAGGGCTTCACCTTTTGATATTAAGGTGTAAGTGAGTACGTAAGGGAGAAGAGCTACTAAAGGTAGCTAAAGTGCAATTAAGGGTGCAACATGGATGATTCCAGATGAGACCAGTCTTCACTTGCCCCTTGGAGCAGGAGGAGGATGCTGTGAGAGCGGTGGCAGTCGCTGGATGGCGCAGAGGGGAGTGTTGTGGTCTCAAAGGGTTTATGGGACTGTGTCTTGAGAGCACCGTAAAAAGAAAAAAGTGCAAGTCTTGGTTTATGAAATAGGGTTGTAGACTTGGCAAGAGTTGCAAGGTTGTCCTGTCGCCGCAGATACCTTCTGTCTTCTGGCAAGATGTTGGTGGGCTCCAGGAAGTGAAGAAGGAGATCTTGGACACCATTCAGCTTCCCCTAGAACACCCAGAGCTACTATCTTTAGGTCTTCGCCGCTCTGGTCTTCTGCTCTATGGCCCTCCCGGAACAGGGAAAACGTTGCTAGCAAAAGCTGTGGCAACTGAATGCACCATGACTTTCCTCAGGTGGGCACTGTGGCAGAAAGGGATAAGGGGAGCCTTGGGGCGCAGAGCTCGGGATAACCAGCCCTGTCTTTTCTCTTTCTCAGTGTGAAGGGCCCGGAGCTCATCAACATGTACGTTGGGCAGAGTGAAGAGAATGTGCGTGAAGGTTAGTGTGGAGCTCCAACGTGGAGCAGAGGAATGCATTGTGTATGCTGCTGGCTTTAGCGCGACTCTGCAAGATGCACATTAATTTCTTTCCCTCCCTCCCTCTCTCTCTCTCATCAGTGTTTGCCAGAGCCAGGGCAGCTGCTCCCTGCATTATCTTTTTTGATGAACTTGATTCCTTGGCACCCAATCGTGGGCGGAGTGGCGACTCCGGTGGTGTAATGGACCGGTGAGTGCCACTTGTCAGCTGCTGTTAAGGAATGCTGAAGCGTAAGCATTCTGCTGTGGCAAACTCCGTGCAAACTCTTGATTTTTTTTTCCTTTATCCATGCTTGATATAATGATCCAGGCAGGCCGGAGGTATCTGGATGTGTTCCATAAAACCTGGACTCCCACTGTCAAATGTATAAACACTATAAAGGCTGGGGTGCCCCACTCCCTGATGGCACACAGGTTGTCTTTGGTCCCTGAACCTTAGCTTTGATGATCCTATTTTTTTCTGCATTGGGGCTTAGTTTTAGAAGATAGAAAGGGTGAAAATAAATTTTATCGAAAATCTTAATATCCCACCTTTCTATGTGGGATATTCAAGGCATTCAAGGCAGCCGCTAATGTTAATGCAGCAATCTTTTTGTATTTTGATGTAATAGAACAAAAAGCAGATCCTGCAACCAAGGTTAACTTCAACAAAATGTCTCTCTCTCTCTATATATAAAGCACTAGCAAAATATGACTTCATCTCTGGATCCCAGCTGAAAACTGCCTTCACAGGCATATCAACTGCCCTGGGTATTTGATGCCTAATACCTGCCTAGGCATTTGGTGCTTCAAAGCTTGCACTAGCTGCCCTTATGCCATTGGGCCAAGTTTTTATATTCATATGGAAGGCCCGCAACAACTGGTGTCTAGGATACCATGAGCACCATCTGATTCCTTCTATCCCTGCCCAGTCTGTCCCCATGACTTAGATGCATGGCTCATACCTGCCAGGTGTTCAGTACTGTGGGCCCATTTCTGTCAAAACTCACTCCCGGCTGAGATCAGATAGATTTCCTTCCAGTTGAACTTCTGGCAATTGGTGCAGACCTTTTTTATATCTGCTTGCATTTAAGTTTTCTTATTTTTAATGGTTAATTTAAACTGATTTTATCTTTTTATATCTTTTGCAACCTTACTGTACACCACTTAGAGACTACGGTGTTAAGCAGTATATAACACAAAATAATAAAAATCTCCAGTTTGGCTCTAGCACTAACCAAATGTTGGTTTGTTCTGTCACCTGAAGCAGAATATAACTCGGTCATTGAACAAGAAGAATACGGCAATGGTCAGATGAGAAATTTGTAAAGCAGGGTGAATCTTTAAGATTCTTAGAATCGATGTCTGCCTCTTGTGAGAAGTGGGACCTTACAGTTCTAGAGAGATATAGGAAGATACTGGATTTTGCCAATCTTCCAAGACGTGATGCTCTTGCTGTGAGAAGAAAAGTTCTATTTTTGATTCTTACTTCACTCTGCAAAGTTAGTGACTTGCTTGTACATCCCCATTGCCCTACCTTGTCTGTTAAGAACTGTTTCGTTCAAAGCAAGTAGTTTTTCTCTCAGTGGTGCATAGCAACTAGTACAGTAATACTTTTGAGCTTAAGAGCTTGGTCATACCTATCTGAACCAGTGCTTTGTGTATGTACTGTTTGGAGTAATGAGTTGACTTGCTCAATGGCTGCACTAGGATTTGTGGCATTTAAAAATCTTTTCTTTTTCCCCTTGGTAGAGTGGTGTCTCAGCTACTAGCAGAACTTGATGGACTTCATTCTTCTCGAGATGTCTTCGTTATTGGAGCTACAAACAGACCTGATCTTCTAGATTCAGCATTGCTCCGGCCAGGCAGGTATGATTCTCACTGTTATTGGTTTTACACACACACACACACACACACACACACACACACACAGCACATGTATATACGTGGCACTTTACAAAGAACAGGTATAACAGATCTCTGGCTCTTAAAATCTAAAATATAGACAGGGAAACAAAAGATGTGATTACTTCATTTGTGTGTACCATGACTTAGTTACAGTAGAGACAAGGACAAAGTTAGATTAGTGTAGTATCCTAACTCCCCACTCCCTCACTTGTTGCAAGTCTTTGAAAGCAAGTTAAGATGTGAAGCACTAAGAGGTTGCCTGTCCCTTCTGTTCTGTTTGTGTTACATTTTTGGCAGACAAATCCTCTGCCCAAAGTGAGGTCTTGAAGTGCTTTTCCACGCAAAATAACAGACAATTTGTTGCTTCTTCCTTGCCTATTTGGTGCTGGATGCATTCATTTGCTCTAATTTAGCGCAATAGTTTTCAAAGGTTTTTCCCCCGTAGACCACTTGAAAATTGCTGGAGGTCTTGGCAGACAACTTAATAAAATTTACTAATGTTTTAAAGTACCAACATCATTCTAAAAACAGGTGGAAATCATGGGACACGGCAGGCTACCAAAAAGGGCCCCTTTAACTTCTATAGAAAATGAATAAGACTTCCCCTGTGGGCCCTAGGCAAGTGCCCTAGTCAAAATAGCCCCCATCTTCATTGTAGAAGGTATCAGTTATGCACAGAGCCAGGCACAGGCTTTCTTGAAGGTTGCACTTTTTTCTTCTCATTTCTTTGCACACTGTGAGTGGAGCTACTTGGAAAATGTTTGCTATATTGAATTAAAAGCTCCACAGCCTAACAATAGAAGTCTGTTCTCAGATCTTCTTGGGGTTGTGTGTGTTTTCTGAATAGCATGTATGTATATTGGACAACTGCACTTTGTCTCTTTATTGTCTGTTTCCCTGGCAGATTTGATAAATTGGTCTATGTGGGTATAAATGAAGACCGAGACTCTCAGCTGCAAGTACTAAATGCTATCACCAGAAAGTGAGTGCCTACCATAAAATAAAAGTAGTGACAAAGCGAAAGCCCTGTGATTCCCAATATTTCATGGCCTTAGTATTCCTTGTATATAGCTGTTCACTCCGCAGGGGAAGAGAAGTCTGTGCAAAGTGGTACCTCCACTCCTACAAGCAGCTAAGTACAACTGCAACTTGCTGGTTTGCATTCAGAAGATCTTTCACATCATGGGCTGCAAAATTGTGAATAAGTGCTGTCCTTGTGCATTCCCTTCTGCTCTTGAGCATGAGGCTTATTTGATTGCTTCCCGTTTTAAGCAAACCAATTTACTGTAACAAATGCATGAAGGATAAGGCTATGCTCTATCCACACTGTTGGAAGCACCATACCTCTGCATTCCAGTTGCTGCGAATTAAAAGATGCCGTGTTTAGGTCCTGATCTGCAGGCTTTTCATAGGCATCTAGGTGGCCATTGTGAGAATGGGATGGGCCTTTGGCTTGATCCGGCAGGGTTGTCTTATACTCTTTATGGAGTGGTGAAAGCAGCAGAACTGCAGTATAGGTTAAAACTGGATTAACAGCCTCTGCTGATTTGGGCTTGATAGCTTAGCCCACTGCATCAGCACCTCCTTTTGCTGCTTTTGTTAAAAGAAAAGTAGAGCAGACAACCTTGCACTATGAAGTTTCTGATCTTAGAAAGCTGTGAATGTTAAATTGGCTGCAAATCTTCCCAAGAGAGGTGTGTGCTATTGTGAGACCGATAATTCTCGTTTGGTGTTTGCCACATTAGGCCTGGATAGCTCAGTTGGCTAGAGCATGGCGCTGATAATGCTAAGGTTGCAGGTTTGAACCCCGTTTGGGACAGCTGCATGATCCTGAATTGCAGGGAGTCAGACTAGATCAGGATTTCCCAAACTTGGCTATCTAGTTGTTTTTGGACTACAGTTCCCATTATCCCTGACCACTGGTTCTGCTAGCTAGGGATGATGGGAGTTGCAGTCCAAAAACTGCTAGAGATCCGAGTTTGGGAAACCCTGAACTAGATGATCCTCGGAGTGCCTTCCAACTCTACATTTCTATGATCACACTCATTTGAACCTGGGATTTGGGGTTATTCCTTTCTGTCCACAGCTCTCAGACGGGCTGCAGTCTAACAACAATCTTTCTTTGATACTAAGCCTTGGATATATTCTTCCTTGGTAGGTTTAAGCTGGATCCTTCCGTCAGTCTCCTTGGTATCCTTGACAAGTGTCCCGTACAGCTAACGGGAGCAGACATATACGCACTCTGCTCAGATGCCATGATGTCTGCTATCAAAAGAAAAGTGGCGTGGATAGAGGAAGGTAAGGAACTGGCAAAGCTCAGCTAGATTCAAATCTGCTAAGAAAAATGCACAGCAGGCAGTTAAGACAGGATGATGGACAGGTTCTGGAAAGAGAAAAATGTTCTTCATGGGCCATTGTTTCTTTGAATCTAATTCAGTGAACAAGATAACTGAACTCTTTACTGTGTCCATTCATCTCCAGTGATGGGGTAGAAAGGCAGAATACAAATATTTTAAATAAACGTTTGATCAAGTGTTTGGCAAAACTATTACTGCTTTACATCCTTCTGTTTGGACTTGCATATCAATAAGCAAAGATCAGTTCTAAATAGTGGAGTAGGAAGTCAGATTGGTCTCACGCCTCTGGGACACTTGGCAGACAAAGGTGTGTGTAATTGAGAGGAATTAGCAGGCAATAACGGGAAGGGTAAAATATTCCTTTGTTCTTGGGCTCCTTTTATGGAAATGATCTATAGAAAGGCTCCTCCTTTTTACAGGCTGTGGTGTAATTTCAGACCTGAGGGTGGAATATATTATTTTCCCTGTGATGCGTCTCTCAGGATTTTCTGTATTGCTGCTACCTGTGCCACCCTTGGGTCTGTTCTTGAGACATTCTTTGGAAAATAGGTTGAGTTACTTGTGGGGGTCTAATTGTGCTATCTGGATTGGACTGAACTGACTTTGCTTGAGGTGGGAACCTGTTAAACGCATATCTATGAGAGACTGGCATAAGTGGGTCTTGATCCAGCTGTTATGATTCTGTCATTTGGTAAAACATTGTGGAAATGAGATGTTGTCCAGTGCAAAGAATCAGTGCACTGTGAAAACTCTTAGGGAGAGTTTTGCACTTTGGAGCACTATTCACAGTTGTCCGAGTTTCTCTCTGCACTTGAAAGACTTGTAGAAGTTTTTGCATCTTTCCACTGCTCCCCGCCCCATTTTGCATACCCAGGAACAGTTTGTGGGTGTGCAGCATCTGACATGTCTAAAATGAATAACTTTTTTGGCAACCATTTTGCTCTTTTTCTCCAGGGCTAGACACAGAGACTTCAGACCTAACTCTAACCATGGAGGACTTTGTACAAGCTGCAACAAGGCTGCAGCCGTCTGTTTCCGAACCAGAACTGCTTAGATACAAACTAATCCAGCAGAGATTTGCTGCTTGATTAAGGATCCAGCAGGACCAGAAAGAAAGGGATACATATGGTTGGAACTGTATAATTCCATGGAATCTGGAAGAAATTTTTGATGTGTTGTTGTCGGTTCTGCTGGAGAAGTGAAAACAGTGGATTCCAATGGCCAGGTGAGTGAGAAAAACTGAAAATGGGATCTAGGCATGGAACTGAGACTACTGGCTGCTTAGCTGGCTAAGAACTCTCTCAAGCTAATCCTCAGGAGTTCTCAGCGCCCTTGCTTATATATGAGAAGTTCAGGTTTCTTGAACACCCAGTGGAAAACCTGGGCCCATGAATATTTGGGTGGTGGTGCAGTGGCTGTGTCTAAGAATGGATAAATAAAAATCCTGTTTCTTTGCCAGAATGACGTAAATGCTCTTTAGTGCCTTTTATGAACTAAGATTTTCGGAGGGAGAAAGAGAAAACCATCAAAGCAGAGCAGAGCTCACCTTCCTTCCTGTAGGGCACTCTGATGCTTAATGCAGTCACATATTTAATTAAGTGTTTTGTAGAACTGGTCTTGTTCCCATGCTGGCTCCTTCACCATTTTGCCAAATTTATGTAATCTGCCAATATAATATAATCTCATTGGTGTTTACAATTGTAGCAATAAGGTAAAATATTCCCATTTTTTATTGTTGGGGGGGGGAGAAGAGAGACTGATAACCTTGTACTCTTTGGCTTGCTGGACTTAACCTACCACTTCTGCATTTGCCAGGAGGGGAGGGGATTCAGCTCCCCGTTTTCCAGCTATGGAGCAAGGCAGCTCAGGCTGGCAGCCTAAAGTCTTGTGTAAAACTGCAGCAAAGTGTCCACAAACTTTTATTGCATGCCACAAGAACTCAAAAAAGCAGATTCATCCTTTTGAATTTTTTTGTCTGGCTGCTCGTGTGATTAAACAAGAAATTGCATTCTGAACTAACAAAGATTTCCAGACAGTTTCCCCCCACATAAAACACACTGTAATCAGTCATCCAGCCCTGAGGTTACTACTGTTTGTACCATACTAGCAAAACAGTTATGCTGCTAAAAGGCACTTGTCTTGGCTGCTACCTAAGTTTTCAGGAGCTGTATCAGGTCTCACAACAACACCAAAATACACAGTTGATCCTTAACAGAGCATGGCCTCATCCTGGTCCAGATCAAGTAAAATCTCTACCAGTAACTTTTACTACCATAGTTCATTCACTGCCAACACCAACCTGTGAAACCTGTTTTTCTGGCTCTGTTGGCAAGGCGAAATAGAGTATTACCAGTTGTTTGGGAACACTGGGGGAGGAGATGGTGGGGCTCTACTGCCAGAAATGTTTCAGGGGGGAGTGCTAAAAGTCAAATACATGAAAGCTAATCAGAGTGCCACCATTAACTCCGTCCAATTGTCCCTGATCAAGATCTCTGGGCACAATGTATTTTAAGGAGTGCCCTTAAGTGCCTGCTGAAATGAATGGGAACTTTGCAGCACTTTTCCTTCATCAGAAGGCAGAAGATACTCCCAGCCAAAAGGTCTCCTCACTGTGAGCACCAAGAGCCAAAGGTGGGCAATCCCCCCCCAACTGACCCTATAAGGGTTGCATGCCAGTGGCTACCCTCACTCACATAAACACTCCAGCTCAGGAGACACTGCTGTGTTTTCTTCTTTTTTCTTCTGCCACCTTCAAAACTAATGAGGTTCCCAAACTGGCCATTACTCCAGGTGTAGCTAAAGCACACGTATTTGCTCATCCCTCCTCCCCACCCCAAAGAAACACACACACAACCACATTCATTCGGAATTTCAAGCATCAGTGCGAATCATTGAGGCAATCTCAAGGCAGAGAAGCAAAAACCAAAAAGTTATCAAGAAACAAAGTTTAGTAAGCTCATGTGACCTTGCATATGATTCAGATTCAAAGCAAGCCATTGCCACCTTCTTCCCTCAAGAGCTCCCTGATTTGAGCAATGGCTCCTCCAGTCTCCCAAAGCAGATTAACTAGATTTCCCCCTTAGAAAAGGGCAAGATGGAGGGGAGGGGAAAGACTCCTTCAAGTACTTCCTCTTCTGGTTCAGGTACCTCTTAAGCACATTCACTGCCGCTTGCACCCCCACTGGCCCCTCCAGCAGCTGAAGACAAACCGTCTGCGCCTGCTGGAGTCGTCCGCGGAATAATTCTCAGCCTGTTTTCTTCACCACATGGATGAAATAGCATGGGCTGTACTGCTGGCCCGGGGTGTAAGGCTTGAAGTCCCCCAAGACGCTGTGTTCACACGGGCACTGGAAGGCGTTTTTCAGCAGTTCTGTGAAAGGCTCCAGGCGATGGGGGTAGTAGGAGAGGCGGAACTGGCTGGTGAGACATACACAAAAGAAACGTTAGCAGCTGTCTGCTCGGCAGCTTCCCCCAAAAATCTTACTTGTGTATACATGTAGCAGGTGCACTACCCATCCAGCATCCTCTTGCTTTCTGGTTCCTAAATCTCCCGCTACAGATCTTGGCTGCCACACTTATTCTCTGTGCTGTTTCATCACCAACCTTGAAGCGACTGCAGTAGTGAGCAGTGAAGCTCATTTTATCCCTTTCAGTGATAAGGTATTGCAGTGGGGTGATGGCTCAACCTGGAGAATCAGCGCTCCTTTACTTTTTAAGCTGCAGATAGGGCGAAATCTCCAGCCCAGAGCCCAAACTCACCATCCAGGCCACACCAATCACTAGCCCTGCTCCACACCTTTCCAAGTTATTTTGCCTTGCTGAAATACCTGTCTCTTGCTTGCCAGGATGGAAAGAAACTTAACCTTTGCAGCCCACTGTACAAAGGTAGAAGCCACATTTCTTGCTTTGCCTCTGGCCCCACCACCATTTGGGCTGAAGAAAGTTTGGTTTATTGCTAAAAATAAAACATGCAAAGATCTCTGCATCCTCCCTAAGCTGGATAAGCTGTACTCTAGGTAAAGGTAAAGGGACCCCTGACCATTAGGGTCCAGTCGCGGACGACTCTGGGCTTGCAGTGCTCATCTCGCTTTATAGGCCGAGGGAGCTGGCGTACAGCTTCCGGGTCATGTGGGCAGCATGACTAAGCCGCTTCTGGTGAACCAGAGCAGCACACGGAAACGCCATTTACCTTCCCACTGGAGTGGTACCTATTTATCTACTTGCACTTTGACGTGCTTTCGAACTGCTAGGTTGGCAGGAGCAGGGACCGAGCAATGGGAGCTCACCCTATCACGGGGAATCGAACCGCCAACCTTCTGATTGGCAAGCCCTGGGTTCTGTGGTTTAACCCACAGCACCACCCGCATCCCATTAAGCTGTACTCTAGCCATGCATATTTGTTGGAGCACACAGTATTGCTTTTCCTACGCAAACATCCTTAACAGAATGTGATTGGGTTTCACCTTTGAATAGGAATGTGAAGGGTTAAACTAGGGGCAGAGGTGCACACGCAAGCATGGTAAACCAGAGGTGAGGGACAGACGCATGTGTGGTTGGCACAAAGGGGTGAAGGCATTCGAAGCACATTTGACTGAACGCACTTAGAAACCCTCCTTCTTAGTCGGGAACTGTGACATCTCACAATTTCCAGTCACAGGGACAGTTGTAGATTGAACAAGTCTTAGAAGCTCTTTCATACTTTTGAGCTAATTGCGGAAATAGCTGAAGAGCTGCTGGTGTGCCTTGGGGTGTTGCTCAATTTAAGCCGCCACGTGTTCAGGTAAGTGCCTGGATGTGGCTATAATCTCCAGTAATTCCATCTTTCAGAGCCAATTTAAAGGAAGAGAATCTTGTTGGCTGGGAGCTGTTTTTTCAACATGGCTGGATACGGCATGGGTATCTTCTAGTTATAGCCCATTTAATGAACAGCTTGCCTTTTCAGGTAACACCCTTACAAGGCAACATGTAATATATCAAACAATAAAACATTAAACAAAACCAACTGACTTATCTAAAACATGAAGCCAGCAAGTAAAAGCAGAGTTTAAAGTGTATGAAAAGCCACCAGTGAGCAGGGCATAAACACCTAAAGGAAGGAAGCTGTGGGGCCACCATTGAAAAGGCCCCGATTCTGATATCTGCCAATCTGATGGTTCTTAGTAGCAGGCCCCAAACGCAGATCAGCCTTGGCTGATCTGGACCCAGACATCTGTTAGCTCCCACCCAACCTTACCAAGTAACTGGATGCTCCCACATTTGCTATTAGGCTGAAGACTCTGGATAGCACATGAGGTCTGAACAGAATATACCTTAGTTCCGGGCTTCCATCATTCCCCTCAGGTGGCACCTGTACTGTATAGTCCAGCGTCACCATGTTCGGTTTGTTGTTCACAAGAAGTACAGATGTAGTGATGTCCTTGGTTAAGTCACTCTAAGACAGAGGGGCGGGGAAAGAGAAAAAATAAACTTCTAGTTTTCATTCCCTTTCTTGTTTGGTGCATTCTTGACTAGTTCATTGTGATTAGCCCAATGCAATCCTAGTCCAGGCTATGCAATTGACACATCTTCCCCATAAATAATAATAATAATAATAATAATAATAATATCATCTTTATTGTCATTGCCCCCTTCGGGGACAACGAAATTACTTGACTGCTCTATGAAAACACTAATTAATCAATACAGTATAATACAGCAAGGGAGATTAGATGACTTTCAAAGTCCGGGCTTCCCATTCAGGGCCGAGATCGCTCTGGAGAAGAAGCTGTTCTTAAGACGGCTCATTCTTGTCTTCATCGTCCTGTATCTCCGTCCCGATGGCAAGAGCTCGAAGAGACAGTGACCAGGATGCGATGGATCTTTTACTATGTCCAGTGCCTTCCTATGGCACCTTGTGGCATAAATCTGCTCTAAGGTAGAGAGTGGGCAGCCAACAATGCTCTCTGCTGCCTTAACAACCCTGCACATCCCCATCCTGTCCTGGGTAGTACAGCTTCCGTACCACACACATAAGCCATAAGTGAGCACGCTCTCAAAACCCCTCCCTTCTCTCTGTTGTTGATACAGATAAAAAAAATACACATAGGAGCTATTCCTATTCTAATTACGAACCCAGGACAGGTGCCGGTTCAAATGCTAGCTCAAACATCCAGAGAACTTCATATTGTCTTTATGAGACTACACCATCTCAGAATGCAAGTGCAATATCTTGTGTCTCCTCCACCTGTAAAATTCACTGTGTGTGCTAGCCTAGGCCATTTGGGAAATAACTATGCTAGATGCATTTTCCTCGATGCACTTCCTTTGCCCCTGAATTGTCTCTTTTGGGCATGGAGCTGCATTCAAGGTGGGGTGTACAATGCAGAATGGCACCATGTTCTTCTCTGCCTGAATTGATTGCTGGAAGCATGAAAGTCGGAGAAATGGTTTCCTTTTATTAAAAGGGCTACCATCACTACTACAAAGCTTTGGCAAAAGACCTATTTCTAGGAAGTACCTTGTAGTAAATGTTCTTCCCAGGAGGGGCACAGCCTGTTTCGAGGATGTAGTCATAATTACGGTGGTCAATGACAAGGATGCCACCTGGACGCACCATACTGGCAATGTTCTTCAGAGCCTGTTTATGGGCAGCTTGGTCACCTAGGAAAAGAGACAACTATGAATTAAATTCCTTACTGCAGCTAGAGGGAGATTCTTCACATATGCATAAAACCTGAGAGGCCTGGTCATATATTCTCTTCACCGTCAAACTAGAACTATGTTGTTTCTGGGTTTTGAGAGCCTCATATAAACCCAGCATTTGAGATCTACCAATGTTGCCCTGCTAAATGTTCCATCTTTTCTGTAGTGTAGACTAGCCTCGAAAAGAAGCAGGGCCTTTTCTGTGGCAGCCCCAAAACAGTATTGGCTTTCATTATTCAACCTTCCTTTTCAGAAGGCAGGTTAATATCTTCCTTTCTTTTTGCTCTGCCATCATAGTTGGCTGTTTTGTTTCCTGCTGCTGCGTCTAGTTTTTGTTTTAGTGATCAAAAAGAACATTAAAATCAATATGCACACTGCTTTTTAAAAATGAAAAGCAGTGCTGATATTTTAAGTGAACAAACTTGTTTGCAGTAGGTTGCAAGAGACCCTATTGTCCCAAAAAACAATTACTTGCAAGTTTCTGTGGTAAAGAATGACTCTGCAAAGTAGGTGGGCTTTTGACAAATCCTAACTCCCAGCACAGCGTAGCTGGACATAAAGGCACAGCTGGAAGAGTCAGTTCAGAGGAACTGGAGAGGAGGTGTGGCCAGCACTCTCCCTGCCTTGCAATATGCAGCAGATGCAATTAACATCAAGAAGCATGGTGAGAGTTGGGATTATCTTACAGGTCAGCCACAGTATTTTGTACGGACAGGTACATGAGGTGAGAGATAATTGCTGTGGACTCTGGTTGCTCGAGCTAGCGTTAGAAAAAAGTTATCACCAAGGAGCAAGGTGTTAAAAGGCAATGGAGTTTCAGATAAGACCTGCAGTCTAACCTGCACATTACCCTACTTTTCCTGGCCTTATTTCCAGTTATATTCCTGGTGACCATCTAAATACCTCCCACTTTCTTAAGACTTTTATCCGCCACCACCCCTTTGTCACTTCTTATGCCTGCAACTCCCTACCCGTGTGGTGAAGCTTCTCTTTTTTCAAATCCTCTGAAAACCAGCTATTAAGCTTTGGGTTTACCAAAGCTTCCTCAAAACAGGAATATCAGCAGTTCTTTGATGACCCTCTGCTCCGGGGGAGTTTAACCTTGCCCTGGCAAATGCCAGAGTCTGGGTGTTAACACTTAAAGAGACTCACTAGCGAAGGCAGGGATTTACGGTGGTTGCCATTGAAGCTTACTGATATCTCTGACAGATGATAAGATAATAGCTGATGCCAAATAAAAATTATTGAGCCAAACTTGCTTTCAGTTCCTCGGGTAATCAGTTGGTTCTAGTTTCTAACTTCGACAGAGGACTCGGCGTCTTCGCATAGGGAGTGTTTTAGTCTCGTTTGCTCATAAGCCTCTTTGCAATATTTATTACTGGAAGCAGGTTGTTGAGCCTTGCTCAAAATGAAGTTGTCAGCCTTGTGAGGCTATAGAAACTCATTAATAATGCCTCTCATTCAGGGGGGCTGGAAGAGAGCTCAGCTTTTCCTTTCCTGCAACTTCCTGCAGCCTCACGATGGAGGTTGTTAGTCCGATAAAATAGCAGGGTAGAACATAAATCGCAACTTTGAGAAGAGCTCTAATAAAGCATTAAAAGGTAGAATGGGGAGGCAGATTAACTGGTGCCAAGAAATAGATTAGGAGCATAAATCTTGCCTTCAATTAGGGAGTAGCCAGATTCACCTTGTCTCCTCCATCTTGACCGGAACCGGACCTCAAAACAGGAACGAATCTAAGGATGTGTACCTGCATTCGCTCATTACCATTCCCTCCTACCCAGGCTTATTGCCCCATTGTCAAAAGCAGATTGCAACCTCAGGGCAGAAAACCTTTTCTCTCTAGCACCACAGATAGTGCTATATAAATAATAAAAGTATGTGCCTCCTTCATGGCTGGCATGCAGCAAACAACTCCCTCTGTCTGATCTCTTAGAGCTGTTGCAAGGGATCTTGGAAGTTATAAATATTAAGTAAATGTACAATTTATTGGCACAGACACACCTCTTCTTCACTGGTCTTACACCCAGTCTAGATCAGATGGACATGTGTGTATGAGATTCCTTAACTGAGGGTTGGGGGAATCTGCAGCCCTCCATATCTAGTTGGACTTCCACTTCCCATCAGCCTCAGTCAGCATAGCCAATGGTCAGGGATGAATAAAAGTGTAGTCCAGCAACATTTGGGTGGTCACAGGCTTCCCACCCGTACTCGCAACCAATCTGAGGTGGATTGCATCCTTGCTCAAATATCAACTTGCTTTCACACATAAAAAGGAGTCCTGTGGCATCACAAGCACTTTATAAGGGATGCTCCTCTGGAAACTGAGACTGTGTACTGTTTTCCTTCTTGGTGCTCCATTAAATTTTCTGTTTTAACAATTTAAAGTACTCATTTTTACATCCTTAAGATATCAGTGACTTCCCTTCTCTTTCCGTGGTTCAATTTACATATCATAAATTCCTACATATTCTACAAAAACTACACCATTCAGTATTCCATTATTACACCCATCAAAACTTATTTACACTGTTGGATTTATCTTAATGCTGCCAGCGTTTTCAGCTGCAAAGAGTTATTTCCCATATATTCAATAAACGTTTTCCAATTTTCTCTAAACATATGTTCTTCTTGTTTTCTTATTCTATATGTTAAGTCTGCAAGCTGCGCATATTCTTTCAGCTTAAGTTGCCATTCTTGTTTGGTTGGGACCTCGCTCGTTTTTCCATTTGGGGGCTAACAAAACACGGGCCACAGTAGTGGCATACATAAATAACCCTTTTTGACACCTGGGAATTTTGGTCTGAATTATCCCCAACAGAAAGGACTCTGGGTGTTTTTTGGAGGGGAAGTACTTTTAAACATTTTTTTCAATTCATTATGGATCACTTCCCAATCGCCCACCATCTTCTTAACTATGGGTAGCCTGAGGAAAGGGCTCTGAAGGAAAGTATGCAATAATAGCCAGGTGGATCAGGCCAATGGCCCGTCCAGTCCAGCATCGTGTTCTCACAGTGGCCACCCAGAAGCCTGTGGGGAACCAAAGGACCAGAGCACAAGAGCCTTCTCCCATCCTGCAGTTTCCAGCAACCAGTATACAGAAGCATTAGTGCTCCTGACCATCGGAGAGCATAGCCCTCATGGCTAGAAGGCTCAGTCACTCAACGCTTTCTATAGCACTGGACAATGCTTACTGACCCCAGGAGCATGTAACCAGCCTTGCAACACTCACCTTTAAAATCTGGGAGGTGTGCAAAAGAGTTTCCTAAACAGATGACAGCGTCAAAGCCCTTGCCAGGCTTCTCTAGGTCCTGTGACAGGGTGAGCCAGTTCGCCTCCTCGATGACTGTGGAACAACAAAAAAAAAAGTGCATTGAACACATGGAGGAGAGTTCTTCTTTCTCTAGCCAACCCTCTGCCTCCTCACATTTTCTGCAGCTGGAGGATTTTACGTTCCTCGTGCAGAAGGATAGTGAAAAGTGCCACCTTAAAGGAAAAAGGCACTTAGTTGGGAAGCCTCTTATCTGTTACGAAATACAATGTGCTAAGCATGAAAATAATCCCCAGGTTTCTCTCCCCCTACAATTTGCTGCTGAGACTCTTTGAAAGTGTGATTAAGGCAGTGTTTCTCAAACTACAACTCCCATCACCCCTAGCTAGCAGACCAGTGGTCAGGGACAATGGGAGCTGTAGTCCAACAAGTTTGAGAAACACTGTATTATGGTGGGGGGTTTTTTTGGCATAGGCATTAACAGCCAAGGATGGAAACTTCCAGCTTTCTCCATCTTGCTGTGGCTATATGTGGTTTGCTGTATTCCTTTTATACCTGGATCAGGAAGGTACGAGTATGGAGTCTTTGTACTGGGAATTGTGTTGAGAGACAAACCCACAAACAGGTCTTGCATGCAACCGCGCTCTCCCCACTTGCAATTCCCAGCTGCAAGTGATCTTCCAGCTTTTCCTGTGTGGCATTCAGATCCTCCCATGGGCTCACAGCACCTACTTTGATGTTTCAGCATTTAACCAATTCGTACATGCTTTCATTTGCTGCTGTGGTCATAAACAAAATTACTGAATTAAATTAAAGCCAAAGCTCGTCTTTCCCCAGGTGCTAATATCGCTTTGCTTTCTACAAACGCAGTAGCCAGAACCCAGTGGCTGGGTTACCCATGTCTCTGTTCTGTTCTGATGACAAGGCCGCTTTGCATCAGCTGGCAATACCCCAAAATGATGCAACCTGCAGATGCCATTTGGCTCCAGGTCAATCTGAGTGCAGGAAGGAACCTGAAAGCCAGCATCACCTCTAATTAAAAAGAAGATGCATTGAAAACTGAGTTGGGCACTTGTGACCAGCAGGCAAAAGGAAAGGAGTCAGACAACGACATTTCTCTATAGGAAATCTGACAAAAGTGGTTTAAAGACTGTCTCAAGGCAAATCTAAAAAAATGTAGTATAAACACTGACAACTGGGAAACACTGGCCTGCGAGCGCTCCAGTTGGAGAACAGCCTTTACCAAAGGTGTCATTGGCTTTGAAGACATTCGAACTCAGGACGCAGGGGAGAAACGTGCTAAGAGGAAGGCACACTTGGCAAATCCACACCGTGATCAACTCCCACCTGGAAACCAATGTTCCCACTGTGGAAGTTCGTGTGGATCCAGAATTGGCCTCCAGTCACTTACGGGCTCATTGTTAAAACCGTGTTTATGGAAGACAATCTTACTCGGCTATGAGTGATCGCCAAAGAAGAAGAAGATAGGAAATTTGATTTTAACAGAATTCTGAAGATCACCGACTAGGCTGTTTCAAATCTGTTGTTTCCATGCAAATGCAGAAAAGGCACTAGCTGTAGAACTCAGCAACTCCAGGTTTTAATAATCAAAAAGAAAAAAAATGAAGTTCTTAGCCCTTGCAGCTCAGATAATTGTTGTTGTTTAAAATCTCCAAAATTTGGAGAAATCTCTGAAGATGGAGTGGAGTTCAGGAAGAATTCCATTGGCACTAGAGCACAGCTTCAGTGCCCTGTATAGCGCATTGCCATGCAGATCACAGGCCCAAAACAAATTATGCACTATTTGTGTAACTTCCAGCTTGCCAAATTTTGCTTATTTCAGTACAGAATTTATTATTAGTGGTAGTTGTTTACACTTACAGTCCTAATCACAGAGAGAGCATGGACAATTTGAGACGCTTGTACATGTGAGCACCAATGTTGAAGTAAATGAATTTGATACAAGAGTCAAACTCTTTTCTTAAGCATCAAGGCAATACTTCTTTGTGAATCGGGTCCTATTTATTCCCCTCTCCCTATATCGTAAATCACACAAAGACCCGACGGTGTTTACATTTCACTGATCGGGTTTCAAAAGGCAGAGATATTTTTCAACCCTGTTTTTCTTTCTAGTGCACATATAATTACACGATATTGTGAAGTCAGGAGGGGCATCATACTCTTATTTCAGGCCAAAGATGGGGCTGAGATGAGCGTCTCCTTGCGCCCTTTGCAGGTAAACAAGCCAGGCAGAGACAGAAACACCCAACCACACTAAGTTTAGTCCTGGAAAAGGGATGTGTCAACAAGGAGCTCATTACAGCATTGACATTCTGCCAGTTGCTTCAGCAGCACTGATCATATTTCGGCCTGTATACATAAACTTGCTTGCTAACAAATGCAAGCAGAACTTTCAAGAGATGCTCAAACCCCAATTATTTGAAGTGTTCAAAATTTGACTCCTCAGCTACCCAGGGCAAGAGCAACTGGAGATGTTACTGCCTTGGGCCACAATTCTGATTTACATGTTTTGCATCCTTAGCAAGAAGCTTACAGATAATTAAGACTTAAGTGCAGCAGCAAGCCTTTTTTTTGCCTGTACAAAATTAGCAAACCACAAGCAATTACTAAAAAAAATACAGCAGTGTTTATAGCAAAACTGGGGCTTATTGTATGATGCAATAAGCAACTAAAGTTTCAGAAGCTCTATCCTTTTAAGCTGCCAAGGCAAATTTTAATAAATGGGATTGAGATTTAAAGGTACACATGTTCACTCTGAGGTGATATTTCTTTCCCTGGTGTGTTACTGCAGAAAATACGCCACTTGTTACAGCCTTTTATTACATTTCTATCTCACTTTTATTAAGGTTATTAATAAGGGCATTATTAATCAAATTGCTACCATGCCTTTCCTCCTAAACCTGTGCCAGTCCACATGGAACATACCCGAGAAACCATCTATCAATCGGTTTTAGTGGCAAAGCAAATACGTTTACATGTAATGAAGCAGATGGTAAATCAGCTATTTTTTAAAATTTAAATATTTTTTTAAATATTTGGTCAGTTGCTTGTCTTCGCCAGTGATGACAAGATTTTATTTTGTATGCTCTTCTCCTCGTGCTCTGGGGCCCTGTGAGTTAGGGGTAGCTGTGGCCCTTTTTTGCTGGTGGTGACCACCCTGTGGAACACCCTGCCACAAGGTGTCAGGCCTCGTCACTGTTCTGTTCTACACAGCTGCTAAAAATGTGGCTGTCAAAAATTATTACACACAGAATGCACACAACACAAAAAGACTTTCAGGTGGTTATTTTTCAGCTCTACTATTATAGGTGTATTGGGATGTTTTCATTTTGATAGCTGCTTGGGAACTTTGCAATTGGGGTACCGTACTGCTATTTTGCGTTAACATTTTGATCTAATGACAGGTTGGAATGGGGAATGATAGATACTTCAGCACTGCAGCAATGCTTGGTTTTGTCAGTCGCCTTGAGCTTCTTTTGAAAAGTAGGCGGGATGCAAGATTTTTAATAAAAATAGATACCCCAATGGTCGAAAGCGTCCTCTTTTCGGCGGTTCCATCTCTCCTTCAGGGCATATTTGAGCATCTTGTCACTGGCATCCACGCTAGTGACCCTGAATCCTTCCTCAACAAGCATGATGGAGTCCACACTGCATGAGATAAAAGCGTTCGGGTATTTGGATTAAACAATCCCCCAAGTAAACTCAATGCAGTTCCCTGCATTGCTATTCAGTAGTGAGAGCAGATCATAAAACCACAGAGTTGTAGGAAGGGACCACAAGGGTCATTTAGCTCAACCCACTGCAATGCTGTAGGAATCTTTGTCCCAACCTGAGACTCGAACCCATGGCCCTGAGATTAAGTGTCTCATGCTCTACCAACTGTGCTCCTACATCCGTGCTTGGTATTCACAGTGGGGAGGAGTCCCAGTCAGATGAGAAATGATCACTCCAGAAAACTTAAAATTACTGAAAAGAATAGCTTTCATTTTTAAGCCTGCCTGGTCAAATGATCACAGGAGGTTAAGATGTGTTTAAATTCCCCACCGGGAGAGATATGGGTGGCAAGGCATGCCTTTTAAACAACGGAAGGATTAAGCCAGAAAGAAAAGGAGGAAAGGCGATTGTACAGTGGAACCTCTACTTATGGACATAATCCATTCCAGAGGTCCGTCCGCTGGTCGAAACGAGATGCTAGAAGAGGCGTCTTGTGCGTGTGCGCATTCAGCAGTAGTGCGCTTCTGCGCATGCACAGGTGGCAGCAGCCGCTTCTGCGCACACGTAGATGGCAGAAGCCGCTTCCACACATGCGTGAATCGCGGCAAACCCAGTGTTTACTTCCAGGTTTGCCGTGGACGCAACTTGGAATGTCCACGAGATGAGGGGTATGTAAGTCAAGGTTCCACTGTACTGTAAACTGCCCTGTGATCCTCAAATGGAGAGCGGTATACAAATTTACTAAGTAAATAAATAAAGGAGAAGAGGAGAGCTGAGCAAGGAACATGGGAGCACAGAGACAGGCAGGGCCGGATTTAGATTAAGAAAGGTCCTGGGCTACTCCACTTGTGAGGCCCCTCCCAATCCCCCCCCCCCACGACTAGAAGAAAATGGAAGAGTGTTATAAACAAAAATGAGTGAAGCCAAAGATGATGATGGGTATTTAAAATTCTGCAATTCAAAATTTCTCCTCTAAAGGACGTCAGAAAACTTCATCAAAATTTGTTTGTCTAGGTTTGTCACTTTCAATGTACAGAATGCTCAGTGAGCACAATCGTGGCCCTTAATTCATTTTTAATTCTTTTGAGTCTTGAAAAACAGCTCTCTCCCAAGCAGTTAGTGACCATGAAGCTAAGAAATAGCCGCAAGATTGCTTCCACATTAGGAAAGGCCATCTGAATTTTTTTCCTTGTATATAATTTGATAAAGGTCTGTATGAGACAGAGAGTGCTCTGCTGTAAGCCTATGGCTTTATCTCATGTACAGGTGAAAGTGCAAAGTTAAATAAGTTTCAGGTCAATATCTTCTGGGTATGCTTCCATCAACAGTTCAACACCTTGCTGAATTTCTTGCTTAGATGCTATCAGAATAGCAAGAATGGAAAACAATTGTGCAACATCACTGTACACAGTACATTTAATATAGGAATAAAGGATTTTATCCTAAACTTACCTCTTGAAGAAAGTGCATCTAAGGCCCTAGGCTTCAGCCTACTTAGCCTATACATAAATCCCCACTGACAGGGTGTCATATTCCTAAGCGGGAGGGGGCGCCTCTCCCACAACAAAGCGAGGGGGGGCTTTCCTTTCACTTTTAAAGCACACGCGATGCCTTTGAAGCGAACACCTTCAAAGAATCCTGGGAAGTGGTGGTTTGTTAGAGGGCGCTGGAAATTGTAGTTCCCAGGATTCTTGGGTGCGGGGTGTCGAGCCATGTGCTTTCAATGGGGGGGGAGGTCCTGATCCTGCGTGGATCCGGATTAGACCACCCTGAGAGACGAACCCCCCCTGGAGAGAAGGGAGCCCAGGCCTTCAAGCTGGGTCATGATCCAGCACCGCCTCCTCCTCCTCCTGCTGCCGTGTGACTCACCCGGTGCCGCAGGCCACGTCGAGCACCGTGTTGCAGCGCTGGGCGCGCAGCAGCGACACCAGCCAGTTCTTGTACTCGGCGGTGCGGCTCCGCGTGTCGCCGATGTAGAGCTGCCAGACCCGCGCCGCGCGGCCGTCGGCGTACTGGTCCGGCAGCCCCTCGGCCGCCACGCCCAGGGAGCGGGTCCGGTAGATGCTGTCCACCATGGCGAGAGCACAGAAGCTACTGCGGGCGCCCACGGACGGGAAGGAGAGCGCGCAGATCCACGAGCGCGCGCCTGGCAGCCGGTAGAGGTTCCGCTACTACTGCAGCCGCGTCTGGGCAGCTGCGCGCAACAAGCCCCGGCAGCCAGCCCAGCAGGGGCAGCCCCGGCACCGCCCCTTCGACCCTGCAGCTCGCCAATCAAAGGGCGCAACGCCGGGCACACCCCCTGCCGGGCCCCGCCTCTCTCCTCCCCCCACCTCTAGCGTGTGCACCGCCCCCCAGTCTACTGTTTCCAAGCCGGAGGGCGGCAGCTCAGTGGCTCGTGTTGCTTTGTCACCTGCACCCCTTGCGCACCTGCTCGAGGAAGCCCTATAAAGTATGTGTATGTGTTTAGAGATGGCCACTTGAATAAAATATTGGGGAGGGGGACAGGTAAGACCCGCTGGGCCCCCTCAAATATTTAATTGGGGGTGGGACCGGGTTCCCTAGGAGTTGGATGTGTGCACATAGATCACAGTTTTTAAGAAATGCAGCCAAGATCGAAAACAGGAGGCGGCCTATGAACGCATTTGCAGGTGGGGGGGGGGGGGACAGAATAAAATTGTAGAGTTGGAAGGGACGCTGAGGAATGCCTTGTTCAACCCCCTGCAAAGCTGGAATATGCAGCTGTTCCATATGGGCATGGAGCCTGCAACCTTGGTGTTATCAGCAACACGCTCTAACCAACGAAGCTATCCAGGTTTCATTGGTTTTTGTCATGTATTTTGTGTTTTTAACTTCTGTTCTTATGCTGTGAACCACGCTGGGATCTGCGGGTGAAGGGATGTATACAAATTAAATAAATAATTTATTTCTCATTATGTATTTATGTATTCATTTCATAAGATTTCCATGCCGCTTGTTTCCGAAACAATAAAATTATTGCTTATTGCTTATTTAGCCGTACAGCAACTGTGCTAAAAACAAATTAACTCGTACAATTTTTCTAAATTTCCCAGGGAAGGTAGACTCAATAAGAATGTATTCAGCAGGGGCCAAAAAGAATACAGTGAAGGCACCTGCCGGATTTCACTAGAGAGGGAGTTCCAAAGTGCCATTGATCTGAAAGTAAAGCCAAAAGTGGGGTGCACCTTTTCTTGACATTGGTTTGAACAGCCATTATATCCTTTGTTCAATTAACTTACTGAGATCTAGTCCAAAATCAGAACAAGGGCATAAGATTGTGCTGTCTCTGCCTACTGCAAATTGGTCTGAGATTGGAAACGAGCCCCTCTCATCACAAACATATGCATTCCCATCACTTTATTTCACAAATCTCCCACCTGCACAGCTTCCTGTGTTTCTCGTTTCTTAGGTGTCACAGGCCTCCTTTGTGTTTTGTATTTTTAAATACACAGAGATCACACAGAATATAGCCTGCATACAATTACTAATGGCACTAGAAGTCAATTTACATTTATAGTCCATCTGGGTATGTCATGCGGTAGCAGTTGCTAAAAAAATAATAATGACAAGTGTTGCCTACTTCCTTTCGTTTCCAGACCTGCCTCGCTTATTTTTTGTTTTCCTTTCATGTCGCTAAAGACCTGCTCAGTTCTGTTTCTCTTCTGTGGCTTTGGTTCTTGGAAGAGAACGCTTGAGGAACTGGAGAAACCAAAAGGAAAGAAAAGAAAAATATTAGCATTGAGGGAGTGCCTTTGAATTATAGGAATATGAATCAGAACTGAAACAAGTTGAATAGGGAGGTTATGCAAAACACCAGCCCAGAGAGTCCTGTTGCAGCACCTTGATGAAGTCTAACAAATTTATTATGGCTTAAGTTTCCATGGACAATAGATAAGATAGATTCATTAAGTGTTATCTGGATTCGCAGCTGCATATATGCCTGGTTGGGTAGAGGTGGGGATTGTAAGAAATGAGGTAAGAGAGAAATGGAACACAAGAAAGTACAGACAGTGATTTCTGATGGCAGATATCCCGGCACTGATAAGCCGATTAATATATACAATAAGCTAAGAATCCTTTGTCTCAGTTTGGTATACTAGTGATAGCACTGGGACTCTGAGGGTATTGTAGTTTAATCCTTTTATGTGGCAGTCTCCTTTTGAAGTTCCTTTGCTCCAGGATGGATGCTTTAAAGTTATTTAAACCTTAAAGGGGCAAAGCATATTCCTACATCAGCAAGTTGCTTCCTATGTTAAGATCTCTGAAATAAAATGTATGTCAATGACAGGAGTCAAGCAATGGAGGAGCAATGGGGGGAAAGGTCTTGTTGGAGTGGCACTTGCCCCCTTCCCCCCCTCCACCCATTATTGTAGTTCTACTGTTCCCAGAATTATTTGGGGAACAGCCACAGCTTTAAATGTGTGGTATATACACAGCCTGAGTTGTCAAAGTTGGCATCTGGGCCTGCCACAGGAGCTGTTCCCCCTGACCATATATCTACTGAAGGGTCTGTCACTGGTGGTGAGCAACTGTTTTAGGTTTGGGGTGATATCTGTCAGCTTAGCATCAAAGGGCTGTGGGAGGCAAATGTTGTAATGCAGAAGGCACTGTAATAGTAATAGTAATTTATTATTTGTACCCTGCCCATCTGGCTGGGTTTCCTCAGCCACTCTGGGTAGCGGCTTCCAACAAAGATTAAAAATACATTAAAATGTCACACATTAAAAATTTCCCTGAACAGGGCTGCCTTCAGATGTCTTCTAAATGTCAGGTAGTTGTTTATCTCTTTGACATCTGATGGGAGGGCGTTCCACAGGGCGGGTGCCACCACCTAGAAGGCCCTCTGCCTGGTTCCATGTAGCTTAGCTTCTCGCAGTGAGGGAACCACCAGAAGGCCCTTGGCGCTGGATCTCAGTGTTCGGGCAGAACGATGGAGGTGGAGACGCTCCTTCAGGTATACTGGGCCGAGGCCGTTTAGGGCTTTAAAGGTCAACACCAACACTTTGAATTGTGCTCGGAAACGTACAGGGAGCCAATGTAGGTCTTTCAGGACTGTCAGCCACCCCCAGTCACCAGTCTAGCTGCCGCATTCTGGATTAGTTGTAGTTTCCAGGTCACCTTCCAAGGTAGCCCCACGTAGAGTGCACTGTAGATCATTAGACCACTGCTGATACATTTGAGTGGTTTCATCTGGGAAATGTGAGTGCCAAGCAAGCGGTGTTCTATTATGTTCTCTCTTTCAGGCCTGTCCTGTAGCAGCTTATTCCTGGGCAGCAGCCTGGCCTTGCCAAACTTTCTTTTCACTTGGGCAAGTATTGTAGCTTGAAGGCCGCCTGCTGTAAAAGCCCTGAGGTGTGAATCCTGTCCTAGGAATCTGAACAGCTACAGCTGTTTTGTAGATAGTGGAGGTTGTTCCATTTGGGCAAATGGTACATTGCCCCACTAACCTCACTCTGCCTCCAGCCAGCTGCCCTGTGCCTTGCCTTCCTTCTTTCTCACAACTAAGTCAATGGTTTTGGTTCTTTTGGCCTCCCTGCGATCTTAATGTGCATTAGAAGGCCGCCACTGACCATAGACAATGGATTTTGTGATGCTTCTGGGCGGGACCATGTAAGTATGCATCGTGCCCAATGGGTTTCCTATATAAATGTTTACACATATAAATTCTCACACGTACATTCCATATTTTATTTCTGTACACCTTGTTTGGGTATCCCTTGAATGCAATGCACTTTACAGATTCTGCAATGAAACAAATCGAGGGGAGCCAATATGCCCATTGTTTGCCCTCTCTCTTTGGCAGTCAAAACATTTGTCAAGCATATATGGTTGCGGCCGCCGAGACCATATAACACCAGTCTTGAAAGACCTACACTGGCTCCCAGTATGTTTCTGAGCACAATTCAAAATGTTGGTGCTGACCTTTAAAGCCCTAAACGGCCTCAGTCCAGTATACCTGAAGGAGCGTCTGCACCTCCATTGTTCTGTCCGGACACTGAGGTCCAGCTCCGAGGGCCTTCTGGCAGTTCCCTCACTGAGAGAAGCCAAGTTACAGGGAACCAGGCAGAGGGCCTTCTCGGTAGTGGTACCCGCCCTGTGGATGTCAAAGAGAAAAATAACTACCAAACTTTTAGAAGACATCTGAAGGCAGTCCTGTTTAGGGAAGCTTTTAATGTTTAATAGGTTATTGTATTTTAGTGTTTTGTTGGAAGCCGCCCAGAGTGGCTGGGGAAACCCAGCCAGATGGGTGGGGTATAAATAATAAATAATTATTATATAAATTATTATGGAGATGGGCACAATGGGAGGATGGCTGGGTAATATGCACGTTGCTTTTCACTGTCAAGGTTGCATCCAGATGGCAGCTTCTACCAGTGGCTGCAGCGGCAAAGCCCGTGTCTTGCAAGATTCCATATTACAATCGCCATTGTCAACTGCACCAGCCCTGACGATGCTACCAATTTGTTGGGCTGGAAAGCACGTGTGCCTTCGAAGGCACCAAATCCACACACTTGACATTTGCAGAAACCCTCTTCCTGGAAGCGGCTTTTTAAAAACAAGGTGCTCATTCAAAACTAGTTAATGCATGATGTGATCCCTGTTTGCTTCAAACGCACACAACTAGTATGGAGGTAGATTCCACCTGGCCTTGACCCCTCTCTCAAGCTGATGCCCACACAGCTCTCGCTGCCTTAGAGACCAGGGCCCTCTTCCAGCTTTGAGAAGGTCAACCTTTGCTCGTTTGGCAGCCACACTTTTGTTTAATATTTGAATTGGGGGTGGGTGAAGCTGGGAATCAAGGCGAACCTGCATCATCAAGGAAGAGGCAAGAGTTGGCAAGAATCGGGAAAGAGATGACAAAACCACCGATGTGAAACGAAGTGTGTTGTTTACTTAACAAAAGCAACTGGGCAAAAATGTGTTGTGAAACCCAGCGGCCGCTATTTAAACAGCGGCAATGTTGCTGCCGGCACAACCCTACCAGTTTCCAATGAGAAAAAGAAGACACGTTGGCTGTAGAGATGTCCTGAGAGGTGGTTGTGGGGGGCGATTGAGGAGGGATAGACCTCGTGCTTTTTGCATCAAAAAGGTCCCAGGTTCAATCCGTGGCAAATCCAGATTTTAAAAATAAAATAAGGCTCACGTGGCAGGTGATGGAAGATCTGCTGTGATGGAAGATTAACAAGCGGTTAGATGTATGGAAGTGAGAGCTGGACCATAAAGAAGGCTGATCGCCGAAGAATTGATGCTTTTGAATTATGGTGCTGGAGGAGACTGTTAAGAGTCCCATGGACTGCAAGAAGATCAAACCTATCCATTCTGAAGGAAATCAGCCCTGAGTGCTCACTGGAAGGACAGATCCTGAAGCTGAAGCTCCAATACTTTGGCCACCTCATGAGAAGAGAAGACTGTGTTGAGAAGACCCTGGAAAAGACCCTGATGTTGGGAAAGATTGAGGGCACAAGGAAAAGTGGACGACAGAGGACAAGATGGTTCGACAGTGTTCTCAAAGCTACCAGCATGAGTTTGGCCCAACTGCAGGAGGCAGTGGAAGACAGGAGTGCCTGGTGTGCTCTGGTCCATAGGGTCACGAACAGTCGGACACGACTAAACGATTAAACAACAACAACAGATCGGTGTGGGGAAGCTTAAACCCAGGGGATAGGTCTAGACAGGCCTCTTAATATAGCTCTTAGGAACACCCTGTCCCCAGACCACATAACTCACTGCCTCTCTACTGCACCCTTGTTGACTGGTTTTGCCTGATTAGAAGGTGCCCTTGAACTTTGTTAATGCTTTTTTGCTTGCCTGGACAGAGGAGTGTGTGTGTGTGTGTGTGTGTGTGTGTGTGTGTGTATAAAAGTGAATGTACAAAGGTAACCTTTACCCTTGCTGCTCTGCCCCCACTCTTGCCTCTGGCTCCGCCCACCACAGGTTGCCCAGAAGGGAGTACCGTACTGCAAAACGTTGCACGGCCAAGCAATTCCACGTGGTGTGATGCAGCCTCCTGTGGAATCAAACCTTGAGCACAAGTGCAGTGGCTTCTCTATTATATGCACCACTTGAGAGGGCAGGGTATGCATAACAACCCTTCGAGCTTGGTGTTGCTTTTTGGTTGCAAAGCCAATAATTTTAATAATAAGTGAAACCTAAAGTATATTCAGCCACCAACAGGGTTTCTGATTCACCTCATTTAAATCAGAGGTCAAGTTCTAGGGCTCCTGTATTTGAGATTACGGCACCTGCGGCTATTTCTTCTTCTTACCCCTGTGACATTTGCTGGGGGGAAAAGAAAGACAGGCTTCTGTCAATGGGGTATAGCTTAAAATCATTATAATAGCATTATTTTCACCTAAAGGCAATTTTCATATATATATTATTTTAAAAAATCAGAGTTAGCCACATGTCATTAACATAACTGTCATGAACACCAAATAATAGTGTTAACAATTCCACATGGGTAATGCTGACTTTTTGATAAAAAATATGAAAACCATCCTTATAAACTATGAAAGTTGTTCAGTTATAATTACTGTTCCCTCAAATCTACCATGGTTTAATACACTGGGATGTTTATTGGCTCTTCAGTTTAATTGGATTTGGCAAGATTTGTGCCATGTTCTGCCTACAGTCTCAGCGTAATGCTGGTGGTCAACAAGAGGTTTAAAGACTGTCTCAAGGCAAATCTTAAGAAATGTAGTATAAACACCAACGATTGGGAAATACTGGCCTGCGAGCACTCCACAGTTGGAGAACAGCCTTTAACAAAGGTGTCATGGACTTTGAAGACACTCGAACTCAGGACGCAAGGGAGAAACGTGCTAGGAGGAAGGCACGCTTGGCAAATCCACACTGTGATCAGCTCCTGCCCGGAAACCAATGTCCCCACTGTGGAAGGACGTGTGGATTCAGAACTGGCCTCCGAAGTCACTTACGGACTCATTGTTAAAACTGTGTTTATGGAAGACAATCTTACTCGGCTACAAGTGATTGCCAAAGAAGAAGAACAGTTTCAGCTTGGTGGGGTGCATGCACAAGCTTCTGTTGCACCTGATATGGTGACTTCGTCTGGAATTGTTCAAAGATTGTTATTTTTAAAACATTTTTTCAGCTATTCGTTGGGAAATCTTGATTAAAAAATTAAAAGTTCTCACCAAAGGGGCATTCAGAAACAAGGTGGTCATCAAATAATCCGAGCATTGCATAAAAAGCTTCCAGACGCTATATATATCTGCATCTATATATAAATATAATAACAGAACAAAGCAGATTTGAGCAATCCAGAAGGCATTTCCACCGCACAAAGCCTCCTGTTTCAAATTGATCCTACATTTGTTTTCACATAAAGTACCGTATAATCTGCGACAAACAGCTTTCGCAAGCAAAAGACGTGCCTGTGAGTCAAGCAGCAAAAAGTTTCACAAGCATATTAAAAAAATAAATATACTTAGTATGAAGTCATTTTACATGACACCACCTGACTAGCTGGAAATGCCCACTGAATGACACAGCTGCAAATCTGGCATCAAGAGATGCAGAAATAGCTCTTCTGGGAGTGTGTTGTTTTTATTTAACTGAACAAAAAGACCAGGAAGAGAAACTGCTGCAGGGAGAGCCAAACTAGATGACATTATGAGATTCCAAGTTACTCTGTGGATGTTAATCGTGAAGGCATAGGTTTCTGTTGCTGGGCACAGAATGTTTGCATTTTGCTTAACACGTCACACAAGTCTTGACTTACATTCCTGCCTCTTTGGTCAAGACTGCATCTGCTAACGCTCTTCTCTATCTGGTTTCATACCAACCCTCACTCACAGGCTATTTGTCCACTGGACACTGGGATGGGGGAGTGTTTTCCAGCCCCAAAGCCCCATCGCCTTCTGGGCAAGCTTGGCCGGCTTGCTCCTGCAAGCGATCTCATTCAGGCACACAGGTGGTTACAGCAGCCCGTTACTGTACAGAAATCTTTCGCTTGGTGTGCGAGTGGAAATGTGAGGAGCCATCAGCTGCTTTTTAGCCTCAACCTCAAAAATGCTTCTTGGTTTTGTGGATACAGAGGAAAACCGTAGAATGACCCCAACAAAGAGCTCCTAAAACTGTGACAAGCCAAGATACGGGAATTTATATGAATGGAGACATTTGCCTTTCAGCAGTTGAACACCAGAAGACACATTTTTAGAGCTATGATTCCCCTGATTGATAAAATAGGGGGAGGGGGTTCAACCACCAAGAGACTCTGAACAGCCACCATATTCTTATACTAATTTATACACAAAGCATGATGTATTCCTAACATTGTGCAGGAGGGAGAGTACTTTACCTTTCGCCCCAATGGTTTGAGAAAATGGTGCTTTGATCATTCCTTCGTGTTTTCGTGTGTTTGAATGCCATATGTTGGCTTACTAGCAGTACATGTGACAAGGATCCAGTGGTCTTGGTGGACTACAAGCTTAACATGAGTCAACAGTGTGATGCAGAAGCAAAAAAAACTAATGCTATTCTAGGCTGCATCAACAGAAGTATAGTGTCCATATCAACGGAAGTAAAAGGTAAAGGGACACAGGTGGCGCTGTGGTCTATACCACTGAGCCTCTTGGGCTTCTCAATTGGAAGGTCAGCAGTTTGAATCCACTCGACGGTGGTGAGCTCCCGTTGCACTGTCCCAGCTTCTGCCAACCTAGCAGTTCGAAAGCATGCCAGTGCAAGTAGATAAGTAGGTACCATTGCGGTGGGAAGGTAAACAGCATTTCTGTGCGCTCCGGTTTCTGTTAGTGTTCCATTGCGCCAAAAGCGGTTTATTCATGCTGACCACATGACCCAGAAAGCTGTCTGTGGACAAATGCTGGCTCCCTCGGCCTGAAAGCGAGATGAGCGCTGCACCCCTTAGTCGCCTTCAACTGGATTTAACCATCCAGGGGTCCTTTACTTTTACATTTTTACCATGAATGCTTTAGCTGAGATTCCTGCATTGCAAGGGGTGGGACTAGATGACCCTTGGTCCCTTCCAAGTCTATGAATAAAGAGGTTGAAAATGACCCTAAGAACAGTCAGCTAGATCTTGGCAATGGCTCATCTGATGATTTGTAACAGCGTCCTGTTCTCTGAGTGGCCAACCAAATGCCTGCAGAAAACCCACTAGGAGGACCAGAGCGAAAGAGCATTCTCCCCTCTATGGTTTCCACTAATTGGTATGATAATCCATCTGGTTATGATAAGCGCTGTTATTTAACCTTCAGAAGCTGTGCCTGAGTTTGCTTCTCTGCCCCCTCTTCCCTCCCCATCTCTTTTCCCTTACGTGTCATGTCTTTTCAATTGCAAGCCTGCCGGCAGGGACTCTCTCATCTTAAATGCATCTGCCACAGCTGCAACTAAACATGTCTCTCCTGTATCGGTCTTTACAGCCACAGAAGACACTGTAACTCTCCAATGGCTTGGTTTTACCCCTGACGGCACACTCCTCCACTGTCTTTTGGAACGAGACAGATGCCAGCCGAAGTAAAATGCAGCAAACATTTCAAACACATTTGGTCGCCTGTATTGATCATCTGTTCGAGCTTCTCAAGAGGATAGTTTTAACATCTTGCCAAAAGAGAAAAGGAGGGCTAACTGGGCCTCCTTGAAGATAATCTACAGCCTGGGAACCAAGGTCCTACCCTCAGCAACACCAAGGCTATAGTGTAGGGCTTGCATTTCCGATCTCACTAGCACCATCTGTTGTTTATTCCATAAATGGTTTTGCTTCCTTTCCCTCCACTTGCGCTGGCTGCCAGAATGTCAGGGACAGAGGCAGGTGCCACAATGGGCATACGCAGGTGCTGAACCTTGCATGCGCAGTCAGGTATCTCTTTTTGCAAGCACCACACTGCAAGGAGTTTATCACAGGAAGATGTTCACCCCAAATATACACAACACACTCACTGGAAATAAAGAACACAGAATGAGTTTCTGCCTTGATTTCCAAACGCCTTTGGAGAGCGAGACAGATGAGATAATTCAGAGAACAAAGCGTATATGGGGTTAACCTCTCCAGCTACCTTGGAATTGGTTGACTAATAATAATAATAATAATAATAATAATTTTATTTATACCCCGCCCTCCCTGGCCAGAGCTGGGCTCAGGGCGGCTAACACCAATAAAATTACAATAAAAATATAATGGGGGGGGACACACAATTTAAAATACAGGTTAAAATGCAATTTAAAATGCAGCCGCATCTTAAAAGTAGTGCATGGATCAAAACTGTACGGGGAGGGAAAACATAAGGTTTCAGACTGAGTCCAAACCAAAGGCCAGGTGGAACAGCTCTGTCTTGCAGGCCCTGCGGAAAGATGTCAAGTCCCGCAGGGCCCTAGTCTCTTGTGACAGAGCGTTCCACCAAGTTGGGGCGAGTACTGAAAAGACCCTGGCCCTAGTTCAGAAAGTTGGCTGATTTTAACAACGAATTCCTGTATCCCTCCTTACGAAAGGGCACATGGATTTGTTTTACATTCATATGATTAGAGAGTTATTTGCTGGATTGCCGTGTTATGTTTTGAAGTGATTATTTGCCACCATAATGATGTGTTGGTTTCCTTTTTTGTCGTTCTTTTTGTAGTCACTTAGAGCATTGCTTATATCAAAAAGCAGCATACAAATCTAAATAAAGAAATAATAAACATTAGAGGACTTTAAAAAAAAAACCCAGACTGCTCCCTCCTGCCTCTGATCCATAGCTGGTAGGTGGCATGGGACTCACATTATGTCATAAATGTGACTGCAATTATAAAAACTTGCAGTTTCTAAAACATTTAGGAAATAGATGAGAAAAAAGAATAAATAGTTAACTGGGATATGCAGGGAAAAAGAAAGAGAACAAATTTATGGAACCGCAGAAGGAGAGGGAGGGAGGGAAGTGGGAGATTTAAGATATAAAAATTCTTTTCTTTTCTTTTGCTGAAATGTTTATTTGTTATAATTAAAAACCATGAATAGAACTTTAAAAAAGAACTGTGACTGCAAAATTCAGCACCTTGTATGTCCAAGCCGTAATCATACACTTCTGCAATAAAGGTAAAGGTACCCCTGATCATTAGGTCCAGTTGTGGCCGACTCTGGGGTTGTGGCGCTCATCTCGTTTTATTGGCCGAGGGAGCCGGCATACAGCTTCTGGGTCATGTGGCCAGCATGACTAAGCCGCTTCTGGCGAACCAGAGCAGCACACGGAAACGCCGTTTAGCTTCCCGCTATTTATCTACTTGCACTTTGGCGCGCTTTCAAACTGCTAGGTTGGCAGGAGCAGGGACCAAGCAATGGGAGTTCACCCCGTTGCGGGGATTCGAACCACCGACCTTCTGATCAGCAAGTCCTAGGCTCTGTGGTTTAACGCTCCAGGTATATGGACAAAAGACATATAGGACAGGAAAGGCTGTTTGCTTAAGAGGAAGTGCAGAAGAGGAAGCACATGGTGAATTGCAGGAAAGCTCTCCTAAGTATTCAACACAGAAAATGACCTTTAACTGAACGTCCAACTTTTAGGACTGGCAGGTATTTGCTGGGGACAGTGCCTATCTCTTTAAAAAGCTCTGACAAAAATGAGAATGGACTGAGTTGCCCTTTAAAAAGCCCTGAGACTGCCAGCTGCTGGTCTACTTACCCAGCCAAGGAATGTAAGAAACTGCTTTATATGGAGTCAGACCACTGGTCCCTCTCACAGAGTGGCCATCTACACCAGGGGAAGCCAACCTTTTAGGATTTTTGAGCAAGCGCTGCAGACACACATGCGCCCGTCGGTTCCTTCTTCACTGGATCAGTCTGGCTCCCCAGAATAGATCACTTTCCCAGAACCTGGTTCCAGCAGAATTAACTTGAGCCTTGAAAAGATCACACAGCTGAAAAGGGAATAAAGCATCACTCTTCCAACTTCCTCCTTCTGCTCTATGTATTTTCCAAGGGCGAAACAAAGGTTATTATGACTGTATTGCAACCTTTTTCCTCAAAAGATTCACAAAGGTAAATATCATTCATATAGCAGTGCGGGGAAAGAAAGCCAATGGAAGGGCCGGATGGAGCACAAATTACTCAAAAACTCTTTTATTTTCACTCTTTGCAGGACTTCAGGAAACAGGAAGAATGGTCATCGCAGCAACAGAAAGCACATGTTTCTAAGGGAGGGGAGACAAGAGAAACACTTCATCAACCTGCAAGTTCTCTCCTGACTTGGAGCAACTGCAGGAAATGATCCATTAAGGTGAGGAGTAATTCAAAAACAAAACAAACCAACAAAAAGATATCGCAACAGAAGCACAGTGGCCTTACATGAATAGTACCTTCGCCCTTATTTCCCTCCAAGCAAACGCAGTGATCTGCATGATGAAAAGAAGGTCTTTCCAAAATATCGACTTAGGGAATGTACCAAGTTGAGAGCCTGCTACGCTGGCTATAGAGAGGTTATCATGGCTTCAGTCAAATGGGCTGGAGAGGCGAGCTGCCTTGCAACCCAACCTGGATCTCTTACAACTTTCTCCTTACCTTCCACCCGCCCCCCAGTTGCGTTTAGCAGATCAAAGCTCGTGGAGGTGAGGGTCAACTGATGAAAGCAGCGGGCTCAGTTTTTGAACACCAGCCACGCAGACTTAGGGAGCCAGTCCTTCAGGCCCTCCTTCTGCCTGGCTTGCTCCTCTTAGCAGGCAAGGGGCTAGCTGGGTTCGGCCCACCCTGCACCTGCGATGAGACACCATAACACTGGGTGGCTAAAGTTCGAAAGGCCACGATCCTTGCCCGTCAGGAACAGCCTGGCACTTCTCCCTCGAGGAAGCTGAGAAATCTCCATCTTGCAACTCGGGTGGGCGAAAGCAATTCTCAGTGGCCTGAATACAAGCTTGCGAGTCCACGCGAGGAAAAGCATGGGTGGCTGGCACCTAGCCTACAGTTCGTCCGGCCTGTGTGAGAGCGGAGCCTCCTTCCCAGCATCCTTTGCTTCATCCTGCTCCTCTGATTGGTCAGGGACCTCTTGCACACTCGGTTTCTCACCCTCCCCTTCTTGCCCTGCTTTGTCCTTGCTGCTCTTTTTGCTTTTCGAAGCCTTCTTGCCTTTGCCCTCCTTCTTCTTAGACTTCTTCGGCCTTGAACTTGCCACGTCCCCTTTCTTGCCAGCCCACTTCTCTGTCAGGCAGCCTGGAGAGAGGAGAGGGGTGGGAAAAGGAGACTATGGGATTTTGCAATGCCTCCACTTCTCCCTGAGCACACAATTCCAGTCGCCACCTAATTTATTTAGATGAAGTTTCCATTCGGTTTAGATTACTAGTTAGTACACCTGGTGGTATCATTCACTTGTTTTTGTGGGGACTCCAGATCCCATCAGCCCCAGCCAACATGGTGGTGGATGATGGGAATTGGAGTCCAACAGCATCTGGAGGGCAGCACATTGACTATGACTGGGTGAATAGAAAACCTGGGACAAAATCGTTGCTTTCAGTCACTCACCTCACAAGCTAGCCTTGGGTCAATCACGACCCCTCGGCTCTCAATGTGCTGTTATGAGGGTAGAAAAATACAAGGGAAGGAAAGCAACAAGTTGCTCCAAGCTCCGTGAACTACAGGTAAGTTAGAAATGTGATAAATTAATGTGAGGACTACAATGCCCATCATTTCTGACCGCTGGCCATGATGGCTGGGGTTGATGGGAGTTGAAGTCCAACAACACCTGGGACGGATATTCCCCATTCCTGACTGAAAACCATCTGGATGGTTCTGTGGTGGCGATTTTGCACCAGAGCTCCGTTCCTGGCCCCCATGCACAATGGCGGAGCAGATGTAAGCCCAGTCTGCCCAACCCCCAACCCCCGTTCCTCCCTCTTCCACATCCAAAAGGATCTGCACAGCGGCCACACGTTAATTGAACACGCCTATAATGGCCGCCGCCCGTACACATACACATATCCCTGGACCCCAATAACAGGGCCTGCCACTTCCCAGGAAACATAACTCACTGGTGTCTTTTCCTTTCAAGACGTGATTTGCACAGAGAAACTGGGAAATGTCTTCCTCCTGGTGGTTCCGGTACCAGTCTTCGATCACATCTTCAAATTCCTCCACCATTACCTCACACTAACAGAGAGAGAGAAAAAGAGAGAGAAATTCTCCTTCAAATATCTACTTGTGGCGTTTTCAACCACACCAGTAGGTCTGCACACATTGCCATGGCTTCATCGCCACTGCAACCCTGGCTTGGCTGTGACAAAGCCACATTACATTTAGATCTCACCTGACCTCCGAGTCCTGCAATGCAGGGGGATCGGACCAGGTGACCCTCCCTTCCAACTCTACAAATTCAAAGTGGCATGAAAAGGATCCCCCGGCAGTCTCTCATCTAACCACGGATCACCAGACCTGCCTTGCTTCAGCTAGGTCAGGCATCCCCCAACTTGGCCCTCCAGATGCTTTGGGACTACAGCTCCCATCATCCCTGACTACTGGTCTTGATAGCTAGGGATGACGGGAGTTGTAGTCCCAAAACATCTAGAGGGCCAAGTTGGGGGATGCCTGAGCTAGGTTATGCACTAGTTTTCCACCCCCACCAACATCCATGAAAATGTACCTTTGGAACACACCCTAGAAATGTGATTGACAGGCCAGTGGTTTCAGCATTAGATGCAGAATTCTTGCTTTCAGTTCTCCCGTTCGAAAGGAGAATCCTCCAGGACAGCCTTCACCCATCTGGGGCTCCCCGGATGCCTTGGGCTGTTGGGAATTGTAGTCCAAAACATCCAGAGAGACCAAATTGGTGAAGGTGCTCTAGGAGACCAACCATGAGCTCCAGTTACTTGGAACTGCTGTGCCGCCATCAGTCATGTGGCCTTCACAAAGTGTGAAGCCAAGGGCTGTACCTGCTTCTTTAGATCGGCCACTTCCGCAGAGGTTTCATTCCACAGCTCATAAGGGATGTCCATCACCACCTTCACTCCTTTGTGTACCAAGTTATGGAGTGTTTCAAAGGTCTCAGACATACCCTAAAAGGAAGTGAGAGAGTTCAGAGGTGTATCCTGGAAGAGCCAAGACAGGCAAAGAAAACGAAAAGCAGAAAAGCGGCTCTTAAAAAAAAAATCTGGAAGCAAGATGAAATCCCGAGACGTTGCAAACCTTTGCAAATCTGTTGCTTCCCGTTCTCTCTTTGTGCAGGTTGTATTCCAAAAGCCTCTTGCAAATGTTTTCTGTCACTTCAATAAGGCGAATGTCCCTGCAGGCAAAAAAAGTGTATTAGTGAGTGGCAAGATCTCTGTACGAGTGTCCAATGACACAAGTATAAAATAGCAGCTGGTAGAATGTACCTCAGCACTTTATCAACTCACAATTTACTGCTTGAGATCAAATTCCATGTGTTATGGGACTTCGCTAGTAAGAGCTTATGAATCTGGAATGCAGCTTTCCAGCAAAACCATTAAAATGTCCCTTTCCACAGTCTCAGTCAATAGACAGTGTATATGCATACACCCCTGGGACTTCACCTCATGTAATCTGTGAGTTACCTGTCCTACCTTTTTCAAAACACAATATAACATTGAGGACTAGAACATAGCTGTCAACCTTCCCTTTTTTTAATGGAAAATTCCCTTATTCCAGCGCTGTTTCCCGCTGCTATCCTGGATTGTTAGATATCCCGTAGACTGTCCCTGGGACAGGTGAGGATGCTGATCCCTTATTTTGAGGCTGCTGATCCCTTATTTTCAAATCTGAAAGTTGACAGCTATGGACTAGAAACACAAAACACAATACGAACTAGGCACATATAAGAACAGGACCTAAAGCATCTAATTATGTATGTTAGTTCCACCAAATTTCGATGGGACTTAGGGTGTCCAATCTTTACTGAAAGGTCACTTTTTTTGCCTGCATGTTGGGGGAGTCCTATAAATTGCATACTGCACAGCCAAAGAGCTCAATTAATCCTGCAGAAGGAATATGAAACCTTCCTTCCTTGCAGGAATGGATGGCAAGTGACTTATGGGTGTGACCTTTTTTGCATTTTATATCCTGGCAGACAAAAGTAAGATTCAGGAGAGTTAACACCCTCTCTGAATTACTTACTGACCAAGATATTGCAATAATGTACAAGGTGGAGAATGGCTGCCTCCAAGGGTCCATCAACAGCCTCATTCACTTACGATTTTGTGTACTTGATTTTGGATCCCTTGCCATCCAAAAAGCCGTACTTCGTGTCAATCACCTCCTTGGTCTTGCCAGTTTCATCGAAGGAGGATTTCAGTTCCAAAGCCACGTACTTGCACACTAAAGACAGAAAAGAAGCAGTTAGTAACCATTCACATATTTTAATTGGTGATCAAAAGCTGGTAGGTAAGCAGATAACAGAGTTTACAGTGCAGGCCATATTGAAATAAAACAATGGTGTATATTTGCAGAGCAGGGACGCGGGTGGCGCTGTGGGTTAAACCACAAAGCCTAGGACTTGCTGATCAGAAGGTCAGTGGTTCGGATCCCCGTGACGGGGTGAGCTCCTGTTGCTCGGTCCCAGCTCCTGCCAACCTAGCAGTTCGAAAGCACGTCAAAGTGCAAGTAGATAAATAGGTACTGCTCTGGCGGGAAGGTAAACAGTGTTTCCATGTGCTGCTCTGGTTCGCCAGAAGCGGCTTAATCATGCTGGCCACATGATCTGGAAGCTGTACGCTGGCTCCCTCGGCCAATAAAGCGAGATGAGCGCTGCAACCCCAGAGTCGGCCACGACTGGACCTAATGGTTAGGGGTCCCTTTACCTTTATATTTGGAGAAAATAAAGCAGGGATAGGGAACCTGTTGGGGTTATAAATCCCATCATTTTTGGCCACTGGCTGTGCTGGCTGGGGCTGAAAGCAGCCTTCCAGATGTTGTTGGATTCATCAGCCCCAGCCAGCCTAACCGTCAGGGATGATCCCCAATAACAGTGCAGCAGGTTGAAGGCAGCTCTAACCCTCTACCTAAATACCACTCCGGCTTTCACGTCAGTGAACCTCTTCTGCAACTTCCGGCTCATAGTTCTCTCTGTTCCTCTTTAACTTATTAAGTTCCATTTTTAGTGACAAGGCGCTTCTCAGATCCCCTTTTCACTCTTGACAGCCTTACCTTATATAAGTGCCCCTGCATAAGCTAGTCTACCTGTAAGCCTGTCATTGTTTCATGCTGGAAGTCCTTCGACAAGAGAGGGGAACCTGTGGCCCCCCAGAAGCTGTCAGACTCTAACTCCCAACAGTCACAGCCAGTATCAAGAAAGATCTGGAATGGTGGTAGTTGTCACCCAGTAAAATACTGAGTGTCGCCGATTCCCCATCATTTTACCTATAACCTTATATAGTGATGTCTACGGCTGGGCAATATGTGGTTTTCAACATAGGAAGCTGCATTACTCCAAGTCAGACCACTGGTCCATCTTGCTCAGTACTGTCTACACTGACTAGCAGCACCACTCCAAGATTTCAGGCAGGGAGTCTCTCCCAGACCTACCTGGAGATGCCAGCGGGGACTGAACAAACCTTGGAGCTTCTGCTTGCAAGGCAGACGCTCTGCCATTGAGCTACAGCCTTTCTCCATAGGAAGCTTCAGCCCCCTGTTTTTGACCACCCCTTTCCCTGTCCCTTTACAGTGGTACCTCGGGTTACATACGCTTCAGGTTACAAACTCCACTAACCCTGAAATAGTACCTCGCATTAAGAACTTTGCTTCAAGATGAGAACAGAAATCGTGCTCCGGCTGCGCAGCAGCAGTGGGAGGCCCCATTAGCTAAAGTGGTGCTTCAGGTTAAGAACAGTTTCAGGTTAAGTATGGACCTCCGGAACGAATTAAGTACTTAACCCGAGGTACCACTATATTTTATTTTGGGCATTTGTGGCCCCACCCTTCATCCAAAAAGGCTCCCAACTGCAGGCTTTTCATCATCATCATTCTATGTCTTTTTAAATGTGTTTGTGGAAGGGGTGGGAGTTATTGGTTTGTTTTGCGTCTGTTCTTGCTATTATGATGATGATGCTGTGAACCACCCTGAGCTCTCTGGATGAAGGGCGGTATAATAATAATAATCATCATCATTATTATTATTATTTATTTATACTCCGCCCATCTGGCTGAGTCTCCCCAGCCACTCTGGGCGTCTCCCAATCAAATGTTAAAAATAGTACTGTACATGCAAAGGTAATAAATGAATAATAATAATAATAATAATAATAATTCACACGACACGAAAGGAAAGAGGAGCAGGGAGGGATGAGGAAAATCAAAACTCAGGCGCCGATTTCTCCCTTCCCCCACAGCTCTGCAATAACATTCTTTGGGGGGGGGCTTCCCTTTCTCACCTTCGCATTTGCTGGGCAGCTTGACCCACTCGCTGTCCTCGGCAATGGCCCCGCCGCGCCCAGGAGCCGGGCCTACCAGCAGGGCGAGCCAGAGCGCGACGGCGGGACCCCAGGGAGCCATGGAGGGAGGAGGAGACCCCCGCGAGAGGCCGCCACGCCGCCACAGCCCTCCAGAGCGCGCACCGCGCTTCCGGGAACCTCCCCCCTTTCCCTTTCCCGCAGCGTAGCTATAACAACCGGAGCCCTTGGCCAATGGCGGCCGGGAACGTGTCACGCCGAGGCCAACGGGCCGGTGCGAGGCGCCCGGTCTTTTGAGATGTCAGCCAATCAGGAGCGGGGGTGGGTGGGGCGCTCTCTCGCTTCCCCAATGGAGCAGCTTCGCTTTCCCCTCGGGTCAGCCAATGGGAGTGCCGCCAGCGCTGTCCTGTGATTGGTGCTCGCCTCCGTTCGTCTCAGCCCTGGAATGCTCACTCCATTCATTTTTGTAAAAAAGGCATTCACAAATATTTGGCGCAGGTAACACGCCAGGGGTGGGGAGTAGGGAGAATGCTCCTCCCATCCTTTCAGATTTTCCATTTATCCAGTTCCAGAGCGGCGGTTCTTTTACTTTGCGTTCTCAGGCTGCGATCCTGTGTAGTTATTTACATGGGGATAAGTTGGCTCCAACTCAGTGGGATAAGGTAAAAGGTAAAGGACCCCTGGACGGTTACGTCCAGTCAGAGGCGACTATAGGGTTGCGGTGCTCATCTCTGACTAAACCACTTCTGGCGTGACATATATAGGGTCTGTGCTGTTGCTTTTTACTTGATGACATTCTATGCTGCCTATCAACTTAATATACGATCATCTTTATTGTCAGTGTGCCCCATACAGAACAACGAAATTGAAAAAAATCTACATCACACATTCAAAAACCAACAAGCCTGCTATCCCAGCTATCCCAGCCTGGTTACCCCCCTAAAAACTCTGATACCCCATAATTAAATACAATATACTCCCATAAACACCTGGAAGCATAGATTTGATCCAAGGTGGGAAGAGTGCACCCAATTATTCTCTCCGCAGTCTTTACAACCCTGGACAGCATTGTTTTTCCCTGACTGTGCAGTGTTCTAGATGGTTTGCGAACTTATTCAAAACAACAACCCAAACTTACTGAGATGGTTAGGATAGACGCAGCTACTCGTTGTTTTTTACTCTTTCCCATCCCAAAACCTGCAGCAGTTGCTTAAGAGGCAGGCTGTTAATGGGCCTGGATTCAGTCAGTTCCCAGGTTTGGTTTTCATCTCAGTATTGTTATTCTCCATACTGCAGATGAGAGGACTGAGGTGGAGTGGGGTCTGCCTATGGCTACACAGCGAGTTCGTATTTTGGCAGCATGTGTAATCGCCAATACTCCGCTGGCTGTTGCAGCTACCTACCTGCCCCATACATTATTGTTGCAAGCATCCAGGCAGAGGGCCTTCTCGGTAGTGGCACCCCGCTCTGTGGAACGCCCTCCCATCAGATGTCAAAGAGATAAACAACTACCAGACTTTTAGAAGACATCTGAAGGCAACCCTGTATGGGGAATTTTTTTTATGTCCAATGTTTTACAATTTTTTATGTGCTGTAAGCCACCCAGAGTGGCTGGGGAAACCCAGCCAGATGGGTGTGGTATAAATATTACAATTATTATTATTAAAAAATTAAGTAATTTATTTTTGAAAACAGATTTATAGCACCTGTAAAATACAAAAAGGAAGAGGGTTTTTGTGATTGTTGTTACAATCCACAATTGCTGCATAAATCCTCATAAAAATGCTAGACATGCTTTGGCTGTTCTGTAAGCACACACAGAGTATTTAATCGTATTCATATGTCTGTTAAGTAACAATCCCAAGAATGTAGGGAAGAACCAACCCCTATCCCATGCCTCCCTTGCATGCATCTTCCTCCTTGCACCTGCCAGGATTCAGAACTGGAGCCCTGTTTGCTTAAGATGATGTGATGTCTATCTGTGCCATTCATCCTGTGACAGCTGTTGTTTCACATAGGCAGGGTACCACTGTGACATGATGTTGCAGATGCTGAGCAGTGACAATGCACTTGTGATCCTGCACCTAATGACTTCTTATGCAATTAATATTTTGCTACTTCGGAAGGGCTGAAAACCCAGAACCTCACTCCCTACTACAGTGAAAGGAGTGGAGAACCTCAAGCTCAGGGGCTGAATATGGTTGCCCAACTCTCAGAACCCCTGCCTTAGGCATTCTCTCATATAGATGACAACGAGCTGTATATTTGAGGACAATGCAAGCAAGACTATATGTACAATTATGAACAAAGAAATATCACACGGCAATATTCAAGAGAGAAACATTCTTCTCAGGACATCACATACTGCGCTCACAACACAAGAATATTGAAAGGGTGTCAAGCCTTGTTATTCGTGCAGATTTGTGTACTGCTACAGCCAGGGTGCCTGGCTTAGTTGTTGTCCGATTAGTGTTCAGCACCAAAGAACCCGAATCGAAGGTCACAGCAGAGGCAGATGAAAGGAAGCCAAAAGCCTGTTTTTCAGCCTGTATTCAAACCAGGCTAGTCTCTCCCTCTTTTGTTCAAGTGAATGCTTCCATCTTCAGGACACATATTCTGCTTCCGTATGGAGTTCCTTCTTTTCAGCCAGATATGTGAAAGTTGCCTTTCCCCTTAGTCCATTGCTCTGTGCTTTTCATAGCAACAATTTCTGGGACAGAAGCAGTTCTGACCCTGTGTGGATGAACTGCAGAAAAGTTGGAAGGCTTCAGGTGCAACAAGATATCTTCCCTGAAAGGAGAGGGAAGATTACAGCAGGTTGGGAGCTGAACTTTACTATCACCATCATCATCACCATCATCTTAACACCATACCCCTCCTTCAAAGAGTTCAGTGGTGTTTCTGCTGCCACCGTGCTACCCATGGCTGAGCTATGGTTTGGCTTGGCATTACATCCAAACCTATGCTTGTGTTTCCCCCAGACAAACCATGAACAGTAAACCAAGAACAAACATTGTGGTTCGTCTGAAGTGAGGCAAACCATGAGCCTGGCTTTGGATGTGATGCTAAACCAAACCATGGCATAGCTCTGGGTAGTGTGGCAGCAGCAGAATGAGAGAGGTACACTGCTATCACAATCTGTGATCCAGGAAACTGTACATTTGCTTGCTCATTCGAGTCCATGGTTTGGCTTAGCTTTATATCTGGACTAGGTCTATGTGTTGGATGTTGTGGCCAGTATTACCTCTTGTAAACAATGCAGCAGGTCATCAACACGTCAAACAGGAGCAACTTGAACAGCAAAATTCTGATGGCCAGAAGAAGTAAGATCTGTGAGCGGCTATGTAGATCTTCAATGAACAATGACTCTTCTTGGGCTGCCACCACAAAAAGAAGAAAAAATAAGGCAGAGTAATATCCACAGAATAACTATATCACCATCCACTTATGTGCTCCCTCGATACTTTGGATACAGGCCTATGTTACCAATGTTATCTCTTAATTGCTGCCAAGCCCAGTGGGTGATCAGACTATCAGGAGAGACAGCAGTAATCTGATGGATAAGGTAGTTCCAGACAATTTAGAATTTACACTTTTCATTACTGTATTAACTCTTAACAAGAGGATAGCAGTCCATAGTGCGCCCGTAGCAGTGACCAGAGAAGGAATGACCACTGGGAAGAGTGCACAGAGAACAACTAGATCTGCATCTGCACAACCGAGTGCCTTCATCTGCCCCAGCTGCAACAAAACATGTCTTTTCTGTGTCGATCTCTACAGCCACAGCAGGCACTGTAACCTTCCAACAGGCGCCCTCTTCCATTGTCCCCCGAGACAGAGGGATGCCAACCAATGTTTGGGGGGTGGGGTGGAAGGCATGGGCAACACTGTGCCAAAGGCCCCCTGACCTCTGGCACCTACCCTGTAGGTATAGATAGAATTGCAGCTGTGGCCTTCCTCTCTAATCTGCTTCATTCACAATAGTTCAAATTGTGTTCTATAAGGATATATGAATCTGGAATTTAGTTGTTCGTCATGGCACAAGGCTCCAAGCACTAGCCTTGTATACTTACAACAGCTTTGTCTGAATTCCTGCCCCCAAAACACCAGGTTTGGAACTGAGCTCTTGGTATAACTGAGATTGGAAGGAGAATGTATTGTTGTTCTTACCTTCTTGCTTTTCACTCAGGCAGAGATCTCCCGTATTTTCTTCTGTAAGACAAAATTATGACTTAGAGAAGGCATTGCAAGCCTTGGTTGTGTTATATAAGTTTCCAGATTATTAATTTACTGATTTTAAGTGCCTGGAATTTGTGCATAAATGTCTATATTGATTGATTGATTGTATTAGGACACATCGGTTTGAAGGAGAGAGTTCATTGGCAAAAAGGCAGGATTTAAGTGTAACAGGATAACAGCAATTTAGATACATGAGGATGCGTTCCAATGCATGCTTACCTGGGAGTAAGTCTCATTGAACTCAATGGGACTTACTTCTAATTAGACATGCACAGGGTTGCACTGTTAATTTATGAGGTCCTAAAAGTACATCTACAGTCCATACCCCCATCCCCCCATTCATGAATACCTGAGAGTTGAAGGGAGGTGGTGCTCCATGTCTTTGAAGTTTCGTTTGGTGCGACGTAGCAAGCGACTGTACTCCATGATCCAAATTCTTTGGTGCTGATGGAGAGTTGAGAGATGCTGCTGAAAGTCCCATCGTCTTCCCTAGAAATCCCGTAGGTGAAAGACTCCAGCATGCTCCCATTTCCGTTGGAAAACCGAACTGCCCCCAATGCTTCCTCAGAGAGATCGTTCACCAGACAAATTACCAGGGTCTTTCTTTCGCCGTTTACTATCACATGGAGCGGTGGTGCCAGTGTTGCATTTAAGCTCCAAGATAAGCTACCTGCTGAGAGTTTATTATAAACGTGCATGAGCAAAACTACTTGATCGGAGAGCTATTGGTTTTCATGTACACAAATTATGCAGATAATGGTTTTTTTGGATCTTTCTTGGTGGAGCCTTGCTTGGTTTTTACTTCATTTGAGCGGTCTTCCATAAAAATGGAGATTCTTCCCACCCCATGGTTTCTGTCCAATTCAATGAATGATCAAGGGGTCAGAGCAACTCCCATAGACAAAAAGGGTTGTCCCGGCAGGTGAACTTCTGGCAATGATTCCCCTGCACCCCACTCTGCAAAACTCTTGCTGCTCACTTGCCTAGCCCCAAAGGTTGTGTAAGACACTTCTGAAAAGTTTCCAAGCAAACAGCTCTGCCAGGCAGGTGGAGGAGCACCTCTGGTTTGCATGGTTACCTCTTTGCTTTTATAACATTCCCTCCTGCTGGGACAAACTGCTTCCTGCCCACCCCTACCTCCACATCTGGTTTTGCAGGCTAAAGGATGCAAAATTAAGGTACTACACATTCTATTGTAATGATTAGTGTGGTGGTGCAGCAATAAAACTGCTACAGCATTTGCAAAGCTATGCAGGGTCCGGTGTGGTTTCAAATTGGATGGGAGATGGTGTGCATTGCAATGAGTTAGACCAGGGGTCAGCAAACCTTTTCAGCAGGGGGCTGGTCAACTGACCCTCAGACCTTGTGGGGGGCCGGACTATATTTTGGGAAAAAAATATGAACGAATTCCTATGCCCCACAAATAACCCAGAGATGCATTTTAAATAAAAGGACATATTCTACTCATGTAAAAACACACTGATTCCCGGACGGTCCGCAGGCCACATTTAGAAGGCGATTGGGCCAGATCCAGCCCCCGTGCCTTAGTTTGCCTACCCATGAGTTAGACCCTTGGGATCACTTCCAACTTTGCAGTCCTATAATTTTGGTCTAATATATTTTGTTTTGTTTCTGTTTGGACTCTAAACTTTAGTGCAGACTTTAGGCCCTGTGGGACAATTTTAAAATTCCAGATCCCAAGTTCTTTTATTTCATTCTGTTTTTTTAAAAACTCGTATAACATCAGACAGATGGACTCCCCGTGCCTTCTGAATGATACTTGTCACACTGACCCCCAACAAGCAAGCAAATAAGCTATGGTGTTTTACTCACAGGTCAGAAGTTGGAGTGCTGCGCTGGTCAGGAGGTGCTGGAACGTAAGGTGGAGAGCTGGAGACATCTTGTGAGAATGAGCAGCTACACAAACAGAGAGTGCGCTAGACTAGCAGGCAATGTGCTCAACCCATCTCTCTTCCTCTCTGACCTCAGTACTCCTTTCCCGCAGCTAACGGTTGCACAGCTGCTCCCTAGTAAACAACAGAGGTGTTTTGGTGTGATTTTTTAAGCACGCTTTTTGATTATTTTAGCTGTGTGACTGGCTTATGTGAGTACCACCAGAACTTGACATAACAATTGCAGCATCCTGTGGTACTCCGAAAGCTTGCACATTTATTTGAGAGACTTATCTCCTGCTAGAGAAAGCACTGAATAGGGCAGCAGGTCCAGAACGCACCCGAAAATCTCAGAGCCAAGGAAGGCACAAAATGGGAAGTCTCTAGCCAGGGTCTCTCAGATTATTTTTTTGATTTTTAAAAAAGTGTTAATGGGGTAGGGGACAGAGTTTGGATCAAGGCTGAGGGATGGTTTCAAATATATTTTACACCTGTTGTTTTCCTGATTAAATCATCCTACTATTTGCCTGCATTGCAGATGATGCATGTATCATATTGGTATCCCATAGAACAATCCATGATTATGTGAAATAGGGAGAAATTGAAAAAATAATTATGCAATAAGAGAAATTTGTACAGAGTAGTCCAGGTTACATGAGTCATGCAAGCTGCAGAATTCAGCTTTTCGTGCTGCAGGATTTTAATATTTTTAGTATGCAGTACAGCCAAATCCTAACCATGTCTTTTCAGAAGTAGCCCCATTGCATGCAGTAGGACTGTGCGGTGCAGTGGTTGGAGTATCAGACCGGGTTCAAATCCCCACTGGGCCTTGAAGCTCACTGGGTGACCTTGGGTGAGACACTGCCTAACCTATTACACGGGGTGGTTGTGGAGATTAAATGAGGCAGGAGAGAACCCTGTATGCCCCACTTTGAGGTGGGGGTATAAATGCAATAAATGAAATGAAATAAAGAAGGTCCCCAGACCAGACATTCTGGAGAGACTTTTCAGGGAAGGAGCTGTACACAGTGAGTTGCTCCAGGGACCAGAGGATGCAAAATTTATCGGTGGGAGCTGCTTTCCTTCCACACCATCCCACGTTTGGGTCAACCCATTGGGTCATAGTACCCAGTGCTATCAGACAGTCCAAGTGTCCCTATTTTCCAGGGACAGCCCCGGATTTACAGAAGCCACTCCAGTTTCTGATTTTATACTGAAACTTTATAGGGGTCAGCAAACTTTTTCAGCAGGGGGCTGGTCCATTGTCCCTCAGACCTAGTGTGGGGCCGGACTATTTTTTTTGGGGGGAGGGGAGAATGAATTCCTATGCCCCACAACCCAGAGATGCATTTTAAATAAAAGCACACATTCTACTCATGTAAAAATACGCTGATTTCCAGACCGTCCGTGGGTCAGATTTAGAAGGTTATTGGGCCAGATCCAGCCCCAGGGCCTTAGTTTGCCTACCCATTCATTAGGACGTTCATCGTAGAAATGTGGGAGGGTATGGGGAGGGTAGGCGACCCCTGAGCCAAGGAGATAAGTGACTGTACAACCTTTAGAAGACCTCTGAAGACAGTTCTATATACGGAAGATTTTTTTAAAATGTTTAATGGGTGGGGTATAAAGAATAAAACCATTATGATGATGGAAAAGGACGTCCCTATTTTCATCAGGAGGGACGTGGGTGGCACTGTGGGTTAAACCACAGAGCCTAGGACTTGCCGATCAGAAGGTCAGCAGTTCGAATCCCGCAACGGGGTGAGCTCCCGTTGCTCGGTCCCTGCTCCTGCCAACCTAGCAGTTCGAAAAGACGTCAAAGTGCAAGTAGATAAATAGGTACCGCTCCGGCGGTAAGGTAAACGGCATTTCCGTGCGCTTCTCTGGTTTGCCAGAAGCGGCTTAGTCATGCTGGCCACATGACCCGGAAGCTGTATGCCGGTTCCCTCGGCCAATAAAGCGAGATGAGCGCCGCAACCCCAGAGTCGGCCACGACTGGACCTAATGGTCAGGGGTCCCTTTACCTTTTTATTTTCATCAGAGAACTATTGGAAGGTATGGGGTTATGCGTACCCCAAGTAGACCCACTGAAATGGGCAGCCAGGCCTAAGTTGGGCACATTGATTTCAATGGGTCTACTCTGCTCATGAAAAAAACAACCCTTTTTTACTTGTTTATACAGTCTGCAGGTGCTACATATGCAGATTCAACCCCTTCCCCGATTAAAAAGCTGGGCTGGCCGACTTAAATCTCGCTTGTGCTATATTAATGGACTGTAACTGCGGGTGGGGTGGGGGGAGTGAGTTAGGCTCCGCAGCCCTGTTTTCCTCCTAGGCCTCCTCCCCCGGCGACAGATCGCTCTTGGTACGGCCCGGCCTCCCCCTCGCTGCCCTGGTGGTGCTTTCCATGACGTCCGCTCGGAGTGGAGTAGCCCGGCTCCGGAGATTCGGCTTGCAAAGGGTAAGGGCGAGGGGGGGCGGGGGAGGCAGCGGGCCTGTGTAAGGGGCTGGCACGTGGGCGCTGCCTCCCTGCAGAGTAGGCCGGTTGGGACAGGTGGGGCGCTTACCTCCGTGTAAAGGGGGAGAGAGGGTCGGGGCTGAGCCCTGTATAAGCTCTGGGGGTTAACCCACCCACCCAAAAAAGAGAGGCTGTAGTTTGTCAAGCCACAGGGAGCTGATGGGAGCTGCTCTTTCCAAATAGAGATTTAGCAGGACTCGCGAAAGCGTTCATTTCCTCACCCAAATTTCACTACAGTATATCGCTGTGTAATTTATTAAATTTGTATCCCGCCCTCCACCCGAAGATCACGGGGCATTGGCCACAACATCAAAGCACAATGCGCGTTTAGTTTATTCCCCCCAGATCCTCATGCCCAACTATTTGATACCCGAGCTTTTCAGTACGTGTAACTACTCCCACTTGCCCTCCCCCGTCCTTTCCTGCCCTTGTTCGGTCTCCGATGGTAAGCCCCCTTCCAGGTTTTCTGCAGCTGAGGGGAACAGAGAGGTTGAAAAGCCCTTTTTGGCTTGTGGTATGATGAAATTGCATGAAAAAGGGGAATGCCATCCAGACTGGGGGCTGTGGCTGGAGACCGCTTGGAGGGTACAGGAAACCAGGTGCCTGTTCCTGGCAAAAACATAGAAAGAGCAATTAAAAACCAATTAAGCATAAATAGAATTAAAACTATATGTGTGTGTGTGTGTGTGTGTGTGTGTGTGTATGTATGCGTGCATTAATAAAATAAAATAATATAATTAATGTAATATAATCAGCACAGCACAGCACCAGTACTTTAATTAAAAGCAGTCACTTCCACCTACAGGTGGAAGGACAAGAAGGAAGGAGCCAGTCTAGCTTCTCTAGAGAGGGATTTCCAAAGACTTGGAGCAGCTACCAAGAAGGCTCTTATTTATTTAAATAAGCAGATAAGAGTTTCCTTATTTATTTATAAAAAAAATATAAATAAAATATTCCACACTTCTAACATCTATGTATGCACCTCAGGCAGCTAACGAAGTAGCAAGCAAACAAAAATGATGTTAATATTTTAAAATAAAGATTATGAATTGAGACAAGGTCCAGACATTGTGGACCACAGCTACTCACAGGGAAGCCTAATTTAGTCGCTTATAAGAATTGGAAAGGAACCTTACCTGGAGCTTGAGTTGCCCTCTCTTTAATTTGAAAAATGTCTCTTTTCAGGGGTGCTTCCTTTTCTCTGATACCAAAGTGAACATTGAACATTAGACAGCAGGTTCTTGCAGCTGGACATCAGGTATCCAACCCACCAAACCATGGAATCCACAGCAGCAGGGACAGCAAGCTCACTTCCCAGTACTGTGGAGGATAGGAAGGAAGAACTTCAAGAGCGCCCAGCTGACCAGCCTCAGAGTCCAGATACTTCTGTGTCTTTCTCTGAGATCTTCCGCCTGGTCCAGGCTGGGCAAGACATTCCTGGGCTGCAGAAGCTAAATATCACCCCAACAAATGGGAGTCCTACACCATCTCAAATGGCCCGAAGACCCAAACCTTGGGAGAACAACCCATTGTGACTAGAAAGACCTATTGTCTTACTTCCACACCAGAAAGAAGCAATACTTACCAAGTCTGATGGATTTGCGAACTTAAAAGAGCTGTGTGTGTACACTTTTTGGGGGTTTTAAACCCTGCTGGTTTGCATGGTCATGGATCTTGAGGACAAGAGGCTATTGCATTGAAATAGTTCTGCAACTTATAATTAAATGTGTCCTTTACCAAAGTGTGCTTTGAAGGCTGCCAGTCCTTTATTTAAAATCACAATAATGTGAAAGAACTCAAAAAAATGCTTCTGCATGCAAGCAATCCAAAGATTGCACCCGGAAATGTAGAATTCTGCAGTTTGCATAATTATGAAAACTAAGTAAATTTGTATATTATCTTATTTTGTATAATGCATTGTCCTTTTGCTAGTCTGGGAAGAGGCAGGGACACTGAAATACCCTTCCCGCCTTTCTGACTTTGAAGCTTCACCAATCACCCATGCGTTTTCAAGAATACAATTGCAGTTGTGCAGTTCATATTATTTTAAATGAAAGCAATTTTCCTGTAGCCAGAAAAAGGAGAATCCAATTAATGATACCTACTTTGGGTCTCACTTGTTGGCACGCGCTATATAGCAAGGGCCTGTTTTTAGAGAGGTCAGAAGCAGCTTAAACCCCAAATGGAAAGGGCGTGCAGAAAGATAAGAGCCCCTCAGCTTTCTGCTCCAGGCAATCGCTGGCTGACATCTCTAAGCCACAAAGCTGGCTTCCAGCTGGTAGTGAGCTGAGCAAAGGATGCACCTGAGTAACGGACGCGCTGCAGTTTAACCAAGAGCACAAAAGGCAATTCATGGAAGTGCACCTGCGGCTGAGGCTGCGTTAGGAAATAGCTACTTGTAAAATTCCCACCATTAGGATGGGTGCAAAGAGGCAGCGGTTTTGGGGTGTATACGAGACTCAGGCATGGGCATGCAAGCAGAGCTGTGCATCTCTTTTGCAGGATCCTTGCCAGTATGGCTCCAGCCACCCAGTGTCATGGTTAGAGGGCAAATTTTGTCCTTGCTCTTAAAACACGTGTTTCCCCAAGTGTGGGACTTGTCTTTATGGGAAAAGTAACTCCATGTGGAGGGACGCGGGTGGCGCTGTGGGTTAAACCACAGAGCCTAGGACTTGCCGATCAGAAAGTCGGCGGTTCGAATCCCCGCGACGGGATGAGCTCCCATTGCTCTGTCCCAGCTCCTGCCAACCTAGCAGTTCGAAAGCACCTCAAAGTGCAAGTAGATAAATAGGTACCGCTCTGGCGGGAAGGTAAACAGCGTTTCTGTGCGCTGCTCTGGTTCGCCAGAAGCGGCTTAGCCATGCTGGCCACATGACCCGGAAGCTGTACGCCGGCTCCCTCGACCAATAAAGCGAGACAAGCGCCGCAACCCCAGAGTCGGTAACGACTGGACCTAATGGTCAGGGGTCCCTTTGCCCTTTACCATTACCTCCGTGGGGGGGGGAAGGCATGCACTCGGGACACCGCTGTGATATTTAGCTGAGATTCCTGCATTGCAGAAGGTTGGACTGAATGATTTAGGGGGGGTACCTTAAAATCCTATCGTTGTATTCCATCAATTTGTATGCCCTTTTAACACCATCGTCTCCAAGTGGTGTGCAGTAGAGTTTAAAAGTTGCAATAAAATCAGTTAAAACTACTTTAATAAGAAAATAAACCATAAAACTTAAAATGCTTGCTGCAATGAAAAAGGTCTTCACCGGATGCTGGAAATTCAATACAGCAGAATATCATCTGAAAGAGAGTTCCAGAGGATTGGGCCCACAATGCTCAACGTACAGCAGCTGGTGGATTTGAGCAATGAGTTGACTCTGCTGAAGACCTCGGTGATAGAGGTTGCGCCAAGATTCCTGTCTGTTCCTAGCTGCAAAGCACAATCCTGAGTCGTTTGTCTTGGTCATAACTGTGAAAGAATGCTGGGAAACTTTTTTTTTTAAAGTGCAGTTGAAACAATGAAGTTGTCAGTTCTTGCTGTTCCATTCCTTAAGAAAGCTTGAAAGATGTGCTCGTATCATCATATTGAAGACATTAATGGCTGCATAGCTACTGATTGAATATTAGCAATTTAGAAGAAGGAAGCATGTATCTAGGGACAATATGCAAAGGTTCAGGAACAGGAAGGAAAGAAAAAAACCCAGTGTGAGTCTCGATTGTGCTTATCCAGTCTACAAGACTGAAGCAAGCAACTCTCCGCCCTGATTTCCTATTAGGGAGAGGGCTGCATCCATTTCAGTATTTTACCAGGCAGTCATGGCTTGGTCTTCAGAGGCGAAAGGAACCTTGGGGCTCTCCTCTGTCGTTTGATGAGGAGTTAAGAGACCATGCTGCATGGATGGTGTCTGGCAGAAGAGGCATTTGCTTCTTCCTGGGTGCAGAATAGTGTCTCTGCTTTATTTCAGAAATGAAAGTGAGATACACAGGGAGTGAAAGTTTTGAAGCCCTGAAATTGCAAACTCTCATTTCAACCCAGGAACTTAGCCCAAGCCCCCAAATCTGCTTGCAAGGCTACCCCAATTTTAATTCTTCTCCAAATGCCCAAAGAAGATAGATAGATTTGGAGCGTTATCAAAAATTCAGATTGTTAAGGATTCTTCCATGTTTTGATCCCAGCCCCTGTGAACTGTCATATGTAATATGAATTGGCCATTATTAGCCTGCCAACAGAACATTTGAAACCCATCAATGGATTTCTGCTTTTTGCATCTAAATACAGTGTTCCTGAGCACTGTACTATGTGTGTGAAATATAATGAATATCCATAAAGACTGTAATAGTTTAGATTCAAGATCAGGTTTACTTTCCTATAAATCATAACAAAACTAAAATATCAACAGAGGGGGGAAATCAAGAGCAGTATTTGCATAAGATTCTTTTTTATTTTTAAAAAAGTATTTTTTTCTCAGAATGCAAACAATGGATCCATGGTCAAAACATGGCAACATTTCATAAACCATTTTTTTTAAAGCAGTAAGTAATATGAGTTGGATCCTATTAAACTGAAAAGGTCGTTTAAAAGACAAAAGCAATACCAGTTGTAAAACATCTTTTAATGGAAATGTTGTGAGCAACCTCGGGTGAAAACGGAACAGCAACAACAGCAAAGAGCAACATCCTTGAACCAATACCTACTTTGAGGAAATAAATAGTGTCATACCTTGGAAGTCGAATGGTATCTGTTCCGGAAGTCCGTTCGACTTCCAAAACGTTCGGAAACCAAAGTGCAGCTTCTGATTGGCTGCAGGAAGCTTTTGCAGCCAATCAGAAGCTGTGGAAGCCCCGTCGGACATTCAGGTTCCAAAAGAATGTTTACAAACCGGAACAATCACCTCCAGGTTTGCAGCATTCAGGAGCCAAAACGTCGGAGTTCCAGAGCGTTTGGGATCTGAGAGGGTAGGGATGTGGATCTGTCCTTCTGGACACTAGTATGCAACTCAGAAATGGCATGGTGGGTGTAAAATAACAATGTCCACTATAACTTTCCTTCCTTTTCAAAACAAAGGCTACAATCTGCAACTTTTGTTTTTATGGCAATTTTAGTAGCCGCTTCAGGGCTGTCCGAGGACTTTTGCAGCCATTTTCCATTCAAGTAATGTAAGCAAGTTTCTAATATTGGGACAGTATATGGAGGTGTAAAGGCACATGTCTCTCTTTCTACCGGAAATATTTCCAGTTGTCTGGCCAGCTTTTAAAATTTCTACGCCTCTTTGGTATCTCTGTTGCCAGCATTTGTCATCACAATTGAAAATCCACAGCATGAAAAAATAAGTTATCTGGACCTCCTAGCTCTGGGAGGAAATTGGAGATGCGTTTCTCTCATGGGACCTGCAGAGGTGGTGAGCCTGTGGGCCTTCAGATGTTGTTGGGCTATCAAGTCTCATCGGTCTCAGCCAGCATGGCCAATGATCAGGGAATGATGGGAGTTGTAGTTCAGCAACGTGGAAGGGCCCATAGTTTCCTCACCTGTCCTAACTGCAGAGCACACACGTCTTCTTAAAACAGCCAGCTTTCAATAATTTACTGAAAGCCCCAATAATTATTCTAGTTTATTAATTATCTCGTTTGCCCTGGGAGTCCAATTTCTTTGTAAATAAGCATTAAGCAGAGTTCCACCTCACTTTTAAATATATAGGAGAATAATCTGACAGCTTGTAATAACTTAGCAGCCCTTTTAAAGATGGTTCCACGGGGAAAACGTACTTTCAATTCTCTCCCAGTGTTCAGGTCGGGACAGTTTGCACCGCCCTAACTCACACTGAGTTTCACTTTTACATTAATGGAAGCCAATTCTGCTACGAAGACGCGGAAGACATACGGGACGGCAATCGTTTCAATGGTGTCGCTCCGGCCGCAGGTGGCGCAGACGTGTTGCCTGATGCGTGTGGTGGACCAGTCAGGCGGAGGCTTCAAGAGGGGAGAAAGCAGGCTCCCACACTCGATGCACACGTGGGTCACCGAGCGATCGGAGCAGTGGAAAAGGCGGTCGTGCAACAAGAAGGAGGCCCCGTGAGCTAACAGAGCGTCTCGTTCCATCTCTCCAAAACGGATGCCGCCCTGAACGTTCCGCCCTCCGATGGGCTGGTTGGTGACTTTATCTCTGGCCCCGGTAGTCCTCACCTGGAACTTGTCGGAGACCATGTGCCTGAGGCGCTGGTAGTACACCACGCCGATGAAGATGTCCGCTTCAAGCTCCACTCCCGAGACGCCGCTGTACATTCGCTCCGTCCCGTAGAAGTTGTAGCCGGCGGCCTTCAGCATCTTGCCAAAGTATTCCAGAGCAGAGTTTTCCTCAGAAAATGTGAAGGGCGTGGCGTTGTGACAAAGCCCGTGCAGAGCGGCGGATTTGCCCGCCATGCTCTCAATTAACATGCCAATGGTCATTCGGGACGGGAAGCCGTGAGGGTTGAAGAGGATATCCGGCACCATTCCACTTTCAGTGAAGGGCATGTCCTCAGCCGGCCACAGTCTGCTCAAGATGCCTTTCTGTCCGTGCCGGCTGGCAAATTTGTCCCCGATCGTTGGGTTCCGGGGGACCCTCAGGGTGATGCACACACACCTGAACTTCCCTGTCCCTGTGTCGTTGCTGCATACTTTGATGTTATCCACAATACAGATTTCCTTGTTCCTGGAGAAAAAGGAAAGAAAGGTTTGAATCGCCAACAGATTCTGCAGGAAAGCTGATTCCAATTTATTTGGTGGTGATGGGGGAAGGCAACGTGTGAAGTATTCACCCAATACAAATACAGAATAAAATGAAGATGGAAACAAATGCTTGGCAGGAGGTTGGACTCGATGGCCCTTGTGGTCTCTTCCAACTCTATGATTCTATGAAATGAAAGAGCCTGCAAATAAAGAAAGCAAGGAAGCAAATGCTCTCAACCCAAACCTTAACACCCAGAGCAAAAAGGATTGCTGCCTAACTGCAACCATTAATAACCATCATCGCAATCAGAAGAGGGGAAGGACGGGTGGAGAACCTTATCAGGACCCGTCTCATGGGCCAAATTTGGCAGGTAGGTGGCCCTTTTGCTGCAATCTTAAAAGGGAAGCCAGAGAAGGCTTGCAAAAGGCTTCACAATCTTGTAAAGAGCATTACATTTTTTTCATCCATTAATTTCCACGAATGGGTTTGGCCAGGTTTTGTGGGTATGAGTGACCCTGTGACCCACCCAAGGCTATCCTGTGAGCATAGCTGCCCAAACGCACTGCAACAGAACCGCCCCCATCCAAAGCATTTTCCTGAGCAGTATTTCGGAGTGGGAAGGTTCCCAGGGAGTTGCAACAGAGAACCTATAAAGCAGGGTGTGGAACTATGGTCCTCTAGATGTTGCTTGGCTCCAACTTACATCAACCCCAGCCAGCCTAAGAACATAAAAAATAAAACCTCTCTGGATCAGGCCAATGGCCCATCTAGTACAGCAACCTGCTCTTACACTGGCCCACAAGATGCCCAGGGGAAGCCTGGAAGCAGGACTTAAGTATGACAGGAGTCTCCCCACTTGGGAACCCCAGGAACTGCTACTCAGAAGCACGCTGTCTCTGACAGTGAAAGGAGAACCCAGCCATTGTGGCTAGTAGCCTTATCCTCCATGAATTTGTCAGCAGGGCCAATGGGATGGGATTTGTAGACCAGCAACACCTAGTCACAGGTTCACTAGTGTTTCAATAGGCAGTTTACACACTTACACACACACACACAAAATCCACATCGTCTTGTTGAAAACTAGCTAAATAGCAGCATTTTGAACTTACTTGTGGTAGGTCACAAAGCTTTCCCCCGTGTTGAGATTCACGTAACTATAGAAAGGGTCCCCGTATTGAAGTCTGGCTCCGATGTGGGGCAAGCCGTCAGGGTCCAGATTCTGCAAAGTTGCCAGCTTATCCTGACCAATCCCAAATACCAGATTATCCTCTCCCTTCTTGACTTTTTCCGCAAGGTCAATACGTTGCGTTTTGTAGATACTTCCATGTCCAAAGCCTCTCTCCCATGAAGCCTTGTTCAAGATCTAAAAATAACATGAAATAAAGCCCCCACACAAATCAATGTCAAACAAAAACCTGGCCTTTAAGGAAACTTGAAGATCCTTTTATCCCCAAATTCAGATGCTCTTAGCGATCTTATTTAGGAACTGTTTGATCTACTACTGCTATTTCAATGTCATTCTTTGTTTTTAACCGTCATTTTAATGTTTGAATTTTAACACCCTATTGGTTTGTAATTAGCCTGGGGGGGTACACACTCTAAAAGGCAAACTAGAAATCAGTTCAAGCTAAGTAATAATAATAATGATGTTATGAGTTTGGGGTGGGAGATTAGGCTGCATATACCTGAGTCCCTTTCAATTCTAAGATCCAGCTAAGGTTAAAATCTAAAGGTGGATTCAAATTGTTAAAATAGCCAGAGAAGCTTCCCTCCAAATTATGGGTCAGGATGGGCTCCCCTCCCTCAACTCCTGGTACAGTGGTACCTCGGGTTACAGATGCTTCAGGTTACAGACTCCACATTTCCCTTCATTTTCACCCTAAGGTGACGGGATTAGGAAGGGAGAACAGCGTTAATTTGAACGTAAATTTCCTTTTTGCTTTTTTAAAACCGAGGACTCACCATTGCATCTTCCATGTCGTAGCCAGTATAGGAGATCACGGCAACAACTGCATTTGTACCGACCGGGTAGGAGTCCATGTCGTAATGGTCATACATAGCCGGCCGCACCAGTGGGCTTTGAGGAGTCTGAAGTCGGTAGAGCTTATCGTCTGAGCGGTATGGGAAGGTCAGAAGCGGGAAACCCATCGTCTGCTTGCCTGGAAGGACAAAATACACAGACACAGTAGGCATCAGATGAAATAAACTCAAAGTCTTTCATGTCTTCCACAGGGAAAGACCAGAGCTCAAAGGAAGAAGGCAGGTTTCGCATGCAGGTCACAGGCCGGTTCCCTGGCAGGAGATGGGAATTACTTGTGCCCGAGACCCTGGAGAGCCACTGCCAGTCAGAGCAGACAATACTGGGCTAGATGACGAACTAGCCTGACCTCCTGTAAGGCGTCTCCCTGTATTTCCTAAGTATAAAAATAATACAGCACTTAAGGCATTCACTTCCATTTGTTTCCCTTTCAAATCCTTATGTGGGGCTGCTCTATGTGCAATCTAAAGTTTCCAGCATCCTCAAGTCTCCATCTTCTGTTCCACTTAAAAGTTTTTAGTTCTGGAGAGCCCACTCCCTTTTTTCTGTTGTCTTTCAACAATTCCCATCAGCCCCAACATGCACAGCAAACCTGCCCCATCCAGTATAATCTGTTTAATTCCCCCCACAACCTGGTTCTTTAGCTGCCCCTCATTAACTATCAGTGCTGTGTGCCCCATGACCACATTGTTCTCACTGCACTGTTTGGGTCTCCCACCCAACTCTCCGCCCCCCGAAAAAACTATGGTTTTTGGTTGTTGTTTTTTGCAAACTTTGGCATTCCCTCAACTGATAGTTTGATGTGTGGATGGGAGCCAATTGGCTACATAAGAATCCATACCTGGAGAAGGAGTTTCCTATGAACATTTTTGTTATTTTGTTTTATAGGAGTTATTATCTGCACTTCACCATAAAATATAATACAGTGGTATCTCGGTTTTCGAGCGTAATCCGTTCCGGAAGACCGTTCGACTTCCAAAACATCCGGAAAACCGAAGCATGCATTTCTGGAAGCATTCACGTCCGGAAAACTCAATATGGAAGCCGTGTGGCACATCCGGCTTCCGAAAACTGAAACGTTTGAAAACCAAGGTACCACTGTACACGATTAAAAAGCAGTTAACATGATTTACATCAGAAGAAAAGTGTGGGTCCGGAAAATGCATCTCTAGCTGTCCAAGGCCAGGGTAAAAAACAACAACTAAGGATTACTTGCCCATCTGACACTGGTACATATTTCTTGGACTCTGGTTGTGATCCGAGAAGGGAATGAAACTTGCCACCACACTTAATATGCTATGGGGAAAGAGCTCCTGGTGTGTGGTCAGTCCCGGTTGAATTTCATCTTCAGACACAGCAATGTTCATGAAGACCTGGGGTAAGGAAAAGCCAGTTTAAACCCTTTGCAGAAGCTCTCTTTGGCAGAACAGAGCAAGCAAGCAAGCAAGCTGATCTATTTTCAACTTCTATGAGTGGTCACCAAGCACATTAAACACAAGCAAAGCTCTTGGAAAAGACTTCTACACCAACGGAAGCCCACAATTCTTCAATGCCGTATTATTAAGCCAACACACACAAAATCAAAAGAGCGCCTTTTGGCACAATCTGCACCAGATTTTAACAGTCGTGGTAATGGTAGCTCATCTCCTTAAAACCTGTTCCTGCTGGAAAGAGCATTTCATGAGATAAGGTGACTTGTCACATACAATAGTGGCATTAAAACATGCTCAGCAACACCAACGACGCCAACAATTGTGGTTGCAGAATTAGAAAGAGAAAGATGCACAGTAAATGGTCACAGATGCACAGGCAATACCCACTGGACTAACTTGTTAGAAATGGCTCTTCGTATCGACGACTTGTTAATATTTTTAAGTAGCTGCACAATCCAAAATTGCACAGAAAAGTGCAAGACTATAGAAACATAGGAAGACGATTGAATCTGGGACCTTCTGCATGCAAAGGCCATGTTTACCTCTGAGCTACTGCCCTTCCCCGATATGAATCCAATGACCTCCCATTTCCCTTCCAATTCTACTCACAGTAACAGCAGCAGAAGGGATTCTACCACCCAGATAGGATAAAGGTAAAGGTAAAGGGACCCCTGACCGTTAGGTCCAGTCATGGCTGACTCTGGGGTTGCGACGCTCATCTCGCTTTACTGGCCGAGGGAGCCGGCGTACAGCTTCCGGGTCATGTGACCAGCACGACTAAGCCGCTTCTGGCGAACCAGAGCAGCACACGGAAACACCGTTTACCTTCCAGCCATAGCGGTACCTATTTATCTACTTGCACTTTGATGTGCTTTTGAACTGCTAGGTTGGCAGGAGCAGGGACCGAGCAATGGGAGCTCACCCCGTCACGGGGATTCGAACCGCCGACCTTCTGATCGGCAAGCCCTAGGCTCTGTGGCTTAACCCACAGCGCCACCTGCATACTATTGTTCAAATACACTAAAAGGATTCCCAAGTTCACTGCTGCATAATCAACATGTACCTGCTCCATTGTGCCAATTAACTCTTCTTTTCCCAGGGCCAAATTTTGCACGGGACGCATCATCCTACAAGGGGTGGTGAAAATGAAGAGTCCTGGGTAAAGGCTGGGCTTTCCTGTCATTGGGATAAGGACCACCTCTGTCCAAACGGGAATCTTCTTTTCTTGCATTGCCTAGTGGCATAAATCAAAGAAGCATCCATTTTACATCCTTCAACTAAAGCAAGAGAGCGATGCAGAAATGTCTCTCCCGATCCACAGAGGCAAAGTGAAAAACAAAATATTCAAATGGAGCAACTCCTCCGTCAGCAAGGGTGGGGCCAGGTATTTATACAATGATAATTCATCTTTATCTCTTCACCCTTTTAATTCTGTAGGATAAACATAGCTACAGGCAGCTGGATCATCAAAATGCTGCAAGATGTCCAAGTGCCTGAAGACTTTCAAATACAGTAGAGGTGGACATTGCAGCACAAACAAAACTAACCTTGAAGTGCCTGAGTGTCTCCACAAGACCAGGAGCCTGATCCTTCTCTATCCAGCCTACTGGGGAGCCGTCTAGTGAAACTGGGTAACATTCAGAGTAGGGCTGGCTTGGCACAGCATCAACTGGAGTGACACCTACAGAAAGTTGCACAGCAACATGTGATGCATCAATGCCACCGACTGCAAGCAGCCTTCAGAAGGTGAACAGGTGTAACATTTTACTAGCGGCTACAAAAAATTTGCAGCAAAGCTTCGTTGCAACTGACGAGCCTCTCTAGGTGGTTTGAAACGTACAAACCTGTAATTTCGCTAGGTTTTGTTTTGTTAACTGACATGCTACGAAGGATTTGTGGCTCATTTTGAAAACAGGGAGGGGCATTGACTAAAAAGTGTTTTATTTGAAGCAGGGAAGTGATGGCTTCAGGTCCCTGGTTCAGCCAAGAACACAGGAAGCGAGACTGTCTTTATTTGCATTCTAAAACTATGCTGCAGAAATATATACCAGTAATGCAGCCCAAGAGCTTATTGTTGAAAATGAGTAATCAGGTATAGTATTTCAAGGGGGGAAAGGCCAGGCCTGATCATACCCTGTGGCCAGCAAGAAGAAGAGTTTGGATTTGATATCCCGCTTTATCACTACCCTAAGGAGTCTCAAAGCGGCTAACATTCTCCTTTCCCTTCCTCCTTCACAACAAACACTCTGTGAGCTGAGTGGGGCTGAGAGACTTCAGAGAAGTGTGACTAGCCCAAGGTCACCCAGCAGCTGCATGTGGAGGAGCAAAGACACGAACCCAGTTCACCAGATTACGAGTCCACCGCTCTGAACCACTACACCACACCACAATGGTTCACGTTATGATCTTGCCTTGTACTGACTCAGTCCACTGTGGTACATCTAGCTTAGTATGGTCTCCCTGGCAGCAGCTATTCAAGATCTGATGCAGAAGTCTTTCCAGCACCTGCAGTCTGATCCTCTTAACTGAAAATGCCTGGGACTGAGCACTGGGTCACCTGCTTGCTAAGCACGCAGCTTACCAATGAGCTGCAGCCCTCAGCTTCCATGATTTCAATTTTTTGACAACTATCTTCACATGCGCTTGTCTGCTAAGGGTCTTCTGCATTCTGCCAAAAAGACCTCCAATGCACTACAGAGGCTTCTGGGGCTGGCTCTGGGGCTACTGCACATGCTTAGTACTCAGTGGGCACTGGCTGGGCCTGTTGGGCCTCACCACTGCCCAGCACAACTTGAGGGTGTACTCCAGACACTCTTGTGGCTGCAGCCTGCAAGGGAAGTCTAGGGGTCTAGAAAAGCGCTGTTCAAGGAAGTGTGTGTGCCATAAATGATCTTCTCGCTGACAAACCCAGATATGTTTCCCAAGGAATCCCAGGATTCCCCAGAACCCAATTTGAAACCCACTACCTTGCAATCTTTTGAATTATGGTGCTGGAGGAGACTCTTGAGAGTCCCATGGACTGCAAGAAGATCAAACCTATCCATTCTTAAGGAAATCAGCCCTGAGTGCTCACTGGAAGGACAGATCCTGAAGCTGAGGCTCCAATACTTTGGCCTCCTCATGAGAAGAGAAGACTCCCTAGAAAAGACCCTGATGTTGGGAAAGATGGAGGGCACAAGGAGAAGGGGACGACAGAGGACGAGATGGTTGGACAGTGTTCTCGAAGCTACCAGCAGGAGTTTGACCAAACTGCGGGAGGCAGTGGAAGACAGGAGTGCCTGGCGTGCTCTGGTCCATGGGGTCACGAAGAGTTGGACACGACTAAACAACAACTTTGCAATTATCTCTGTGGGCATATTAATTACAGCTCAGTGAACGGCCAACCCTACCAATCTGAGACTTGCTTTTCCCCTGAAAGCATTTCTTATAGATCAAATAGATCCATTCTTACCCAAAGAGCAAAGCAAGGACGGCAGGGAGAATGTATACGATGGCTGTGTTACTATTTCACATGGAGCTGTCATGTGATTCATCAGACCGCACGGTTCTCCATCGGGCGTGTGGACGGGACAAAGGAAACCCCAGGACTCCGGCAGCAGCTTGCGCACTGTGGTGGTTCTCATCTTGAGAAAATCAGCCCCTCTGTGCACACAGCGGAAATGGGAGAGGTAGCGGATGAAGTTCAGCTTGTCTGCTACCACACAGAGACCGGAGTTTTGCAGCATGCCCAGACCTTGTAGAGAGAGAGAAATGGGAAGCAGGGAAAATCAGCTTTGATCCAAGAATTATTTTGCAAGAACAGTTGCTTGGTAGCAGTAGCAGTTTTAATACCACCACCACATGCACTGAGTTGTGTGGTGCACAATACATCAAATATTCAACTACATCAACATCTGAACATCGCAGAAAATAGAGTAAGCATCCATTAGGACTTCTGATTTTTTTAAAATAGGGAAGGTAAACACAAGCAGTCAGGATTCAAGAGGGGTGTAGGCCAAGTAACAGCTCCTGTGCCTGCAGCAAGGAATCACTCTAGGAATGGAAGGCATAATGATTACCAACAGACTGGCCAATCATCCTCAATATGTTCCCTTGTAATCTGCGCCCTCCTTTGCTTACTTATGCTGTGATCCCTGGAATGATATGGTGTGCATCACCTTTCCTGATTTTTGGTTGCAGCATCCTACAGGCTGGATTGCAATCTAAAGGGGAGTTAATTGGTGGTGGGAATGTAGTTTGGGATGCAAATGATCCATCTTTAGAACGAGAGAGCATTCTAATCCTACAATTAGGATTTAGTGTGTACATGCTCTACTAAGTTAAAATTCTGCACCCAAATAATCCCAAGTTATGCGACAAGGAAGAAACAGTTTCCTGCCCTGTCTACATGACGTACGTTGATCAGCATTAATGACTCTTACTCTGTATAACCTATTCTGCCTTGGCTGCTAATGGGAGGGTGGATGGGAGAGCTATGGAAGTTGCACAACCCCAACCTCTGGAAATGTGTTCCTTGGGTGCTGAGTTTTCAACATGCCTTGTAGCAGTTTTACAAACGTAAAGAAAAGAAAGTGTTGGGTTAAACCCCCACCCGAAAAGGCAAGGCTCCACGGAACCTGATCTCTGCATCCTAGAATCACTGCATCCACTTTGTTGTGCATTTGCAAATTCTCACATGCAAACAAGCCCCTCGCTTGTGATACACCCAAAATGTCTACAGCAGCCTTTCACAAGCTGGTGCCATCCATGTGCTTCAGACTACAGCTGCAAAATTGTGCTGCAGGTCTTTGACATTTTTACCTGTCTTAGAGCGCAGGTTGCCAGTAGCAAGGAGATACTCAAGCATCCTTGTAATATCTGTCCCCATGCCAAGAATCTTCATCATGTTTTCTGCGTTAATTGTCATAGCTGACTTCTGAGCTTTCTTGTCCAAGGCTATTTTCACAGACTGCAACCAAGTTTCCATCTTCTCCTACGATATAGGATAAGAGGAACAAACAAGAAAAACTTCAAGAACTAACACAATGCACTTCTATACAAACTGGCCACGTGACAAACTAGTATATGGGTGGCAAGGAACGTTCCTGTCCCAACACAAGAGCAGAGGGGAAAGTTGCCGTTGGAACTAGGCCTCTCTCAAATTGCCTCCCGATTCATCACAACCTATTACATCACAACATAATACATCCTATCATGTACATCTGCTTTGGAACTTCAACATTGCAAAATGTGTCACACACAATCAACTACCAGTACAGATTTCAATGCTCTGGCCAAATATACAACCACCAGAGGTGAGTAGAGATACCCAGCTTAATAAGCAGGGAAATCAATCAAAGCTGCAGCCGACAGCAATTTAGCCCCACTGACTAGGTTGAGAGGCAGTTATCAACCAAACCACAATCTGTTGCGATGTGAACATGCTTTCAAATGACCTTGTGTTCTGCAACCCCCTCCTTGGCTCACGGCAGAAGTTTGTCATTTTAACTGAACCTGCAAAGACGACTGGTCACTTGAAGTCCTTGCAATGGAGAACTGGGGGGATCTCGGTTTGCAGGGCAAGAACAAGCCAAGGTTACAAAAATGGAAAACTATGGTTTAGCTGGAGTTGTATTGCACACAGGTTTGAGAGCCCTTAGAAAATTATTCATGTGGTGCCAAACCATAGCTCCATGTTACTGCTCAACCTCGCTCATTGGAATACTGCTGACATTTCCACTGAAGTGCTTTCAGCTATGCAATACGCATTCCTGCATCAGAGCTCAAATCTGACCTGTAAGAGGGATACTACATAGCTGTGAGAAATCAGTGAGAGACAGGGCAACTGGAGAATAATTTTCCTTCTCCAGCTTCGTCACAAAAAACCAGAACCTCAGCTCTCCCACCAAACACAAAACTTCCTGGCACAAATAACTCCATATATAATAAGAACAGTTTTTACTTGGGATTATTTTATCCAGGGACAGCAATTTCCTATTCTACTATTTTCAGCAGTGGCTCCTTAGTATTAGAATGACCTCCCCAATGAAACCTGCTTGGCACTTACTTTAATCTCTTTCTGATGCCACGCAAAAACCTTTTTATTTTCCCCCAGGCCTTTGAAATTATGTGATGGGCTATACCAGGAGTTGACAACATGGCACCGTTCCGGTGTTGTGGACTACATCTTCCATCACCCCAGGCTACTGGCCAGGCTGGCTGGCGCTGATGCAAGTTGTAATCCACATAATCTTGAGGGCACCACATTGGCTTGTAATGTTGTTGGTTTAAACCACGTAAGCTGCCCAGAGGACTTCAGTGATGGGACAGCCTATAAATGACATTGTTGTTGTTTAGTTGTTTAGTCGTGTACGACTCTTCGTGACCCCATGGACCAAAGCACGCCAGGCACTTCTGTCTTCCACTGCCTCCCACAGTTTGGTCAAAATAAATGACATAAAACACACAAAATAAATGAAGTTTGTGGGAACCACAAGATGCTTGATGTAATCTGGAAAGCTGTTGCTAAGATTTCCAAGATTTCTGGCAACTATTAAAGAGCATGTTTCTGGCTATCTATAGGGGAATGGAGAATAACTCTCAGGGTAGTACCTTTAAAAACATGAGGTAAAGTTGTCCCGAGGTGAGCACCTCTTGATTCATTAAACTGTCAGGATTTTCCTCCATGCAGCCTTCTTTGGCTAAAGTAAACAGTTTTCGAGTCATGAAGCAAAGCAGGTAGAACTTCTCAGCTTTGTTATTCAGGTGTATGCAGATGCATTGGCTGTGGGAGCAACACAAAGTTTTGGGATAACCATTTCTTTTTTAGCTGAGCATCACTCCAAAACTTAAACATGGCAGTAATTTTAGCCCAATGCTATCTTTGCAACTTGCCTTTGGTACTTTCAACCATACAAATAAATAGCAGCCTAGGATTTCATGGTGGTGGTGACCTTACCTCAGGTTTGGTAAAGGGCCCATTTCACTGGAAGAAAATTAGTCTTCCATTGGGGTGGGAGAGAGATTAGCTTTTTTTTTTGTAATTATTATTCATGCAATGAATTGTAACAAAAAATAAAATTTCACATTGGTTTTCTCTGTGAAACTAAGACTTCCAACCCCCAAGAAACATTCAAGGCTTGCTTGCACGTTACACTGAGTGCAGGTACAAGCTGCTTCTATACACATAGAAGTGTTTGTGTGAAAGAGTGTATGCTCTTTGGGGTTGTACAACTATTGTGTACGCAGACCGCACACCCACTGAACATTAGATTCAAATAACTGCACAAGGCTGCATCCTATTGCACAAGTGGAACAGAACTTCCCCTCCCTCTCATCCTACAAATTTGGGGCTTTTCCCAACCCTCAGGAACAGATCTGGAGGCAGGGCGGGGGCAGCAGAGGGGCGGGGGGCAGTTCCACTACTCTTGCGGAAGTCATTCCACTGACGCAGTGTCTTCTTAGATTCAACCTTTAATATTTCTGAACATGCCTCCAGGTTGGGGACCCCTGCACCAGGGTCTGGTTTGAAACCAGTCAAAGACTGGTTTTGTATTTCAAAAGGAAGATAAAACTTAAGGTAAAGGTAAAGGTAAAGGTACCCCTGACCGTTAGGTCCAGTCACGGACGACTCTGGGGTTGCGGCGCTCATCTCGCTTTACTGGCCGAGGGAGCTGGCGTACAGCTTCCGGGTCATGTGGCCAGCATGACTAAGCCGCTTCTGCCGAACCAGAGCAGCGCACGGAAACGCCATTTACCTTCCCGCCGGAGCGGTACCTATTTATCTACTTGCACTTTGGCGTGCTTTTGAACTGCTAGGTTGGCAGGAGCTGGGACAGAGCAACGGGAGCTCATCCCGTCGTGGGCATTCGAACCGCCGCCCTTCTGATTGGCAAGCCCTAGGCTCTGTGGTTTAGACCACAGCGCCACCCGTGTCTTAAGTTACGTCTGCCTAAAGACATACTTAAGAAGGAACTCTCCAACTTGTTCACTGCTGTGCCAGTCAGGAAGGCTGAATTTCACTCTGAAGCGCTGCCCCAGGAAGATGAGGACTTGTTTCTGCGTCATGCAGCCATCCTCTGCTACCAGCCGCAGCATCTGAGACATACAGTTCTTATAGAAAGTATCCTCTTCTTTTCCTTTAATCAACTCCTGAAAAATCTGGAAATCTGAGAAACTAACTAATGCCTGCAGCAGAGAAAGAAAAGGTTTGAAGAAATTAGTTTGGGAGGTGGGGGGGAGAACATACTAGGCAGGTATCACTAAAAGCATCATGATTTTCAAAGACTGCAATTCTGTATATCGCCTGCTACCATGTATACTAGGAGCAGGCAGCCTTTTTCTTCTTATGTTTTCCCATTTTCCCAACATGTCCCTGGAATGTGGGGACAGGGAGGAATGAGGTGAACCATACTATATATATCTATAGCTATATTCTCTATTTGGTTTAAACAATCCATTGTTTTCCATGTTCATACAGGGCAAAAGGTTTGCCTCCAAGCCGGAATTGGAAGCTCAGATTTTGCTCAGTTTGGACATCACAGCAAAATATTTAGGAAAGAAGGGAGGAGTTTTCAAGTTTAAAGCCCGTTCATGAAAATCATGGCTCGACTGTTACATTTAATCAAACTAGTGACAGGCTTGTAAATAGCCACTTGCCTACCTCAACCTGCCTTGAGTAGAAATGGACTCTAGGCATGCAAGCACAGAATGACTCTGTAAACTGGAAGAGTGTCTTCACTCTCCTTTCAGGCTATGGACATACCACAAATGGCTTACACTAGTGTGTGAAAGCAGGTGGGCTATTAACTCTGAACGGCTTATTTGCAATTGTACATCTCATGGTTCTTGGGAAAGTAGTGTGTAAAATATAACAGGGATCTTACGGACAGAGCACAGCTGCAGTACCTTCAGTACAAATCCGAGTGGGAGAAAGAACAGCTCTTTTTGATGAATGAAGTTCAGCATCACTGTGCCATTTTCAAGGTAGTGAAGGGTCATGTTAACTGCTGTGTGTTCATCTCTAACGCAGTGAATTGAGACACCTAGCGCCATCCAAAGGAAGCAAATCGTAGCATCATTTACTTAAGAGTTATATACCAATTAATAAACAAATAAACCTCTAAGAGTTACTGTGTCATTTTGTCATCTAAAAATACCAGCATGATTACTGTTATAAGCAAAAGAGGAAATAATGCAGTTTACCTAATATTCAACCCTAGCAATCACCACAAACAAGACATTCATTTGCACCTCTGTACTAACGTTATACAGTCAAACTACTAATTCCATCAAGCCTAGTAGAATTCAGCAGTGCTTAGTGCTTTTGGTGGTTAGCTTGTTAATGTTGTTAATACTGTTTTGTGGATTATGAGTGCTGTTAATGCTTTGTGGATTTTATAATACAATTTTTCTTGTGGTCGTGCTGTTTGGCCTATTTTTTAAAGTTGCTTTGTTAATAGTGGTTGTTTTCCTGAAGATCTGGAATACTGTAAATCTGTAAATACTGACAATTTGTTAATTATTTTATATGATTTATGTTGCAATTTATGTTATTATTTATTGTTATGTAAGCCGCTTTGTGACTCATGTTGAGTGAAAAGCAGCATAGAATTATAATAAATGAAAATGAAGTCTAGCATAGCTTATTTTGGTTGGAAGGCTCTCTAAGACAAGAGCAGGGAGTCTGATTTGGCCAGGAGACAGCAGGTGATTGATGGGACATAGCAATCTGCCTTATACTGAGCCAGACCATTGGTCCATCTGGCTCTGTATTGTCTATGCTGACTGACAGTGGATCTCCAGGATTCAGACAGCAAGGCCTACCAGGAGATGCCAGAGACTGAATCTGGGACCTTATGCATGTGAAACAAGAAGCTCTCCTATTCAGCTATGGTCCTTCAAGCTTTGAATTGCAGAGGGTTGGACTGGATGACCCTCAGGGTCCCTTCCAACTCTACAATTCTATGAAATGTCAAGGCACGGCTGCTTGAAGCGCACCCAACTCTTCCCTTACAGCTGTGGCTTCAATTCTTTTCTGACCTTTCTCGACCTGAACTTCCCTGTGCCTGGCGGCATATGGCGTCAGGTGCAGGAAAGGTGGCTGTGATCCACTCTAAACAGTATGGGGGACCCAGGTAAGGAGGGGTCAGACCATGCTCCAAGGTTGCAGGCAGACCTCTTTCCAGTCTGGCTGCCCAAGATGCTGGGTACTGGATTTAGGGGCCCCACATGCTCTGCCACTGTTCTCTGGCACTCCTTACATACTTTACTCCAGCATTTGTGGAAGTGGGCAGAGCAACTTAACAGCATCAGGGGAAGGAGAATCAAAGGTAGATGAATTGCTAAATCCAGAGAACAGCAAGAGCAACAGCACATGCTGTTCATCATGTGATTTAATTTTTTTATTATTTTAAATGCAGGGTTATTTTAAAGTTATTTTACGAAGAACAACATTACCATATTGTGTGTAGCCTGGACCTCTGGATTTCCATTTTGGTTTAATCATTGCAAGGGGAAAGTTGCGCCTTGGCATAATCACCATTCTGATCACCTTTTCTATGCCGTTAACAATGAAATAGCCTCCCATTTCCTGCCAAAAGGTGAAAAAAGGCAATTAACAGAGCTGCAAGATTGAATTGGTAGATCCACTAAGACTTTACGTTAATCAACAAAGGCAGATTTTATTAGGTCTGGAAGCAGAGGGCACACTTACTCATTTTTTAATATCGTTTTCGTTGCAAAGAACGATCAAAATTTTAGTAAGAGGAAATTTAATTTCAACATAATCTAGTTTATTTTCTTTATTCATCAAAGTACAGTGGAACCTCGGGTTGCGGACGTAATCCGTGACAGAGGTATGTACACAATGTTTGCATCCTGAAGCGCCACGTCTGTGCCGGCGCATTTTGGCGCTTCTGCATATGCGGCAAAACCCAGAAGTAACCCGTTCTGGTACTTCCAGGTTTCCCGCAGTCCGCAACCTGAAAACACGTAACCTGAAGCATCCGTAACATAAGGTATGACTGTATTTGTAGACTGCATTTTCCATTCCATTTAGGGAAGTTAGCAACTTTACCTTTAAAATGATTGCATTTTAAAAAGCAAACTACAACTACGTACAAAGCTTAATATTAATAATAGGAGTCCTAGGTCCTCACAGAAGTCAGTGGATCCTTTTCTCCAGAGGGAGAGGAAACAACCTTGGTACAAATCACTTTTGAAATGGACGTGGTGAATCTCACTCCAAGCAATGCAACATTCACTTTCTTTCGCTTCATATATAAAAGGAGGGGTTGTAGCTCAGTGGTTAAAGCATGTGATTTACATGCAGAAGGTCAATCCCTGGCATCTCCAGGTAGGTTTGGGAGAGACTCCCAATCTGAAACCCCATACAGCTGTTGATAGTCAGGGTGGACAATAGGGAGCTGAGTGGACCAATGGTATGACTCGGTATAAGGCGGCTTCCTTCGTAGAAAAGCAAATCAAAAACATCCAGCAATACCTCTTCCTCCTCATGGTGTTTGATGAGCTCTTTGGGAGAGAGACCGTGGAGATTGCAAAGTTTGGACTTCACCATAATCGGAGCATTTCCGAGGGACTGTTTTATAATCCCTTTAGGGATGCCATTCACTGCCCAGCTGATATCAGCCTATATGGGAGGGGAAATAACGATTTGAGAAAAATAGATCTATGTTATCCAAATCACTGAAAATGTAGAAGGCTCTCCTCTCAAAGAAATAGCTACACTGCAAGTATCTTACAAAGGCAACAAATGTGCCTAGAGAAAAACTGCCAGCAGTGTGTGCTTACTTATTAGGTCAAATTTATAACATGTCCTTTCTCCCCAAAGGGAACCCAGGGCAGCTAAGAGCAATAAAACTCCTCTTCATGAAAGCAATTAGAACATCCACAGCAATTAGAGCATCCACAGTAGGAGACAAAAGTGTTCCTGAACTACGTTACAAAGGCCTGGGCAAAAAAAATTCTCAGCATCCCACCTGCATGACCCATTTTCCTTGGTGCAGGGCTGAGTTCCTTAACTGGGACACAACCACTGAGAATGCCCTTTCTTGGGCTCCCATCCTCCTTACTGCTCCAACTGATGGGCAGGACCTCAAGCAGGGCCTCCCCCTCAGATTGCAAATTTCAGGCCAGAAGTTACTGGTAAAGACGTTCCTTCAAGATATTGGGTCCCAAGTAACATAGGGCTTTATGCACTAGTAGAAACCCCTTGAAAAGGGTGTCGATGCTCACAGGCAGCCAATTTTCTTTCTGAAACCCTGGAGAGCAGCTGCCAGCTTGTCTAGACCAGCGGTAGTCAACATGGTCCCTTCCAGACGTTGTTGGACTACAATTCCCACTATCCTTGACCAGCTGGGGCTGATGGAAACCGCAGTCCAACTGCATATGGAGGGCATCACATTGACTATCTCTGGTGTAAACAAGCTAGATGAATCAATAGCCTCCATGGTATAAGGCATCTCCCTACGATGTCTAGTTAGATTCCAAGTGTGAACTCATCAGATTTTCTGAAAGACCAGAGTGTGGTCCAGTACAAATGAAGCACTGCCTGTTTTTCTAATCAAATCAAACTATATTAATGCTTAACTTGTTAGCCTCGCATGCTCTCTTCCCATCTCTCTGCTTGAGACAAACCATGGGTTGGCTTACATGAGCAAACCCACCTATCACCATGCTTGCAAACCGTTCTTAATGGAAGGAAGTGGTAGCTGACAAATTATTAGGAGTTGTAACACCCACAGGCTGTCTTAACAGTTCACCTTATATGCCAGCTGGGAGTTTATAAATCTCCAAAATATTGTAGTGCCAGGTCTCTACACACCTTGGATTTCTAAAGTTCACATGATTCCGCTACACTTCTTTACACATCACTCCTTTACATTTGTTACTTACCGTTATTTTTCCGCGGTAGGTGCTTTTGCGCCCCCTGCATTCTGCTGGGTAAACTTTCAGCTCGTTACATATACTTCCTTTTGGTACCATAGGAGGGTTGATGGTGGCTCCCACAATGGCCAAAGTGATCCGATCATTCTTGAAAAGAAATTCCAAAGGTGGGATGGCCTTTAAAAAGCGAGAGAAAGAGAGAAAGAGAGAGAGAAAAAGAAAACCCACAGGTTATCACAGCTCACCACCAAATCTACTGCTGGTCATAATGACTGTATACTATCTCTCCAGGTTCAGAGGCAGCAAACCTCTAAGAAATAGCTCTTTTCCTTACCTGCTCACTTCTTTGTGACTTTTTAGTTGGTCCCAATAAAGGTCCCAATAAAAAAACTACATGTTTTTTTAAAACCCGCAAATCCCTCCTACCCTTAAAGTATTAATATTATTATTCACATCTATACCGGCTAATGCCAAACTGCAGCTCCCTGCAGACATCTTTACTGTATTTTTCCCCTGTATCTGCTGAAGGTATTCTTACTTGGACGCACCTTAACCAGATGTCTAAAAAGCCTGAATGAGTTTTGATTTGCTTTAGTCTACACTATGCTGGTTTTAACCTTTTTGTATGTTTTAAAACACAGCCGTACTTTTTTTTAAGCAATGGTTTTTCCTTCTTTGCAAACTACTCTGAAGGTTCTTTCCCTTCTACAATCAGGCGGTACATAAAATCTCATGAAATAACCAATCAAATGCCAACTGCCAATTGCCACCTCCTTTCCCCAGTACCATTTATTCTTGGTAAAATACATTTCAGAGGAAATTGCATTACAAATACTAACAGAACCCCATTAATAATAATAATTAAATATCAACTGACTTCCCTCACATCCCTTTTTCCTGTTCTAATAATAATAATAATAATAATGTTTTGTTGTTGTTCTTATTAATTTCATTTCATTTCTGTACCGCTTTATATTTTTAATAAAATAAATCTAAGCTGTGTACAACCTACATTTAAAGCAATCAAATAAAACCATCCAGAATGAAACATCATTTAAGAAAGTCCAATAAAGCTTTATTGTTACAGTATTATTATTACAGTATTATTAAATATCAACTGACTTCCCTCGCATCCCTTTCCTGTTCTACTACTACTAGTAGTACTACTAGTACTACTACTAGTAGTAATAATAGTAATATTATACCCGCTTACTTTCCCTGACTCCCCCCCCCTCCCCGGCTCCCTCCCCTCCTCTGGCCCCTCCGGCTCCACCTGCACGGCCCGCAGCAGCCCTTCTCCCACGGCGTAGTTGAAGGACTCGGTGTGCGCCCGCGCCACGTCCTGCAGGGCCGGCGTCTGGCGCTCCTTGGGCTGCCCGTAGCCCGGCGCCGTGAGGTTCCTGAGGCTGGGGCCGCTGGGCAAAGCCCGCCACTTGCACGCGCTGTCGCCCATGCTTCTCCCTGGGCAGCCGCAGGACACCGCCTCCGCCAGAAAGACACCTCGTGTTCCGTCACTTCCGTCCCCGCTGCTCGCTGGGACTTGTAGTTCTTCCTCCTCCGCCTAGGCGTTCTAGGTAACGGCGGCACTGAAAGGGAAGGCATACAACTCCCAGACCGCATTGCGCCCACTTTTCCTCCGGGCAGTTTTTAATCCACAGAGATAGAAATAATGTAGAGCTATACTACACCACGAACCCTTTTCTGGCAACGTGATCTGTTTTAGTCCATGTTTTACACGCCTAGGGGTGTCTCAGTTGCCATAGCCAATTTCTAGAGCGGCTCTAGGGAGGAGCACGGCCCAGCGGCGGGTTTAAATTGTCACCATAGATTCAACGCAGCGTGTCACCTCTGTAATTTACTACTGCCGCATTCATTCCCAATCTCACCAACTGGCTCCCCCTCCTTCCATCTCTCTTTCTCCTGAGCGCCTGCGCACTTACTTGTGCGTGCAGCTTGTGAGCGCCGCCTAAAGGTTGGGAGAGGGTAGCTCATTGGAGTGGAGGTTTTGCTGCTCTGATGGCTCTCCTTTTCCATCCATGGGCGGGACATCCGGGCCGCCGCTAGCGTTAGCCAGGGCGAGGCAGCTGTTTTAAGGGTGCAGTGTCAGATTTGTCATTTATCTCGGCTGCAGTTTGTACTCCCAGCGAGAGATGGTGGTGGGATTTTCTGCCTCGGGTGTCAAAATAATCTGGCCCATTTTGGATAATCTGTGCGCCTTGATTTCCTGTTTTTGCATCAGGCAGCAGAAAATAATAATAATAATAATAATAATAATAATAATAATAATAATTTGTACCCCGCCCACTCTGGGCAGCTTCCAACAAAGATTAAAAATACATTGAAATGTCACACATTAAAGAATGTTTTGGGTCAGTCCCGCATGTTGTCTTTACCTTTACCTTTACCTTTTACTTCTGCTGCTGGAGGCAATCGATGGAATTCAACTAACTTTCACTCAGACACATTGAAATGAATGAACCTGACTAAGTTACGTCCATTGATTTCAGTGGGTCTGTCCTGGGTAAAACTTAGTTGGAAAGTCACCCATAATGCCTCTGAATGTCAGCTGCTGGGAATTCACATGTGGGCTTCCCATAGGTATCTGGTTAGTGTTATTTTGAGGTTACAGTTTAAATACAGTTATCTTCTGGTAACCACCAAGGTCTAGCAGTGGAGAGAGAGCAGGAGCAGTCTGCCTGTGGCTTGCCTCGCCAGAGTGGTGCATGCTCTAGCTATCTCTTGCTTGGAACCCTCCCACCAGATGTCAAAGAGAACAACAACTACCAGACTTTTAGAAGACATCTGAAGGCAGCCCTGTTTAGGGAAGCTTTTAATGTTTGATGTATTACAGTATTTTAATATATTTTTTAAATTATTTTTTAAATCATTATTATAATAGGAGACAGGGCCGGCCCACCCATGAGGCCAGGTGAGACAGCTGCCTTGGGCGGCAGGAGCCACAAGGACAGCAGATCCAGCCTCCAAGGATCGTATCCCCTCTTGTGGTGGCAGCTGCAGCGTGCTCCTTGGAAGTCAGATCTGCCTCCTCTGCAGCCCCCCGCAGGTGTACCAGCACTATGGTGGCTGGCCTGGAGTGTCACCAGTCTCAGAACGCCTGTGCTCCAATACGATGGGTTATGGGGAGAGGTGGCAAGATGGTGCATAGGGCCAGTGCGCTTGTGCATGGCAGTGGTGGGGGCTGCAGGGGAAATGCCATTGACACCGAAAGGCAGCACTTTCCGTTTTGCCTCAGGCTGCAAAAGCTCCTGGGCCGCCCTTTGAGGGAGTGTTTTAGGGGGATACTTATAAAAAAATGTGAGAAGTTGCTGGACTCCAACTCCCATCATCCCTGGCCATAGGCTATGCTGGCAGGGCTGATGGGAGTTGGAGTCTAGCAGCATTTTGAGGGCCACAATGGTAGTAGTAGTAAAGGGTAAAGGGACCCCGACCATTAGGTCCAGTCGTGGCCGACTCGGGGGTTGCGGCGTTCATCTCGCTTTATTGGCCAAGGGAGCCGGCGTACAGCTTCCGGGTCATGTGGCCAGCATGACTAAGCCGCTTCTGGCGAACCAGAGCAGTGCACAGAAACACCGTTTACCTTCCCGCCAGAGCGGTACCTATTTATCTACTTGCACTTCGACGTGCTTTCGAACTGCTAGGTTGGCAGGAGCAGGGACCGAGCAACGGGAGCTCACCCTGTCGTGGGGATTCGAACTGCCAACCTTCTGATCGGCAAGTCCTAGGCTTTGTGGTTTAACCCACAGTGCTAGTAATTTATTTATACCCTGCTCATCTGGCTGTGTTTTCCCAGCCACTCTGTGTGGCTTCCAACAAAATAGGTTCTTCATCCCTTTCCTAAATGCTTACTGTAATTCCCTGCGGATGCATAATTCTCTCACGTATTTAACCAGGGAAATGCTTCAAAGGAGATGCAGGTTTATGGCTAAAGACAGCAGAGGAGGGTAAGGATCCTGCCTTAGCCTCTCTGTTACGTTAAGAATATGCCCCTTGCTGACCGAGGGACTTCAAAAAATTCTTGAAAGACAAGCTGTTTACCTCCTTGTTTGTATATCCCTGTGCTCCCACACATTTTAATCCTGCTTTTTCAAGAGAAAGAGACGAACGCACAAGTAAAATTAGGTTTTATATTTTTAATTCGCTTATATTTTTAATTTGCTCGGGAGAGGTTTGGATACGAATGTCAGCAAACCATGCACTGCTTACAGTCACATATTTCATCAGACACAAAGATCCACACGCTACAATATTCTGAAGATGAAAGATCCATATGATGTAACTTCAGACAGTGTGTATATGACATGGTTTCAGAATCTTTTTTTATTTTTAAACAGACAATGCTCAGAGAATGAGACATGCATTGACCATTCATACACATTCAGTATTGAGGACTCTCAAATACCGTGCAAAATGCAAGGCTCCCCACACGAATGAAACTGGTTTTGGGGTCAGGAACATCATTAATGAGTTTGTAATAACTTGCATGCCAACCACCTAAATTGTAGTAGGAGCACATTTTAGAGTTTTTAGCACAGAAGGGGTAGTTTTATATAGGATATTTTCCCTATGAGCTAAAACACGAATCCACTTGGAAAAGAAAATCCTGATGGGAAGAAGGTGGGTATGTCTCCTTTCCCTGTTTCTCATCAGATCCTGTATATAAAGGAATGCTGTTTGCTAAAAGGGTTGCCACCCATTTTGTAAAAGAGGCCCTGCCGTTCCTTCAACAGTTTCACAACGGGCAGAAATTCAATAGGAGCAGCCTAGAGTAGGGTAAAGCTACACCGATTGAATTTCTGCTCAGCTACTGAAGGCACAGAGTCACTGTCAGGAGTGGACAAGCCACTGGTTAAAAAGCCGTCTTTCTCAGACAGCTTTTCCAGTTTCCTGCTGTGGCCATTTTACTCCTTTTCGTTTTCCAAAAAGTGCTTTTGAGATTTAGCCAGAGCCTAAAATACCGTATTTTATACCCCATAGGATGCACCGCCCAATAGGACGCACCTAGGTTTTTTTTTGGGGGGGGGAATAAAGAAAAAAAATTATTTCCCCCCCCAGGCACGGGGCTGGCGCGGGGGAAGCCCGAGCTTCCCCCGACCCCAGCCCCCAGAACAGCCTGCTATCCGCAAGCCTAGGGAGCCGCGCCGGTCTCCCCAGGCTTGCAGAGAGCTGCGCGAAGCCCGGGCGCGCTCTTCAGCATGCCCGAGGCTTCGGAATGCAGGCAGCTCTGCGCAACCTTTGGGAGCCCGGCGCGGCTTGGCGCCAGGCTCCGGAGGGTTGCGCAGTTTCCTGAAGCCTGGAGAGCGAGAGGGGTCGGTGCGCACCAACCCCTCTCTCGCTCTCCAGGCTTCAGCGAAAGCCTGTATTCACTCCATAGGACGCACACACATTTCCCCTTCATTTTTGGAGGGGGAAAAGTGCGTCCTATAGGGCGAAAAATACGGTACCTTGTAAGGAGAGTGATAGAGGGCAAATGTCAGTCACCAGTGGAAACCATCTGAGAAGGAAACCCCTGAGTAACAGTTCGATTCTATGCGTGTTTTATTTCAGTAGCAAGTCTCACTGTATTCAATGGGGCTTGCTCCCCAAGTAAACATGTTTAGGAGGATAGCCTAAATGTTTTTATTTTCTTACCTATTGTTTCTGGCAATTGTTTCTAAAAGTGCTTACATTTAAAAAGAGCTTCTACTTCAACACCGCCATCTTCTAAGTCTTAAATTACTGTTTGCCACAGAAATTGAGTTTTCTAACTCCTCAACAGTAAAGTACACATTCTGCTGGCGATGGACCACTTGAGCAAATCCTTTAAAAAACTCAACAGAGTAGGCCTCATCCAGAAATTAAAGCAAAAGAGGGCAATCCTATATGTGTCTACTCAGAAGTAAGTCCCAGAGTTGAATAAGGCTTATCCCCAGGTAAGTGGATACAGGATTGCAGACTGAGCTGCAATCCTGTATCCAATGCAAAATTCTGTACAATCCTGTATCCAATGCAAGACAAATCGCACCAGGATAAATTACACTAAATACTGTATTGAATTGACAGATTACGCCACTGACTACTTTAAAATGAAAAGATGCCAATCTATTCGCATTGGGCTTTTTCACGGAACGGTTGGGCTTTTTATTTATGTATTTAAAACTGGACAACATGTCTCTCTCAAAACAGGGCACAATGTACCCATTTTTCATTTTTGCGAAAGTGATGCTTCAGATCGTTCGTCCATTCACTCAAGTCACAATCACGTCCTGTATTTAAGTCTGTCTTGTCACTATCTACTGTACGTTTCAGTCATTTTATGGAACAAATGTACATGATATTTGCACTAAGAACGTGGGTATTTACACCTTAGTACTTGAATTTCCATTCTCTTATTGCTTCGAAGGTTTGGCTGAGCAGTAAAACCGTTTCCGAAATCCTACTGGAAAAAAGATCTGCAAGTCATTGGATTTTGACAACACAACAAGGTTTCTAGTATGCATGATTCCACCACAATACAAAGGACACACAAATCAGTTACAGCGTAGAAAAGATATCCCCGAATATCAAAAGAGGCCATACACATAATTGTCTTACATTGGAACACAGCCCTTTTTTTAAAGAGAGATCTTTTTTAAAGAAAAGCAAAAAAACTTATGTGCTATATTTGTGTTCCTAAACAAGGCTTTCCCACAAAACATTACAAAGCCAAAAAGGAATTTTCATAGCGATGGGCAGAAATTCTAAGTCCACAAGTAGACACTTTTAAGTGCTGTCCTGTTATTCTGCATTTGTTAAACTCGTAAGAGTCATGCTGTGCACCACATTTTGCTTGCTGCGTTTTGTCATACAAAGTCTGCCTGCAAAGGTAGTTTCAGGAAACTCTCCAAAATCTGGTAAAGTGCCCACCATCCAAATCTCTTATCCAGTTTTTACTTTCTAAAATTAGAGAACTATATCCCATGGTCATGTAAATGCACTTATAACTATAGGTCACCTACTCAAGTCATATCAGCAATGAATTATGAATGTACTGGATGTTCAAAAATTGTTTAAATAACCGAATTTGCATTATACATTCTTCTACTTGCAAAAAAGGGATTAAATGCAAATAATCCAAGGAAATTTTAACTGTTCCATCAACAGTTCACATCTTTTCTCCTCAGCTATCAAATTACGTATCGCAATGATTTTTTACTGTGGGGGAAGATCCAGTTAGTTAATGGAACAACAAACGCAGTTTTAGCAATTAGATGGTGGGGACAAATGATGATGAATGGAGGAAAAATGCAAAAAGAATGTTTAAATGAAGACATCAACAATAAAGTCTCAATAGACAGAAAAATAAAGCAGAAGTTATGGGCTTAGAGCCTAAGATAAATTAAGGAAGACTGTGAAATGAAAGTTTCCTGTCTCCTCCCCCCTTTAGAACTATCTTGAAATGTTCAGGAGAATCTCTGAAACAACCTGGGCTCCTGGAGGAAAGGGAGAATTGTCTGAATTTGGGTCGACCCCAACCTAAGTTTGGGCAATCCCCTGTCCCCCATCAGCCCCCTTTCCCAATTCCATGAGGCCTTTCAGAAGGCTGCAGGAGAGAGGAGACAACAATGTATACTTTCCTTCCATGTACTTCTTAGTTTATCATGCCATGATCCTAAAACCATTCAATATTTATGCACCCCTCACTATTAAAACCTGAGTGGCTGAATGTCTAATCTGAGATCTGAAAAATTCCCAGTGCCTTACAGCAGTAGTTTCTTGAGCAATGTTTTGGGCAATACTAGGTTTGTTGAGGTCCTCCTTCCTCCATGAGGTGATCAGTCATGGTGGACAAGCTTCTGCAAAAGGAAGTTTGCATGCCACTCTTCACTATACAAAGGAGAGCACTGGATGAGTGTCAAGGTGTGCTCTCTGCTCTTGCAGACTCAGAATGTGTGGGCCTAGCATCCTACATGAATTGACTCTGCAACCCAAAAGGAATCCTCTGAAGCAAACAGAGAGCCCATAGCAGCTTCTGTTAAGGAGAAGCTCCATAACTCAGTGCTAGAATACATGCCCGAGACTGTGGAAAGGCACTGTCAACCAGAATACACAATACCAAGTGGGACAAATGTTCTCAGGGCTCAGTCTGCCCTCAAGCTCAGAGGAAGACAAGGATGAAAAGGAAGCGCCTTTAGGGAACTTATCATCCCTCCACTTCCAGACCTTCTAGGCCAGAAGATGTTGCTTTGATAGACTAATCAGACTCTGAAGACACAACCCCACACAATTCTCAGTGCCCCCTCCTTCCATAAACAAAATCAGAAAATAACCCTTCAAGTGGAGGCAATGTGCAGTCAATCGAAGGACCAGACCACCCAGCCTTTGTGAAGCCTTCACATCTTCTCCTCTAGCCAATACTTTCTGAAGTGGGTTGTGGCATGTTCTGCCGTGGTGGATGTGAATCTGTTTTGACCCTGTTCTGCCAGTAAAAGCCTCTTCCATATTAGGGAAGGAGAAGACACTTTCCACCATCTTTGCCTGGGGAGCCATTTTCCATTCAGAGGTGAGGCCATATTACCATAGGAACAATGGCCTCACATTGATAGGGAGCAGTGGTCTAAAATGGCATGCAGTCCAATCCAAAATCCAGCAAGAGTTGCCAACCGAATAGCAGGCAGTGGGGGACTGTCTCGGTCTGGCCTCTTGTAGGAAGCTGAGTTGCAAAGGCAGCATGTTTACAATGCAGCAGTAAGCGTCATCAAGATGCTGTTAAACCCCAAGAACAAGGGCTAGTTAAAAGTTGACCCCTCCTAAGCCAGAGCAATTGCATTTAGTTCCAAAGGGGACACACTACATTAAGTATGTCGGAAGCACCTTTTTGCCACTGAAGAACTTACAAATTTGTCACCCGAACATTTGAATGACTTGTCAGGCAACTTAATCCGGTTTGATAAAATGTCGAAGTCATGCTTCTGTAGCCAAGTCTGCAAGGGCAACAAGAGTCATAGATGCAGAGCAGTTAATGTTTGCTTTAAGTGTGCAATCACAGCCGAACCCCAAAGCTGAGAAATCTCAAGCACAAGTCTGAGTACAAGACCTAATAGTTTATAGCTCACCACGCTTTGCTCAGACGTTTTTGCAAAGCTTTCTTGAATATTGAAGCTGAAGCTTTGATCCTAAGCTCTCAAACGTGAAGCAAGTTCCATTGAAACTAGCAGAATTTATTTCTAAGTAAATATGTATAGGACCAGGTAGTATGTATTCAAGCAGCATCTAATCTCATATTATGCATTCTGAGGATACCACAAGTGTAGCAGATGATACACGAGATCTAATTTAGCCTATCTCTTGGGTTCCTAAGAGACCATAGCGACTACCTTAAAAACAAAGTTCTAGCATCTTTTTTTCCTATTGCACTCAGCCTTATTTACATGTAAGTATGTTTATGGTTGAATCCAGAACTTCCAAATGCCAGCTTCTTTATATAATAAACTGAATCTTAAAATAATTTATTTTATGGGATGGTCTTGTGGATGCAATGTTGTTGCTAGTTCTAACTATACAGAACTGTTTCAGAGAAATAATGGCAGAGAGCAATTATTTTGTGGTTGTGAACGGGCTTGCTCACTCCATCCCACCTAGTTCACAGTAGACTTAATTTGCCGTAAGGTCCAAATTGGGCAAAAACTGCTTTATCGCAAACCATAGCATGCCTCCTAACCATGGTTTGTTTCAATACTGATTGAGACTCAAACCAGTGGTTGTGGCGACCATAGTTTGCTCACTGGGCAATCATGGAGAATTATAGCTACTGCAAACCAAAATGGTGGCATGGAATATGAGGGAAAGGAGGAAGCATAAGAACTTCCAAGTCGGTTCACAACCACCAAACCGTGGTTTGGCTGTGACGTCTGAATCAAGCCACAACATCTGTCAAACAGGAAAGGGATCAGTGGCCTGTATTTTGGAACCTCAAAAGCGTCAGAATAAGATGAAAAGATATGCAAAAGGATGGGTTTTTTAATGCAACAGAAGAAGATGGCAATGTTCCCTTCCAGTGATCTCCCCTCGTTAAGAAATGTGAATAAAACGAACCAAAAGAGTAAAAGTCAAAGGGGGAAAACAGTTAAAACACAAAAGGTGGCGAAAAGGGTTCTGCAGCCAATGACACACAGAGCTTTGGAGTCTAAATGATGTGAACGTTTTTTGGGGAAAAGGTCCTAATGCTAGGACACACGTGCTATGGTTTCAGTGCCATTTTTTAAAAAAGCAATACCAGATCCTGAGGAATAACAGATGGAAGCTACATTAAGGATGGCCTACAAAACCTCTGGCCAACCAAGCTAAATGCTGCCCATTATCAACTATGCACGGCAACGTCTCGGAGGCATACAGCCCAACGCTTTGCATGTTCACACAGAAATCAGTCTCAATGAGCTTTACAGGTAAGTGAACATAAGACTGCAGTCTTAATAAACCTTTCATTTCAAAGCTGCCTGCCTGAGTCTGCAAGAGATTGCCAAGGGTCTGCCAAGCCACAGGAACAAGGTTGGTTGCCTTGACTTGTTTAAGTCACGACTTGTGCCGGCCTGTATTAGAGCAGGGATGACGGAACCTTCAGGTGATGTTGGACTCCAACTCCCATCCGCACCAATCAGAATGGCCAACAGCTAAGGATGATGGGAATTGTAGTCCATCTGGACGGCCAAACAATGGCCACTCCTGCATTATTGGGGTGGGAGTCAAAAGGGAGATAGCAGTCCTTCAGGTTAGTTTTCTGCACGTTGTAATGTTCAATAATAAAAAAACACCACAGGTTTTTTTAAAACTCAACACACACACACACATATATATAACAGTTTTTAAAGGAGCAGTTTATACCCCACAGCTTTAAAAAAAAGAAAAGCTACAGAACAAAGTAAGAATAAAATAAGTTACTTATTGGGAACAAAGCTAAGGCACTAGAACTGCAGCCGGTGAAGGAAAGAAAACAAAACAGAACAAAACAATACCCACATAACAGTATGTCAAGTTGACAAAACCTCCAAGCCATGGAATCCCTGGAAGAATGCTTTGCTAAAATAATTTATTACATTGGAGGGGTGCGAAAAACAAAACGTCCCTGTTTTTGCTCACATTAAAGCAGAACTGTTGCGCTGTTCTCCTACAGAATTTCCTTCCATTGCAATAATCCTTTCAAAAGCAAAGGTGTTCCAAAACACACACACACACAGCGTTGATGAGACAGCTTTGGTTCATTTTGGACTTTTCTTGGAAACTTGGCTTCCCTTCTAAATTTCTGAGACATCGCTCTGTATCCTTTCTGCCTGGTGAGCAGGTGAAATGATCGATCCAAGCTTCCTGTTTTCCCCCCAAAATCCGTAGGCTGCAGTTCTCCCATGTGTTTTGGGTGGACGGTGTTTTTTTAAAAAATGTGATCATCATCACAACTTAATAAATATTGGTTCCTGGCTCTGCTTCTGTGGAGTGTCACTAAGAGGAAAGACACTAGAGATGGCTACATCCACTATACCTTGGCATAGCTCTGCGTAAAGTTTCCTAAAAAATAAAAAATGAGAAGAGACAAGTTTGAATTAGAAAAGTTGATTGAGCAGAGTGTATGTACACGTACCTAGGACATACGCTCCCCTGAACAAAATGGGACATACTCCTGAGTAAGCATACACAGAATAGCACCGTAAAGCAGTGACATTCTTCAGAACATCTTATTTCGTATCATTTCCTCTCTCGGCAAAGGACTACTGAAGCCCCTTTTATCTAGACCCACCCCCTTTTTAAAAAACCACTCTAAAACTGAAATTAAATTATTATAGCGCAATGTTCTGTCATCAGTGTGGCTAACAAAAGCAGACACGGGGGCCGGGGGATTAGAAAGAATACTGTGTAGAAGAATGGCAGATGAAGATGATGGACTTTCTGGAGCTGGCTGACCTGACTGGAAGAATCCGCAACCAGAAAGAAGAGGAGACACAAGAGGACTGGAAGAATTTTAAAGAATATTTGGCTAAATATTGTAACATAATATAAAGAGAAATTTCTTGGAAGTAATAATTAGGCTTAGGGGTAGAATAAGAATATGTTGTTAATAAATATTAAGGATTAGAATATTAATAAAGGAGAAGAAGTTAGTAAATGAAAGAAGTTAATATTATTAGAAATATGAATTTGGAGAACTGCTAAACAGAGAACTGTTAAACAGTAATGAAATTCAGTTAGAAGGGATGCGAGGAAGTCAGTTATCAATGTAATGAAATTAGGATTTGGAAGTAAAAATTCATTTTTTTGTGTGTTTTTCTTTGTTTTTGTGTTTTGTAATGTTTTTCTTGTTTCTTTTTTATGTCATAAATGTGAAAACCAATAATTTTTTTTTGGAAAAAGAAAGAAAGAATATTGTGGGTTTGAGGGGCCAGTTTGCATTGTATTGTTGAAATGTCATGTCATGACTAATAATATTTATTTATAACTCGTCTCAACCTAAACCAAGGCTCAAAACAAATCCTCAGCACTACTGCCGGAAGACAAACAGTCTTTCTCCTTTGATATTATGGAGCTGGGAGAAACAGGAATCTGAATCCTAGCTAAGATCCCTCACGAATACAGGCTGCTGCTACCCTAATAAGGATATTAAACACACAGCAGGCCATGGGTCTAGGAATGCAGGAAGACACCTGTTTTTTTTAACCGCTAGCCCAGTCATTTGTCATTTTTCACGCATGCACTAATAGTATCTGGCGTTGCTAGCAAAGAAACAGTACAAAGAAACAGCGGCATAAAACTTTCCATGCACCAGCTGATATCTTTGGCAATTTAATTTCGAAATATTAAGATTTAGGGCTGCTGGGGTTCATTGCCTCTGTGGCCTCCACCTTCCCTCCCCTATTGTAGCAGAGCAGGACAGACATGAAGTACAGACGCTTATGGTTCCTGGAAGCCACACGTATATGTGCAGTGTGGATGGCACTGTTGAGAGAGGCTGGGAAGTGGCTCTCTCGGCAGATCCCGTCTACCTCACCTGCCTTCCCTGGGCAGCAATGCACCCTTGCGTATGTGTGCAAAATCTAACCAAGTTTCAATGTGCTTGGAGCGATCTCCATTGTGCTAACAACTCTGCCACGACTTGTAAGGTAATAAAAGCATTCTGGGAAATGATATATAATGAATTGAAAAAAATGTTTAAATTAACTTTTATTTAAAAAGAAACAAAAAACCAGAGGGTTTTCTTTTTGGAATTGTAGGTTCCAAGGGAGCATAAAAGACTTTTTATGTATGCGATGACAGCAGTACGGATGCTACTAGTCCAGAGATGGAAAGAAGAGAAGTCCCTACCAGAGAGGAATGGCAAATTAAACTGTTGGACTATGCCAAAACGGCAAAATTGACCGGAAAGCTCAGGAACCAAGACGACAAAAAACTTTAACAAATAATGGGGAAAATTTATAATTTATCTTGGAGACCACTGTAAGCAGATGAAAACACTAGCAGGATTGCAATAACACTTGTAATGTAGCAAGTACTATGGAGATAATGGAGTTATATAAAAGATGGACTATTGAAAAAGATGCAGCAGGAATGGTTTGATAATGGGACCCATGGAGGAGAAGGTGGGAAGTCCAGAGATTCGGAGGAATCTGTTGATGTGTGTGGTTGTACTGTTATAATTTTATATTTGTAAATCCAAATAAAAATTATTTTAAAAAAAAGTAAGTAAAAAAACCCAAAACCACAGACTCTCTCTTCCAAACCTCCAGCACCTACATCAGCTTTACAGGGGGAGAGAGAAATGCTCGTGTGTCCACGATCGCCATCTCCCCACAAAAAAAGCAAAACAGCAAGGGTCTGGAATTTACAGGGTATTCTATACTGCGACACAGCTCACCCACATGCGGGAAAAGCATGCCAGCATGTGACAAGAACTTACTGGGCACACGCAGGGGCACCATTCACTTCGATCAGCCAGACCTTCAAGTCTTCATCCACCATGAAATCGAAGCCAAAGAGCTGGAAACTCTGGTAATGAAGGTGTTTGGTGCTGATAGCGGGTTCTATACACATAAGGCAGCTTCTGCGGGGGGAAAAGGACAGAGCACGCCTGATATCAGCCTAAAGCATTATCATCATCATCATCATTATTAAAATTTATTTATTTGCTTTTTCAGATTAAAGTTTTACAGTCACATATCCAACATTCAAAGGGATGCGGCTGGCGCTGTGGGTTAAACCACAGAGCCTAGGACTTGCCGATCAGAAGGTCGGTGGTTCGAATCCCCACAATGGGGTGAGCTCCCGTTGCTCGGTCCCTGCTCCTGCCAACCTAGCAGTTCGAAAGCACGTCAAAGTGCAAGTAGATAAATAGGTACCGCTCCGGCGGTAAGGTAAACGGCATTTCTGTGCACTTCTCTGGTTCGCCAGAAGCAGCTTCATCATGCTGGCCACATGACCTGGAAGCTGTACGCCGGTTCCCTCGGCCAATAAAGCGAGATGAGCGCCTCAACCCCAGAGTCAGTCATGATTGGACCTAATGGCCAGGGGTCCCTTTACCTTTTTATCCAAATCTGCTGGACTTCCCTGCTCCCCTGTGTGGGTCCTATTGTTAATCATTTCCTCCTGCATCTTTTATATTAATCCAAATATTTTACCTCTCCATTGTGTCCAAAATTCACCATTAAACGACAAGTGTTATTCCAACCCTACTAACAATTTTAACCGTTTACAATGGTTTTTAAGATAAATTATAAATTTCCCCCATTCCTTATTAAAAAATTTGGTCTTCCTGATTTCTGATTCTTCCGGTCATTTCACCGTAATCCACCAACTTGATCTGCTATTCTTCTCTGGTAGGGACTTGATCTTCTTTCCATCTCTGGGCAAATAACATCTGCACAGCCATGGTCACATATATAAATAGTATTTTCTGCTCCCCTGGAATTTCGGCACCCCAGCCCAAAGCATTATGTTAGGTTGTTATGCATGTAATAGTTATGTTAAGCTGAGGTAGGAAGCAACTGCCTCTCTGACTGGGTGCCAGGAAGAAGTACTGTATTAAGGTGACACTCAGAATACATCTAAGTTAGTCATATCCATTCATTTCAATGGGCTTATTCCGCCATTGGGTATTCATGACTAGGACAGCAAATAAAAGCATTGATTTGCTTTTATTCTGGCCTGGATGGCAGAATACACTCACTCTTCACAGTGGCCCATCATTAAAAGTTTAATTTGCTACACTAGGGTCAGGGAACTTACTATTATTATTATTATTATTATTATTATTAAACATATCACACACACCAATTACAGAACAGCAAAACTGAAAATAAAACAACAGTCCAAACACACTGACAAATCTTTGTCAAACTGTACATGCTAAAACCATGTCAAACTGTACATGCTAAAACCATCCCAATTTTAACAAACACCAAATACAGTGGGACCTCGGGTTACATACGCTTCAGGTTACAAACTTCGCTAACCCAGAAATAGTACCCCGGGTTAAGAACTTTGCTTCAGGATGAGAACAGAAATTGTGTTCTGGCAGTGCAGCAGCAGCAGGAGGCCCCATTAGCTAATGTGGTGCTTCAGGTTAAGAACAGTTTCAGGTTAAGAACACACCTCCGGAACAAATTAAGTACTTAACCCAAGGTACCACTGTAATGCATAGTAACATCCGCTGCTGGGACTGTCGACCATAAAGACATATATTGTACCGGCAGCAATTATGGTCTACAGGAGTTTTTATAAAAGGAGGGGGAAGTAATATTAATTAAAATATGTGCTTTATATGTGCTTTGTAAATGCCAAACTGTGCTGAAGACCATAGGTGCTTTTATTATTTCATTATTATTTATTAAATTTCTATACCGCCCTTCACCCAAGAACCGTTTTTGGGTAGATTCCTTTACAGGATCAGCCTCACGGGCTGAGTTTGACTCAATCAGATGATCTCCTTGGGCCATCACAAAATTGGCAGGCAGGTTGTCCCATTGGTCTGATCTAGCAAACCCTTCTTAAGTTCTTCTGTTCTTCTAGGGACTAACAGTAACATTAAAGTACAGTCGTACCTTGGAAGTTGAATGGAATCTGTTCCAGAAGTCCGTTCGACTTCCGGAATGTTCAAAAACCAAATTGCTGCTTCTGATTGGCTGCAGCCTGCAGCCAATCAGAAGCCGCGTAAGCCCCGTCAGACGTTCAAGTTCCAAAAGAATGTTCACAAACCGGAACAATCACTTCTGGGTTTGTGGCATTCAGGAGCCAAAATGTCTGAGTTCCCGGGTGTTTGGGATCTAAGGTACGACTGTACAACAAATTAACACAATACCGTAATTCTAAAAGCATCCATGAAAAAACCCCCAATCAATCATAAATTGATTAATAATGGTAACCTTTGTCTTGGAAGAATCTTCAAGGAACAATTGTTAACAAATGTAAAACACATTACCTTATTATATTTTTGACTTGCAATAAGATTGTGTTTTCCAGAGTAATGTTCAAAGCGCTCATCAGATACTGATTAAACTCCTCAAAAAACATCTCATTCCCTTCTTCATATCTCCCATAGTTCTTTGAATATTCCTTCTGTATGCAGTGATTGGTCAAATGGCAGGTTTTGTCTAGGAAATTAGCACTATTGTAAGGTTCGGAAGAGGTCCGTAGAACGCCTTCTCTGTAGAGGTAGATATTATACTGGTGATCCACTAGCACCCAGCTTCTAGAAGTTGGAAAAAATACAGAGGCGGTGTTTTTAAAACCATTAAGAAAATTTTCAGTTCAGAAGAATCAGATTTAATGACCAGCCTTTCACACCAAACCTTCACTTCAGTGGGTTGTTGAGCTGAAATATCAATATGAAAAGACCTTACCTAATATCAAATTTGCGATGACCTGGTTCTAAAAGCATAGGCTTCTCAAGGTATTTCTGAATCACATGCACTTGTCCTTGATTATCTATGAAGTCCAGAAGTTCCGTAGCCTCCGAAGAAATAAGAATTCCTTCACCTAACCAGGAGGAAAAGACGAAAGCGAAGAAGTTGGACAGGAAGTACAAGCCTCCACCTCAACAAAGAAGTGATAAGATAAAAAGAACAATGACTTTCCATCCCCTCCACCCTTTTCCATTGTGTGCCATCCCTTTTAGATTGTAAGCCTGTGGGAAAGAGTAATATTACTGCTCATCTTTGCAAGCCGTTCTGGGAGCCATTTTGGCTAAAAAGCAGGGTAGAAACATACTTTTTAATACATCTTATACATGTATAAGACTGAATAAGATAAGTATTGGAGGTGCAATGAGATTGAGGGTATGTTCTTTCATATGTGGTAGACCTGTAAAAGGGTAAGAGGGTATTGGGAAATGATTTATAATGAATTGGGGGGGAAATGTTTAAAAGTACTTTTCAAAAAAAACCAGTGTCCCTTTTGTTGGGGATAATTCTGATGGAAATTCCCAGGTGTCAAAAAAAGGCTATTTATGTATGCCACTACTGCGGCCCGTGTTTCATTAGCCTCAAAATGGAAAAAGAGCGAGGTCCCAACCAAAGAAGAATGGCAGCTTAAAGTGGTGGAATATGTGCAGTTTGCAGGCCTAACGTATAGAATAAGAGAACAAGAAGACTGGAAAATGTTTATTGAATATATGGGGGGAGACTGTGTACACTTGAAAACGTTGGCAGCATTAAGATAAATTCAACAGTGTAAATAAGTTTTGATAGAAGTAATAATGGAATACTGAATGGTTTAGTTTATGTAAAATATGCAGGGATTTATGATATGCAAATTGAACCATGGAAAAGGGGAAGTCAATGACATTTTAGGGTTGTTTAATGAATATTTTAAATTGTAAAATAGAAAACTTAATAAAAATTATACACACACACACAAAAGAGACATACTTTTTTTAAAAAAAGCATACAATATTATTACGTCTTTGCTGTAAGATACTGAGACCGTGAGTGGGTCTGTGGCTCTTTTGATTTGCGCCTCAGCCTCTTAGCTGTCACACTGCTCTAGCATCTATTGGATAAATATCTCAATAATTTGAGACTCTCTTTGCTAACCTTTGGCCCCCGCCGAAGATTTGGCTATCCACACACTTCCCTCTCCGCTTTCTTTCCTCTTCTGATAGGATGCCAGGAAAACTTCCCTTTCATCCGTTCTTGGGTTGTTTATCAAATGATGGGTCCCATTCTGTGCTGGAGCCACTGGAGTCTTGAGATTAGTTGGGTAAATCACATACGACTCCGGGAACCATGTGCAAGATTCTGCTAATTCAGGACTTGTCTTGATTAGTCTAAAGAAAGAGACAAGGATTTAATTTGAGTTGGGTTTTTCCCCTCCATAGGGCACGCTGGAGTTGAAAGACCTTTCAAATCATCACGACCACCACCATTTAGTTCCTTTACGAACCCTTTCCTACGAACCAGTTCAAAACAGTTTCACACTACAACTGCATATATAAACACAATTCAAAAGCATGGCATATTAAAAAACCATTTATATAGACACATAAACATTTATATCTGTCAGGGAACTGCCATTGGCTCAGAGGCGAGAGATAGAAGGGCAGTTGCGTTACAGGGAGCCTCCGAAAATCTTGCGAAGCAGTTCCTCTTCCGGTGAGGAGGAAAGCCCCACCTCTAGTGGAGCAGAGGTGCAAGGACCAGAGGATGCTAGTAAAAGCCGTAACACCACTCCTGAGCAAGCCGGAGAGGAGGGAAGCACGCTCTTGCCATCGCCCATCCTGCGCAGTAGTCTGAGCCGCAGGGAGGGGCGGAAACGGCTGGGGGAAACGAAACTTTTACGTTGGGGGAGGTACAAAAACAGACCACTCCCGGATTCTGGTAGCGATTGAGCCAGACATGAACTTATGACGCTCTTCACTGTAAATAGCTTGCACCAAAATAAAGCCTGTAAAAGACAGGTCGGAGTCTGGCCTGGTTACTCTCGAGCAACCACAACAGCCATCTGACAATATCCAATGCAGATACTGAATGGGGGTGGGGGAGAGATCTCCACTTAGAAGGCTTCCTGAAAGGGGCAAGTTGTTATCTTCAATATCTCTCTGCTGTAAAATTTGGAGGTACTCCGTAGCCTCTTCTTCTCCTAAAGATATCCCTATATGGGCTACCTTTCCAGGCTGAAGAGTCCCATGTGCCTTTCACTTACTTCTACAGCACATGCAGAAACCGCCTTCTTGATCCTTGGACTCACTATTGGTCTCGTTCGCTCAATCAACCAGAGCCTGTCTTCGCATGCAGGGGAAGCCCCTAACTCACTGAGGGTTTGAGACCCATCGGCTCCCCTCACCTGGTTTGGCTGGCCTGTTGAAGCCATTTCCCAGGATGTGGCCACTGTCACATGTTGACAGCTTCTGATTTCATTTAATATTCTAATTTTCTGAGATTGTTAATTTGGAGTTTTCATCAGCTGTACATCATAATCATCACAATCATCACAAATAAAGGCTTGACATATCTCACTTTGCATGTTGTGAGTCTATCTCATATATTAGTTTCACCTTTTAAGTTGAATTACTGAAATAAACGAACTTTTCCACAATATTCTAATTTTCCGAGTTTCACCTGTAGGAGCCACAGGTGAGAACTGAGCGCAGGTAATTTTCACGGTTTTCCGAACCCTGGCAGGGTAATTGCTGAGCATCTTTACTGAGGTGGTTCGGGTCGGAATCTAGCAGGATTAAGATCAGTTTTGGTCCTAGAGTTAAACTGAGATGCAGTTGTAGAAGAAGATACTCTAGTTAATTCCAGCTTGATTTCTAGCACTAAAGGGCAAGAGGAATATAATTTTGCAAAAGGTCAATCAAGAGATGTATCTTGAAAAGGACACACAACTATGGCAGAATCGCCCAGTAATTTATTTCGCCTTCACAAGAAAAGGTCAGGGTTTTTAAGGAAGGCTCATTTGAAATTAACGAGTCACTCAGCCTCAAGGCTTATCTCCATATGCAAATAAAGGCAGCATGAAAAGGCCTACATTATGCCACTATATAAAGGAAAAGGACCCTTGGGCGGTTAAGTCCAGTGAAAGGCGACTATGGGGTTGCAGCGCTCATCTCGCTTTTCAGGCCAAGGAAGCCGGCGTTTGTCCACAGACAGCTTTCTGGGTCATGTGGCCAGCAGGACTAAACTGCTTCTGGCACAACGGGACACCGTGACGGAAACCAGAGCGCATGGAAACGCCGTTCACCTTCCCGCCACAGCGGTACTTATTTATCTACTTGCATTGGCGTGCTTTCGAGCTGCTAGGCTGGCAGGAGCTGGGACAGAGCAACGGGAGCTCACCCTGTTGCGCAGATTTGAACTGCCGACCTTCTGATCGACAAGCCCAAGAGGCTCAGTGGTTTAGACCACATCAAAACGAGCCCTCAAGCATCTTTTGCCCAGAATCAGAGTGGCGTGTCAGGCGGCTTCACAGAAATCACGCTAGGTCTGAAAGCGGATCGCCAAAGGAAGACTTCCAGTCATAGTACCATTTATTATTTCAAAGAACGCTTTGTGTTTCATATTCTTACAAGTTGAAAGGAACAAATTGCGGGGTCTGCTGCAGGGGAAAAGGTGCGATTTGTTGCTATTAAGAGGAAACAGCAAAAAGGGAGAGGGGTGAGCTTGAGTTCACGGAGGCTTGCAAAGTAATAAATTTGTTGAGGGCAGCTCTCATGTCCCATAAGCACAAGGATTTTCTTGCACAAAGGGACTTTCCTCCCTTCCCCGAATCTGCTCCATGGGATTTGGGGAAAACGCAGAACAGAACAGACTTAGGGCGTGCGTAGGTGGAGGAAGTCCCACTACACAAGACAAAAGCCTTGCACTGACTGTACAATTACGGGGTGCAAGCTATAGTCTTTAAGGTGCCACAAATCTCTTTGTTGTTTATACTACATTTTGCATATCTATCAAGAGATGTATCTCGAAAAGGACATACAACTATGGCAGAATGGCCCAGTACAGTGGTACCTCGGGTTACATACGCTTCAGGTTACATACGCTTCAGGTTACAGACTCCGCTAACCCAGAAATATTACCTCGGGTTAAGAACTTTGCTTCAGGATAAGAACAGAAATCGTGCTCTGGCGGCGCGGCAGCAGCAGGAGGCCCCATTAGCTAAAAGTGGTGCTTTAGGTAAAGAACAGTTTCAGGTTAAGAACGGACCTCTGGAACAAATTAAGTTCTTAACCCAAGGTACCACTGTAATTTATTTCACCTTCACAAGAAAAGGTATGGGTTTTTAAGGAAGGTTCATAACATACAGTAAGGAACAATGATTATAAACATAGTTTTTAGAATACAAATGTCAAGGGTGTAAATATCCTAGGGGTAAGATTCATGTCTGTAGCAGCCCTGTGCAAGGACTCCTGCTTGCACAATGGGAGTTTCTCCAACCTCTCCTCCCCTCGCGTGCCCGCCCCCCCAGTATCCTGCATCTAACTGCCCTCTCCCATGTAACTTAAGAAAAAAATGACAAAAATGTGCTACACAGGATCCCTTATAACCCATAGTTACAAGAAAGAAAATAAAGAGCCAAACCTACTTCACTAAAGAAGCTTTGCGGCAAAGCTTATCAGCTCCTCTATAATAGTTCACCAGCTGCACAAGTCCAGGTTCGTGACCTACAAAAGAGAAAGAGAGAGGTTTTTTATATCTTAACCTTTTCTTTTTTGAATTTGGAAGTGTACATGTGTGCGCACGAAAAAGTTTTTTTTAAAAAGAGATAAACATTTATCCAGGCAAATGAACTCCAGTTTTTTTTAGGTGGAAACCCAGTTCGGTGGAATGGGAAAGTGAAATTTAAAATCCCAGCCATTTTCCTTGTGCCCAAGCCTCAAGGAAATACAGTGGTACCTTGGTACTCAAACGGCTTGGCTCCTGAACAAATCAGCTCCCGAATGCCAGAAACCTGGAAATGAGTGATCCGGTTTGCGAACGTTTTTCAGAAGCCGAACGTCCGACGCGGCTTCCACTTGAGTGCAGGAAGCTCCTGCAGCCAATCGGAAGCTGCGCCTTGGTTTTCGAAGGGTTGCGGGAGTCGAATGGACTCCTGGAACGGATTAAGTTTGACAACCAAGGTAGCACGGTAACATCTTTTCTTTTGTACTTAAACACACATTGCTGAAAGGCAGGCTGATGACTCTTCCTGATTTCATTTGGGGGAGCGAACAGGATGTTTTGGACTTCAAATCCCTGACCACTGCTCATGCTGGCTGGGCCAGATGGGAGCTGTAGTCCAACAAGACATCTGGAAGGCAGGATTTTGGCTTCTCCTAGGCTAGCAAGTGGCATTCTAAACCCAAGCTGCATGACCATCCCTGAGTTAATAACCGCAGTTAGCACCAAATCAGAAGTGACACCTTACTGAAGTGGTATAAGCAGTCATTGTGGGAAGAACAGAAAACTCCCTCACCCCATCATTGTGCGGCTTAGAAGATAGGGTTCTTATCTCTTTACAAATCCACGAAGACTGAAGTCTCAGGTACACATGCAGAAGGTGGAGGTGATTATATAACATATATAAATGGCCTCGGCCCAGTATACCTGAAGGAGCGTCTCCACCCCCATCGTTCAACCCGGACACTGAAGTCCAGCACCGAGGGCCTTCTGGTGGTTCCCTCATTGCGAGAAGCCAAGTTACAGGGAACCAGACAGAGGGCCTTCTCGGTAGTGGCGCCCTCCCTGTGGAATGCCCTGCCACCAGATGTCAACGAGAACAACAACTACCAGACTTTTAGAAGACATCTGAAGGCAGCCCTGTTTAGGGAAGCTTTTAATGTTTGATGTATCACAGTATTTTAATATTTTTTTGGAAGCCGCCCAGAGTGGCTGGGGAAGCCCAGCCAGATGGATGGGCTATAAATAATAAATTATTATTATTATTATTATTATTATTATTATTATTATTTCTAACTGCAAGTGGGTCTCAATAAATACACTCCAGTTAAAATTTTGAATGTTTCTCTATGTAAAAAAAAAAAAAAGGAACCCACAAAATTCCTGCAAGTAGAAAAGTAGCTCAGAAGGGATCAGACTGGCCTAGAACCTCTCCCTGCAATATGCTAGATTTATACTTGCAGGGAATATTTTACACAGGGAGCATTCACAAGTGTGATTCACCCACCCCCATCCCCATCCAGCTTTCAGTGTGAAGCAGTAGTTCAGAAGTGGGGAAACAAAAAGGTCAAGGGGTTGGAAGAAAGGTTATGACATTTAGAGCTTTTTAGTTTTGAAAAAGGTGCAAGGGAGGGGATAGAGGTCTATACAATTTGGCATGGCGTAGATAAAGCGGACAGGGAGAACTTATCTACCCAGTCAGATCTGAAGGTAGGCAAACAATAAGTCAGGTGAGCCAGGCATAGGCAATTGCCCTAAATTTGTGTTAATATTGCCACAGTGTATTGAAACAAGCCAGCTTGATAAACCAAGGTTTGAAGTTGCCTAATTTGAGTAAAGCTTCTGGGTTCAGACTTGATACTAAACTGTGGTTAGTTAAAAACAGAGCTGGAGGAGGAAACGGGGAGCGTATGGGGGCAAGGCTTAACCCTGGCTCATTCGCATAACAATATAAGGTCAAAGTGCAGCCAGTGTACGAGCTAGGAATAATGAAGGTCAATACATAGATACGGACAGACAAGAAGAGATGCATTAATGTGTGCCATGCTCACGTTTACGAAGAAGCCAATTTGGGCATTTGCAAGAAGAGATTTGGGCATCCTTACATCTGATAATACAAAGGCTGCAATTTCCCAGACAGACTGCTTAAATCCCATTGCCTTCTGTGAGACGTAAGCAGCTTAAGTCGTTTCCAAACCTACACAGCAAGGGTCAGCCGACGTCAGGCTTACGGGATCTACTTTCTTTTATACTAGAGCCTCAAGATTCGCCAAGCAGACCCTGGTGCAAAAGATATTCAGAATTAAAGAATTCAGAGCTCAGGAATCTGTTCTGAGTTTCAGAACTGAACACAGGCCAATCCTTTCACATAAAAATCCACTCCCATGCTTTCTTCTGTTCAGCAGTTCAATTGAGGGTAGCTGGGCAGTAGTTTCTGCTGGTATTGTTAAAAATTTGGAAGGCAGGATTTCCCCGTCTACTACAAATCACCCAGCGATCTACCTTTTGCCTAGAGATGAAAGAGAACTTAGATTCAGTTCACACTGGAAGGCAAACCTACATAATTTGCACTTTCCAAAGCAATTTGAGAACTGAAATACAGCCAATCCCTGAAATTCACTCTTCAATGAATTTTGCTATGAAGTTCACCAGCTGAGCAATGAATGCAGAAACAAACACGAGCGCTCCAATTGGAGAACAGCCTTTACAGAAGGCATTATGAAGAAGCATGAACTCAGGGTGAAAGGGAGGAATGAGCTAAGAGGAAGGCACGTTTGGCAAATCCTCACCATGATAAACTCCCACCTAGAAACCTATGTCCCCACTGTGGATGTGTGGATTCAGAATTGGCCTCTACGGTCACTTACAGACTCACTGTTAAGACCACATTCATGGAAGACAATCTTACTCGGCTACGAGTGACCGCCGAAGAAGATGACAACAGAAACAAACATACTATGGCAAAGTGTGCATAATAATTCTTTCTCCATATATAATGCATTTTGTATGTTATTTCCACTAACATACAAAATGCATTCTGTTAGGTAAAACTGCTTTGTAGAAATGTCTATCTTGGGCATAACTGAATCATTAAATGTGTATATTAAGAGAAATTAGCAGATGATTAAAAAAACACCACAAGCTGATGAATTTTTATGGGAACGTTAAATGAAGATTCACAGAGCGATGTGGAAATGGAATAAGAATAATTTAATAGTTTAAATAATTCTCTGTATGGTGTGTAGTGAGCAGACTTAGGTTACCGTGACTTAGGCTCCATCTGCACTAGACATTTAAAGCAGAACCACTCCACTTTAAAGAGTCATGGCTTCGCCCAAAGATTCCTGGGAGCGCTTACAGGTCCCCTCACAGAGCTACAACTCTCAGAATTCCCTGGGAAGGGGGAATGATTGTTAGACCACTCTGGTAATTGTAGCTCTTTGAGGAGAGTATGAGCCCCCCCCCAACTCTCAGCACCCTTAGCAAACTACTCTTCCCCAGGTTCTTTGCAGGACTTCATGCCTGCTTCAAGTAATAATAATAATAAATAATAATTTTTATTTATACCCTGCCCTCCCCAGCCAGAGCTGGGCTCAGGGTGGCTAACACCAAGAAAATCACAGTAAAAACATAATAAGGGGAAAAGAGAGGGGGAGAAACCCAATTTAAAATACAGGTTAAAATGCAATTTAAAATGCAGCCGCATTTTAAAGTAGCTGATAAATCAAGACCATAAGGGGAGGGAAACGTAAGGGTCAGACTGAGTCCAAACCAAAGGCCAGGTGGAATAGCTCTGTCTTGCAGGCCCTGTGGAAAGATGTCAAGTTCCGCAGGGCCCTGGTCTCTTGTGACAGAGAGTTCCACCAAGTCGGGGCCAGTACAGTGGCACCTTGGGTTAAGTACTTAATTCGTTCCGGAGGTCTGTTCTTAACCCGAAACTGTTCTTAACCTGAAGTACCACTTTAGCTAATGGGGCCTCCTGCTGCCGCCAGAGCACAATTTCTGTTCTCATCCTAAAGCAAAGTTCTTAACCTGAGGTACTATTTCTGGGTTAGGGGAGTCTAACCTGAAGTGTCTGTAACCTGAAGCGTATGTAACCCAAGGTACCACTGTACTGAAAAGGCCCTGGCCCTAGCTGAGACCAATCTAACCACCTTGCGACCTGGGACCTCCAAAATGTTGTCATTTGTGGACCTTAAGGTCCTCCACGGGGCATACCAGGAGAGGCGGTTCTGTAGGTACGAGGGTCCTAGGCTGCATAGGGCTTTAAAGGTCAAAACCAGTACCTTAAACCTGACCCTGTACTCCACCGGGAGCCAGTGCAGTTGGCCGTTGAATGTGATCCCGCGGCAAGGACCCCGTAAGGAGCCTCGCCGCGGCATTCTGCACCCGCTGGAGTTTCTGGGTCAGCCTCAAGGGCAAGTAGTACAGTAGTGCTTTAAATGTACGGTGCAAATGGGGCCTTATAGGATGGGAGGAGCCGTAACTCAGCAGTGGTAGAGTACATGCTCTGCCTGCAGAAACAAGTCCCAAATTTAATCCCAGGCATCTCGAAACAAACAGAAGAAGAATTGGGTAGCAGGTGATATGGAAGACCTTTCTTCGCTCCAGCTCCCTGGAGAACTGCTGCTAGAATAACATTACTGAGCTAGACGGACAAATAGGCTGACTCTGTGTGCATCCATTATACAAATGCGCATTTGAAACATCTAGCAATGCAACAGGATCACATCTGAGAATAATTAAAAAGAAAAAAGTGGTGTTTTTTTTTAAAGGTGGAAGAAACACAGAAAGTAGTGAGAGTTGGTGTGAACTGTCCCGAAGTGTAAAACTGCATGAATGTAGCTTTTCAACTGACCTCGGGCGAACTTTCACCGGGCTTCTCATGTATAATGCATGATGCTAGTATCATAATAGCTTCTCGATGGATGAATTGGTCAAGGCTCTTGTGCGATATATTTGCAGGGCCCCACTGCACAGTACATTGGGCATTAGAACCGGGCTTAGCCACGCCAAGGTTTGATGACGTTTGTTGAAATTTAAGAACCTACAGTGGTACCTCAGGTTACATACGCTTCAGGTTACATATGCTTCAGGTTACAGACTCCACTAACCCAGAAATAGTGCTTCAGGTTAAGAACTTTGCTTCAGGACGTGAACAGAACTTGTGCTCCGGCGGCGCGGCGGCAGCAGGAGGCCCCATTAGCTAAAGTGGTGCTTCAGGTTAAGAACAGTTTCAGGTTAAGTACAGACCTCCGGAACGAATTAAGTCCTTAACCCAAGGTACCACTGCATAAGAACAATCCCAAGTGGGGAATGCTTGCGAAAGTGAGGCAGGCCTAGGAAAATATTCCGAAAACGCTAGCCTCCCTCATCAAATGTATTCACGTTGAGAATTGTGTCAAAGACCATTGACAAAGGAGATTCAACAGAGCTCTTGGCTTTCCTCCCCACAGATGGTGGTGGAGGGCGATCAAAAAGCTCTTTTTTATGGCAACAATGGGGGCATTGACAGAGCTGAAGTACTGGTGCTTAAAACAAGGAAGAAAATAAAAAATACGCAACTGAGCCCACACAGTAGTTATCCAAGTGCTTTTAATTGCCGAAGGAGAGGCGGATCTTAACAAGGGTTTCTGTGAAATCTGCCTTTGGGTTTAGCTCTGCACGAGGCCGGATGTCAAGAAGGGTTATTAAACTGTTAGGGTAGAACTAAACTTGGACAATCACGAAGGAGCAAAAACGGAAGATGGCGCAGCAAGTGAGGAGAGTAACGAAATCCGGAGGCAAATCTGCAGAGTTGCAAGGGAATCATCTCAGGCTAGATAAGAAGGAGAATCTTGGATCTCTAAAGGGACACGAAGTTCAATTTAAGATGCTGTTTAACATCTACATGAAACCTGTTGTCCCAGAAATGGAAGCAAGAAAAAATACCGATGAAAGAAGAACGGCAGACGACATTAATGGACTACGCAGAATTGGATAAAATGACAGGAAGGATTCGAAACCTGCGGGACCAGAGATTTACAGAAGATTGGAAGAAATATACGAACTATTTGAAGAGCAATTGTAATCAACAAATTACGCTAGTAGGACTACAAGAAGTTTTGTAAGGAGAAATATATGAAATATTGCAAAGAAGAGAAAGAAGAGAGACATTAGTTATAATATTTAAATGTAATCGTGAAAGTAAGAAATGTAAATTAGGTGAGAAGATTGGAAAAATTTCAGATGTGATGGATGGAAGTCAAAAAAAGTGTATAAGATATAAAAGTATGTTTAATAATTGTTGAAAATGTTATGTTAAAAAACTAATAAAAAAAAATATAAAATATAACATCTACATGAGTACGTTGCCAGCAATAGGCTGATGACACACAGCTCTATTTCTCCTTTACATCTGCAGGTGAGGCAGTGGAAGTGCTGGACCAGTGTCTTGCCTTGATAATGGACTGGATGTGAGGCATGGGTAGCTCAGTTGGGTAGAGCATGGTGCTGGTAACGCCAAGGTCACAGGTTCGATCCCTGTATGGGATAGCTGCATGTTCCTGCATCGCAGGGGACTGGATGAGATGATCCATTGCAGGGGTAGGCAACCTAAGGCCCAGGGGCCAGATGTAGCCCAATCGCCTTCTCAATCCGACCCGTGGATGGTCCGGGAATCAGTGTTTTTTTACATGAGTAGAATGTGTGCTTTTATTTAAAATGCATCTCTGAGCTATTTGTGGGGCATAGGAATTCGTTCATTTCCCCCAAAAAATATAGTCCAGCCCCCCACAAGGTCTGAGGGAAATTGGACCGGATCCCTGCTGAAAAAGTTTGCTGACCCCTGATACACAGGTTCCCTTGCAACTCTACAATCTATGATTCTATGATTTAACAAACTGAAGCTCCATCCAAATAAGATTGAGGCACTGCTAGTGGAAAGTAGTTACTGCTAGTGGGGGTACTTATTGTAAATTGCCCTGTGATCTTCGGATAAAGAGCAGTATAGAAATAATAATAATAATAATAATAATAATAATAATAATAATAGATCCATTACCATCACTTGAGCTCAAGGTGGCCTCAGTGATACAGAGTACCTTCCATCAGCTTTGGCTGGTGGCTAAGCTGTGCCCATATCTAGACAGGGATAGCCTCACTTCTGTTGCCTATGCTCTGCTAACCTCTAGGTTAAGATTACTGCAATGCATTATTCGTGGGGCTGCCCCTGAAGACAGCTTGGTGCAGAATTCAGCAGCCAAGTTGCTCACCAGGACAAGACGGTTTGAGCATACAGTCATACCTTGGGTTACAGACACTTCGGGTTGTGCGATTTCAGGTTGCTCACCACGCCAAACCCAGAAGTACTGGAACGGGTTACTTCCGGGTTTCGGCGCTTGCACATGCACTGAAGCGCTAAATCACGCTTTGCACATGCGCAGAAGCACTGAATCGCAACCCGCGCGTGCGCAGATGCGGCTCTGCGGGTTGCGAACGTGCTTCCCACACGGATCACGTTTGCAACCCAAGTGTCCACTGTATTAGATCAATTCTGGCCAGACTGCACTGGCTGCCGATTAGTTTCCGGGCCCAATTCAAAGTGCTGTTTTTAACCTATAAAGCCTTAAGTGGCTCAGGACCTCAATACCTCAAGGACCACCTCTCCCCATAGGAATTGACCCGGACCCTGAGATCATCCTTTGAGGCTCCTAGGTGACCACACAAGAACGCTTCTGATATATATCTTTAGGTGCCAGGCAATAACATTCATCGTCTCCCAAGCGCTTTGGCTAATTAAACAATCAATGGCCTTTTAAACTGTGTGCAGGGGTTATTGTTTTTGTTTGCTACTATGGTATATATTTTTGTGTTTTTATTTTCCAAACCACCCTGTGATGCTTGGATGAAGGGCGGTATATAAATTTAATAATAGAATAATAAGAATACTACATCTGTCCACATCTGTTGGAGAAGCATATGGTACTCTATTTTTCTGACTGTCTGGATATCTCTGGTTGTTTCCCTATCCCAGGATAGCATGTTGTGTTTCAGCCTCTGATATCGGGTAAAGCAGTCCTAAGTGGGGATGGATATCCCTTAACCACATTAATAATTCATTCTCTCTCTCTAATCTCTCTCTCTCTAATTACATCCAAGTTGAACTTCGTGTTCCATAGAGATTTATAGATTCCGCTCCTCATCTAAGCCCAAGATTCCCTTGAAATTATGCAGAACTTCCATCCGGATTTGATTACTCTTTCTTCACTTGCTGTGTCACCTGCCTTTCTTCCTCCTACACGATTTGTCGAAGATTAGTTTCATTCATATGGCTTAATCACGCATCCTGACATCTGGCCTTGCACAGAGCTGAATTTAAAGACAGATTTTTCAAGGCAACCCTTGTTATAATCTGGGGCTGATGGGAATTGGAGTCTGACAACATCTGTAAGGCGGTGCACTCTATACCCTCAGGCTCAAGGAATGAATCTGAGCATGTCTAAAAACAAAAACAACCACTCTGATACATGCAGCTAAGATCAAAATATAAAATGGGGGGAGGGGGGGATAGCAATTTTAATATTATTATGTCAATCAATCATACATCCCTGTTGGAGATGCTTTATAGACCATGCTGGTGCAAATTTCAAACAGAAGGGGTTCAGCAAAGGAAAGGAAAGTGATTAAACCATTTTTTTAAATAGTATTGTTTACTGCTGAAAATATGAGTAAAAGGAATGTACTAACATATGAAATGAAGACCCTTGATCATCTTGCTTGACCTCCTCTGGACGGACTCCAGCTTGTCAATATCCTTCTTAAATTGTGGCATATTCATGCAATCACTTAATGCATTGTTTAAATATAAAGGTAACAAGGTAAAGGTAAAGGACTCCTATGGGGGGTGGCGCTGTGGGTTAAACCACAGAGCCTAGGACTTGCCGATCAAAAGGTCGGCGGTTCGAATCCCTGCGACAGGGTGAGCTCCTGTTGCTCGGTCCCAGCTCCTGCCAACCTAGCAGTTTGAAAGCACATCAAAGTGCAAGTAGATAAATAGGTACCGCTCCGGCGGGAAGGTAAACAGCATTTCCGTGCACTGCTTTGGTTTCACCAGAAGTGGCTTAGTCATGCTTGCCACATGACCCGGAAGCTGTACGCCGGCTCCCTCGGCCAGTAAAGCGAGATGAGCGCTGCAACCCCCGAGTCGGCCACGACTGGACCTAATGGTCAGGGGTCCCTTTACCTTCTAAAGGACTCCTGGACGGTTCAATCCAGTCAAAGGCGACTATGGGGTTGCAGCGCTCATCTCACTTTCAGGCCGAGGGAGCCGGCGTTTGTCCACAGAAAGATTTCTGGCTCATGTGGCCAGCAGGACTAAACCGCTTCTGGTGCACGGAGGACTGTGACAAGTGCCAGAGCGCATGGAAACGCCATTTACCTTCCCGCCTCAACGATACCCATTTATGTACTTGCACTGGGATGCTTTCGAACTGCTAGGCTGGCAGGAGCTAGAACAGAGCAACGGGAGCTCACCCTGTCACGGGGATTCGAACTGCCAGCCTTCTGATCATCAAGCCCAAGAGGCTCAGTGGTTTAGACCACAGCGCCACCCCTTAAATATAAATAGCTCTCAAGTTCATAGGTCGCTTTCTGCCATATGGCCTTCAGAGCAGCTGAGAATCGTAACAACCTGAATTGCATGTACTGTTAGCACACTTTTAACGCTGCAGTGGCAAAGGCACATGCGCAGGGACACCTACAACTCATTAAGATAAATCCAACAAAAACACCCAGAGCATTTAGGGAAAGCGCACTCCATTAATGTGGCCTGGAGACAAACTAATAACGATGAGGTTGGCACAAGGCTGGTGTTAAGCAATCCCTGTAGCTTCCTCTAGTCAAAAGCTATGCTACCACATTCTGTTCCAGCAGCAGCTTCCAAGCTGTCTTCAAGAGCAGCTCCATGTTAAGCGCCTTTCAGGAGTCAGGTTTTTTGCTCTGCCTGCAAACTCGAACTTGAAAATATAGCTATACTGTACTTTCTTCATTCTTTTAACCCAGTCTTCTATACTGCTGAAGCACACAACTTGCTTCTTTTAAAAACAAAACACAGCTAGCAAGAATAGCCTGACCATGCTTCACCCTTTATTTACACAAGGGCACAATGTAGCCCCGTTGGAACAGGATTTGGGCTGGGAAAAGTCCCAGGGCTACAAGGCGGATCTTTCATTTGTTTATAATTGTGGTATCCAGAACTTTACAGAGTGCATCAGCTGAGAACCCATCGGAGCCAAGAAAATCAGCATTGGTTCCTGCAATCTGGACATGAAGCTTTCTGCTAATGCAGTCCATTAGCATTTTATGCAACCATCCTTAATTGCTGACTCATGTTCCATTATCAATCAGTCCTAACTTCCTTTGTCTGAATTGTTGCTCACCAGTCCTGCTGCCTGGCCAGCTATTCTGACTTTGCATTTTGTTTGCAATCATTCCATCAGTAACACTAGCACAAAAGCAGTTGTAGTTTGGTTGGACAGTGTTCTCGAAGCTACAAACATGAGTGTGACCAAACTGTGGGAGGCAGTGGAAGACAGGAGGGCCTGGCTTGCTCTGGTCCATGGGGTCACGAAGAGTCGGACACGACTAAACAACAACAGTTTTGCAGAGGTGTCCAATCCACAAACAGGATAAGACACACTTCTTTCCTTCCAGTTAGAAGGCCACATGAGGTGAGTTATGAGAATATCCTCCGTTAGCTGTCCCGAGCTCTGAAACTGTCCTTAATGCAGACCAAGATGGAGGTACCGTGTCTGTGTACATGTGATCAATCTAGATGGAGAGGTACAACCTATCTTGGATGGGGAACTCCTTGAGTTGGTCCTCGTTCTTGGGTTCTCCTCGAGTTGGTGCAGCTGCTGGTATGTCCCCTATCTAGAGCAGCTGAACCTGGCTATTCTTACTCATGCATCAGTTAAAACAATTACTGAGATTCATGATCCACACAGGAGATGAAATGGCAAAGCAGGGAGCTCATAACCTTGGAGAAGGACTTCTGTATGTTGGGAGCAGAGCAACTGCAGAGCCTATCCTACTGTCACACTCCCCTCAAGGCTAGTTTCCATGACGTTTACATTTCCGTAGGATTAGTCTGCAGTTGGAACATATGGATTTGTTTGGTTTGCTTAAATAATGATCCTGTTCATGTACCCATGAATGTACCCAATCCTATATGCACTTACTTGGGAATAATCCCATTGACTAGACATACATAGGACTGTTTATTATTATGACTGCCCATTTATCTCAGAAAGAAGCACACGGCTCAGTGTGTGATCTTCTACCTTGTAGGGTGGCAGAAGGCTGGGACTCTTCTTTCCTAGTTTGATTTTCTGAAAAACTTGAGATTAACGGAATCGTAAGAGGCGAAAGAATCCACCAAGTTCACAAATCCAACTATCTAGTGCCAGCAACCCAACATCCCTAAAGGGGAACCATCCAGCCTCTGCTTAAAACCTTCTGATGAGAGCAAAGCCATCCACCTTGTTCCAGTGTGCAGCATCAAGAGGTTCTTCCTAATACTTAGCTGAAATCCCCTTTTTGCAAGGATATTGCAGAGTTGGAAAAGGTTCAGGAAAGGGCCAGCAAAATGATCAAGGGGATGGAGAGACTCCTCCGTTCGGGAAGGTTGCAGCGTTTGGGACTTTTTAGTTCGGAGAAAAGAAAGACGTGATAAGATAGAAGCTTATAAAATTCTGCATGGCATGGAGAAAGTGGACAGAGAATTTTTTTTCTCCCTCTCTCGTACCACTAGGACTTTGTAGGCATCCAATAAAGCTGAATGAATGTTGGAAGATTTAGGGAAGTACCTTTTTGTGCAGTGAATAGTCAAATTATGGAACTTGTTCCTGACTCAGCCTTTTTAGCTACTGACTCATGCTTAGCTTCAGGCCTACTAGAATCCTTGATGCACTTTCCAATGCTGTTATGAGCAAGCCATTTCTGCAATTCTTCCCAAGTACAATGCACTCTATGGTTTTGTTTTGTTTTTAATTCCAGGACTTATTCCATCCTCCCAAAGCTCATCCTGCCCCAAAGTCAACCAATGGAGCTTGTCCTTCGCCATGTGCCTTCCAGGTATTTTGGACTACAGTTCTCTCTGGGGTTGTCGCCACTATTCCTACATCCCCCTAATGCTCTCTCTCCTCCCAGGAATCCATCTCTCGAAGAAGCCACCTGTTCCAAAAGCACATTATTCTCTCTTGGCTGAACAGGCTCAAATGTCTTGTCTGCCTGACTCACAAGAGTCCGCAAATGGCATTTTAAAAATAACCCCACTGAAGAAAATAAAGACTATTACACAAAATTAAGAGGCAGCACAGAAATTTGCAGTGTCATTCGTTTTTGTTCACATAAATTATTGTTATTATTAGAATTTATATACCACCCTATACCCAGAGGTCTGTGGATCAGCTTTCGATGTGGATCAGCTTTAAAGTTAGTCAACCAGTAACTATGAACAACTCAAATAGTGGAGGTTAATGAACTAAACTCTTTTTGCCAAGTGTTTGGGTCTTTGTATTAAAGATATAACAACTGTTTAAGATTCATCCGTCTTTTGCGCACAGCTTAATTACTATTTCCAACTTAGGAAAAATCCTTCCCATGTCACTTCAATAAAGGACACTCTTGTTACTTTTATCATCAACAATGACACACACACAACAACACTTTTGCTGAACACTTGGGAGATCCAGCAGTCTTTTTAAAAAAATGGTCAAGGTACAACAAAGCCTGCCAAAGGGCAGTTTGCTGGTGATCTGTGGTTGCTTCTAACCACAGTCTAATATGAAAAGGCAAAAATGACATTTCGGTACCTAATAAGGGACTGGCTGCCATATACGGTAAGTTTGCTCTCCAGTGGTTCCTTTAGAAGTGGGGCAGAAATCTAAGTATTCCTATAGAAATGTGATTTTCAGAAATATGTTGTGATTGAGACCCAACCAAATGCATCATTATCCTTACCAAGAGGAGCACCCCAGTCCAAATTAGTTTCACAACTGCCGCAATCCTTTGGTTCATTAAAAAACACTGATAACAAATATATCAGGAGGTGAAGGTACTGTACAAGGGATGCCAATTTTATGACGTTGTGCCAGTACAGTATCTTTCTGTCCTCCAACCCCCCCCCCCCACGAAAAAGCAAATCCCCAAGCGGACTTGCCAAACAGTCAAGTCACCCGCTGGTTGCAGTAGCCAACACCCAAATCTAGTTATATGCGCCACGAGCCAGACAGACCCTCTCCTTCACTCTCCTTCACGCCCCTCCTCTTGTGCACCCAAACTTAAGCAGTTGCATACATAAGAAGCAGGTCTAGGGGGAGGAAACCCGGCGCCGTATCGCTTCCAACGCAGCCGGCTGCCTCCCCCGCGCGCCCATTCATACAACCAAGCGCAGCTTTAGGAGTGTTGCGCGGAAACCTGATGCTCGAGAGCGCAAAAAAACCCAGCCAGCTCGTTTGCCCGGATAACTGTCAGCCCCATAGCTCGCTTACCCAGTCTCCCAAATGGCAGCCTGTTCCTCTCCCCCAGCATGAGGTTAAACCTGGGGTTGTCCCTTTTCAGCCTCTTCCATTGTCCGGTGGAAAGCAGGATTTTGGAGACTTCCGCGTAGACGCTGCTGTTCTCATCCCGTGCCACAAACGTGTACATCTTTATATATGTGTATATTTAAAAATGAACCATAAATAAATAAATAGAGGCGCAAAATGCGCTGCCACTCCCCCGCCCCACCTGGCCGGATCAAAGCGCAAGCCCTGGACCCATGGATTAAAAAGGCGTGGGGGCCCCGCCGTCTCTTAGCCCCCCCAAAATAAAAACCATCCAAACCGGCATTGCAAGAGACGTATCCACCCTGCCGGGCTCAAAAACGAGTTAGGGGCGGCGGCGGCGAAACCGAGAGGACGCAGCGAAGGAGGCTTGCCGCCGGGTCTGACTCCGGTTCCGCGGCACCGGGGAGGGTGGCGGGGGGTGGGATCCAGGCGCGCGCCTTCCTTGGATCAGAGCCCGGGCACCTTCCCTTCGAGCGCTGGACTCCCGAGCATTTCCCGGCACCCCTTCCTACATGCTCGCGAGGAAGGCGCCGAAGGCAGCAGCAGGAGCCGGATCAAAAAGCGGCGGCCAAGCGGCCCCCGCGTCCCTCCAGCGATCCCCGGAGGGCCATGGTCACCCCTGCGGAGGAGGCGCTCTCACAAGCCCGAACTTTCACTGCCGCTTGCAGAGAGGCGCACGCCTATCTCTGGAGGAGGAGGAAACGCCTTCTGGGAAGACCGAGGCAGCCTCTCCCCCTCCGGCAGCGTCGGCAGCGGCTCCTCTTCCATCTTGGCTCCACCCCGCCGTGATCCGGGGCCGCGGAGCGCAGGGGTCAGGGAGCAAAAGGGGGCCGGGCTCCGGAAAAAAACGCCTCGCCGCGTCTGCCTGCCTGTCCTTTCTGTTCCCAGAACTCTTATCAAACTCTTTGGGTGCGATTGATTCGGAGCTGATTCGGTGTGTGGGTGCGCGAGCGTGTGTTTTCGCTCCGGATCAGGAGCGCAAAGGGGGCCGGTTCGAGAGGAGCCGTAGCAGAGGCGCGCAGCGTCTCCAAATATGTGCCCTGCGGCAAGCTGGGTGCAGACAATGGGGTTTTGGGCCCTGCTTGCTACACACGCATCCTCTCTCTTTCTCACACGCACGCCCAAAAACGAGCAAACCCATCATCGTGCTGCTACCACCAGTGGCCGGCTGGATAATCTCATCCAACTCCCACAAAATGTTATGGTTATTGTTAAATTTGCATATCACCCTCTATTCAAAGATCTCGGGGCGGTTCACAACAGGACTGGGATAGTGGCCTGGGAGACCTCCGTCGGTACAGTACGAGACTCAATCTTAGGGCCGTGGGTTCGAGCCCCACATTGGGCAAAAGACTCCTGCGTTATGAGGGTTGGACCAGATGATCCTTGGGAACCCCTTACAACACTGCAGTTATAAGATACAGTATAAGAGAAATAGAAAATGAAAATACAGAATGCATAACAAAAATAAACCCACAAACACTTTAAAAAAGCAATAGAATCAGCCAGATTCCTGGCTGAAGAGACACGTTTCTGCCTGAAGATATGTAATGAAGATGCCAGGCAAACCTTTCTGGGGAGAGCATTCCACAAATGGAGCCATCGCAGAAAAGGCCTGTTCTCATATTGCCATCCTCTAATGTACCGATAAGGGACGCTGGTGGCGCTGTGGGTTAAGCCACAGAGCCTAGGACTTGCCGATCAGAAGGTCGGCAGTTCGAATCCCTGCGACAGGGTGAGCTCCTGTTGTTCGGTCCCTGCTCCTGCCAACCTAGCAGTTCGAAAGCACAAAAGTGCAAGTAGATAAATAGGTACCGCTCCAGCGGGAAGGTAAACAACGTTTCCATGGGCTTCTCTGGTTCACCAGAAGGTTCTGCTGGCCACATGACCCGGAAGTTGTACGCCAGCTCCCTCAGCCAATAAAGCGAGATGAGCGCCACAACCCTAGAGTCAGCCACAACTGGACCTAATGGTCAGGGGTCCCTTTACCTTTACCTTTAATGTACCGACGGGCACCGGTTTGGATGGCTCTGAAAGAAGATTAGACGAATTTGTGGAGCATAAGGCTGGCAATGGCCACTTGCCATTGTGATTGCGTTGTAGTTGCGGTGTCAGAGGCATGGAAGGGAAGGGAAGAAGCGGAGTAGAAGCGGGGAGAATCTTGTTTGCACTTGGAATAAAGTCCGCGTTGAGGGGTGTTCAGCACCCACCAATAGGATCTACATACAGGTCATAGGGTTTTAAGAAGTGGCTTTACACTGAGTCAGACTATTGATCTATCTAGCTCAATGCTGTCTACACTGACCGGCAGTAGCTCTTTTGAGTTTCCCTGCAGGTGCCCAAGTGCTGTCTAGGATAAGCAGCATGTCTGAAGGCACAGAGAGTTGTTGGGTCCACTAGGCAGTGGAAAGTGGCACTGTCTCCGAGGCTGAAGCTTCAGAATTTTCACCATAAGGCCTTGCCATGTTCAACGACGCCATCCCATCAGTCAGACTCCACAATACACGAATGTACTCTATGAGCAGCTTAACGCCAACAGATTTCATACCTTCCTACAAGAACACACTTCTTCCCATGGATGGGGCAATTCCTTTGCCATGACCATAGCATGTGGCTCAACGAGGGATATTCTGTGTGGCAGCGCCAACGTTAATCAGACCGCTCATGAAATGGCCTCAGAGATGTCTTGCTTGTACAGTGGTACCTCTGGTTAAGAACTTAATTCGTTCCAGAGGTCCGTTCTTAACCTGAAACTGTTCTTAACCTGAAGCACCACTTTAGCCAATGGGGCCTCGTGCCACCACCGCACAATTTCTGTTCTTATCCTGAAGCAAAGTTCTTAACCCGAGGTACTATTTCTGGGTTAGCGGAGTCTGTAACCTGAAGCGTTTGTAACCTGGAGCGTCTGTAACCCAAGGTACCACTGTACAAAATAGTAATGATAGTTGCATCAGCTTGAACTTCAGGTCCAGTGAAATTTGATGGACCTGTTCCCTATTGGAGGGGATGGACAAGTCTGACAATTTCAGTTTCTCTGTTTCTCATTTCTCCAGCTAAAATTGGGTTCAACGCATTTCCACATCAGTTTGCAATTTTGGGGGGAAGAAAAAAAGAAAAGCCCCAATGAAAACTAGCCAGCATTTCAGTGAGAATTTATCCTAATAGAAACATTATTGCATGCAATTTTATGGCGTAAACACATTTTTGCAAATCGGTTTTCATTTTCGTTTGCAGTTTTCAGCAACATGCCTTTTCCTGAAACACCCTAGCATTTGAATTTTTGTGCACATTCCTTAGCTGCAAAACTGCAGTGAAATTTTTGTAGAAGTGCAAATTTTGAAAGCTGTCTGTGTTTCAATTTGTGCAATGCTTCGGGTAAAGTGAGAAGTAAGTAGGTTTGCCTTTAAGTGTGAACCAAATTAAAATTCTCCCTCACCTCTATACATCCGTGTAGACATGCTCCACCTCTCTGTGTCATTCTACCATTGTCATATAAGAATTCAATTTTTTCCTGTCCCTCAACCCCTTATGGTTCAGATCTCCTAAGACATCAGGCGTGAGGTCTGGTAGCTGTGGGAGATTTGCCCTGTTTTAGTTCTTAACAGGTTCACCATGATTTGCCAGCCAGACCCATTGACAGTGATGTCAGGTCCCCGATCAGCTGACTGCCTGTTGCCATGACAGGCATCACATCTGCCGATGGCTCCGATTACTTGTAAACAAGCCAAGATAAATTATTTATGAAAGCTGCCATTTCCAGTCCATTAATGAGAAGTGTGCATTTGGAAACCAATAGAAGCCCCCTTTGCAGCAACATACGTAAGTTATCACTCTTCCTTCATGTATGGGTGTCCGTTCTAGTGGTGTGGGGGGTGTGTTTGAATTATTCTCATAAAAAAGAGGGATTGCACATGTTTTATTTTATTTTTATTTCTATTTAAAACATGCATATAGCAGATTAACAACTTCTGGCTGGACAGCTCTGTTAGTATGTCTCAGCAAAAATTCCCAGATAGTATTGTGGCATTTTAAAGACTAACAAATTTATTGTGGCGTTTGCGTGAACCACGGCACTTCTCTTCAGATCTATGTCACCCTGAGTGGGGTGTGTGCGTGGGTATCACAAATCACATACACAGCCAGACACATAGTTAGGGATGGGTAGGAAATGTAAACAGCCAGGTAAGGAGGAAATGAAATGTAGAAAAGCACAGCTGGCGATTGTTAAGTTATTAACAGTCACCATTCACAAAAAGAGATGTTGACAACACAGATATTACGCATTCGTAAGCCAATTAACACATGCAGTTAACAAGTCAGAATTGCTGATTCACTCTAAATCTGTTAATCTTCTAATGTGTTGATTGGCACAAATTAATAGAAGAAGAAGAGTTTGGATTTTATATCCCGCTTTATCACTACCCGAAGGAGTCTCAAAGCGGCTAACATTCTCCTTTCCCTTCCTCCCCCACAACAAACACTCTGTGAGGTGAGTGGGGCTGAGAGACTTCAGAGAAGTGTGACTGGCCCAAGGTCACCCAGCAGCTGCATGTGGAGGAGCGGGGAAGCGAACCTGGTTCACCAGATTACGAGTCTACCACTACACCACACTGGAAAATAGCTCTACAATTATATTTTTTAAATTCATGAATCCTCACTAAATATGGCAGTTAGTTATTGTTAGGTACTGCTAAAAGGTAATGTTGATATGGTAAGTTTATTAAAACAGGAGTAACATCAGCATTGTGTTACCCATCAGAGTCTGGCAGAAATATGCATAGCATCAGAACAGAGAGTTGGGAGTGTTTTCAGCTGAGTGTTTCAGCTACAGTTGAGATATTCCTGCAATGCAGTTGGTCCTTGGGGATCTGAAGCAGAATTAGTAGTTCTTCTGCCTGCTAACTAATGTGATCTGTTTCTATATTGGTAAATAACCTGTGGTTACAAAGATGTAGTAAGTCCTCAGTGCTCTTTCATGACACGGAAACAGGAAGTACAAATGCCCACCTCTGGAATTTCAAATTTACAGTGGTACCTCGGGTTAAGTACTTAAATCGTTCTGGAGGTCCGTTCTTAACCTGAAATTTTTCTTAACCTGAAGCACCACTTTAGCTAATGGGGCCTCCTGCCAGTGGCGTAGCGTGGGGGGTGCAGGGGGGGCCGGCCGCACCGGCCGCAACATCTGGGGGGCGCGCGCTCGCACTCGCAGCTCTCTGCCCCTACCTGGCTCACTCACTCTCTCTCACTGCAGTGCTGGCTGTGCGAATCCGATCCGAGCCGCTGGGTCGCCGCCCACTGTGGAGGGGGTGGGTGCCAGGCATGCGGTGCGGAGAGAGAGCGAGGGACTATCTGGGGGAGGGACAGTGCAGCGGCCGCCCAGCGCAGACCACACCAGACCAGACCAGGCAGCAGCAAGAAGAAGCTGGCAGCGGCGGCAGGTTAGGGGTTAGGGGGCGCAAATTACTTGCCTTGCCCCGGGTTAGGGGGCGCAAATTACTTGCCTTGCCCCTGGTGCTGACAACCCACGCTACGCCGCTGCCTCCTGCTGCTGCCGTGCCGCTGGAGCACGATTTCTGTTCTCATCCTGAAGCAAAGTTCTTAACCTGAAGCACTATTTCTGGGTTAGCGGAGTCTGCAACCTGAAGCGTATGTAACCTGAAGCGTATGTAACCTGAGGTACCACTGTATTTGGGGAATGGGGCAAGCACTTTAGTAACTATACAGTGGTACCTCGGGTTACAGACGCTTCAGGTTACAGACGCTTCATGATCCAGATGCTTCAGGTTACAGATGCTTCAGGTTACAGACTCCGCTAACCCAGAAATATTACCTCGGGTTAAGAACTTTGCTTCAGGATGAGAACAGAAATCGTGAGGTGGCAGCGCAGCGGCAGCGGGAGGCCCCATTAGCTAAAGTGGTACCTCAGGTTAAGAACAGTTTCAGGTTAAGAACGGACCTCCAGAACGAATTAAGTTCTTAACCCGAGGTACCACTGTATTAACACCCCTTTGTTTACATTATAGAACTGACTTAGGTAACAGTGGTTTTCCTATTTCCAGAGCCGAAGCAATGGAACCTTTTTCTCTGTATGACATCACTGCTGTTGTTTACACCAAATCCACCGAGAGAATAATTTCACCCATGGTTGCTGAACTTTACCACTTAATTATAGCAATACAATGGGGAGAAGTGAATCGTGAAGGTTTGGCTGGTTTACAGGAGGCAGCGGAGGAATTAGCCAAAGCTACTGGACAGCTTTCCTCTACTGCAAGGAGGTAATATTTATTTTTTTAAAGTAAAATAGTTCAATTTGAAATTTGGGCTCAAACCAACCAACTAGCCAGCCAAATTCCCCCATATATTAAGTCAGGGACTGGGCTTGCCAAGTTGTCCTGCAGGGCCATCGACAGATGGGTAGAAAGAATAGGATTTTGAGAGGCCCAAGGCCAGCAGTGGCTCCAGTCTCTTAACGTTCATTAAAAACAAAACAAAAAAGTCAATTGGCCATTTCTGAAGAAAGTTAGCATGCAAATTGTGGAGGTAGCTCTCATGATTCAGCACTCATCAGGCATTGCTAAGGACACCTAATCCATCACTGTTGCTAAGCCATCAGAGGAAGCAATGCTGGCTCAAGAGGGGGCCCTCCAGTGCTATTTTTCTAGAAAAAGAGTTATTGAGCTGAGTCCAATACGACCTAGGACCCTCGTACCTATGGGACCGCCTCTCCTGGTATGCCCCATGGAAGACCTTACAGTCCGCAAATAATAATGTTAACTTGTGGGTGAACATATCAGACGACACAGCGATTCTTCAAACAGCTCTTGTTAAGTCACAGGCCAGAACAGAACTGAACTGAAGGGTTCAGCCAGCCTGCTTATATAGAGCTCCAGTACAACGCAACTGTAACAACTTTCTGTAACTATCCAATCACTGAACGTCACTTTCAATCCCTTATTTGCATATGTGGACCTGAGTGAAAACTATCTACAGTATCCCCCTGCTGGCCCAGGGTGAGAACTTCAGTACATAACAAATAACATCTTGGAGGCCTCAAGGAGGTTAGACTGGCCTCCACCAGACCCAAGGCCTTTTCGGCTGTGGCCCCGACCTGGTGGAATGCTCTGCCACAAGAGACCAGGACCCTGTGAGATCTGATATCTTTCCGCAGGGCCTGCAAGATGGAGCTATTCCGCCAGGCCTTTGGTCAGGGTCCAGTCTGACTCCCCCTCTCTCCTTATAAGAACTTGAATGAAAGTCCCCCCCCCCCACGTTTCTCACAGGCTCATATAAGATCAGTAAAAACAGTTAGGCTGGTGAGCATTTAAGGTTCCCAGCCCCAATCTGCAGTTTGCCATCTGATTGGATTTCACTTTGATTCTGATTTGATTTTAGGATGTATTTTAATTGATTGCCTGATTTTATGTATTTGATGTTAGCCGCTCTGAGCCCGATTTTGGCTGGGGAGGGCAGGGTAATAATAATAATAATAATAATAATAATAATAATAATATTTATTGCTGTTGTTGTTACTATTATAATCTTTTGCCTGATTCTAGGCTGGCTGAAGAATCTGATGATGAGGTGCTAAAGCGGGAAATGGCACCCGCAGCTGAATCTCTCCTGATCTCTGGAGAAAACATCCTCTTGGTTTCTCAGAAGCTTCTCATTCAACCTGATGCCAAGAACTGCCTAGAGGAACTGGCTGCATCTGCAAAAAGGATCCTTGTGGAAACCATAAAAGTACGACAAACGTATTTCCAGTGTGTTTAAACACAAACAGGCTCACTCACCAGTGTTTCAGTGATGTTTTATTCGCCAGTTAATTGCTACAAACTGCTGGATGCAACCTCAGGCTTCTTCTATATGGCATTATATGCCTCCCTAGGCCTTCTTCCTGAGCCAGTGGGGAGTTGGGGGCAGGCCTTGCAGTATCCCAAGAGAGGCTGGTCCCTGCTGGGCGCAGGGCACCATAACTGGTGGACCATGCTGCTCATCAGGGAGGAACAAAGCTTGTAGCGTTTACATACATGCCCAGACTTCATCACACTGTGAATTTGTATTTATATTACTCCAGACTGCAGCAGACCCTCCAAGTGTCCCTGTTTTCCAGGGACAGTCCCTGTTTCCCAGAATCTGATTTGATCCCAGGATGTCTCACTTTTCCTTAGGACGTCCCTATTTTCATCAGAGAAATGTTGGAGGGTATGGAGTTATCTGACCCCCGAGCCAAGGAGATCAGTAACTATACAACCTTTAGAAGACATCTGAAGGCAGCCCTGTAAAGTGGTACCTCGGGTTACAGACGCTTCAGGTTACAGACGCTTCAGGTTACAGACTCCGCTAACCCAGAAATAGTACCTCGGGTTAAGAACTTAGCTTCAGGATGAGAACAGAAATCACATGACGGCGGCGCAGCAGCAGCAGGAGGCCCCATTAGCTAAAGTGGTGCTTCAGGTTAAGAACAGTTTCAGGTTAAGAACGGACCTCTGGAACGAATTAAGTACTTAACTCGAGGTACCACTGTATAGGGAAGCTTTTAAATGTTTGATTATGTTTTTATATATGTTGGAAACTGCCTAGAGCAGCTGGGGCAACCCCATCAGATCAGCAGGATATATATAAAATAAAATTATTGTTATTATTTTTATGGAGTAGGACGTCCCTGTTTTCACTGGAGAAATGTTGGAGGGTATGCTACAGTCATCATTCATGTTGCTCATGATGGGCAGGCGAGTGGTGGCGGCAGCAACATGACAGGGGGAGCATGGCAAGGCCTGCCTACCTGCTTGCTCACTTCACTTGTTGTTGTCACACTGAGGTTCACCTGGCCACCTAGTGGTGGCCATGCAAACTACAGCATGACGACTTTTTTCTTGCAATAATATTATATAGGTAATATATGAAAATGAAATCCCATCTTTGGAAAGTTAGGAGAGCGTAGGGGAATCTTTTTCAACCCAGGGGGCCTCATTCCCTTCTGAGCAACCTTCTGGGCACCACCACATGCTGGTGGTGGGCAGGGCCAGGTGCAAAAGTGGGTGGAGCAACGGATGTAATTTTTCCCTTTGTACAGCAGCTAGTTTCTGCACCCACTCGCACACCCCTCTCTTTTCTTTATCCAGGCAAGCAAGAGGCATTGTCTGAGTTTAAGGACACATTCTAGCTGGGCCAAAGTACTCAAGGTACTAAGCAGTACCTTGAGGCATGTGGTCTGGGTAGAAAGAGGAGCTTGGAAGGTTGCATTCAGCTTCTAGGCTTGAGGTTCCCCATCCCTGCATTTAGGATAATCACACTATTGTTGTTGTTTAGTCGTTTAGTCGTGTCCGACTCTTCGTGAGCCCATGGACCAGAGCACGCCAGGCACTCCTGTCTTCCACTGCCTCCCGCAGTTTGGTCAAACTCATGCTGGTAGCTTCGAGAACACTGTCCAACCATCTCGTCCTCTGTCGTCCCCTTCTCCTTGTGCCCTCCATCTTTCCCAGCATCAGGGTCTTTTCCAGGAGTCTTCTCTTCTCATGAGGTGGCCAAAGTATTGGAGCCTCAGCTTCAGGATCTGTCCTTCCAGTGAGCACTCAGGGCTGATTTCCTTAAGAATGGAGAGGTTTGATCTTCTTGCAGTCCATGGGACTCTCAAGAGTCTCCTCCAGCACCATAATTCAAAAGCATGACACTATAAGAGTTGCCAAATAGATTATTGCAACTATGCTGACCTTTTAAATTTTATTTTTATTTTTATTTTAATCCTGACCTTCATAAAATGAGATGACAGCACAGGAGAGCTGCTAATATACCTGTGCTTTTAACATTATAACTAGTATTTACACATCAACATTCTCAAAATGCAGGTGGTGTTTAATCACCCAAAATGATTGTTCCAATGCAATTAAAAAATAGTAATACATATGTTCTTAATTAATTTACTAGGTCCTCCAAGCAGAAGATGATGCCCTGGTTAGGAAGATAATTCAAGCTGCCCACTGGCTTTTCAACTGCCTCCTTGTACTGGAACCTGCTGAAGACGTATCCGCAATGCTGGTCACTTTCCGCAGCTTTTCGGAGGCTTTGTTGCTGCTGACCAAATTGACAGAAAGACTTCTTTGGGATCTGAAAGAATCTTGTCGGAAGCACTTGGCTCAAACCCTACAGCTCCTTAAAAACTGCATTCCGATGCTGTACACAGCAAAACTCAGCAGCTTAAAGCATCCTGGTGATGAGCAAGTGGAAGTCTCGAAAAGCTATATTTTTGGCTTGGCAAGGAGCACGGTGAAGGAATTGATCTCCCAGCTGAGGAACAAGGTGGGAACAAAGAAACTACATGAAAGAACCGGGCTCTTTCCTCACCACTTGCACAATGTTTTGAGCCTACTGTCCAGACCTCAGTCTAACAAGGGTGAGATAAGCTTCATTGTAGAATCATTAGTATTCTACTGCATGCTGTTAGCTGACTCGTCAAGAGGACCTGTGAAGCTCAGTCTGGTCCAGCACTGCCATCGCCTCCTGAAGTTCAGAAAGATGATTGCCACAAATGAGGGCACATTGGAGGGTTTCCCAGTGGAAAACCAGAGAGGGGGTAGTATAGAAGAGAAATGTTCTGCCATGAGAGCAGAGATGGAAAATCTTGATCAAGCAGTACGTACTGCTGTTCTCTATCAGGTTCTGGACAATTTTGTGGAGACCAAAGGACCCATGAAGAGGTTGGTGGAAGCTGCCATGCAACCATGTTCTCCTGCTGAAAATGGAGGATTCCTAAGAAAGCTGAAGCCTCTCACTACTGAATTCTTCAACCATTCCAACCAGATGCTCAAAGCGACAAATTTTGTTCTAGTCACCTGCACCGAAAGGAAAACCATTCAAAGCATCGAAGGCTGTGTAGACCATCTGAGTAGACTTCTTGCCACTGTGCCTGCCCTTCTCAGTGAAATGAGCCACCCTCCAGGTCGTAAGGGTGCACCCGAAAAATTGCACTTCCTGTGTCAGACGTGGTTGAGCACAACCGAAAGCCTGCTGATGTGTTTGGACAAAGTAGTTGATCTGCGTGAATTCCTCAAATTATGTCTGCAGGACATGGTGGAGCACAAGGCAGGGAGTGAAAAGGCCTTAGAGGAGCAGCAGTCTGGAGAGTTTTCTCAGCACGCATCCAGTCTTTCCAAAAGAGCTGTGCAAGTTGTTGAGTTTATTAGCAGACATCTGGACAGAGCCAGAGATCCCATTTTCCGGAATGGACTGCTGGTTCCAATTAAGCAACTGGAAAATGCCATACCGCAGGTGAAGGTTGCTGCAGATCAGTGCCTGGCAAGAATGGCTAGTCTGCAAGCCAAAGATGAATATTCAAAGAGGACAAAAGATTTGATGGAAGCTGCTTGCAATGTCAGACTGGGACTGGATGAATGCAATCAGCCAGATATTCTCAGCCCACTTCGGGTGGGTGTTCGAAGCGGCATTCTTTTCAAAGATGTTCCAGATTGTTTCACTCCCCAGGACCTTATAGAGCTTGACACACAAAGCACCACGAAGCAAAGTAGTTCAAACAATTCAGAATTACTGGAAGAGCTCTCAGGCAGGTCTATCCCTGTCTACAGTTCTTCCCCCCCAAATCCTAGTGGCAGTGATTTATTTTCTGAAGGTGCAAGTGAAAAGATGGATATGCACACTCTGATCAGTGAGATCCTAGCAGCTACAAAGACACACAATGTCACAAGTCTGAACAGTGCTTGCTCTGACTTATTGGAGCTTTCCAGTTGCTGGGTTGATGCTGCTAAAGAGGCCTTGCAGGTTTCTAAGCTGCCTGTGTCAGAGGAACTGTTGCAATACAGAGAAATAGTGACATTAATCCCTTGTCTTATTAGCTCAGCCAGAGAGGTAGACTCAAACTCTATTCCTTGCACAGAGACACTTCAGCAAACAGCAGTTTTGCTCTCGGAGAGAATCGATGCAGTTAAGCAAGGTCTGACCGTTGTTGCAAGTTCTTGGTACAGCCTGGCTAGGCAGTTAATTTGCATTCAATCCTCTCCCGAATTTTCTGACAATGCTAAAGTGTTAGGCGAGATCATGGAGATTTTACAAGCTGTTGTTCAGCTGGCTGGCAAAGCCACTCGTCTAGAACACGACGAGGGGCTCCCTGAGCTTCCCAGACTTCATGAAACTTTTCTGCGAGTTCAAGCTAAACTAATTTGTGTGCAAGCCAGGACAAAACTCTTGCTTGAAAAGGCGCTGGCTGTTAATCAGCCCCGCTCCAGCAACAAAGCTGAGCTGGAAACAATGGATGCCCATTGCCTCTTGTGGTCTGTCACCATCCAAGCATTCCTAAACTCTGTAGACCAGTTTATAGGAAGAGACGTATTGTCCTTAACCGAGTTGCGAGCCAAAACAAAGCACCCGCTTTGCTTGCAGAGCAGCCTGGCAGCAGTATCAGAAAGTTCCCTTCGAATACAGGAAGCAAGCAGGCTGTCGCTTCTGTCGTGTGCTGAACACAGCGCTAAGCATGAGGTTACAGCACTAAAGGAGCAGATGAAAATACTGACATACTCCCTGCTTGGAGTTGCCGATGTTCTGACTGCCTCCCCGCTGCCTGCCCCCAATTTGTTAGTTCGTTTTGAGCTTCTCCAAAGGGAACTTGCCATAACAGCCAAAGTCCTTCTGCTTCAGATGAGTGTGATCAATGGAGAATACTTGAGTAGCATCCGAAGCATCATCAGCCGAACCCAGCCTGTGCCACGTGACAAGGAGGCCTTTGAGAAACATGCGGATGAGCTCCGGGCAAATATCCAGATGGTCAAAAAGACCATCGGTGATGCTCTGGAGAGCCTTTCTTCTGAGGAACTGAGAGGGAACTTACTCTCCACGGCAGACTGCCTTCTGCTCCTCACTGATGAAGTGATCAGGAGAGCTGGGGAACTCCAAAGCCAGCTAGACAAGGAGCATCTTCTCGGAGACAGTGTTTTATACGAGTGGTCTGCTACAGCAGCTTATCTTGTGAAACAGCTTCAGTCCGTAAAGGGTGCAGGTGAAGCAGTTGTGGAGCACGTGAGGAGGTGCTTGCAAAACAAGGAGGGGCACATGCCTTCCAGCCAATCTGCCTGTCAGCTGCAACCCCCCTTACAGAAAGAACTGGGTAGTGCAAAGGACCAGAGTCCCGTGACACCAAAGCACAAAGCCACTAAGACTGGGCAAGGCCTGTTGCTTGCTAAGGACGTTACCAAAACGGTAAGATGGTTCGTATCTCCGATAGCTCTTTAGCAGTTATTGAGGATGTGCTTTGCCAGTGATACCACTGTTTTCTCACCAGTTACATCAGGATATGGTGAGAGGAGCAGAACTGCTCCAACTTATTGCAAGATCTTTTCTGAAAAATCCATTCTTTTAGCCTCACCAGTTTCCCTTATGGGAAGTGGGTTTTGGAGCAAACAAATATGGGTTTTGTGTTTGGGGGCTCAGAAGCCATCTCCACCCTTCCCTCGGCAATTTACTAGCCCTTCAGCCTATCCTGCTTCTCTTCTGTGACGTGTGTTTTGTGAATCTAACTACATCCACAGGCCACATGTTCCCCCCCTTGGGATAATGTACCCTTCCCCAACTCCAGATTGCTGCCTGGCTGGCCATGCTGGCTGAGGCTGATGGATTAACATGCAAAACATCTGGAGGCATCAGGTTGGGAGGGGGCTGGCATAGGGAAACAAACATGCAGAACTGGCCATGGTTTTGCTTGGTAAAAATACCCGCACACCGCTACTTCTCCCAATAGCAGAAGAATAAACTTGCTGCTGGGCTCTGAAGAGCAACAGGTAATTTGTTTTCAACCCACAAAAGAACCTCGTTGCAGCAAATCACAAATATGACTCTGCTTTCTGGGCCCATATCCAAGCAGAGGCCCCTCTTTACTTGTATGCCACTGAAAAAGACTTTAAAAGTCGAAACACAGAATCGTTACCCTCAGAATACAGTTGTTTTGTACAGTGAATTGTATTCATACCTTGTATCTCACTGACGTGTGGTTACATACTCTCGTTTGTTAATACCAATGTTTATATATGCTTGGGTATCTGGCTATAAGATTGTCCTATATATGATATAGAAATGTATTTAATTTATTGAGTACCTGGATTTCGTTCTTTGCATTTTATGAAGAGGACACGCTGCATATTCTCTAGGCTGGAATTTCCTCTTTTGCTTTCTCCATCAGCCCCTGGAAGATCCGCAAAGTGGTTTCAAGCCCAGTCACTCTGAACGCAACTTGAGAGCCAGCCCTGCTACCTTGCCGGGAGACTCTGAGAAGTCGGGGCACGACGGCTGTCCAATTGCACAAGTCACCCAGCAGATGACAACTCAGATGTCCTACATGGCCAAGTTTCTAAAAAGGAAGGGGCCAATCGCGGTACTTCCCCATTAATGTTTTTTCTTTCGGGAAAGAAGACCAGGGCAAAAGCTCAGAAGGCCACCATATTGTTCCTTCTCAACAGACTCTGCCCTTTCTCATTTCTCTACAGTGCTGCCTTTGTTATTCTACTGTGCAAACTCCCGGAGAAACTTCACCTATTCAATAAATATGCCAAGCTGGCTTGCAGGGAGCTCATCTGTGCCTTTTGTTTTGCTTTCCTTTGCTGTCTTTTGGCTGGTTATGCCTTTCAGATGCCTGTACCTGGTCACTCTGCCTTGTCACTCTGGACAACACTCTCCTTAACCTCAGCTGAAATGTTTAAATAGTCCACATTCCCCTCCACATAGAAAACTATTCTATCAGGAAGAATGCTCCAACCTAGCCTTTATCCTTAACCTGCTGCCTTTCTAGATGTGGTGTGGGGAGGTTTGGGGCATCCAGATGTTGTTGAACTACAAACTCCTGCCAGCCCTAGACATTGGCCATGCTTGCTAGAGCCAATGTGAGTTCTAGTTCAGCAACATCCAGAGGACCAAGGGTTCCCCACTCCCGTTTCCAGATGCAGGGAGCTTTTTATAATGATATTATTCCTCAACTGCAGGTTATAGACACTGTCTCTTAAGCCCTGTTCTGAGTTCTTTGGATAAAGAGTAGAGTGTGAATGTATTAGTGGATATGAGGACTGACTTTGTGTTGTGGGGTTTTCTTTTGGAACTGCTTCCCATTTAGACCAAGGAACAACTCATTTCCTGTGCCGCACAGATCATTTCTGGAGGGGAAGCCCTGGTAAAGTTTGCAGGCATCATTGCGAAGAACTGTCTAGACGAAAGATGTGCGACCGAACTGCTGTATGCCATGGAGCAAACCAAGACCATTAGCTACCAGCTTAGCATCGTTTCCAGGTAACTGGCTCTTTCAAACATGTTCTCTGATTCTTTCCATAGGGTAACATGCTTTGCATTTTATCCATGGCACAATTTATTGCTAGGGGAGAGATTTATTGCATATCTCTCTGTGTAGAGCTGAGGAAACTGTGGCCCTCCAGATATTCATAGCCTCCAGATCTCATTAGTTGCCTGCCCCCCGGGGAGCTGGGACAGATGATGGTCTGGACTGGAGGGCAAAAGGTTCCAAGCCCCATTCTAGTGGATGAGGGAGGGAGTTGCAGCAGTGAACACACTTACTGTGTTTGTTCTTGTAAACAGGATTGGTTGAGCACTTCAGTGCTGGCTTTTCAGCACTGGTACCCAGGAAAAGTGAATCATCTTTCTTTAGTCGATTTAAAAGTTGTTGTTTTTTTTAATCACCCTTGATCCTTATGTTTATCAGGATGGCCTTATCGGGGCAGAATTACAACAATATTACATAAATAAAAGAGTAATCAATAGAACACCCCAAAAACATCTCTAGAGGGTTTAGATCAGGAAAACAATGCATGAGTAGGGCTCAACACTTCCTCCAGCCATAGAAACCCCATGTCACACCTTAGGTGCACCCCATAATGCTTTCTTTCTGTACTTCCAAGGGTAAATGCATCAACAGGTAAAAGCAGGTCATCTGCCGAGCACCTTGTGAGCAATGCACAGAACCTAATCCAGGTGGCTCTTCAGATGTTAAAGGCTGCAGAAGTGGCTTGCGTCAAAGTAAGTAACCTTTTATTTACATACAAAGCAGGGGTTTGGGGGTCCTTACATTAAAAAGACTATGTGACTATCTTAAAAAGACTCTTCCCTCATGTTACCTCGCTGCAATTTGTTGCTTCAAGGCAGGAGTGGCTAGAGTCTAGACCTTTTTGGTTCACATGGACTACATTCACCCTTGGGCCAGTCATTTTAAACTGGTTTAGATGAACCCATGGTTTCAAGTTGGCTTTAGCCACCAGTTCAAATTAACCACATTTTGTCAGTTGTGGCAATGCCACAAGCTTGTGGTTAAGCAAAAGTGGAAGCTTCTGCACCCCTCACAGCTGTGCCAGATGAGAGAGTAGTGAAGAGTATGTGAACTCAAGGTTTGCCTTGGCTTTTCACATCACATTGAACTAAGTGTTTTGATCTTGGGATTTGACATACTCAGGAAAGTGAGCATTTTCTCACTCATCTCTTTTGTCAACCACCCTGAGATTGTGAATTGTTTTGCCTGCATCTGCTTAATTCTAAAGCCCCTGTTTCCTGAATGTATTAGTTTCACTTTCAAACAGCATTACTCTTTCCTTGCTTCGCTTTTCTGCAGGGTTTGCGTCAACCGGCCCCTAATTCAGAAGAAGCCAATGTAGCTGCATTTTGCAGCAGGTGGAGGAAAAGTCTGTGGTGGCACAGGGCCAAGGAAGCTTTAAATTCAGACAGAGATGAACTGGGACTTCGCAAAAAGGGATCGTGGACCGAACCCACATTCACATCCATGACCCAAGAACTATCAGCTCCTTAGTCAGAACTGCTCTAAATCTAAATGCTTTGCTGTTTCTGCCCAGAAGCAGGTTACTGACATTGGTTATGCTCCAACTTGTGGAAAGAGACATCACACTCAGAATAATTTAGTCTGCCCATTATAGTTGCTGTGGACGTAGTGCCCAAGTTCAATGCACAAATGTACTCGCCGCTATGGTCACAATTATTCACATGCTTAGCTGTTGCCTATCCTCAAAGTTGCAACTCTGCCCTTGCCTTTCAATATGCCTATCTTGTTTGTTTCAGATGGCTTCAACTTCACTACCATTCACCCCTCCCCCATGTCAGGTAGTAGAAAGAATACCAAAGTTGGGAGACATGGGTTCAAACCGCTGCTTGGCCATGACTCTCACTATATCTCAGGCTAACGTACCACACAGGGTTATTGTGGGTAGGAGGAAATGACCAGGCAGTCCAACAAGTATATACACCTTAGGAGGGAAGGGGGAGAAAGTAGATAAAATCTACAATGCAGATTTCCCAGCCTTTTAGCATTCCATGAAAAGTCAAGAGATTTTCACTCTTTTTTAATTTGTTAAAAATGTCAGACACATGAGTATATGTTACTGTCATTACATATCAATACAAAAAAGCAATACAAATTAAGCAGTTGAATACAAAAATACATTGAATACATGAACACCACAATGTGCCAGCACTAAATGAGAATAATGTATACATGAAAAAAGTAAATACATTTTTTACACATACAACTTATGAATTTTCTACTTAGAAATGTTTTAGCTGTGTCCTTTGCAATTTCTTCTATATACAGCATAGAATAAAATACTTTAAAAATGCTTCAGTTCCTCAATATGTAATACAGTATCTTTTAGGCTATGAGTATCAATTCATGAATAAAAAATGATGCTGTGTCAACGCTCAGAAAAGATCAATTCTTTTTGAATTTTACTTAGCAAGTTGGACTTGATAGATCAGATAATTGTCATTTTAAATAGTGTCTCTCACAGTAATGTACATTATATTGCTTGAACCTATACAATCTTACAAAAGTGGCAAACATTCTCTAAATGTTGATTTTGAAAAGACACATTACACATATACAAGTCTTCAAATTGAATCCTTAATGATTATTTACAATGAAAGTGCTTATTTCAGATCTAACATGATATACCTATTTTTATTTTTAAAAAACAGATCAATGATTAATCTCCCTGAAATGTGAAAATTATATAGAAAATACCAACTTGGCAAACACTATAGCATACTGTGTTACGGCATGTGGTTCTGAAAATAGCAGCCCAAATGTGTTTCTGGTTATAATTTAAAAATAAATAAAGCATAGAGGTAAATCAGTTACAAAACCGCAGAAACCTGCATTATTCACAATGGTAAAAAGTCTTCATAAACACACAGCTAACAAAAAGGTGAAGCCGTTGGGTCAAAAGTCTTGAAAACATCTTTCAGTGATTTGTCATCGGATTCCCCATTTGGATCACTCTCTGACGTTTGACTGATTTGCCCAGGCTGCCTTACAGGCCTCTGATCACTGTACTGTGGTCTGATTAACCCTGACAAAGCCTGAATGGGAAGGTTGTGTACTGCTGGAGCAGCACTGGAGTGTTTAGCCTGAGATTTACTGCCCACTTTATCTGGAATGGCTTCTCCAGATGTTTCCAGGCATTTTTCTATGTGCAGGGATGTTTTTTGAGGCAACTGTTCTTCTGAGAGCGTAGCTTCATTTTGGCCAGCATTTTTCAAAATACCCTTCTTCAGGTTCTCTCCATTCTCCCCTGAATTAACTGGAGAGGGGTCTGATGGAGTGTGATTTCTTGGATCATACAAGCTAATGCCACTTAATAAGGAGCTGGGGGTGCCCAGTTTAGCAGTGGCAGATGATAGCTTAGGTGCATATGGGGGTAACGCATCCGAATCAGAATGAAAGGCTGAAGCTTCTGAGGACTGTGATGTACCAGTGCTGGATTTGGCTAACCTGGGGTCAGTCTTTGGAGGCAAAAAGTCCTTCACTACTGCATGGTGAGAGTCTGTACTGGATGGTCTGTGGAGCCTGGGATCAATTGTTTTCTGCAAGCGAGGGTCTCCCAATTTGCTTGTGCTACCAGGATGAGAATCTGTAGAGTGGTCCAAAGAGACACTTCTGTTTGCTAAATGTGTACTATTTTTTGCTTTTGCTGCTAATCTTGGGTCAGATGGTATTGTACTTGGGATGGGATCACTTTTGATATTCCGTAATTGATTAAATCGTTGGTCAGCTATAAGCGGAGGAAGGGGTAAGTTGATTGAAGATACTGGGTCTGGTTTCGGCAAAGGTACGGGGAGTAAGTCTTCAGGAGCCCATACAATATGCTTAGCAAAGTTGGGTTTGCTCAGAACAATGTCCATTTTAATATGGCTGAATTGCCTAAGCTGAGATCTTGGATCCCGTAGTGTTACTCCAGGCAGAGGTTCCAATGGTATTAAGAAAGCTCTCTCTCTCAGCTCCCGTTCTCCATCCTCTTCTTCCTCCTCTAATCCTTTTTGCATAGTCTTGACACCAGGGTTTGCTCCACTAGCAGATGAACTAGCATGACTGCTTTCGCTGCTCTTTAAAATTCTAGGATCTCGTGCAAGTCTTGGGTCCAAGGTTCCTGACTCTGATGGTTTTCTAGCATTTGATCTTGAAGCTGATCTTAGCCTGGGATCAACAGCTTGGCTTCCTTGACCTCGCTCTTTAGCAAGTCTTGGGTCAGTAGGCATAACACGAAGCTGTTGGTCTGCTGCCTGCTGCTGCTGTTTCCTTAATGTCTCACTTTGTTTCTTTAAGGTCTTTAATATTGATTTAACACTGCTTCCTTCTTCCTCTTCACTACTGGAGTACCAGTTTACATTATCATCTAGAAAGACAAGACACCATACAAATTTCAGTAGCCATAGTGTATATTTTCTCTCCTAAGATAAACAAAACAGAATTTCCTAAATAGTGTTGGGAATTCTTTTTAATAAAACCAGATTATGTAAAAGAAAGGAATTCTAATTTCCTATTAGGATGACAAATATGGTAGTAAGTGAGTGGGGAAAATTATTTAACCATAGTCTGTTGCCATCTCTTAGCTTATGTCAGTGATATTTATTTTATTTATTAAATATGTATATTGCCCTTCATCTGAAGATCATAGGTTCACAACATAAAAATGCAAAATGAGAACACAAAATACATAATAAAAACAAGAACAAAAACAAAGCAATAACCTTCCTCCCACAAACACCTTTAAAGGGATATAGAATGTTAATTAGCCAAAAGCCTGTTTAAAGACAAACTTTTTTGCCTGGTACCTAAAGATATGCAATGAAGGCACCAGGCAAGCCTCTCTGGGGAAAGCATTCCATAAACTGCAGAAAAGCCAATGCAGAAAAGGCCCATTCTCATGTTGCCACCCTCTGGACCTCTTATGGAGGCGGCACACAAAGGACCTCAGATGATGATTGAAGGGTCTGGTTCGGTTCATATAGGGAGAGGCTGTCCTTGAGGTATTGTGGTCCTGAGCCAGTCCACAGAATCATAGAATTATGAAGTTGGAAAGTAGCACGAGGGTCAACCAACCCCTGCAATGCAGGAATCTTTTGCCCAACATGAGGCTTGAACCCGAGATTAACAGTCTCATGAGCCACTGATTTGAGCTATGCTCACTTAATGCTTTATCAAAGCCAGCACTTTGAATATGCTCAAACCCTCTTGCCCCAGTGAGGAATCTGGCCACCAAATTCTGCACCAGCTGAAGTTTCTGAATCATCTTCATATAACACATTGCAGTAATCTAACTCTAGTCACTCAACTTTCAGATCTAAGTTTAGCTCAGTGCTACACTGCTTGGATGAGAATAAAGTCTGGATACTGGGACAGAATAATCTAGCTCAGACATGTTACTGGGAGAGGGAAACCACTGCCTCCTTCTATAGCAGCTTCAAGAAGAAATGTCTGTATGACTGAACTTATAATTCACCTCTCCATATCACTCTCAGTTCCATTTTACAGAGCTCTGCTAAGGATTGAATGAACCTTCATTTCTTTGTTCTCATGAACTTCTGCCATTTCTGTCAATATGTACCTTTTCCTTTTATACCAACTATTTACATAATCAATTTTCTTCTTCGCTGCTGAAACTGGAACAAGAATTTCATTTAGCAGTTATAGGTTTTGCAGAATATAGGCACCTCCTTCTGCAGAGGGCCTACAATACGTTGTAAGCAGCCCAGAGTGGCTGGGGAAAGGCAGCCAGATGGGTAGGGTAGAAATAATAAAATTATTATTATTATGAAGAAGAAGAAGAAGCAACTCTGTTACTGTGAGTTTTGCAGGCGGGTGGATAAACTAACTCATCTCCATAATGGAATCAGCCCCAGTACCCCTTCCTTGGATCAAACTGGATTCTTCAATGTGTGAAAGTAACTTTAGTAAAAGTTGCAAGGAAAATAAACACCAGTAGGAAGTAAACTAAACTCTTCACTAACATTTGGAAACAGCAAATGCACACAACTATGTTACAACATGTTATTTTAAAAGTGTAGAATGTGAACAATACCTTCTTCTCTACTCAGGGATCTCTGACACTGATTGCTCATTTGCTCTCCATCGTCTTGTTGTTTTTGACTAAGCCTTACAAAAAGGGCTTTCTGCATTGCAGGAAGAAAATCTGGTACATTAATAGCTGAACTGTGGCCTGCTGCTGTAGCACAGTCTGACTCGTACTCATTGCCACTGTTATGTGAATCTGAAGACATGTGGTGAGGCTGTTGATCTGCAAATTCTCCTTGCCACGCACCATCTACATTGACAGTATTACAAACAATTAGTATTTATCCTCAACATAAGTTAAACAGAAATTACAAAGAAATGTTAAGTACTATTTGATGAGATTTCTATAAAAGCCATCAAGGTGGCACATGAAGGGGTAGGGCTGTACATATAAGAGGCTTAATTCTAGGGGGCAGTGGATAGGTTTACTTTCTCACATGCAAACAGGCTTCATCAGTTCCTCTCACCATCCTCAACGCAGCTGAGTGTGCAAATGCCCTCTAGCAAGCATGGAGTTACCAAGCCTTCCTTCCAATGCTTAAGCTGCAAGGTGGGCAGGGACTGCTAGCTGTGTGGTGTTCTTGCCACCTCCCTAGTTCCAAAGCTGGGAGGAAGTCAGGGGCAGGGGTGTCCCTTGGAAGCTGTGTGGCCACATCATCAACCTCTATCCCAAACTGCTCTTATCTGCTCTAGAGCAGGAAAGCCCAGAGCAGGAGGAAGAAGAGGGTTGGTCAGTGGTGCTCAGCATGTCTTCAAGTAGCAGCACCATTCCACTGGCCTTTCCCTATGAAGTAGCATCCAAGCCACTACATGTCCCTCTAGGTATGGCCAGAATGCTTATTTGTTTTAGATGCTGCTGCTGGAAGGCACCTCAAGCACTTAGGAAAGGCCAGGGGGAAGATTGTCAGGTGAAGAGATGGAGACTACTGGAGACTTGTGCACTGAGTAGTTGCTTATGGGGAAAAGTTAGAAGCATCCTGGAGGGTGGGAAGGCATAATTTATCTTTCACATCTGAGCTAGGGTGTCCTGAGTCCCCCATACAAGAATTCAAGAAGAGGGTGTGTGCAGAGTATACAGAAGCATACCGCACTTTCAAAAGTCTGTGTTCTCCCCTCCTACACACACATGCCCCCCCATAATGAGTATTTTGGGAATACTTTTATAAATCTTGAATGAGAAGGGCCCAAGACTAGGTGATTTTGAGTTATAATACAGCTCCCATTCTCATGAGACACAATTCTTTACTTCTAACTAAGGACATAAGATTTATACATTAAAACTTACCACCAGTGTTATTGGTTGTCTGAAAGTTATGTACAGCCTGATGTGAATAGTAATTATCATAGAAATTGGCTGGATTCTGAAGGGACTCGTAACAAGTATTTGGCAGCCGTTCACCGGGGATTTGCTGATATGGTGGACCAGGTAGGCAATGATTGTCTCTGGGCATGTTTGCCATATGTTCTTGAGCAACTGCACAGCCATATGATGAACCAGGTGGCGTCAAAGGTGGCCCACCCTGCTGTCCATGCATTGGTCCACCGGCTTGACCCTGTGGTCCTAGGTAACCCGGAGGAACTGGCTGCAAAGGCGGACTCTGCGGCCCTCCTAGACCTATGCAAGGATGCCCAGGAGAACCTGGGAGCCCTGCTGGTCCATTATGTCCTGGGCTCGATTCTGTATTATACATATGTGGATCATTTCCTTCAAACTCTGGTCCTGGCGGTGATGTGCTGTTATAGAATGCTGGTGGACTGCAAGACAGAAAGTTAGGTCAATACCACTTTTATATAAGTATAAACTATAAGCAAGTTATGAGTAGCACAGTGGTCAAGAGTCTGAAAATGGCTACATGCTCTATTTTGTCAAAATTAGTTTGCTTTCTCTTAGAAGGGAACACTACCATTCAGTTTGGTTTTTTCACCAGACCATAAACAGGTGAACTTTGGATTATTACAAGGAGCATGACTGAAGTCTTCAAATACTTAGGTGCCTAATAAAAAGATGAAAAGCAACTGTTCTCCTTATAAGGAGCTCTTCTTATAAAAGGTAAACATATGAAATACAAACAAGCGAGATTTGAGACATTCCTTAATACATACCATATTTTTCGCCCTATAAGATGCACCGTCCCATAAGGTGCACCTAGTTTTTTGGGGGGGAAATAACGGGGGGTAATTATTTCCCCCCCCCCAGGCGCGGGGCTGGGGCGGGGGAAGCCCGAGCTTCCCCTGACCCCAGCCCCCAGAACAGGCAACTCTCCCCAAGCCGATCTGCGCGAAGCCTGGAGAGCGAGAGGGGTTGGTGCGCACCGACCCCTCTCCAGGCTTCAGCGAAAGCCTGCATTCGCCCCATAGGACGCACACACATTTCCCCTTCATTTTTGGAGGGGGAAAAGTGCGTCCTATGGGGTGAAAAATACGGTATATTTTAAATGAGACTGACTGGACAACCAGTAGTTTTCATTTTTCTGAAAACGATGTCAACAATATGCAATTAGTTTTTAAATATAGGCCAAATTTTAGATCAAAATAGGTAGGCAATAATTACACAAATTTTTCACTAAGGTGTTATTTCAATCAGACATACTAGATCTATGCAAGGTTATAAATACAGTTTTAGCTCTTTTCTCCTAAAAAACGTAATGCAGCCTTCTACCGGTATGCCTGAAACTACTTGCCACTTCAGCTAAGAGTGGCAAACTATGCCTGCCACCACTGTTATATTCTAGGGTCATTGTGCTTGTAACTCTCTCTTTCTCTTTTTAACCAGTCCTGTAAGATTACTATAATGCCATCATTTTCCTGAACTTCCTTATTGCCTCATTAAAACCATGCACAACTTTTATACTTCTAATACCTACGTTTTCCCAATCTTGTGGGCTAAATCCACAGTAGGCTTCACAACTATCTCAAAGAGAGATGGGATTTTCTTGAATTCACCAGAGGGATCCTGAAAGTTTTCTGCATCTTCCTCAGTAAATGAATACGGCTCTGGTGGGGTTGGCAAAAGCCCAACTCCTGGAGGAGGCTTAGGAAGAGGAACTATGCCTCGTTTCCGAAGTTCCTCCACTTCCTTTTCATCATCGTTTTGTGGCTCCTCTTCAGTATTCAGTACCTAAAACATACACAAATTATACTCGGAGTTATAAAAGTTTCTGTTGCATAATATTCTGGTTGCTGCTATACAACTCCCTAACTGGGATTCTATCTGATCTGATCCTGAAGGATCAGGGTAGGTTACAAATCTTCGAAATAGAAAAGTCAAAGCATCCATGGAATTCAAACAAGATTAAAATAACTCACATACTATACCCCAATTAATCTCTCAAACACCATTTTGAAGTGCAGCTCCTTAAAAAAGCCACCTATAAAAGACCTAACCAAGTTTTCAGAACATTATGTTCTAACATTTAGATCAATCAGAGTACAGTCCACCATCCAAACTTTTGGCTTCACATCTGCTCACTGCTATGAATGTTCAACTCTTTGGTACGCTGATCTGAACTGAACTGGATGGTGGTTTCTCCCTCAATAGCAACAACTATTTCAGCTAGTTTCAATTAGACCATGACTAAGAAATTAAATGTTGACTTTGGGGAGAATCTTTTCTAACACTGTCAATAGACAACAAGCCCATCCCAGAACCCTTGGATCCTATGATTTCATGGATAGTGTGCAGTGATGTGCACCTTGCAATTTCTGTAAGACTACACTACACCAGTATGAACAGTTAGGAGATTCAAAGAATAATACCTGAAGAGGAAAACTAAAGGGAAAAGGTGATAATGGGTTAAAAGAAAGGAGAAAGTTTAAATCAGATGTAACATTTTTACTTCAGTGGGGCTAACATAAAAATGCTCCGACCAAACATGCTTTTCCTCTTTGGGTTCTACCACTAAGGGGGAAAAGTCCAGTCCTGCCAGAAACTGACTGTCCACTTTGCTAACTAGCTGCTACCCATGAAGTGAACAAGAAACCTCTCCCAAAATTTCTGGAGCTTTGCCATTTATCCCCTCCCTCCCCATTTTAAGCGGAGGGTGAAAACAAATGGGTAATGCATAAATGCGTAAGCAGTGCTATAAAAAATAAACTGATGGTGAAACAAAGGAGGGGCAAGATCAAATGCTAAGATGGCATTTAGTTTAATGGCATGCACATCTGTGATGTGCAAGCCTTGCAAAGCTGAGGGGCGCCAGGTTCACCCTTCAGCTAAGGATCTTGCTGTAAGCTCCCTTTTTATATGATGTTTGTCTTCATCATGAGATGCTGGTAAAATCTATGAAGCCTAGAATAGCTTTTTCTACATGAAAATATACTACGTTGACAGATGACACTGTACATCATGTGCAACTGAAATATCGATAAACATGACTGGACTCCTTGGAAAATCAATTTGAAACCGGGTCACCACAGACTTTTCTTAGTTTTGAAAAACAGCTTATTTGAAATATCAGTTTCATATTAAAGTATGATGTGGTGTATTCTGTTGATACAAAGGAGTATTACTCACCTTATCAAGGAGTTCTTTCGACTCTTTAGTTAGTGGATCATGAGAAAACTTGCACTTGTCACCGTGGTAGCACTTAGCTCCTGTATGATAGAACTTGCAAGGGAACTCATGTGAGCCAGTATTAAGGATTCTAACAAGTATAACACTTTGAGAGTGGGCTTATTGGGCTCCCTAAAGGGAACTCCTCATGACTGTTAATGGAACAGGATGGATCATGCTCAGCTAATGTTTTGGATTCAGATTTTCTGCCTTCTATAAATTTACTCACCTGCTTACCAGCAGAAAACACCTCTTTCCCATTTGGCAAAATTGCTGCTTGTGGAAGCCCTTTCTCTCCAGTCCTCCATGGGGGTAAAGAGATGTAGCTTCTCCATGAGAAGTTAGGCTTTTGCAAACAGCTCTGGCAGTACCTCATTGCTGTTTCCAGCAAAAACCCAACAGGAAGAGAGAATTGACCCTCTCCTTTCTTGCCCATTTTGTTGAGGAAAAATGGAGTAGCCTCTTTGCCTTTCTATTAGGCTTTTGTAGGAGGTGGTGGAAGTGGCAGCAGGTTGCTGCTGAAGCTTTCTGCAAAAGTCCAACTTGTAGGAGACAAATCATCTCTCCTTTCTCCCTAGATCCTCCACCCCTCCAGAAAGGAAAGGAGAAATAGTTTCTCTCCCATCCTGTGTGGCTTTTGAACATAGCACAGGAGTAAGGAAAGGGGAAAATTAGTGGGCATCACAAATAATAGGCATGACTTGTAAGCAGAGTCAAAATTTTGGACTCCTGCTCTTTAATTGTAAGCACTGCATTTTTGATGTTTTAACAACAAAGTATAAACAATATATTAAGTATAACGCTTACTGTGACATATCAAAGACTATGAACTCCCATTATTTATCACTTTGAAAATATAATTTACATTATATATTTGAGGTCATATTAATATGTATATGTAGACACACACACACACACACACACACACACACACACTATTAAACAAAATATATTTAGGATATTATTTGTAAAAGGATATTATGCATGTAAATGCAGTTCTCTCCTTTGGAACAATAACCCTGTATATAAAACTTGCAGATTTCCTTTTTCTTCTCTATTTCTGCATCATGATCAAATTTACACTGGTCTCCCTGTGTACATAAAAGAGGTTATTAGCTCCAAATGTGGAATTATTGTATTTCAAGTTGAATTTTCAATGATAGTATGAGAAAGTTTGATCAAACATAGTTCGCTGCTTTTCCTCCCCCCCCCCACCAGTGGTGTTGGAGGAAGTTATTTGTAAGGCAAACCAATCATTAAAAAAGCAGAACATGAAACTATACCTGCACTGACACTAAACAGATGGCAGTTGTTCAGAATTGTATTTATTTCAGTCATTTCTATAATACTTTTCAGGACCATAGACCTTTCCCAAAGCGGCTTACAGTAGAAAACCAAAGCAAAATAATAAAACAACACAGCTACCTAAACAATCAAGATCAATACAATATTGATCTTAAATTAAAAAACAAACAAAAACAAGCATGAAAATAGCACGGCTAGACCTCTCACTCCCAGCACAGCATGCTAGCCACCCTAAATTAACCAAAAGCTGATTGGAAAAGAAAAATATTTAGGGCTTCTTTGAAATAAATCAAGGAGGGAGCCGAATGCAGTTCTTGGGGAGGTCATTTCTAAAAACAAGTGAAACCACTGGAAAAGCCCTATCACACTTGCCTGCCAGAATGCATTGATAGTTTTTGAATTTTCTCCTACAGCTGACTGGTAGAAATGTTTAAGCAGCTCTGTTCACAGTGATGCAACTCTGTGCAATAATTTACATAGCTCACTAGAAGATATACTATATACTGTACAATCAAGCTTTTCTATTTCAATAAAAGGAGATCATGGCTGCCATTTAAATATTACACACTTTCAATATTAAATATAAAAGCCTGCACAAAAAATAAAATGACTGAACAAAATACACCCATATTTTAAATTTAAATATATTTTTAGTACTTTAAAAATACTTAACAGTTGGGGTGGGGGCTGATAAATGTGTTGAGCAAACTGGAATAAAACCCACACATTCCCCCTACCCTTTCTAGAAAGAGTACAACTGTATATTCACCTTAATGCATCGTGCCTCTAGGAAATATTTACAGATTTGTTTTCCTTTGTGTTCCACAGTATGCTGATTTATGAATGCCTGACTCATAGTTGGCCACTTCTTAACAGGCTTTATTTCCTGTAAAAACAAGCATCCTGTTTTAATGCATCGTTACCTAAAGTGTCACTGAAGATCCAAAGTTACAGTACTCAAAATGATAAACTAAAATGATTTAGTCAAGCTTCTCAAAAAGCATAGGGCCACACAAACAGGTATGGTCACTGACATTCTAGTTATGGTAAATGCTAGGCATAGTGTTAGGCATAGACGTTTTGCTTATGAGGAAACAAAGCTGTGAAAAACATGTCATTCTTCGTCTTTAGTGGTGGTGATGGAAGGTGATGGGACTGACAATTCATTCACTCTTTCCCCTAGCTGTACACATTTTACTATTACTGACTTCACTAGCCCTAGTTCTCTGTATCATTTTAATTTTGCCAATGTTGCTACCTGCCAACTACTAATATTTATCTTAGTCACATTATTTTTCCAAACTGCAAAATTGTTACTACGCCTTCCTCCAGCTTAGCATTACCAGAAGTTCATTTCATAGTGCATGTGTCCTTAAGGCTGCAATACTGAAGCTACATGATGCAGAGCATAGCTGTCAACGTTTCCCTTTTTTAAAGGGAAATTCCCTTATTCCGAATAGGATTCCTTGCAAGAAAAGGGAAAAGTTGACAGAAGAAGAAGAGGAGTTTGGATTTGATATCCCGCCTTTCACTCCCCTTCAGGAGTCTCAAAGCGGCTAACATTCTCCTTTCCCTTCCTCCCCCACAACAAACACTCTGTGAGGTGAGTGGGGCTGAGAGACTTCAGAGAAGTGTGACTAGCCCAAGGTCACCCAGCAGCTGCATGTGGAGGAGCAGGGAAGCGAACCCAGTTCACCAGATTACGAGACTACCGCTCTTAACCACTACACCACACTGGCTCTGACAGCTATGACGCAGAGTAATAATAACTGAAGGGCTGCTTATTCTAAATTAAATACTGTATTTATTTGAGTCTAATGCACCATCGAATCTAATGCGCACCTCAGTTTTCAAAACCTTGAAACCAAAAAAAGGATTTGCTGGCGAATGTAAATGTGCCATTGAATCTAATGCACACCTTAATTTTTGCAACGTAATTTAGCCAAAAAAGGAGAGCATTAGATTCAAGTAAATACGGTATTCTAAATTATACACAGCAAACTAAACAGAAATCCCAAGTTTCAACGTAACTTAACCCACTTCCATTCCAATTACCTTTCCCGCCCCGACCGGGCCACAGTGATCCATGCGACGATCACCTCCAGGCTTGACTACTGTAATTCGCTCTACGCGGGGCTGCCCTTGAAGCTGTCCCAGAAACTCCAGCGGGTGCAGAATGCTGCAGCGAGGCTCCTCATGGGGTCTCTGCCATGGGAGCATATTCACCCAGTGCTTTTCCAGCTGCACTGGTGGAGTACAGGGCCAGATTTAAGGTGCTGGTTTTGACCTTTAAAGCCCTTCACAGCCTAGGACCCTCGTACCTACAGGACCGCCTCTCCCGGTATGCCCCACGGAGAGCCTCAAGGTCCATAAATAGCAACACCCTAGTGGTCCCGTGCCCTAAGGAAGTTAGATTAGCTTCAACCAGAGCCAGGGCCTTTTCAACTCTGGCTCCGGCCTGGTGGAACGCTCTGCCTCATGAGACCAGGGCCCTGCAGGATCTGATTTCTTTCCGCAGGGCCTGTAAGACAGAGTTGTTCCGCCTGGCCTTTGGCTTGGAGCCAATTTGATTCCCTCCCCCTCTTTCTTTTTTCTTTTCCTTTCTCCTCCTGTGATGAGGCTACATTTTAATATTTTAATGTTTCAATATTTTAATGTTGGATTTTAATTTTGTTTTTAAGTTGTATTCATTCAACTTGTTTTTATTATTGCTTGTTAGCCGCCCTGAGCCTGGCCTTGGCTGGGGAGGGCGGGGTATAAATAAAATTTATTATTATTATTACCTCTTCAGGACCTTTATTTATCCCTCTTCCCCTTCCACGGTCTTTGCGTTTCATTTTCTTCTGCATGCCACGCCCTCGGCCAATACCGTAACTATTGCTTGTCTGTGTAGCACCTAAAAACAAAAACATCCAACACATTTCAGCATAACGATTCTGACCTGAAAGAAGAATGTACATACATACCACCTGTACTTTTCTGCAGAGTGAAGATGTCACGTAAGGCATACATGCCAGGTCAGAACTATAGTGTTTTTAAAGGTCATTTCTAAAATTATAAAATAGCATTTTAACTCTAGCTTCCAAAACAGTGAAGTTGGAACTTGGCCCCAAAAAGTTTCATTCTAGGCCATTCAATGGAAAATGCTTGTTCTGAACACAATTTCACTGTAAATGCTGTAATTATGCATAGGTGGGTTTCTAACACAAACTAAGCTAGCATTAGACCAATGCCTTACCTTTCTGAATCCCTTTCATTCCTTGCTTTTTCATGGATTCTTTTGAAATTGGAGCATCTAAATCAGCATTTGAAGTTTCTTTAGCTTGTCTATACTGTTTTAATTGGTCAGCAAAATCCTCTTTTTCATCCTCATTGTAGACAAAATCATCACTGTAATTATCATAATCTTTGTTTTTTGATTTTTTAGTATGCTGTGACTTCTGTGAAGGGGTGTATTTTCCTGAAATATGCCCATGCTGGACAAAAGAGAATAATTAGAAAACCATTAGGATATGACCTCTCACTATTTTCTCTACAAAGAAAACATAACATTTTATTGGTGTTCATGTGTACTTTTCTATCCTGAATTAGGGTTGTTATTTGCAAGTCATTAAATGCGTAGTGCAGTTGCAAATTGAAGACAGTGCAAAGATGCCTATAGTGCTTGATTATCCATAGATAGATGGAGAATTGATGGGATGAACACAGATCTGTTCACTTGGTTATGGGTGTTGTGTCTCCAAACTGTAGTAGAGCTTTCTGTCCCCTCAAACCATTGTTCTAGGGAGAGCAACAAATACTGATCCTGAAAGACTCCCTGGTGAAGTGGGTGGATAATATAAATGGTTCACTAAGTTTCTATTTCTTCCAAATCTGTCTGTATTTCACACAAGAGCGGCCAAAGTAGAAATAACTGTTTTTAGCAGAGACTTTGGCACTACCAATTTGCTAAGCCAAGTGTATACATGCAAATACTGGAGATGGATGAAAGGAGAAGCAGAATTAACAGCTTCTCCTCCTATGCAGCAGCTCACACACTCTTTTTACAGGTGTTATTCTATAAATAGCTCATTTTGTGGCAAAAGACACATGACTTTATTGAACAAGTTATTTGTATCATTCTGTTGCAATGAGCAATAACAAATAAATAAAAAACCATTCTAAGGACATGATTTTCTCATGCTTTAGAGTTCAAGTTGTAACAAACACCACAGATGCATGGGCAGAATCAATACTACCCTGCCAAAAAAGGGCACACACAATTAAGTGTTTGCCAAGTCAACACAAATTCAGCTCCCCACAAAAGTGAAATTCTGCAGTAAGTCAAAATTATGCAAATTAACATTTTTAGTATTCAATTTTAGTAGAGTAATTGGAGCACAAAGGAATGGTTTTTTGCAAGATCAACTGTCCTCATTGCTTGCAGAGAAATTTATGAAAACATGCTGAAACATAAGCATATAATACAGTAAGCATTAATTATTTCTCCAATGAGAACTACTAGATTCAAGTGAAAAAATTCTTACTTATTTTCTGTAGCATGAAGATATTGCAACCCATTTTCTGGCAGTAAGAGTGAAGCAATTCTTATGCCAGTTCCACCCTTTTTCTAGATGTAGTACATCCAATTTGATGACTTCCAGCATTGTGAATAAATTTATGATTAGTAACGCTATGCTAGTAGCAAATTTTGCAGGGTTGAGGAACCTGTGGCCCTACAGTTATGGTAAACTAAAACCCTACCATCTTTGATCACCACTCCCTGTGCTGGCTGGGGCTGATAGGAGTTGGTTCCCTGCTCTATGTCTGGAATATTTATCTCCTTTTTCTGGGTTTCACCTTATGAATTTTCAATTTGAATTGGTTGCAAGCCATATCAAAAACATTTCATGTGATATAAATGATGTTTTGAATTTAGGCTTCATTCTGCCAGCACCTTTAATTTTAATAATTTTTGATATATTATTTTGGAAGTGTGGAATAAGGATGCACAGTTCACTTATGTATTGTCTCTCTCAACATGATCTTTGGAATGTGTTGATTGTTTTAATGTTTTGTCTATAATAATAATAATAAAATAAATAAATAAATAAATAAATAAATATCCATATAAGGCTGTGCTACCTTAAACTCCAGATAGTATGAAATTACTACTGATTTTATAAGTCAAGCAGTAATAAAATTGTTTGCGGTTCTGAATGGACATTTATCTTCTCCCAGAGCAACTGTTAGACTAGTCAAGAGAAAGCATATGCTCCTTCATTCGGGAAGACATGAAGCCAAGAAAAACCCAACGAAGTCCTGTTTTATTCAAATACAGTCATACCTCGGGTTGCGAACATGATCCGTGCAGGAGGCACGTTTGCAACCCGCAGCGCTGTGTCTGCGCACGCACGTGACGCTATTCAGCGCTCCTGTGAATGACGTCATTTTGAGCTTCTGTGCATGCGCCAAAACTCGGAAGTAACCCATTCCGGTACTTCCAGGTTTGGCGCGGTCCACATCCCAGAAACGTGCAACCCGCAGTGTTCGCAACCTGAGGTGACTGTAATGGAAGGAGGTTTTGGATGGAAAGCAAGAGCCCTCATAGGGCGAGATCATTTTTACTTCTGGGAGAGATTTACTTCAACAGAGTCACTCATATGTCCTCTTTCCATATGAATCTAGAGGAAGCTTTTGTAACAGAGAACAAAGTGATACTACTCCCCTGTAAGGAATGCCTGTTACTGATCCTTTGAAGAATATTGAAACACTGCACAAAACTCCTACAATGAAAATCTCAATGGCAGTCAAGGCAAAGACATATTCTACTTTAATAATCTCTGGTTCCATTTCTTTGAATAAATATGGCAGAGGCAAAAAAGAAACCCATGGCCCCAGTAAAACTCAAAGTGACACAAATTACTTTTGAAGCTATTGAGAAGTAAATGGAAGGCTTTCATACTCGGCCAGAAATGAGGGAGGATAAAAATTGATTCATTCTGACTGGAAACTTTACTAACAAGTAACAAGGGAAACTGTTGCCCTCTCTTGCCCCCATATCACCAAAAAATGGTAACAAGCCAGGAAATCAGCATGATATATAACTTTGGATGGAATGAACATTTTGGAAGCTGTACCTGAATGAATGAAGACTCATAATCTCTGTAGAAACCAGATCCTTTCTTATGGGATCTTTCTGTTCGTTCGGCATCAGAATCAATGCTATAGTCAGAACTGTCATTGCTAGAGGGGGAATTATGCTGAAAAACAAGAATGATTTCATTTGTATAATGCAGGCATATGAACTATATATATTGTATTTAAAATGCTACAGTAAAGTCAATTGGAAGAGAAGCAGATTGTGGGGAAGTGGCATACAATTCAAATCCCCATGAGGGCTAATTTATTGCCAATAATAATTAAGGTAGCTTGTACTTTGGCTGTATGCACTAGAGCAGCTCATGAGCCTCATGAACAGGCAAACATTGCAATACATTATTTGGCACACTTCCCAGTACACATGTGGTGTGAGGAATGTTGGACCCAGCAAATAATGATTTAGTAGGCCAATACTCTTGGGCACATTATAATCTGTACATAACCAGTTGGTGCTCACTTGTTACAGGGCCTTACTGGTGGTGGTTCCCATTTGCAGAGTGCCCTCCCTGGAGAGGTGTGCCTTTCTCCCTCATTATTGACTTTCAGGAGAAACTTTAAAATATTTTTGTTTACTCAGGCATTTGATGACTGTAGATAATGGTCATGGCAACTGTGAAATTAAAAACTGTGACGATATGTGAATGTTTTTAAATTTTCTTAAATTGTTTTAGTGTTTTAAATATGTTTTTATTCTATTTAAATTGTACAGTTTAAATATTTTCAATGTTTGCCACTCTAGACATGGCAAACAGAATACAAATTTAATAATTAAACAATATTTCTTAACTTATTTTAACACTACTTTGAGTAAAGGAAAAATAATTACTAGAGTTGCAAAGAATATTGACTAATAATTCTAACCTTGTGTTTATCTCGTCTTCTCCTTTTTGATTTTTTCTTATCTTTTTCTTTTTTGCGTTTCTTGCGGGATTTTCTGTGGGTTTTTTCATTTTTCTGTTTATCTTCAACCTTTGCATCTTGTTCTTCCTTATCCTCTTCAAATCCAGCATCATCTATTTCACCATCTTCGAGTTCACCATCCTCTCTGTTTTATAAAGTCACAATAGTTTAGATTCAATATGAATTAGAATATTATTATTTTTTAAGGGGGTATAGTTGACAGTAATAGTACAATCACCTCCCATGCTTATTTGTTCAACAACCACAACAATTACATAACATTTACACACTAGTAGTATCTAGTATTGTTTGCATTTTAAGAAACAGCGGCATGCAAGGATTACATAGCTTCAGTGTACTACCTTAAAATTATAGGCAGTTTAATGAATACTAAAAACACTTTTGATTTTAAAGTTCCCAAAGCTCACCACTATGAAATGCATAAAAACATAAACCTAAAAACTATTAATACATTAATAAATAAACCAAGACACGAAAAGCTGACAAAACCAATAAAGCAGCTAAATCTATTAAAAAGCAATTAAAAAACATTAATTAATTGCCCAGGTGAATATAGTAGTTCTGAACTAAATGATGCTAGTGTAGATGCCTCCTTCACTTGCCTAGTGAAGTGAGGCCTCATCCTGACTCACTTATGAAGGGCCCCTGGAAAAGAGGGTTCTATTGCATACCTTAACTATCAGGCAGGTTCTTATGGGAACACTGTTTGGTATTGATTTACTATGATAACACTGATCACATGTGACAGCAATGTTATTTAGTTTGGTTGTGAAAATATACGATATACAATTTAAAATAATAACATATACAATTTGTTAGGAAGAATAATCTTAACTACACTTAATACAGAGCATGGAAATCTATTTTCTAAGTCCTGTACTTCTAGCCTTGCACAAATAATTATTTTCTGGTTAATTTACTTTACAGGGTTATTGCAAGTGTAAATGAATTTCATAATTGAAATGCACTTTGTAATATAGAAATAATGAACTATGCAAGAACAGTGATGTTATGTTAAGTGGTGTAGCACATCAGTTAAAAAGGAAGGCTCTCTAAAGTACTGAAGTTAAACTCTTCTCAAAATAGGCTACTTGTGTTTGAAGGAAAACTAAAACAAAACACATCTCACAAATTTAGTATGATCTCTTAATTTATTTATTTTTAATGTCTACCTTAAGGTTAACAGCTGCTGATCAATGAGGTGTAGGAGGGATGGATTTAACCCTGGATTAAGGTATATGTGAGTATGCTTATTATTATTATTAACTGAATTTATATACCGCCCTATACCTGGAGGTCTCAGGGCGGTTTACAGAACAAAATCAGAATATAAAACCACTACAGTATATAATCAAAATAAAAACAACAGCCCAATAACACGCCCCCCAAAGCCCCCCGCATTTTAAAAGGGCATAGGATGAATCCCAGTTGCTGGAAGCCACAGGAAGGGAGAAAGTACCCTTGTGCACGGATCCTGCTCTTAGGGTCACCCATGGGGACATCTGGCTGGACACTGTGAAAGCTAAGGAGGCTGGGTGGGGTGGGCCACTGGCCCGGCCCTGCAGGAGGCTCTTCTTATGTACCAGAATGCCTCACAACATGCACAGGGTGAGATTCCTCTGCCATAGTGAATAACAGCATGATTGCAATTTGCCTCTGGGTAGAATTGTCAATGATTGATAAAAGAAATCAAAGCATTTATTTCAGGCTCTGGTAAAATCTGCAAAGACCAACTACATATATGCTCAGAAAAAAATAATGAACAGAGAAATCTCAACCAACTTTAAGTATAACAGGACATACAGGCAACCATTTGTTCAGTACATTGGTTGGGGTAGAGAGAACTAAATTATCGCTGTATCAAAGGCCTCTGATCAAGTTTATTCAAACAGCAGATGAAGTGGTTAATTTGCTTCTGGACAGTACCACCTCAAGCTGCTATTGTTCAGCTTTTTCATGAAATGTTACTTGAAAAAACTTTGTCTACATTTCAACAATTGGTAAATGCTGACTAGGTATGTTGCAAAAGCCAACTACAACTCTTGAGGAAACAATTCTTTTGGGCATCTTGTACTGCCAGAGCTATGGCAAATAGTTAAAAAGTACTTGAGAGATGTAGGGATGCAGGTGGCGCTGTGGGTTAAACCACAGAGCCTAGGGCTTGCTGATCAGAAGGTTGGCGGTTCAAAGCCTCATGATGGGGTGAGCTCCCGTTGCTCTGTCCCAGCTCCTGCCAACCTAGCAGTTTGAAAGCACGTCAAAGTGCAAGTAGATAAATAGTTACCGCTCCGGCAGGAAGGTAAACAGCGTTTCCGTGCGCTTCTCTGGTTCACCAGAAGCGGCTTAGTCATGCTGGCCACATGACCTGAAAGCTGTACGCTGCCTCCCTCGGCCAATAAAGCGAGATGAGCACCGCAACCCCAGAGTCGGCCATGACTAGACCTAATGGTCAGGGGTCCCTTTACCTTTTACTTGAGAGATGTACCATAGTTGCTCAACACTGCATGCCTTAACACTGATCCCCCCCCAAAATCATCTAAGTACACACACACAACTTGATAACCTTGTGCTCAGTGAAAAACACAAAATTAAATTCCACAAAGGCAGTGTATTGTATTAGACATAAACAAGGACTATACACACAAGGATAACTAGCTAAGGAACTGATTAGAAAACAGAAAGTCTCCTCCTTTGGAGGGTTCCAGCATTTGGATACCAGGAGTGGTCTCAATACTGAAGGTTTAAATTAGATGACTTGTGTGGCATCTACTAATATATGCAATGCGCCATAAACATATCTTTAGTTTAATACAGTGGTACCTCTGGTTATGTACTTCATTTGTTCCGGAGGTCCATTCTTAACCTGAAACTGTTCTTAACCTGAAGCACCACTTTAGCTAATGGGGCCTCCCGCTGCTGCCACGCCGCCGCAGCGCGATTTCTGTTCTCATCCTGAAGCAAAATTCTTAACCCGAGGTACTATTTCTGGGTTAGCGGAGTCTGTAACCTGATGCGTATGTAACCCGAGGTACCACTGTAATCAAATGTTTATCAAAGTTAGTCTCAGGAATGTGGGTTGGTGTAATTTTGTAACTATTAACATTCCACCATCTTAGTTATGCAGAAACTGCATTTGAAATATGCACTTTTGCCATATACAGTGGTAGCTTGGTTTAAGGACAGCTTAATTTATGACCAACTTGGATTAAGAATGCTGCAAGCCTGGAAGTAGGTGTTTTGGTTTGTGAACTTTGCCTTGGAAGCAGAACATGTTTCACTTCCTGTTGAGTGTGTTCCATTTGTAAATTGAGTCCCCTGCTGCTATGGGATAGCACACCTTGGTTTAAGAACGGACTTTCAGAACGGATTAAGTTCGTAAACCAAGGTACCACTGTACATACCTTTAGTTTTAAAACATATCTGAAGGGCCAAACTAGTTTAGCATGAACAGCATCATGATATATTTTGATCCTCCAGTAACAGTAAACCTTACACTCTTATTCTGAGAAAAAGGATTTGATTTTTTAAAAACCTCTCCAAAATTTATCTAATTGTTCTTTTTCTAAACTGACCTGTTTAGAAGTGGGAGCTTTTAATATGGTTTTCATTCTTGCAACTGAGATGCAAGAATTTACTTGCTTCCCTGTTAACTAAACTCCACAGATCTACAAATCTAGTATATTCAAGTTAAAATTTAATGTGAGATGAAAAAGATAACCCTTTAAATATGCAGTTAAAATGTGTTCATTAATGCAAGGGGGGGGGAATCTAAGAGCACAAAATGAGAAAATAGCTCTATTAGTATTTTCTTAATGTGAAGCAAGGGTATTCAGCATGGTGCTCTCTATATGTCTGGACAACAACCATCTCCAGCCAGCATGGTGAATGATCAGGGATTATGGCAGTTGTATTCCAAAGCATTCAGAAGACACCATGTTGGCTACCACTGATGTGATCAATGCTTATAAATTAGATTAATCTAGCTATAAACAGAAAAAGATCTGGCTCTTGTATACAGTGGAATCTAATTCTGTCCAACAGTGCTGTGTTAAGTTATATTGAAAAGAGAAAACTATAAGGTTCAACTCTGATATAGATTAAGAATAGTACTACTGGTGTACAATAACAAGTTCATAGGCACCAAGTGTTCCCATTTAACTATATATTATTTATTCTAGCAAATTCTAAGACTCCAACACTCAACATTTCAAACACCCTCCTTTTCTGTCTGCTGTACATAGTAAGTTACACTCAGTGCAATAAGTGGGGCAGTAAAACGGGCAGTTGGGCCTCCAAGGACTAGGATGGAAACATCTGCTAAACATTTGCAGAGTTCCTTGCCCCAGATGTCTTATGTCAAAACAAAACAAAATATATCTTCAATTCAAAAGTAGCAGCCCTATCTCTATTTGCTTTAATGTATGGCACGAAAGAACTAAGGATTCCCATTGTATTTTAAATTTCTCCATGTAGACTTTCCCTCTTGTTTTGCAACTTAACTGTTTCTGAGATTCTGCAGAAAGAGCATCTGCTACTGTTGAAAAACAAGGAATCACAACCCCTGTGTTTCTTGTTTTTCCAACAACAATTCAGGGAATCCCAATATTAAAATTATCTACCTATAAAAAGGTCTAATTTATTATTGGGAGTTAGAAAGAAACATAAAAAATTCAGAGATTTGACAGGCTAGCAGGGGAATTAGTTCATTAGGAGCTGCAATTTCTGCAAAGTGATACAAGTTTACAGGCTTTGGCTGTGCTTAAACTACTTAGTACAATTCCAATGTATCTCAGAAGATTTGCTTGTCAATAGATTTGAGGGTCACCTGCTTTTCTGACATACTTTTTGTTTTTAAATGTCTACGAGAACACATTGCATGATGTAGTAATCTTTGATTTCCCCTTATTAGTTCCCCTTTCAAAAGAGTAATATCTCTTAAGAACTCCTAGGATGATTAGCACCAGGTCTATTAATAATTCAGTAATGTGCAAGCCTTTCCTTTAACTAATATTTGCTGGACAACTCATGCTGCATTTATGACTATGTTAAAAGTAACAATACTGCACCAGGTAGTATCCTTTGCAGTACAAACTGTTTCATGAACATTTTAAACTGCTACAGCTATGAAGGACTGCTGATATGTAGATCTGAGATACAAGGCCCAGTCCGATTCACTGTAGCTCTGTCCAAGTCATTTTAATTGCCATTTTGTCTCTGTATCCTGGCTTATAAAAGATGAAAGCAGTATACAACCTACAATGCTACTACATGAATTAGGGGTTATGTTATGTTTTTTTTTACCACTTTGATAAACCAGTATTGTACATGGTTGTTGGGGAATGTGGACCATGGGTAGGCTTGCTGTTATGGGGAATACAATTACAAACGGTGTTCTAAGGAACAAGATTTGAATACATGTTGGTGAATGACAGATCAATAATTTCAGAGAGGTTCCCCCTTTTTTTAACCAACTGAGAAGAGCCAGATCTTATGAAAACAAGAGGCTGGAGAAAACAGAGCAAGGCACAAGACCTCAACCAGGAAAAAAAAACCCTCTGGTGTCTTGGCTCAAAGGGATTGAAAGGTGGAAAAGATAAAATCCAACAGAACTTCACCTGCACAAAGAGAGAGCCAGTTAAATGTGTAAGGTGTAAACATTTACATGTAGCTCCATGTATAAAGGGGGGAGGGGAGAGAAACACACTCTTTGATTTCAAATGGCAGTAAGGGATATACGGGAGGATAAGAACAACAGTGACATTATACAGACACCCAATGTAAAGTGCATTTTATGAAAAGATGGGATTTTTTAAAAAGATAATGAAATGTGAGGGGGGGGGAAATGCATGCAAAATGCACCTTGAAGAGACAAAAAAAAAACCCCTCCTCAAAAGACATCCTTGTTCCTGAATTAAGAACACCCCCCTCCTCCCTCAGGCTGAAGGTGACTCCCCTCCCCAGTACAATGTTACATACATTTTAAATTTAAAAAAAACCCCACCTAGGTACATTTAAGACAATATCATTATCATCATCATTATTACCACGACCATCATCTCACATTCTTAGTTATTATCACCATTGAGAAGCGGAGAGAAAGAAAAAAGAGAGAGAGAGAGAGAGAAGAACGTTACTCGACCTTTCGTCCCCTGCATGTTGCCTGTCAGAGTCGGGCATGTTTTGGTCAAGAACTGGGTTTGGGGGCTTGGAGAACAGGCTTTCAAAGGCCATTGTGCTGGCTCTGGCTGTGTGTGCAGGGAGGAGGAGGAAGGAGGAGGAGGAGGAGGAGGAGGAAGGCAGGACACTGCTGCCCGTGGTGGGGCGTTGGGAGAGGAAAGAGGAGGGAGGAGGAGACACTAGGCACACACACAACACACACACAAATATACGCAGAAGCGGCGGCGGCGGCCGGAGGAGGACCGCCTGGGCCCCCCCCCCACCACCTCAGCAAGAAGCAGCGAAGATTTCCACTCACGGTTTTTTACTGAGTGACGGGAAGGGTGGGCACGGGGACACACGCAAACACACACGCGCGCGCGCGGCCCCCAGAAAAGGGCGCTTTTAACGGTCGCTCTGGGCCGGGCGAGGCTGGCCACAAATTTCAAAAAATAAAATTAAAATAAAGGTTGGGGGGTTAACAACAGGCAACACACACGCACCACAGGAAGAGGAGGGAGTGGTGGGTCGGTCGGTGAGGGCGGAGGGGACGGGGAAGAGGTGCCGTTGGCCGCAAAGGATGAGGAGAAGGAGGAGGAGGAGGCTGGTCTGGTTATGTCTTCCTTACAAACATGGCGCCCGGTCGCTTTGCCACAGAGAAAAGAGCGAGACGGGGAAGAGAGCGCGTGGGAAGAGAAATGGCGCGCGGCGGAACGGGGTGGTGGGGAGGGGAGCGGGTGGGGGAGGAGGTGGGACGCGCTCACAAAATGGCGCCGAGCAGAGGAGGAGCAGGCGGCGGGAAAGGGGAGGGGAGGGGGAAGGGCCAGCGGAGCTTCTCTGTTGGCGCCTCACGGGTCGCCTGCGATCGAGGCGAGGGCTTGGCCGCGCGCTCTGCTGAGCCCCGCCGCTGTCGTCATCGCCCAGCTTTAGGGGGGGGCTTCCCTTCTCAGCATTGGCCCGCGAGGGTAGATGGGGAGGCGTCCATTGGGTGAGCTTGCTGCCTATCGAGGGCGCGTTCGAAATGCAAAAGAGCGGAAAGCCCCTCTCTCTTGCGTGCGCGTCGCGCAACCGCTCCTGTTATTTATAAAACGGGCGCGCGTCCGCTTCTCTCGCCGTCTCCTGCTTTCCTAAGCGCAGACATAGCGGGGGGGGGGGGGGCTCTCTCTCTCCTATAACGTGTGTATTAGGTGTACCGCTTGATTGAGCGGCTAATAAATCGCCTCATTTATTTCACTGGGATCCAGGGTGGCATTCAGCCAAGTTTTACTCAAGAGTACAGCCACTGAAATTAACGAGCATGACTCAGGTTTATTAATTTCAATACGTCTGAGTAAAACTTGGCTGCCAACCTTGCTCCCCTAAAAATCTCTAAATATTGGCTCGTTATCAACCTTTTAAAAATTATTTTAGACATGGCCAAATAGCTCCTTAGATGTGCTTTAAATGGATGGCATGGATCTTTCCAGTGCATATACAGCCTCCGGCTGAATTCAGAGACATTCGCTTTCCAGATCCCAGTTGGGAATGGCTGTTAAGGGAAAGGACCTGCAGAAAACTTTAGATTAGAATATCACTTCCCCAAGACTTTTGAAGCAAAGGTTGTGAGCCGGAAACTCAGCAGAAAGCCACTTGAAGGATTGTGCATGAACATTATGCAAATATATGCAGCACCGAGGAGATTCTGCATCTACAAGTTTTAAAATGTATGCAATACATTTATTTTCAATTTTTTCTTAGTCACAAATATATTCTTTCTTTGGCGATCACTCGTAAGATTGTCTTCCATGAATATGGTCTTAACAGCGTGTCTGTAGTCACAAATACATTACCATATAGTCACAATATGCCTAACAGACTTGCTTTCTCATGTGCCACCTGTCATGAACGACCAGTTACCCTTTTGACTATCTGAATTCCTAACAGAAAAGTTTAACCTGAATGTTTCTAAACAGCACAAGCGAAGTCTGTGTGAATTAACTTTAATAAAACATCCTGTTATACAGTTGCTACTTTGCTTGTAAATACATGTCATTTTCTGGTTTTTACTAATAAAGTGAAAACAATAAAACCAAGGAACATAAAATCAAATGTATGTCTTTTGCTGTCTTTTAAGCTGTTGTCACCCACAAGGGGTCCTTGAGAGGAGGAAGGGTTGAAATAACTCTTATATTTTAAGGTAAAGGGACCCCTGACCATTAGGTCCAGTCGTGGCCGACTCTGGGGTTGCGGCGCTCATCTCGCTTTATTGGCCGAGGGAGCCGGCGTACAGCTTCCGGGTCATGTGGCCAGCATGACTAAACCGCTTCTGGCGAACCAGAGCAGTGCACGGAAATGCCGTTTACCTTCCCGCCGGAGCGGTACCTATTTATCTACTTCCACTTTGATGTGCTTTTGAACTGCTAGGTTGGCAGGAGCAGGGACCAAGCAACGGGAGCTCACCCCGTCGCGGGGATTCGAACCGCCAACCTTCTGATTGGCAAGTCCTAGGCTCTGTGGTTTAACCCACAGTGCCACCCGCGTATGTTGCCCTAAATACACTGTAGCCTTTAACACACACACACACACACACACACACCAGCAAACCTTTTCTAAGAGTTCTTTCAGACAGGTATTTCTTGTGGTTTTGATTTTCTTCATGCATTTTTTTTGCAACGTTCAGAAAACATCATTAGCATCAAAATGGCAGCTCATATCCCTTCCCCTTTTAAATCTGAATTTACCCATTCCATTTAAAATTCGATGTTAAAAAAACACACCTGCTGCCAACTGTTCTTTTGTGATATTCAAACAACCTTTTAGTAATAATACATTCCTGTCTGGATTAAGCATCTTAACTCTTCAAATATAGGACATAACCTTTTCCCCACCCCACACTCTTCCCATACCTAGAAAGAAGGTGGGACGCCATCTTATAATTTTAGGCACCAAGAGCTCTTGAGTTGGCCTTGAGCGAGAGACTCAAGACACAACAATCCTAGATAAGTTTATCCGAAGGCGAGGCAGCTATCTCTCCTTTCCCTTACTTGTTCTCAATAGACCCGCCTGTTCTTCCATGCCATCTCTTATGCCTGGAATTTTTATGAGCGTACTTAGGATAATGCCACTCTGCTCCTTTCTTTTTCTCTCCTTCCCTCCTTTCAAACCTTACTTTTTTGGTATTCCTTCACCCTCACTGTTAGGTGATTGAAACAAAAATTCCTTCCAGTAGCACCTTAGAGACCAACTAAGTTAGTTATTGGTATGAGCATATCCAAGGGTGGAATTCAAGTACAAGCTGGTAAATTAAAGCTGACTTGGAGTAGTTTTACAACTACAGTGGTAGCTCAGGTTAAGTACTTAATTCGTTCTGGAGGTCTGTTCTTAACCTGAAACTGTTCTTAACCTGAAGCACCACTTTAGCTAATGGGGCCTCCTGCTGCCACTGCGCTGCCGGAGCACGATTTCTGTTCTCATCCTGAAGCACTATTTCTGGGTTAGCGGAGTCTGTAATCTGAAGTGTATGTAACCTGAAGCGTAACCCGAGGTACCACTGTAACCCACTTTCCCCAAAGATCAGACTTTTTGCAATCAGAAAAGTAACTGGAAAATGCACTCGAAAGCATGGAATAACTCTTGCTTTGGCCCAAAGTGGTCTAACCTCCCCACAAACAAATTAGAGGCAATTCTCATGAAGTAGCCAGTGTTGTTTAATGCTACTACAAGAAAAACAGGATGGATGCTCAAATAAACACACCACCTGGAAGCATCCTATGTGACATTTTGTGGCAGGTTCTGCTAATTGCTATGAACTATCATAATCGGAGGGACGCGGGTGGCGCTGTGGTCTAAACCACTGAGCCTCTTGGGCTTGCTGATCAGAAGGTCGGCGGTTTGAATCCCTGTAATGGGGTGAGCTCCTGTTGCTCGGTCCCAGCTCCTGCCAACCTAGCAGTTTGAAAGCACGCCAAAAAGTGCAAGTAGATTAATAGGTACCACTCTGGCGGGAAAGTAAACAGCGTTTCTGTGCGCTGCTCTGGTTTTGGTGTTCCGTTGCACCAGAAGCGGCTTAGTCATGCTGGCCACATGACCTGGAAAAACTGTCTGCGGACAAACATCGGCTCCCTTGGCCAGTAAAGCGAGATGAGCTCCGCAACCCCAGAGTCGTCTGCAACTGGACTTAACTGTCAGGGGTCCTTTACCTTTATCATAATTGGAGTTTGTTATTTTCTCCTTATCCACCAGGTGGCGTATAGGAGCTATATATTACCTATCTTTTCTTTTCTTTTTTGTTGGTGACTAGGAATGGGTGAATGTCAACTTTGGTTTCTCTCAGTTTCTCATTTTTCCAGCCTTAAATTCAGCCCTTCACATTTCTACATTCGTTTGTGATTTTTGTTTTAAGCCCTTATGAAAATTCTACTGAGACGTTCTCCTAATATACATACTTTTTTTTCGCCAGCAATTTTGCCTCATATGCACATTTTTGCAAAACAGTTTCCCCTAGTACAATGCATTTTTAAATTTTAGTTTCACTACCATACGTTACTTTAATGCACACTTTACCATAATATATGCATATTTCTGCACATTACTTGGTTGTAGAAGTGCACTGCAAAATTTGCACAAGTGCACATTTTGAAGGGTGTCTCTATATCAGGAATAAAAAATGTAGGTAAGTTAACTTTTAAGCATGAACTGAACTGAATTTTCCCCATGTCCCTTGTTGTGGCAGCCTTTTGAATGTGAGCAATCCAACCTATACAGACACAGAAACACACAGAGGGAGAGTTGTGGTTCTTTTTTTTTTAATCAAATGAAGGGCAAGAGAGATTCAATGAATAAATTTGTAGCATAAATATGACAAGTGTGATAGGAATTTTATGGTCTTAGATATATGGTAATGTTCATAACCGCACGTACATAGATCACCACAGGAAGGCCAACCTGGAACCATTTTGATTCCTACACTGAGCAAATGTTTTCTCTGCAAGGTCAAAATGGAAAAGCCTCCCCATTGTCTTTTCCTTCACAAATCCTGTCTTAAGGGTATGTCTGCTTTTGAATAGGGTGTGACCTGGTCCAGGAACTAAGTATTT